GTTATTAAATAAATAAAATCTTAATTTTTAGCTTTTTTACTAGTAAAAAGTGGTTCATCGGCTGCCGCGGTTCATCGGCTGTCCCACCTCGGTATGGCGAACAGGTCCTGGGAAATCTTTTAGGTCCATTCCGCCGGGCAGCCACGTGGTGTGACCGATGTCGTATAAGATGATTACCAGTGGGTAGTATATAAGATGGGGGCTTAGTTCAGGGTCTTAATACACCTCAGCTCGAATCCAAAGTCCATCGCGCAGCGTCTATCATGCGTTTCACGCTTCTCTCCCTCCTCCCGGTCGCTCTCGCAGTACCCGCCACCGTGCTGGACCGCGCCGTGAAGCCAGTATACTGGCTCCTAGCCGGTGATTCTACCACGGCTCCAGCTGGTGGTTGGGGCGATGCTTTCCTCTCTACCACGGTCGCTAAAGGCTCTTCGGGACATAATTACGGGCACAGCGGTGCAAGCACAAAGTCTTTCCGAGCAGGAGGTGATTGGAAGAAGGTCATTGGCGACATAGGAACGCACAAGAAAGATTATCGCGTCTATGTGACAATTCAGGTATGCATTCGTCCGTCGCAATGCAATAATGCTACTAAGGCGGGCTATACGCGAATGAACATGGCGCTGACAACCCTACAGTTTGGTCACAACGACCAAAAACCAACCTCCGGCGTCAGTCTCGCAGACTACAAGACCAATCTCGGAAACTTCGTCAACGAAGTCACTGCCGCAGGGGGAATACCCATTCTTGTCACCCCTCTCACCCGGCGTACCTTCAACAAATCTACCAAGAAGGTGGTCGAGAATCTTTCCAACGAGCGCACGACAACTATCGCCGTCGCCGATGAGAAGAAAGCGCGCTTCATCGATCTAAATAGGGCGAGCACGGATTATGTGAATGCGATCGGCGAGAAAGCGATTACGCCATATAATCTGGGTGGCACTGATAGAACGCATGTGAGCCCTTGGGGTGGCGTTGTGTTTTCGAGATTAGTGAGCGATTTGTTAGTGGCGAAGTATCCGGGTGAGTTTGAAGAGGTGACGCAGAAGAATGCGACGCTGAGTGCATTGATCAAGGCGGGAAAGCCTGCGTAGGGCACCAAGGAGTCGATTAGTGTTTGTACATATCGAGTTATTCTTTCGAAATGATCGAATCTCCGTGACATTAGCCCACGAAATGGACGGCAATAGAACGTGCAGATGCACGGTATTTGGTGTTTCGACATATTGTATCGGCACGGATGTGATGAATGAAACCCTATCCGATCGGTACCCACTTTTCTAGGCCGCGGCCCAAGACAAATAGAACCACGAGCTACTCACCACTGCTTGCATTCTTGCTTGCACCTTCACTGTGTATCCTACCTTGACTACAGTCGCTCTTAGCATACCGTTCTCGATGTCGTCAATTCTTGGGCCCGTCCACCTCTTGGCGTATTCTACCCTTCTCGGAACCGAGCTTTACCAAAGTTTCGTGATGACCAAAGTCGCATATCAAGCTCTTCCAAGATCAGCCTTTACAAGCTTGCAAAAGCGCGTGTTCCCGATCTACTTCCAAAGCCAGTCGCTGCTCCTCCTGCTAGCTGCTGTGAGCATCCCGCCCCACGGCCTGATCTCCTTGTTCAAGGAGAAAAGCGACTGGATTCCCTTCGCCGTGGCAGGCATAACTGCTGGGCTCAATCTAGTTGTTTACGGACCGAGAACCAAAGAGTTGATGATTGAGAAAGTTCATCAAGGTATGTCCGATGCAATTACTTAATAGCAACGAACTAACTGGAAATCAGCAACTCGCGATGTGGATCTTGAACTTAGTACAGGGACTGTAAGCGAGAGTATGAAGAAGCTCAATCGATCGTTTTCTAGGGCTCATGCAATGAGTATCCATTTGAACCTCGTCGCGATTGGTGCGACGCTTTGGTATGGATGGCGGTTGGCTTCGAGGTTAAGGTTTGATACCAAGTAGAAGATCGCATAGTAAAGTATACGAGCAGCAATTGACAATACCTAACCACGAGAGAACACCGGTTCGAGGCGTCTATCGATGCTGTTGGGTGGGTTAAAATATACATTCCAGGCATCACTTCATGAGGCTGTCTTTTTTCATATGCCTAGCTGTTATATGCTATCATCCATACTAAGAGATGGTTTTCTTTAAAAAAAAAAGATTGACAAACCCGTAATAGCCCATAACCTTGATGCATGCCGATGATCGCGCTTCGATTCAGAGTAGAGATCGGAAGCCGCGCCTAGCGTGTTTACTAGCGCGGCACGGATGCTGCTTACCTTTCCGTCCCGGCCTTCTATCACCCCTTCTTGCTTCAGGTACCTGCATTACGCCATCGCATCGGATGGATTATCAAGAGCAGCCGAGTGGAGCAAGAGTTTTTTCTCGAACATCGCAAGCTTGTCAGCGATGCCGTAGTCAGAAATCACGCTGTTTGCCGAGCACTCTGCCTGGAACATGCCAGAGGTACATGCCAACCAATGAAATAACTTAAGCCGAAATTCACAAAACCACATACACTAGAGTGTCTATAAAATAAAGCTGACTAGAAAATAGATGCTTTGTCGCTAAGAAGGATTGCGAATGGGCGGAAGAGCCGCGTCGCGCGAGGAAGTTGCGCGCACCCTCGTAAGGCGCTTCCGTTCCCATGACCAGAATTAAGCCTAATGCCCTCAAAGACGCATCGCTCAAGTCGAACAAAAGATCGATGGTCTTGTTGCCAGCCTTGTCAACTCATCTTCATCCCAGTTATCTACTGTCTCAGCAGAGCCAGAGGTATGGGCTGAACCTACATCATCCATACCCGAACCACCGAGGCGAGAAGTATGGCAAAGAGATAATACAGTGGCACCCGGGAGTTGGATGCCAGTGCCGCCTTCTTTTGAGCTGGACACAACACAAACACATAAAGAGATCGAAAAAGCCCCTAACAATGCAGAAGCCGACCGCGAGTACATTGCGAGTATCCGTAGCATTCACAGTTTTGGTGATCGTGAAGACATCAGCCAAGCTCCTGAAGGCTTGTTCCAACCTTCAAAAAGGCACGAAGCCCCCATTAATGATGGCTTGATCAAACAGATACTCTCCACTGGTGAAGGAGATAATCTGCTCGACGAGTATCGACAAATGTCGGCATCCTTCCCCTTTGTCGTTTTAGCGCCCAGTATATCAGGCAAAGAGCTACATGGGAGCAATCCAATGCTATTGCTTGCTATTCTCACAGTTGCCTCGTGGAGAGATCATCAGCGACAGATGTTACTTGATAAAATATACCGCAGCGAACTCGCAGACCGGACCCTACTCCACCCGCGAAGGACGTTAGGCTTGGTCCAAAGCGTGCTAGTGTACCTTTCGTGGTGAGTCGTTCGAAGACATCTACTAAAGGATATTGACATCTCCAGGTATCACTTCGTATTTAGTCACAAGACTCAGCAGATATTCTTCCTTCATCACCTTGTCATTGGTCTTGCCCTCGATATTGGCCTGCATCAAGATTATCAGCCTCTTCATTTTCCACATCGTCCGAAACCCCCAGCACCTCGTCCTCAAGAACAGCGAGAGCGACAGCGAGCGTTTCTAGGTTGCTACTACCTTGCCTCAATGTACGCATCATGTGTCACTGTAGCAACGATTTGCTAATCTAATCAGGATTGCGGCAGGGCTCCAGAAGCCGAACTTACTGAAGCACACACCTCATATGACAGAGTGGGCCCAAAACTTGAGGCGTGACCTGGAGTACGAGTCTGATGAGACTATCAGTCATCTAATTTCTCTGCGACAGATTGACGATCAAGTGCAAGACACGTTGTTCACTGGGAGTGCTGCAGGACTGCCACTAACTGATGCACGAACTCTCATGCACGTGCGGTTCATGGAAGCGCAACTCAATGCATGGAAGCGGGAAAGCTGCAATTCTGGGTCTAAGCGCTGTATGTCATCTAAGAGCGATTTAACGTGACTACCTAATTTTTGATAGTGCTAGAACTTTCTTCATCGTTCACTGAGATGTTATTGCACAGTGTTGCTCTTCGTACTCAGTTGATGTTGGATCAGAGACCGACGATCGACTCAACTCGACTCAAGGGCTTACTTTCCGCACTTGAGGCCGGAAAACGATTTTTGGACACTCTTCTGTCGTTTCCCGCCTATGAGTATCATATTGTCTCATTCTCTGAGTGGATGAGGCTGCCGACAGTTATCATGACAGTGGCCCGACTTTGCATGCCCACTGACATACATGTTGCTACTGGCTGGGACTTCAAGGCTGCCCAGGACCGGGTACGCCTAGACTTGTGCCTTGAGTCACTATGCTACAGAATGCAGGGCCTTTCTACCTACGACAAACAGAAACAGTCGCATCCTGACTTCTGGATCGCTATGCGGTTTATAATGGATCTGACAAGAACCTGGTATATTCGAAAGATAAAGCCCAACATGCAAGCCGATACGTCCTCTCAGCCTACGCCAAATGAAACGGTGGGGCAAACAACAAGCGACATCTCGGGTCCCAGCTCGGGCGCTCATTCAACGCCTTCCATTCATCGAGCCGGCGAACGTTACAATACGTTGGCGGGTATAAATCATATGGGAGACATCAACATGGACATAGACATGGGCATGGAGGACGATGCTGGCCCTTTTGCTTTCATGAAAGATTCGGATTTCGATATGGAACAGTTCTTTGACATGGGTATCTGGAGTGACGAGAGCTACATCGGCATGGGTTTCGGCGGGGGCGGCATGCCCTCCTAGCATCGCCAATTACGATCTTGACGTCCCATAGGCTCGAAGATTTAGGGCGTCAACTGCATCTACCGAGTCCGTGTAAGAAGGACCATAGAGCGTCTTTTGCGCGTGTGATTGTAAAGGTTGGCTTTGTAGCAAACTTGTAATAGTACGTTCAGAAGCTACTGGGATTGATGACTGTGTATTTGTAGTGCCGAGCAAGTCTCCAACATCTAATAGACGATACTCAATATTCAAACATTGTACGGATTCAAACATTGCTTCATAAAGTTGCACTATCATTGAGTATGAAGAGTCGGATTCCATGTCCCATAAAACGTTTATCACAACATACGATAACTTCACACTGCTTTCCAAATTACACCTTCTTCTTTGCTATTACTTGCATTGATATTCATTCATGTTTGGCAAGACTCAGATTAAACATCGGCATACTGATTGACTCACAAAACATGATCGGCCATGCTTTCATATATATGCATAAACTTGTTTTTCGCACGCTACGAAACACTGTAGATGCTCCGAGTTCAAAGCACTTGCGATGTACTGAGCGCGAAGCGTTGCTAGAGAGATCGGAATAAACCCTAGCCGAGGGCTTGCTTTATGCCGACGCCTTACCTATTCAGGACATGGGTCTGAGTGGACATAAATCCTTCGAAATTAATCTTTTTCTCTCAACTTTCAGATACCAACCTCAGATTAATATGACGACGGTTAAACCTACGAATCAATGTTCGGACATTGAGCCCATCGAGCTCGTAGCTCTGAACTCCACGAAACCACCACAACCACAAACAGAAACGACACCTCAAGATGGCGATGTTGTGCAGCAGTACCCTCGGGGTATTCGACTCGTTCTAATTACCGTCGGCTTGATACTCAGTATATTCATCGCAGCTCTGGACACCGCTATTCTCGCAACAGCAATCCCTAGCATAACCAGCCAATTCGGTAGCATCAGCAACATCGCCTGGTACGGATCGGGCTACAGCATAACAAATGCCACTTTCCAGTCACCCTGGGGAAAGGCGTACCACTACTTTTCGCTGAAAAAGACGTTTTTACTTGCGATCCTTGTCTTTGAGATAGGCAACGTGATTTGCGCCTTAGCGCCTTCTAGCGAGATCTTGATTTTTGGGAGGGTGATTGCTGGTGTGGGCGGCGGAGGAATTTTCACAGGCGCCTTTATCATTATTGCTTTGACCGCTGGACCAGAGTATCGAGCTGCCTACATGGGTATTCTTGGTGTGACGTTTGGATGCTCAAGCGTTGTTGGGCCGTTGATGGGTGGGGCGTTGACAGACGGGCCTGGCTGGCGCTGGTGTTTCTGGTAAGTCATTTGGGCTCCGACAATACGTAGCTAGTACTAACTTCTAGTAGGATCAGCCTCCCGATTGGCTTCACTGCAGCGTTGACTATGTTTCTCTGCTTCAAAGATCCTCTCACGCCCAAGAAAGCCACCCTTCGTGAAAAGATTATCCATCTTGACCTCAACGGCGCGACTTTACTATCCGGCTCCTTCTCTTGTTTTGTGCTAGCGATGCATTGGATCGGTGTTAATAGCTGGACGAGCGCACGCGTTCTAGGGAGCTTTGTCGGGTTTGCTGCTCTTCTTGCCTGCTTCGTCATCAATGAGTGGCTCATGGGCAGCAAAGCCATGGTACGAGCACACCTCTTCAAGAACAGACTTGTTCTCGCAAATCTCTGCTACATCTTCTTCTTAGCCGGCGCCTTCTTCCCACTGATGTACACTTTACCGATCCAGTTCCAATCTGTCAACAATAACACCGCATCGCAAAGCGGCGTCCGACTGATTCCTCTTGTCCTCGGCATCTCGGTTTTCACTATGGTCTCCAACGGCTTGCTTACATTCTGGCGACACTATAAACCCTTCCTCCTTGTAGGCGCCTTACTTGCCGCTGCCGGTAACACAAAGATATATACCCTGGACGCTAATACATCAACGTCAGCCTGGATCGGTTACGAGCTAATAACAGCGATCGGCGTCGGTCTCGCTCTCCAAATCCCTTTGATCGCCAATCAAAACCTAGTCGCCACTGACGACCTCGGGGCTGCAACATCCATGTCCCTCTTCATGGAGAACTGTGGCACAGCATTATTCATTGCGTCTTGTGAAGCGGCGTTCACGAATGGACTGCTATCAAGTCTGGAGAACAATTTACCAAATGTTGATGCGAGGGATGTCATTGATGCTGGCGCGACGCAACTCAGGGGCCTCTTTTCAGGCAAGGAATTAGAGCAGGTGCTGAGTAGTTATTTGGATGGGTGTAAGACGAGTCATATCATCACGATAGCTTGTGGGGCGATTGCGGGCGTGATATCGTTGTCGAATGCGGGGCCAGCAATGGTACGAGAGGTTAGGCTGAGGCTGAGGAAGACGCATGAGCGATAGATTCCTCGTCGTAGGAGATGAGGTTCAACACCTTAGTTGTCACGTGAACGCCAAGGAAGGATGGTCCGTGCCGGGATAGGGTATATCATTCACCCAGCAGCTAGTTTAGCTCGATAGAACCTATGAATACAGATCATCACCCCATATCATGACATTAGTTATAGTTTGTTTTTCGTTTGAGCATTATCGAATGTTGGCATCATCAAGCCTAATACTCTAAGTCTGTCAGTGTTCTCAACAGCTGTAGGTGACTTTAGGTTTGAATTATACAGTTCTGCCATCATATAGGACCGCGAATCGCCATCCGTACGGCCCTACTAATGTACGAGTTGTTGTGTAAAAGTCAGGCGTGAATAGATCCTCGGGACAATCTACTGTTGATCTAAGCCAACGAGCCCTCTCCCACGATATTTCCATTATTTGTTGCGGTCTGGCAGCGCGAAGGGCATCGTGACTTGTGCAATATCAGGAGGTGTCCGAAAGTGAATCAGATGACGTAGCGTCACCCGCTAAGCCATGTTCGGCGATAGCGCCTGTCACGCGCCCCGACCGTGCGCAGGCGGCGACTCAGCCATCGACGACCTTATCAAAACAACCTCGAACCTCGTCCTTTCCGCTCTCCCGAAATGCCTATACAACATGCCCTCGCATGCACAGATGCGTAGCTTTTGGACCACCTTCTCCCGTGTTCTTTTTATTATTGGCACGCTCGCGCAGGTCGCGTTGCTCGCTGTAATCTTCCGGTCCTATGCCGGTGACGATGTTTCCGGTGCAGCTACGCCTGTAGCTGACGCAGCACCAGTCGCAAAGTCGAAGTCAAGTGGTTTTACTTTGCGACATCTCTTCCATCATGGCGCTGGTATCCCCGGACCGCGGGCGCGTAGGCTCGATGTTACGCCTCAGCGTATCACCGCAGCTGATGCTGAGTCCCAAGTCGGACCGTTTTCGGTTAGGCTATCACCAGTGAAGATCGAAAGGCCTGCATACCGATTATACGACGCTCAAAGCCCCATGTCTCCGATGTGGATTGCCGAGGATGTTGAAGGTCCTGACGTAGAAGAGAAGGAGACTGTTATAAATTTCGCCTACATGTCTGAGGATGCCTACAAGGTTGGACATGACGATCCGGGGTGGTTGGATGTTGATGAGCAATACAATTCATCCATTCCGTTTGGTTGGGATGACAGCGGCATTAGAGGCCATGTATTCAGCGACGACACCAACTCCACTATCATCCTATCTGTCAAAGGGACTACGGTCGCCATGTTCGAAGGGAATGGGACATCTGGAAACGATAAGGAGAACGACAATCTCTTCGGATCTTGTTGCTGTGGTCAGGGTGGTGCTTATCTTTGGCGTCAGGTGTGCGACTGCCAGACTGGTACCTATACTTGCGACGACAAGTGCGTCAAAGACGAAATCAAGAAGCCGAACAGATACTATGCAGCGACGGTCGAGCTATATGAGGAGGTCATCAAGCTCTACCCCAACGCAAACATCATCACGACAGGTCATAGCCTAGGTGGAGTGCTTGCTTCTTTGATTGGCTTACAGCATGCCGTCCCCTCTGTGACATTCGAGACCTACCCTCAAGCTTTGGCGGCTAAACGCCTGGGTCTACCAACTGCAGGCGATGTAGCTCCTCTGAGGAAGTATACTGGAGGTTTCCACTTTGGACATACAGCGGATCCTGTTTACATGGGGACCTGCAACGGGCCTTCGAGTTTTTGCACCCTTGGAGGCTATGCTTTCGAAACTCTCTGTCATACAGGAAAGAGGTGTGCTTACGATGTAGTCAAAGACTGGGGTTGGAGACAAAGCACGTCAACGCATAGCTTGAGATACGCCATCGACAAAGTCTACAAAGTCTACGATAAGGCGGCGAAATGCGAGGATGAGGATGTCAATTGTGTTGACTGCTTTCTGTGGAAATATGAGAATGGCACGCACACTAAGCCGACGACTACATCGACAGCGACAAGCACTACATCTTCGCAAACGCGAACGGAGACATGTAAGACGCCAGGGTGGTGGGGATGCCGCGATGAGACGGCAACATCGACCACATCTAGCACATTCAGTAGTACAACCACCACCAGCACTTGTAAAACGGTAAGTTCTCCGACTCGTTATTACCAGCATCATTCGCTAATTGGACTAGCCTGGCTGGTTCGGCTGCAAGGACACAACCGCAACCACAACCATAACCACAACCACTTCGTCGACTGAGCCCACCACAACGACATGTACGAGCAAAGGCTGGTTCGGCAAATGTCGTGACAAGGTATCTGTTACGACAACACCGGCAGTGGAAGGGCATGCATACTGGCGAACAGCACCAACTGCGACGCAAACGGCTCCATAGCTTGACCTTTTGAACGATAACGTATATTTCACACCTAACTCTGCGTTAATGTGACACAATTGCTCTAACTACACGATGGAGCTGATTCGCTGCCAGCTTACGAGTCATTCCAATCATTCCAATCTGCCCAAAAGCAACATACGAGTTGAGCGACTCACCACGTCTTTGCACTAGCTTTATCTGACTCAAAGCGCACCCCCATCCGCCCTCGCTTGAGCATTTCCTGGTGTCAAAAGTTTCCGTACCTCCGATAACAACTCCAAAATGGCATGTCTCAACGTACCGCATGAGTTTGTTCTAATATCGCGTCATGTCTTTTAAACTGTATCCGCACGAAGAGCATATTTACATGTACTCGTAGCAGAACGATAATACGGAATCATCAACTAAGATAACCGCACCGATTCATTCCTTAAAATCATCGAACCTTGAGCGCTCGAGGGTATTGATATATATATTAGATTTTGATTCATGATGAGGTCTGCCTGGAAGTGTAAGTGACTTCGTATTGAGAGCTTGCAAGGATTGAGTCCACATGCATGAATACGGGTATTCCAAACGTCTCAACTGCCAGTGCAAACTCAATGGATATATATAACGTGATAGATGCTGACTCTTCGAAAGGCTGACAATCTATAATCGCCTTCCTATTTAGGTTGTCTGACGAAGAAGGATCCTCTAGCGCTGACGTACCAGTGCTCCTGCATGACTCATCAACCCACTCATCTCGATTTTGTTTCGTCAACCACAACACATTTCCATACCCCTCAAGATCAAGTAACACCTTGGCATTCTCTATCATCTCAGTTTCGAATCTCCTTGAGTCCTCAAGATGCTCGACTTCAACTTCCACCTGACCACCCCACGACTCTACATTTCTTATCTCGATCCCTCCAAGGAGGCACATTGCGAATTCATGTACGCATTAGTTAACACCCCACAAATGGTGAAGGAATATCGAGGCAAGCGAGACCCACTGCAAAACCGGGAAGCTGGACGCAAATTCATCCAGGATGGCGTTGACAAATTAGAGAGGAGTGGCTATGGGCGCTATCTGATTTCGTTGAAACCAAATAACATCGACGAAGAAGGGTCCGAAAAGGCAAAATATGCGCTTCCATTCTCTAAGGGAGAACAAGAGCTCGTAGGGATTGTGACAATGCAACTTGATCGTTTCCCCGGGGCGCCTACGATCCCGGACATTGGCTTCGGACTGTTCGAAAAATACCAAGGCCGTGGGTACGCTACGGAGGCTGCACAAGGTTTAATGAAGTACTTTGAGGAAGAGCGAGGGCAGTTTGTATTCTCTGGATATTGTAGCCCAGATAATGAGGCAAGTAAGAGTGTTTTACGGAATCTTGGGTTTGAAGAGAGAGGCGTGAGATCGATACTGGGGATATTTGGAGAAGGCGAGGAGACAGCTTTAACAGCATTGGTGTGGACAAAGGGAGTGGCTGAGGATGAAAGTGAGCTGAAGAGATGGGGCCTCTGATAAATCGAAAGAAGAATACAGAATGGTCTATTCAGGCCTTAAGTGAGATTAACGACATAATCTTAGAATGCGTACGCATGCTTTGATGGAGTCAACCGAACAATTCAGTTGAAGGGGCTGTCACTCGCGGCTCTTCAAGTCCGACATCATGTGACAGCGCGTTCGCCGGGTAACGACAACGGCGGTGTTTTCGACAACACGCAACTGCCTGCGCGCATACTCGTTAGAAAACATCTGTTACTTCCATACTGACGTCGTTGAGGCATCTACAAAAATATCGATCAAGACGAGCATCGCTTTTCGCAGGCTTTTTATTTCGCCAAGCATCTCTAAAAGAGGATATCCACATAACTCCCTATGGGTACAGGGTGTCGGCACAGCTTGTGACGAGGAAAGCGCCATTTTTCTGATCATGGCTCACGATCAGAGCTATAATTCGACTCATACACGCAAGCCTTCACTAAAACGACCAAACTTACTTCAGGGCTTGCTCCCTGAGCCCAGTCCTCAGGAACTCAGTATGAAGATTACAGAACGTATTGAGTATCATCTTTCTGGCACCGCACCGAAGTCAACTGGTCTTTACGACACCATCTGCATGCTGCTGCGCGACCCAAACCTTGCTACACAAGTGCGCCACTTGCATCTCGACCTCCGTGCCAACTGCCACGATCCTCACGACTACTATACTCACGATGCGCTATCATACTATATGGATAATATGGGTTATAACAGCGATTGGAAGGAAGAGGTTGTGAAGGGTTCAGAAACTGCTCTTGCTGGACTGCTTCTCACTCTGCTACCAGAGCTCGAGCACCTCGAGGTACGGCTGTTCAAGCAATACAAAAACCGAGATACGCCGCAGATTTCATCGGAGGAGGAAGCAAGGGACGATTCCGCAATCGAGATATCTGACTCCTCATTGGATGTCACATCGGACATAGTTTACGAAAGCATACACTTCTCGACTTATGAACTGTTTCGCGAGCCGCCTGCCGTTTTCGATATGACCCACATTGCCGCATTCCGTAGCCTAACCTCCATCTGCTCACCGACACTGCTGCCCTGGAATATCATGTGCTTCCCTAATCTAAAGCAAGTTACCGTTAGTCTTGAAATCGACAGCTGTGGGCGATTTGAATTCGATCTACCAAATTGCGCTCAGATTCCACAGGAAGAAGCCGCCATATCAGGTATCATTAGTTTGATTGCGAAAGTGCCTATTGAGTTTCTGAACACAGCAAATTCCGAAGATAAAATCTTTGCTTACGTTCCGACTGTTCTCCGCCACGCGCCGGGCCTCAAGCGTCTTGCGTTACACTTGAAGCGCGACCTGGACGATGGACCTTGTCCCAGAAATGACATCAAACGCAGCTACCAGACTCTCATCCGCTCTTTGAGCAGTAAGTCCGTGGAAGAGTTAATCATAGACACTTGCGACATTGAAGCAAGCGCTGTACGCAAGTGTCCGGTAGACTTTTTTGAGAGTCTGCATCCCATCAACTCTCTCAGTGGCTTCCCCTGCCTTCGACGCATCGTCGCACCACAGGAGGCCTTTATAAGAGTGGAGAGTAGTCTGTGGAAGAGGAAAAATACCGGTTTCGGCGCTCCAACTTGCCTTCTACCAGACACTATCGAAACAGTTGAGATCATCGACTCAACCACTACTCTCAATATGTGGGCTATCCGCATTCTTGACGCGTCCATGGCAGCGACAGGGCTCAAAGTCAGCACCCTATCTCATCTAAGCAAAGTTGTTCTTTGGTGCGATCGTTGGTACCCAACTATTGTCCCCGACTATCGCACCGATAAGTGGTCTCAGTAGCCTCGAGATCATTACCCGGTCCCTGGTCGAGGAGGCAGGGAGAGTGCCCTCCTGCCTTCAGGTATCTATGGAGATTACTGCGATTTCGAAAATTATAAGCCGGTCAAAGCGGATCCTGCTCTGGAAGCCGACATGCGTACTGGTGTGAGGCTGCAGCTTGACATGTGTCTTGACTCAGATGACGAATCTGCAGTAGCTCGCCCGAAAAAGGTAAACATGCACCAGGAGGAGTCTATGCATCTTCGTACTATGATCTGGGATATGCTGGGGAAAGCGGGAATTCAGATAGAGATGAGGCCTGATGAGGAGCGTGGGTGGAGGAAATAGGTAGCTGGGCGGTTATTACTCTGGTTTTTATTCATCACTCTCATGTGTTACGAGAAACCAATACATAGAGCCACTGCAGGGTTTGGTACGTTTCGTAACCAGGTAGTATTGGTAGAAAAAACGAGCGATGATCATTATTTTAGAAGCACGCCATGTAAGTAAGGAAATACATGACGAGAGTGCTAGTCCATGACAACGTCAATTCAGATCAAGTAGAACAGATATTCCTTGTATGGCTATAAACACAAGCTTGAATCACTTGAAAGAAAACCCAGATTATAGACGTATGCTAATCGCAATCTAGACACCATTAACTACTTCTTCATCCCGTGAATTCTGGTGCAGCCGAACTCGTGGACGTCCCAGTAACACAGCTAGGACTGGCTCCAGCAGGATCGATGATCTGTATGGTAATGTCATCGATACCAGTCTCCAAGCCTATCGGACCCCCCGCCGATCCACATTGTATAGTAATTGAATGGATTCCAGAACTTAGCGTTTTCTGCCCAGCGGTATGTTTTTGCCATCCTTCTCCTCCTCTGAGATTTGTAATAGAGCCCAAGCCTAGGTTATCAATGTAGACATTGAATCTAGCCTGGCCTGTGACAGTGTTTGTCAGACGTATCCACATAGATACGTCGATGGTAGTGGTTTGAGCGAGGATGAAAGACTGGGTTAAGCTGTAACCGACTGGAGTCATCCCTCCTAGCCTGATCCCCGAAAGGTAACGGGAAGATGAATGGCCATCGATTGCTGAAACTGTGATTCCCCACTGATTCCCAGCGTTCTGTACGACCCATGGACTGACAAGGCCAGTTTCAAAACCTGGGTTGACAGCAAGATTTACAGGAGCCGGGCACAGAGAAGGGGTTGGCGAGGCATCTGGAATAGTGACAGTACTTAGAGTTGAAGAGCCTGTCGAAGATGAGGGTACAACAGTGGAGGTTGAGGAAGCTATTTGGATCGAGGAGACGCTCTCGCTTGTGCTGATCGAAGATGATAACGCTAGGATGGTCGAAGATGACTGGCTGGTCGTGGACGACTGGGAGGTTGAAGTCGAACTCAACGTTGTCGAAGATGATGTTTGGCGGGTTGAAGACGAAATCGACGATGATATGGGCCGAGGAGAAGAAGGCGAGGAGACGAGATTGCATTTTCCAAAGCCTTGCTGACAACCGTCGCCGCAATATGCTTTAGTCAAACCGCTACCTCAAGTTAGTTAGGTTATTGGGGCTGTTGACGAGAAGACGTACCAGTAACTGTATTGACTGCAGCAGTCGCCCCATTTTGACCCTTGACACGTGAATCCAAAGCCCTTGCCGCAACGGTCACTTGGAGTAACTTTGAGTGTAGATGAAGGCGTATTGGATGAAGAGCTTCTGGTGGGTGTAACGAGTATAATGGATGCCGAGTTCGAGCTTGTGACGCGTGAGGATGTCGAGGTTGATCCAGTACTGCTTCGCACCACAGAAGATGAACTGGAGGAGCATTTCCCAAACTTGTCATTGCATCCGGCACCGCAATATGCACCTATGCTACCACAGTATTCGTACCTAATAGAGTCGCAAGTTAGATTTTTGGAAGGCAATAGCCGTAGTCATTGGTATACTGACTGGCTGCAGCAATTGCCATAGGAACTTCCGTGACAAGTCAGGCCAAATTTAGCTCCACAACGCCCTGTCTTGCTGATTTTCTGGGCGTCTGAAGACGAGAAGATGGTGAGGGCCACCACGGCCCAAGGTACAGTCGAAGGCATTACTGGCACGAAAAGGCTCAACGATAGTTAGATTGAGTGAAGTGTGGTGGTGACTGTGGTGTAGAGTAGGCTTGAACAAGCGTGTCAAGTGCGAATCTACCAGGTATGAACGAAACTGCAAATATAGGTGAACGTGCATGTGAGAACCTGAGTCTACTGCACGAATCGAGTCAGCTCCACATTGCGCCCATGTTTTCCAGAAAGGTCATGACCGACTAAGCGATGAACACTACTGCGCCAGCTCCGGACGCTTCGATGCCTTTTCGGGAACTAGCGTAGCCACATTCGTTAGTTTTCAGCCCCACGCCCACGCTACTGCCCGGCAAGGCTGTCTAGAACCTCTCCTTTCTACGAAAAAGACGGCAAAACTTACGGTGTTGCCGATCCTGCTTTCAAGCGTGCTTGAAGAGGAGATTAAGAGCAGGCGTTGCCTATCCGCTTCTCACCACTGATCAAGTCTGGCTGTTGCCGTAATTCTCAATAGGACTAGAAGGCTTTCCAGAAATTATCAGGCGATCAGGCGGTAAGAACCAATGCCGTCAGATGCCTTCAGGGGGTTAGCTTCATCTCGTTTCGTCTGTTATAGGTATTCGGTATGTATATTTTCCCTATCTTACGAGCGTTACCAGCGCGTTCCGTTGCCTAAGGTGTAAATGGCGTGGAGCACGCTTGGCTGGGGGAGATGTGGGTCGCCTGATAGCGCCAGAACTTTCCCAAATAGAGCGGCGATCGTCATCACAGGTGTATTCCCCGTCTTTCTTATCCATCTCATCGCCGTTTGCAAACCATGATCGATACGGAGGAAATTGTGGTATGAACGGAAGCTCTGTATACGTCTGCTCTCGAATCGTATGGAAGACGCAAGCAATCACGTCATGTCTTATTCAATCATGTCAAGTCTCCGAATTTTTCATTTCTTGCAGTAGAGAGGGAGTTTACGCCCGCCACCATCCCAGATCTCGAGGACGCCAGGATATACATTTTAAAGCCCCTTCACCCGGCACGCGTCATGGCCTCCCATACTCGAAACGCTGAAGTCAGCATGCAAGCTAACTGCTACCGCGACCTCTCCACCATAGCAATCTTAACCCGAAACTTTGGAAGCCCTATACTCGTCGAGATGCAGTGTTTCATGATTGGCGCGGCATCGAAGCCACGCCACTCGGGGTTCGGATCTCATCCCTCCACTCCTGCATCGTGGCCGTATTCCACAGAACCTCAATTCCCACTTTCAGTAACTCATCCCAAACTGATTCTGAGATGCTCCAATCGGACGTCCAAGCTTCCTCGCCCTCTCCTTGCTCATCATCGTCCAAGACACTTAATCGGGGGTCTGGGGCTTGTAATGGCTTCTTGTAGCACCACAGCACAATAGTCTTGAGGTTAGGGAAGCCTGGTTTGTTTGCGATGACGTAGAGTGCGAAGCGATTGACGGCGCAGGTAGTGTCGATGATCTCGATACGCTCGACGGACTCGGGGAGGGCACAAATGTCGAATTGCGGTGTTACGGAGAAGAAAGCTTCTTGAGGCGCTACGACTCGTCGAAGTTTGCGGTAGTGGACCAAGGATTGCATGGGAGAAAGGTCTCCGAGCACCATCTCATCCCATTCCAAGTTGGTGGTCTGTTCGTAAAGCTCGGCTGCATCGATAACCAGCGTTTCAAGGGCTTCATGATGATGATCGAGGAGAACTAGGACCTGATAGCCTGATTTATCGAAGCTGAACTGTCTATACAAGTCTTCCTGTAGCTTTAGTGGAATGATTCGGAACTGCAAGCATTTCAGGTCGGGGATTTCTGCAAGGACGCTATTCGGACGGGTACTGCTAGAGATATGCTGGGTCTCCATCATCACGAGAACATCGACCTCAACAGTCAGCTCTTTGATCATGGAAGGCAGCGGAGGTGGTTGTGGCAGCTGCAAGTGATTAAATCGGTATTGCGGGCTGGGGTAGATACTGAACCATTGTCCACACTTTAAGAACCGAAGTTTTGGGAGAGAGACTAGCGACGTCAGAACCAGCGATTTGCTGCTCAATTTCTCTAATTCAGCAAGGTGGAGTACTTCGGTTATCATCATTTCTTGCTGCAGGTCTGATGTACCGGTTGGGATACCGAGCATAGGCTCTGGTGAGATTACCGCTCTCCGAACCTGTTGCAACCAGATCTTGCAGTAAGTAGACTCGTCGTGGTTTTCATTGACATCTGCGTCACGCGCTCCATTAATATATGTCTTGTATGATGGATACCAAACGGACAAGCTGAGCTCTCGCAGGTTTGGAACAGAGGCAAGTATGACGCCTAGAATCGCAACTTCTTTTCCCAAATGAATGGCTTTGATCCATTTGCGCTTTGTAATGCGCGAAAGAGCGGGGTGGGTCATGCTGGAGATCGAGTCTTTGCATATATCGACGAATTCAGACCATCCACACCGACAAGGATCAAGACCATCGGGTTTCACACACCGACTGTTATGAGTCTTACTGTGATTGAACACCGTGAGGTCGAGTCGGCGCACCATGTTTGCCAGGTCCCGTCGCTCGAGCAAGGAGCGTGCAAGCTTCACGACGCGCGTAATGCCATCTTCAACCTTGTATTCTACGCGTCGCTGTAGAATGATGCATCCGTATTCGTCCCTGTGGTCTCGCTCTCCGCTTCCATCTCGCTCGTGATGGATGTGCGGCTTTTCTAGGCGGAGCGATCTGTAGAGCTTTTCTTGCGCAATGCCTCTATACCGTTGTGCGACGAGTGCGAGGTTGCAGAGAGCATTGTGTCCGAGATTCGTAGTAACTCGTAGGAGGATCTCGTCTGGCAGGTTGTCAAGACCCATAGCGAGTATTCAGGGAAGCTCGGTTGAAGTATTGTTGGTAGGCGGCTCGTTCGTTGTCATCAGTGAGGCGAGGAAGAGTGTCCAGAGACAATTATGCTTGCAGTGAATGCAGCGTCACCTGAAAGCTATAGAATCGGGTTGTCTTGGCAAACTCATCTTCCAGGCAGCAAGTTATACGAGGCTTTCCCTTCATTCGAGTCGCCCTACGATTGGTCCATAAGCCCTTCTGGAACAAAGTCACCTGCAATATCGCAGCCAACATTCTCGCGTCCGCTCTAGAGACTCGAGGCAGCTTTTTCTTGGCCTTCTCATAGCTTCCTTCGATCGCACAAGAAGCGAGATGTCGTTTTCGCAGGAGAACACCTGAGCCGTAGTGCCAAACTACTGCCATGACTATCCCTTCCGACCGAATCCCCCATAACACGACCTCGAGCCCAGCAACCCACAGCCGTCCCTTGGAGCATTTCCATCATCACCGCATGAAGTCCATCCACGTCGAATACCCTTGTTATCGATAAAGGGTGCGACTATTTTAAAGCGGTGCATAAAGTCGCAATCTCATTTGTAACAAACCCGGTCAGGGTGGTCGATGCGGCCAACCAACCACATCCCAGCGACCAACGTTTCAGGCTATAGAATACCAATTGCATCCTACGCTACCGGATATGAGCAACATGAGTATCCTTCCAGAAGGCTCGTAGTCGGCAATGAAGAGGAAACGATGATGCGGCTGAAGTGTGCGTACAATGCCAGGATTAGCCGGCAATGGATGGTGAGTAGGGGGTGGATGGTTGTATATTTGATAGTGGATGCCCTTAGAATCTTGCAAGTGATGTTGATATACATTCCTTCACTTAGTTTCCTTGACCACTCTGTCCACAGTCCCTCGTTGTTCTGACAATGCCTTCTTTTACTTTCTGGAAGCCCTTGAAGGCGGAGGAATCGAGATCGTCATGCTTTAGTGATGATTCCATGGTCGAAGAGTCGAGCATTGCAATTCCAGCAACACAAATGACCTCGGACGTGGATGCTAGTCGCGAAGACTCGAGTGTCTTTGTTTCCGATGAGGTAGGACTTTCCCCGCGGTCGTAGCATATATCAAAGTCTAATGAAAAAAGCCGGCTACTGGACCCCCGGAAAGACCCAGGAATCTCAAGGTGATCGAGGAACTTAGTCCAACTCCAGTTGGAACAGGGTTCGGGACGAGCCTGTCAGGAGTCTCAGTAATGGAGCAGTTCGAGCCAGCTGCAACAAGTGCAATTGCTTCACAGTCTCTCCCGCCAAAACTAGCCTTAGTAGGCGAGCTCCCAGCAGCAAATTCAACTTCAGCAGCGCTCGAGAAGCTTGCAGAAACTCTGCCTATGCGAGACTCTGGTGTCTATCTTTCTGAAGACGAAGTCGTTCCACCACAGACACAGCCCTCATCGTTCGCTTCGAGCAACGGACTGTCGCTCTCAAGGACTCCCTCGATCTGTTTGAAGCACGCCTCTTCTACAAAATCGGTAGCTTCGCTGCAGCGAGCCGACTCGACTACACGCCGCTTACATCGCCCCGCAGACCTCAATCTTGGCTCTCCTACAGTGGGCAACGAGTTGAAACCGCGATCGGAACTGGAAATGCGATACGACCTTATCCGAAACTCCAAGACACAATCGAAAGCTACCCTGCGGTCGCCGACCCAACTCCTCAAAGAGCGACTGAAGATGTCACCGAAGAAGAAAGAGCACGAGGAAAAGATTCGCAACTTTACGCCACCACGACTGGTTGCAAATGGCTGCTTGTTGCCCGGCCCAGTGGGGAATATGGAAGCCTTCACCAGTACATCAGTCCGCGCAAGGACGGAAAGACATGGATTGCCGGCCTGGTGGTGCAAGGTCGATAAGCTCGTTGTGTTTGACGGCAGGGATGTAGGCGATGAAGGCGAGTTGCGGTCCCGAACACGAACGAGTAAAGGCCTGAGCACTGCGCGGCGGCGCGGTGATTTGGAGACAATCATCATTCCCATGGACTGTACACATTGTCAGGACATGCTCAATCGCCGTGAGTGGAAGTACGATATGCGTGTTTGTAAGAGAAGCGTGTGCTGGGACTGTAAGGAGAGGTGTAAATGGGAAATGAAAGAGGAGCAGAGTGCGAGTGAGGGAAAGGGTAATGTGGTAGCAGCAACCAGAACCGAAGCAAGTAGAGATAGAGCGGATAGTGTATTACAGGTTGAACAACTTTGTGAGGAGGAGTTATTGCGAAAAGTGGGCATAGAGCAGGGACGACTGAAAAGTCCTATTGACATTGTTGGTGGTATTGAAGAACGGCTCGAGGGTGTAAAGAGCGAAAACCGAATGGGGGAAAGGCGCTAGATATGTCGTAAAGTGCTACAAGACAATAGAACTTACATTTGTGTTTATTCGTCTATATAGAAATAGAGACCCTCGCTCTTTCATCTCGACGAAGAAATCAACGACGCCTAGAAAGGCATACAATCTCCCACACGATGGGCTAGCAGTCGAATGCGATTAGGGTGTGGCGTTAGCATTGAGCTGATCTAGTCCAGATCCATGGCGTCATCCATGTATTCGAAAGGGGTATCTGCTATATCCATACTACAGTAACCGTACGTCTGAGGTTCAAAATCTCGACTAGTGAGGTTATTGTAGTTCATAGTAACGTTAGTGTGTTCCTGTACCGCACCATGAGCGTGCTCACAGCCTGCAATAATAGTCCTCAGCATGAGTTCGAGCTGCAAATCATGGAGCCTTATGTCCTTGCGAGAGTCGGTGTTGTTGGTTTCCCATGATGTAGCAACCCTCTCCTCAGCGTCCTTCCATGCGTTCCGAAAGTCCTTTGCTAAACCCAGTTGTATGCGAACATCCTGAGCTCCAAGAGAGGTATGAAGCGGACATGTCTCGTCATCCAAAGCCTCGAGCAGGTTAGCATGGAAGGCGTGGGAAGCCAGCGGCCGTGTTCTGTGGAGGTCTGGGTTGGTGATGTATCGGAGAGCGTTCACGTTGTTGCGAGGAGCAGCTGCAGAGATACTAAAGCCGAATACAGCAAGACTGTCGGTCATGTAACGTTCTAGGAGGGTATACCATTCGAAGAAGTCAACTTTGAACATGGAATCTGCCTGCCGCTTTTGCAGGTCAGCCTCGGATGCTGGCAGTAGCAGAGTGGCGTCTACTCACGCTCGTGGCCCCACTTTCCATAGAGTGGTGTAACTCTTCATTCCCGTTTTGCTGAACTTCAGCCTGTACAATCTCCAAAGTCCTATAGTATGACACCATGAGTAGCTCTGCTTTCCAACGTAGCCGCCCCAACAACCGTGTGGCCCTCTCTTTGTCCTGTTTCAGTTTTTCGGTTCGTGATTGTGCGATAGTTTCCGCTGGCGTCTTCGGCGCGTACTTGGATGTCTTCATCGTGCGCGCTTTCGGTGGTGGTTGGTGAACATTATACCTGTTTGTTAGTTTGGTGAAAGTTGGAACCGCGCCGCTCGTGCCGAGGCGTGGTGCCGCTGAGTCAGCCTTCGCTCACCATTCTGCAACAGCCGCGTGAACAACCTTTATACACTGCTCAGCTTGCTAGGCTTGTTGAAGAGTGATTGTCCACATCCCATGTGGATGGCAAGACGTCAGTTTGGACGTCCTTCACGTGACAGCATGAATCCCGGGCCGCCCTAAATCGGGACGTAGTAAGCAAGTGTAACCTAGTGGCGCCGATCCCCCGCTTCACCAGCTATCAGACCCCACTCTCGTAACTACCTTCGCTCCCTCCAGTACCAACATTAATACCCATACGGGTAACGAGGGCGTGAGCACCGCATTCCATCTATTCACCATACTCTTTCTGATGGCGCCCGCCGGTCGTAAACGCAAGTTTGCTACCAGTTCGGGTGTGGCCGGGCGTCTGGACTCTGAGACCGTAGACACCGTAGACGTGGAGACTCCGTTGGCGAAGTTACTTAAACAGCAAGATGTTTCTACGTTCCGAACACCGAATAACCCACAGGCAACCCTCGAGGGACTCCCAGCCGAACTTCGTCTCCAAATCTACGACTACCTCAGCGAATCGACTATCCTTCACGTGCACCGCCATGTCAACAGAAAGACCAAACGATGTCGCTATACATGGACGCCATGCCGGGAACCCAACCCCTCTTCGCCGCTTCTCTGCGCCAATCCAAAGTGGTCCGGCATGTGCGCTGAACAAGACCGGTGCACCTACAAAGTCCTAGCGCCGCCTGAGCCACGCGGGCTCTGGGCACTCGCGGCATCGAACAAGTTCATTCGCAACGAGGCTCAAGAATTGTTCATGGGACGATCAGTCTTATCCATCCACCCAAATGACCTGCGCCCCTTTCTCAGGTACATGAAAAACAACGCACCAGGACAGCTTAGCCATCTGCGACGTATCACCATTGCAGGCCCGGACTACTTATTCTCCCAGTCCGACATAGAACTCCTACCGGAGCTCATCCCCAACCTCGAAGCCGTAGGTTATCAATGCCAACTTTCGTCTAGCCGATGGTGGAGTGCCTGGGCACAGTATGACAAACTTAACTTGTGGAGGGGTTTGCCCATGGTCGAATGGATGCGTTCGTTGGACTCTTCCACTACCATTGCGCTCGAAGCGATGTCAATGTGGGAAGATAAACAGATGACAGTCCGAATGTTGAGGCAAGGGGAGCAAGAGAAGGGGAAGAAATTCGGCGGATGTTGGAAGGACGCTGATGTCAAGGTAAAGATCGATGAGCCGGATGAACTGGTTGCCCCTAAGCGGGATGCTAGGTGGAGGATCTTTTGGAGGAACATGGAAACGTAGGGTTTTCCTTGACCACGGGAAATGGCCTGGATTGCTACCGCAATTTGCTTTACCTTACACCACTATGTCACGGAAGAAATCCCAAAAAATAATGCGTATCAGAGTCAGTATCGTATAAACAGTAGACTATACCCCAATATGAATATAAGCATATTTTTTTAAGTTCGGTCCCACCTCCTTCTAGATTGCCCCATCAAGTCTCCGCTCATCCCACCTATCCTCCTACCATAGCCTAGCCTAGTAGTGTGTACGACTTCAATGACTAGTACGCTGGCGCCATATCCATAGCCGCCACCACGACGGGATTTTCGAGATGTTTCACAGCCTATGTCGTAGATGCTACGGGTCAACAGTGTCTTAATAGCGAGATGGAAAGGAGAAGAGAAGGTCAGGGCTATATGAGATGGTGTAGTCATGGCCAAAGTGAACATCTCCCTGAAGCACCCTACTCTCTTGATGGGATATCTGTGTAAGTGTTGTAGGGCCCCGTTTTTAGCTTCGAAAGCCTTTTGAACGCTAAAAAGACGATAGTAACGTTTGTGATCACCTCTAAGCTGGTATACCAAGGCACGAAGATTCAAAGTTCGAAAAGGTATAAGTATTTGTGATATCTTTTCTCGCGGTCTATGTATGTGTCGAACCCTCCCGCATCTCCATAGTGTCGTCGCCGTGAGGCTGAACATGGATATGAGGCGAAAGGGGCGCTTTAATCTCCGGCATCCGAGTGGAGTTCATCATCCATGGAGAGCTGGATGAGACCTCAAAGAAGATGGCGTGGGTGTTCATTGGCGGAAGGCCTCGGGTATGAGGACAGTTCAGACTCTGACAAACTTGGTGTGCGAACCAGTCGCGATAATCGGACCTAGCTTATCCTCTACGACTTTCCAAATGGTCGCGGTGGTGAAGGCTAATGTCCCTCCCACCTTGCCTGCCCGACCCTCAACCTCGATGGTGTCGCCGTCCTTTGCTGACGTCTGGTAGGTGATGTGAATATCCGTACTCACTCCTGTCTTGGTCCTTTTGTCCCACGCAGCAATAGCCATGCCGCCAACCCAGTCAACGAGCGTTGCAGAGACAGAGCCGTGAATTCCCCCGTGGGCGTTAACATGAGCCTTTGTTAGCAGCAAGCGAGCGCGAACGACACCCTTGGATGCGTGAATCAGCTTGATGTCGTCGAGCAGAAACTGGTAGATTGGGCTGTGTGGTTTCCGTCCTTCCCAGAACTTCTCGACATGTGCGAGAATCTCAGCATCATTGGCTGTTTCGGACGACATTCTGGATTGAATTGGGACGGCTGCTTTCTGGAGGCAAGACGTGGACCCAGGTGAATAATAAGATGATGGAGTGGGGTATAGGGGTGCCAGATTTCCATGGATTACCCCAGACGGCGCTAGGTGCAACGTATCGCCGACAGTCAATGTCCATGGGCGGTAGCTGCGAAACGGCCGGGAAGCCAGCGTCAGCTGTCTCAAGACGCCACATTTCCCTCTCCTTTCACTGACACGTTTTCCACAGTCGCCCAAACCAAGCCCCATGCCTTGAAGCCTCGATGTTCGCGCATACGCTACCACCATGACCGACCCCGTCCAAGCGCCTCCGAGCCCGCGCGACTCCGGAGTCGAGAAACCCCACGATTCGCCCATAAGTAGTGTCGCGCAGATGCCGGAGCCCCGGAAGACGCCAGACAGTTCACCGGCTTTGGATATAAAAAGGCTCACGGATCGCGCGCTGCATTTCTTGGCAACTGCAAGCAATGAGACGCTTGGAGCATGTCTCGTAGGATTAGGAGCCGGCACATATCTCATACTAGGCCGCGTCGGGCTGGTGCTCATAGGTGTTGTAGGGGGAGTAGTACTCCATGCGACCTGGGAGGGGCGTATGCAGGATGTAGGCCATGGTGAGAAGGCGGGCAAGGGTACAGAGGCCAGGAGGCGCGAACTCGGTGTTGATATTGCGCATCGAGTGCTCGACTGGCGAGAGACAAGGACGCAAGGCGAGAGCAAGTACGAGGAAAGCGACTCAGATTTGAGCCTCAAGCTATACTCGGGGAAGAAGCTCGACTATTCAGACTTCAGACCAGAGACGGCAGCCGCCCTTGCAGAGCTGACAGACGCCGTCATTCGCGACTACGTCAAGTATGTCCTCAATACACCATCTAGATTCCTATCTAATGCGCTACAGGTGGTGGTACTCACCCGTCCTACCCACTGAAGATGCTTTCCCCAACTCGTGCCGCCAAACCTTCACTGCCTTTATGCTCTCCGTATCTACGCACCTCTCCCGCAAGCGCCCAGCAGACAACTTCGTCGACTTCGTGACGCGATCGTCTTCATTTATCATCATACTACTACAAGAAATAGCCGCCGCCATACAAGCGTCACCCGGCGATGCGCCAACTGAAGCAGTCGACATCTACCTCAAGATGAAGCGCGATAGCACCCTAGCCAACATACTCGACCCGGACTACCAGATGAAACAGTTCAGCGTTGCTGCCGAGGATATTCTGCAGAACTACTTGGAGCCAAAAACGTACAACTGCATGCCAGCACGCATCTTCCTACATCAAATACTCGCCAAGGTCATACTCGAGATGATCATTGTGAGCTGTTCAAAGCCAGAATGGATCAACGGCTGGATCGTCTATCTTCTAGAAGATGGCGAGCCAGAACTTATGGAGGCCATCGACGCAGGCGTCGAAGGCTCTGCAGGGCAGCTACAGACCGTAAAGAAGATTGTCGAGAACCAGGCAAGAGCATCAGAAGAAGGCGCATCCGCCGAAAGAAGGGAACATAAGCGCGCGATGAGTAGGGCCCAAGAAGCCATGGATGAGGCGATGCAGGAGGCACAGCGTCTAAGCCAAATGATCGCCGAAGAAGATGCAAAACGACTCAAGGAACAAATTAAACAGAGCACATCGAGTTCAACCCTCAACGACGATCAGTCAGAGAGCACTACTCAAGGAATTGTCACCCCAACTTCCTCGCAAAGCGAAACAGCCGCCGAAAATGATTTTACAGACCTTGGCATCTCCGGTCTCTCGGCGCACACGTCGTCACCAGTTGCGCTAGCATCACCGTCTCATGATCCAGAAGAGCGACCAAAGCAAGAGACCAAGAAAGGGTTCACAAGTTTCGACCAACTTGTACCCAACAACCCTCCTACAGCACTGGTGGATAATCCACAGCCTGTTGAGAAGCCCCCTGCTCTGACCCTCTACAACAGCACAATGTCAATTTTCGACGACAGTATGCCAGGCGAGAAGGGTACCATAAAGAACAAGCCCATTGCGGAGTATTTGATACAGATTGAACCAAAATCTCATCACCACTCCGGATGGATGACAGCACGGAAGTATACCGAGTTCGAAACGCTGCACGAAGTCATACGTCGGATAGCCGCCATTACAGGTACAACTGGATTTACCGAAGCACATGCTACTTTGCCCACTTGGAAGGGTCACACCAAAGCCTCGTTACGTGGAGAGCTTGAACGCTATCTGAATGATGCCGTGAAGTACAAGCCGCTAGCAGAAAGCGATGGCATGAAGCGCTTTCTAGACAAGGAGCTTGGCTCTGGGAAGTCGTCGGGTGGTGGCTTCCCGGGTATCGGATGGGCTGGCCAGACTTTCGACACCGTAGGCAAAGGCATGATGGATGTCCTCACAAAAGCACCAAAAGAGGTTGCTGGAGGTGGCAAGGCGCTCTTCGGTGGTGTCACGGGTGTTCTAGGGAGTGTTACTGCCCCTCTTGGAGGAGGAAGAAAGCACCGCGACTCCATTACAAACGTCACCAACACTACCGCACCAAGTCCAGGCAACGCTAGTCCTAGCCTCAGCCGTACATCGACCTCAACTGCCCCCATACAAACACGGCACAACAGAGCAGAATCAACAGTCTCTGAATTGCCCAGCCACATTCGCTCGGAGAGTACTCTATCTCTAGCACCAAAGCGCACATCCATAGAAGCCGTTCGTAACCCCAATTCACCCGTCATTGACCAGCAACCACAACGCGAAGCCCCTATGGAACGTCGACCTTCCTACAACCCGGATGGTGACGGTAAACGATCCGGTATGTCCTCAAGGTACGCCTCACGCAGTAACAGCCGCGCACCGAGCATGAGGGAGAGCCTAGACGAGTTCAGTCCGGTCTTGGGCGGCGATCAAATCCTCAATCTCCCGCCTATTCCGAGCGAGATATCCGACGACTACGGTGCTGGTTCACCGTGGCGCAACCCGCCCGATCCAATGCAGAACCACAACCCATCGCGTGTATCCACGACACCTCTTCCACAGCCAAACGAGATGGTACCACCACTTCCACGCCGGCCATCTGCAACATCGATTCCCACACCCAATGCGGCGCAACCACCAACCTCAGCAAAATCTCCACAAAAACCAAAAACACGTGCCACACACACGCCTCTTTCCGAAACCGAAACCACGGTCATAATCGAACTCTTCTTCGCCGTAACAAACGAACTTTACACCCTATCCTCCGCCTGGACACTCCGCCGCACGCTCCTCAATGCCGCGAAGACATTTCTCCTACGCCCGGGAAACCCACAGCTCTCCTCCATCACCAACCTCCTACAGACAACGATGCTAAACGACAACACGTCTGACGCTGGCTTAGCATACCATCTTCGCAAGATACGGGCCAACTCGTTGCCCACCGAAGACGAGCTGAAAGCCTGGCCCGCAGAAATGAGCGCGGAGGCGAAAGAGAAACTCCGCGTCAAGGCGCGGAAATTGCTGGTCGAGAGGGGAATGCCGCAGGCGCTGACGAGTGTTATGGGCCAGGCGGCTAGTGGGGAGGCGCTGGGTAAGGTGTTTGATTGTTTGCAGGAACCACGGGTTGCGCGAGGTGTGATGTTTGGACTAGTGTTGCAGGCTCTGAGAGCTGTGACACAGTAGTCGATTGGATGATGGAATTGGGATATGGGAACTGAACGATAATGATTGGTGTTGCTTAAATGATACTGTAGGAGTAGAAATACTACAACTTTTTGGCATATCGAAAACAATGGACTTGTATTTGATGTATACAAAGCGCAGGGGGTGTAAAATGTGTTGAATTGAAACATCGTGGCATTAATGCACCACACGAAAATGAGTGAAACTTGTCCTGTTCTACCTCAGCCACATTTCACGTTTACCAATATGCATAGAAAAGCGCAAGACACGAATGTAGAGGAACAAAATAAGTTAGAACGAGAAAACTTCATTTCAATTAAGAACATGATCATAATCGGACGACCGACATCAAAACTAGCAAGTGTACTCCAATCCAATATCCCGCCCAAGGAAAGGAAAAACACCAAGAACCTGATACCCTCCAACTCCAACCCCAAGACCTAAAGTATGTTCAAACAAACGCCTTCTTATACCAATAATATACGAATCCACCCGGATCACACAAGCCGCCAATGCTCACTCCAATGCCCGAAAGGGCGAGTCAAAATCCCACCCTCACACCGCTCAACCAACCGTGCTCTCCTCCTCTGCTGCGCGACGGAAGTAATCCGCATCAATCTCCGACTCATTTCCAAACGCTGCAGTCGGCAAATCTGTGCCAACACCAGAATCGCTCGGCGCGGCGAAGTTATCCTTCATCTCCGCCTTCACTGCCTCGACCGCACGATCAATCTCTGAGTGCGTCGGCATAACAATCTCACTGCCCTCCGTAGCAGTGGAGACTTCTGATGGGTTGATAGTTGCGGTAGGCTCGTCATCTTCGGCTTGCTCGGCATCAGAGTGTTCAATGTCCTCATCGATATCTTCCTCGCCCTCCCCCTCGCCATGGGCGGCGGAGCGGGCCGCTGTGGAGCCGTATGAGGTGCGGCGATCATGGTCAATGTCGCTACCAGTCATGTAGGATGACCCAGAAGCATAGGTGTAGTCGCTACCTGTGCCACCGAAGCTTGAGCGGCCGTCGTAGCCAGGCGTCTCGCCCTCTGCGTAGCTCTCAGCGTAAGAGCGGCTATCGATGCTGTAGCGGCGCTCAGTTCCGGTCTCGCTCTGCCTGTCCTCTTCGATGATCGATTGAGGGATTGTTGCTAGCGCGTTGTGCTCAGTCTCGGTCTCGTCCTCTTCGTGGAGCGGACCGTTCTCCTTGTTTACAACGGCACCGCTAGGGCGGCCACCCCATGAGCCTTTGCGCGCGTAATTTGTTGTCTTGACGGAGTGACTGCGCTTCAAGCCACTGTTGGTGTTCATTAGGGGAACAGAAGTAGGGTAAGCCTGAGCCCCGGTAGGTGCGTTGCCACTGATTTGGCTGAGCGACAGAATGCGACGCTGTGCTGGGTTGGCAGGCTGGCCATTGCGGCGAATAGCAGGGCGAGGCTTCAGAGCGAGAGAAATTCCGTTGGCAGCCGTGCTCGGAGGAGGCATCAGTTTGGTGTCGTCGTTAGGGACATCGGCTCCCAAACGCTTTTTGACTTTGGTAGGACTCTTGGAGCCCCCCTTGGCCATCATCAGAGCCCGTGAATGGTCCATGATACCGTTCAGGATTCGACGCTCAAGGGCATCAGCCTTAGCGTCCATGAAGTGCAACTCTTCCCGTCGGATCTCGAGAGCTGTGTGAAGAGAAGACACTTCACCAGTAAGGCGCACCTTCTGGTTCGCAAGGTTCTCACGTTCCACTTGTAGTGCTGCGACAACCACTAAGAGTGAGTCCTTCTCTTCTTTGATCTCAAGCATGGCTTGTTCCTTTTCTTCCTTGAGCTCTGCCATGACCCGTTCCTTCTCTTCCTTCAACTCCTGCATAACCTGCTCTTTTTCAGCCTTCATAGCTTGAATGTCCGCATCGAGCCGCTCCTTCTGAGCAGCTTTCTCGGCCCTCAAGCTCTCGAGGTCTATCTCTAGCTGATCCTTCTGAGTTGACCTGCGTTCGATGAGTAGGGCAAGCTCATCCGCTTCCCGCTCCTTGGACTCATTACCGTCTGTGATGAGTTGGGTCTGCTTGGCAACAAACTCGCTCACTTCAGCAGCAGTGATCTTGACCTGAGCGTGAATCTCGTCCAGCCTTTCAAGGTGGTTCACTGCCTTGCCAGCCTCATCAGCATGACCAAGGAGCTTGTCAAGCTTCTCTTGAACCACAGCATCGTCATACGTATTTGTCGGTTCGATGGCAAGAAGCTTGTCAAGCTTCTCCTGAACTGGTGCATCGTCGTATTTTTCCTGGGGCTCGATAGTCGGTGCCGGAGCCGGTAGAAGCTTGGGTAGGTTTGCGAAGTGAGCATGTAATTCTTCGGATCGGCTTTGAGCCTCCTCGTTCCAGGTTCGGGTTTGCTCATCGTGTTCCTCTTTCGTTTTTTGGGCGTGGTCGTAGTGAGCCTTCACTAAAGCCTCGATCTCCCGCAGCGCTACCATGAATTTGGGATGGTACTCCGTGATGTTGTCCTGAAGATTGGTGAAAATGGTCTCAACGTTCTTAATCTCGTCGCGAGTATGGGAGTGCTCCGTTTTTTCATCTAGCTTCTGCTCCTCGAACTTCGCCATAGTCTCGTCGATCTTACCAAACACGGTGGTAGAGTCGGTCGACCACTTTGTAGTAGCTTCCTCGACCCGATCGTTCATCCCCGCAATGGATGCGCCAAGTGTATCAATAGTAAGGCGAAGTTCATCGGCCATGGTCTTGGTGCTCTCCAGAATCTTCTCCTGCTCCTCGCTCTTTTCCTTCATCACTCTAGCTTGCTCGTCAGCCAAAAGTTGAGCGTCGTCATACTTGGCCATTAGAACATTGAACTTGTCGTCAAGCTGCTCAGTGAAGCCGGCAATGATGGCCACTTTGACCTCGTCGTGCTTTTCGAGGTGGAGTGCTGACTTCTCAGAATGGTCATTCTGCAGGCCTTCGATGGATCCATGAGCGCGCTCAAATTCCCTAGAAACAGTCTCCATAAGTTCCTTCACGTCTGCAGTGACGTTGTTGGTACCGATGGTCTCTTCTAGTGTCTTGAAGGACTCCTGCAAGCTCTCTAGAGGGCTACCCTCGATGAGGGTCGATTTAATCTCTGCCCTCATCTCGTCCAAGGCTGTCTTGACTTCTGCGATGCTCTCCACAGCAGCCTCAGCCTCCAGCTTCCGGTCGTCAAAATTCCGGGCTGTCTTCATAATATCCTCCTCGTATGTGTCCCGTAGCTTGTCATGACTATCGCGGAAGTCGTGGATCAGTCCAGTAAGTTGCTCGACTTCGGCCTTCGATGGTAGCTCGTCAGGGTTAGGAATCCTCAAATCATCCAACTTTGCTTTGAGATCATCAACGAGCAGAGTTACAGCGTCTATATCCGCTTTGGTGGCTTTGGGATCATCTTCGTCATCGGGTTTTGCGGCTTTCATTTCGTCCAAGGCCAGCTTAATGTCATCGGCAATCACCTGGACCACGGTGACGTCAGCCTTTGTAGCTCCTTCGTCTTCAATCTTCTTCGCGAGAGCCTCTAATGCCTCCGACGTGGTTCGTACGACTAGCTCGACATCGTCTAGGTTCTCCTTTGTAACCATTGTCTCGGGGTCGGGAAGGATGATCTCCTCGATTTTAGCCTTGGTGTTTGCAAGAAGTGTCTCAATGGCATCAGTGTCCTCCTTCCTGGCGATGCCCTCTAGAGTCGGCGGTGGCATTTCGCGGTCCTGCAAGACCAGAACAGCAGCCTGGACGTCCTTGAGCAGCTCCTCGATAACGGCAAGATCTTCCTTCATCGCCGAACCAGCGGGAACAACGAGCTCTGGCGCTAGGTTCGGGCTCTGAATGTTGGCGTCCATGGCTTCCACTTTGTCTTGGATCTGAGTTAAGATGAGCTCCATTCTGGCAATGTCGTGCGGTTGCGAGGTTTCCTGAACAGGTTCCTCGGTGGTTTCTTCAACTACTTCACGAGAGGTTTCTTGTACGTGTTGTAAATCTTCGGCAAGGACGACTTCATTTCCAGTCGGAGGAGCATCTTCGTTAGCATTAGCACCCATGTCCTGAGTTCCGAACTTGAGCTGGGCAACGTCCTCGCGCAAGGCAGCCAAACCCTCCTTGAGCGTGTCCAGGATCTCGTAGGAAACTGTCATGTCTACCGGTTTGTCGGACAGTCGGGTGACATCTGCCCGCAACCCTTCGAGGCCATCGTTCATAGCGTCAATGATTTCGCCAGTGGCAGACATTTGGCGGTCAGGGCTATCCAGCTTTTTCTCCATGTGCGACCGTAGGTCATCGAGGCCAAGGCGGACAGCCTCCAGGACTTCTTCGGTATCGGCGCGTGAGTGTTGTCTAGTCAGACCATCTGAATGACGTAGATGCTCGAGTTCACCACGGAAAGCTTCCAGAAGTTCGTCGCTTACGCCGGCAGACTTCAAGCTCATCTTCACATCCTCCAGACCTGCTGCGACTGCCTCCAATAGCTTGGTCTTCTCGTCGCCTGAGGTTGGAACGAGGGCATTACCAAACGAGTCTTTTAGAGCCTCCAATTCGACCTGTATCAAAGCGACGTTTGCCTTCGAGGCGGAATCTTGCGAAGACCGTAATCCGTCAATCATTTCCCGCACCGCGTCAATCATGTCGTCCTGACCAGTTTCTCCACCGGACCGGACAAGGGATCCGCCCAGGGTTTCGCGCAGATGCTCAAATTCCTCCTTGATCGACAACAAGACCTCTTCACTGGACGAACTTGAGCTTCCCTTTTCGCCAACGAGGACATGGAGTCCGTCGAAACCAGCTTGAAGCACCTCAAAGACATCATTCTTGTTCGAAGCGGTGTCGCCCAAGAGGACCTCTTTGAGTTGGTCAAATTCGTGCTTCATGGCTTCATTGATCTCCTCGCTGGATTCAGGAGCGTCATCGCGGAGCGCAACTTGCGATTTCATTTCGTCGAATCCGGTGTTGATGGCGGCAAGGAGTTCCTCTTTATCCTGAGCGGTTGGCAGGAATTGTGACGTCAACTCCTCATGCAGATGTTCGAACTCAGACTTGATGTATGACACCATATCTCCTCGGTTCCACGCCTGATCTCCACGAGGTCCTTCTGCAACATACCCTTCGATATTCTCACGAAGCTTCTCAAGCTCGGCCCTAATATTATCCACAATCTCTTCGCTCTGTGGAAGATCTCGGTTCTGGGAAGTGGATGCTTGGATCTCAGCGCGGACATTATCAAGTCCATCTCGAAGGGCATCCAGAACTTGTTCGGTATCGCGGCCGTTTGCTGAGGAGTAGGCTTTGAACTCGGAATGCATGTCGTCGACCAATGCTTGGAGACGCTGCATAACTGCGCCATTCTGAGCTTCGATTTGAGGCCTGGATGATTCGAGGCCTGCTAAAACAGCATCATAAATGGCCTCTGGAGGAATATCTACCTCCAAGTTCGGTTGATGTTCAATGAGAGCCTCCTTGATGACGGAGACAAGCAGTTCTTTGGACATGCCGTCAGATGAAGCATGGTTAGATGCAAGAGATGGTTTTAGGTCCTCCAGGCATTCGCGAACAGTCATCAGGATCTCTTCACGTATCTCGTGAGCCTCGTTGATTGGTGGCGGGAGTCGCATTTGCTGCAGCGAATCGTGTATAATCTCCTCAATCTCCTCCTTGGTGACAGCACCGGAACCGTTGAAATCTTGGAGCCCTTCACGAAGGCATTGCAGAATCTCATCCCTTTCCAGACCAAACTGTTGGATCTCGACATTCGGCTTCATCTCGACGTTGTCATATGCCTCTCGCACCGCACTTATGATTGCTTCCTTGTCCAGAGATGCGCCTTGGGTAGAGTATTGGTCCAGTCCACGTTCTGCCAATGTTTGCTTGACTACGTCGTAAACTTCGGTGCTGTCGACAGTGTTACGCGTGACGATGGATGAGACGGATTGTCGTCTCCTGTCACGCATGACCTTATCCATGTGCTCCTTAAGGCTTGCTAGGCCCTCCTGGACAATGGCGTTGATTTCCTGGTTTGCCTGATCTGAGCCAGCGCCAGGTTCGATTGATCTTGACTGCTCTGCGGCTTCGACCTTACGAGCTAGTTCGCGTCCCATTCCAAGAACTTCGCCTCGTAGATCCTGGACCAGCGTTTTGGTGGCCATAGTAACGCATCCAGACTCGGCAACGCTGTCTTTGATCTTACGCAAGAACTTCAACATCTCATCGCTGACGAAGTCGGCAGCCTTTGGGCTAGCATAGGCCTTGTTGCTGTCGGCAGCATTGTTGACTGAAAATGCTTCCGACATCGTTCGTGTAAGGGCGCCCGCTCCTGGAGGGGTCTGGAAAGATGCTAATCCTGGTGCCACAGGAGATACGAAGGTGCTGCCGGTGGAGCCTTGCTTGACAAACTCGACCAATTCAGTCACCTTCTTAGCGGTGTCTCCGGTTGCCTTGTCCACGAGCTTCTGTAGACTAGCGATCAAGCGTTCCTGGCCATCCTTGGTTACCATCTCGCGAATAATCTTCTCCAGCATTGCCACACTCGCTGCGCCCTCGACAGAGTACGGGTTAGGGCTACCAACACGCTCGTCTGCCCAGCCACTGGGTGATGGCATCCGTGGGAAGGTGAACTGTTTGGTGGGAGTCATGTGAGGGTCTTGGAGGTTCAGGCTGCTGGAACGGGAGGCGTCGCCCTGTGCGGCAGCTGCAGCCGCAGCAGCCTGTTGCTTCTGAGACATTGTGATTAAGAGGTCCTTGAGCGACTTGCGGATATCCTCATCTCGTGTGTTGGTGGCCTCTTTCAAGCTAATGAGATCGGTAGCGTTGTCTTTGCTGCGGCGACTTAGTTGCGACATGTCCTTTTGCAAACTGGACACGATTGTGTTTATGCTGAGGAGTTGGGTTGAAATGGAGTCCAATGATTGCCCCGCGGGTGGGGGGGATCGTGCAGATGAGTTGTTGACATTTGATAGTGGTGGGTCAAGCATGTGTGGAGGGATCGTCATATTCTGCAGGGCCATCATGGTCGCAGACGGCGGGGTGTTCTCCCCAAGAATAGACCGATGGCTGGGCCGCAGCGCGGGAGTGTCCTTGAACTCGAGGCGAGTTGCTGGGGTCGGGGTAGTCATTCGTGTAGGGCTCGAGTCGGCCTCTCTACCGAAATAATCTCTATCCAGATCGCGCGCGGGAGTACCACCTCTCGTGCTAGGTCGTTCTGGGGAGCGCTCTGGAGATCGGTCTGGTGACCGTGTGTCGAGATAACTGCGAAGATCACGGACGCTGCCGGGTTGTAGCGACTGCATGCGCTTGTGCTGTGTGCCTTTGATCAGAGATCGCTCAGGTGACTTTTGTGGCATTGGATTAGTCGTGTAGGAGCTTGCCGGTAAGCTCTCTCGCGCCCTCTCTTCGAGGGCTTTGGCGGCCTGCATGATAGCTGCTGAGGTGTTTGGGCGAGTAGTGAGGTTAGGGGAGCCCGGATTCAATGGGAGTGGTGGAGGTGCCCTGTCAGGGTCAGAGCTGTCCCACCTGAGGTGCCGTGTTAGTCGCATCTTTGCGCATGTTTACGCGCAGAGGGACTTGAGGATAGGAAGACATACATGGGAATCATTCTCGAATCGAAAGAATGTGAGTGCCTGACGAGTTCCCGGTCCCGGGAGTCTTCCCTGTCTGTGGAAGGCATCTTGTGTGGTTTGGTTTAATGTGCAACCCAAAATGGTAGGCTTGGAATGAAGAGCAGATTCGAGCCGAAGACTAGGCGCGTCGTCTCCAAGTAGAGTGGACAGTAATAGCAGGGCGAGGTCGAGTGTTGCACAGCTTCAGTCAGCGAGCCAGCGCGCCGGGGTATATTATAGTTCGTGATATCGTGACTGTGATGGTGTGTTGAGATGAGAAGCCGGAGTGCAGGGTGGCGGCTGGGGGGCTGTTGATAGCTTAGCCCAGTGTTATTGTTTTGGGAAGGCACAGGCCACCAATGACATGACGATCGCGACTGCCAACTCAGCCGTCGCCCGGGCAGCCAAAGCGCGAGAGCGGATGCATCTACTTGGCGCCACTTGCGCCAATCGAGAGCCTGCGCGGCTCAATTACGAGATGGAAGGATGAGGCCGTGGCTGTTAGCAGCGCATTGCTTTTGCTATGCTCGCTCCTTATTCGTAACCTCGCGCGTTCAGGCCATGTAACCATGTAAATAAACATCGTTGGCCGCGGTGCATGCGCCAAGCCCAGGGCGGGGCGGATTAACTCCAACCACCGATCACCGATCACCGATCACCGCCGCCGCTTCTCTGGGTGAGAGAGCAGCTGGTAGTAGCCCTGTGTAGCTTTGGCCATCACCAAATATAAACCAAACTACGCCACCTCGCCGCCTATACCGTGTCTCATCCCGCTCCTCTACCTGCCTCCAAGAACGCTCTCTGAAAACATCCACACTCCATAACCCCAACATGGCCGTCGCCGACACGAGCACACGGATAGCGGAGGCGCAGAAGCTGGCCAAGTCAGATGCCTCCCAGGCCGAGAAGATATACAAAGATGTGCTCTCCACAGACCCGGGCTCCAACGAGACCGCCATCAAGAACTACGAGACCGCCTTGGTCGGACTGGGGGAGCTGTTCCGCGATCAGAAGCGAGTTGATGCCCTGGCGGAGCTGGTACGGCAGGCGCGTTCAGTGCTGTCCTCGTTCGCCAAAGCAAAGACAGCGAAGCTGGGTAAGCCCCCGCGCATGCTCTTCCATGCCTGAGCAAGACACTGACAATGCGCAGTCCGACAGCTCCTTGACCTCTTCACTGCCATCCCAAACACCACCGACACCCAAATCGAAGTCACAAAATCATGCATAGAGTGGGCTGTGTCCGAGCGGAGGGGCTTCCTACGGCAAAATTTGGAAACTCGGCTCGTCTCCCTGTACATGGCAAAGCAGTCCTACTACGAGGCCTTGGCCCTTATCAACAGTCTGCTCAAGGAGCTGAAGCGCCTGGACGACAAGCTGGTCCTAGTCGAGGTACAACTTCTAGAGTCGAGGGTTTACCATGCGTTAGGCAACATCCCGAAAGGCCGCGCCGCGCTCACCTCCGCACGAACATCAGCCGCGTCAGTCTACACCCCGCCATTGCTACAGGCAGGACTGGACATGCAGAGTGGCATGCTGCATGCAGAGGACGGTGACTTCAACACGTCCTTTTCGTACTTCATCGAGGCTATGGAGGGATACCACTCGCAGGATGAGGAGCAGAAGGCGACGTCAGCCCTCCAGTACATGCTGCTCTGCAAGATCATGCTCAACCTTGGGGACGATGTGTCATCACTCATGGCCTCGAAGCACGCCATCAAGTACGCCGGGAAGCGGTTAGACGCGATGAAGGCCGTAGCGCGAGCGCACACGAACCGCAGTCTGGAGGAGTACGAAACAGCCTTGACCGAGTACCGTCAGCAGCTTGGGAGCGACCGCTTCATCACAAGCCATCTCCGGCGCTTGTACGACAACATGTTAGAGCAGAATCTTATCAAGGTGATCGAGCCCTTTAGTAGGGTAGAGATTGACCATGTCGCGAAGATGGTCGGACTCGACATGGTACAGGTCGAGCGCAAGCTCTCGCAGATGATCCTAGACAAGGTTATCATCGGAGTTCTAGATCAGGGTGCCGGGTGCCTCATCGTCTACGACGAGTCCGAGCGTGACCAGGGCTATGATGCGGCGCTGGGGACCATTGAGAAGCTCAGCAACGTTGTTGATGTGTTGTACACCAACCAGGCGTCGCTACTGGAGTGAGCTAAACGGCTCTTAGCCAAGGCAGACGATGAAGCATTGAAGACGTAGCACTTCCGATGGCTTTCCTGAGGCTTTGTACCATAGTAGCATAGACAGTCTGACACAGCGCAGCCGGCATAGTAATGATACATGATCCAAGTGACAACCAAGACGACGAATTTAAACCACAGCGTGCGATACAACTCCCTCGCTTTTCATAGCGCCCTTTGGGATGCTAATGTCAGTTGATAGGTGACGTGCATGCCCCGGATCTTTCCATTCGCCTACCAAGGATCGGAGGGCGTACCAACTACTATACCCTCAACTTTCCCATCGTTAGCTCAACGCAACTTATTTTCTTATTTCCCTGGTCTGAGATGAATTGGCCGACGTTGCGTGGCTCATCCATGCCTCCTTCCTCATTGTCTCAACGCGGCAAGCACCTCACACCGATCATTTTCGCCCCGCATGCCCCAAGCCTTCTCTCCTCGTATGACATGCACTCCATTCTTCCCTCAAGCTTTCAGGCCCATGCGATATTATACCGATGCCTGCCTTTTAGGCCCAACATGCAAGCCAAGAATTCACTTCCACGAGAGCGCTGTCAGCATGTTCAGCGTCCTTTGTTGTTCAGCGGAGCTACAACCGCGGACACCAGCCAATTCCAGAGTCAACTGCAGCTAAGATATTTCGGCCCCCGAACAACGAACAACATGCCATCTGTGCGTTTCTTGGTTTTCCGCTAGAAATTGGGCTTCGGGTTTCGCTGTCTCCTACTCGATGCGAGAGTTGAAGGCGTTGAGCACCCTTCTTCAGCAAAACTACCCGCTGAATGTTGTTCGTCAATAAGCTATATCTCGCATAACTTGCTAGAGGGCATGGGGCAGCCTTGACGCGGCAAAAGAATCGGCTCAAGACTAGGTTCGGATCGTTACCACTAGGAATGTCGAGGGTCATGCACTAAACTTGAGGCTCACATTCTAAAAGTATACTAACTAGGGCTAGTATCTCTAGACGCTACAAACAGTCGGAGCCGAATTCGCCAAATAGGTTCAATTCGGGATATACTATGCAGGCCTGCCAGTAGGCCGTTCGTTCTGGAGGGATGAAACGATCGCGGGACCGTACTGCTGGTCTGCCACGCATGCTGACATGATGCCTGTACTCCATGTGCCCTTTGAGTAGGAAAGTACACACCCTGGACGATCTCAGCATTTTATAGCATCATCACGTTACGAAAACCTGTCCGATCACTGGGCGCTTTCATATAGTGATCAAAATGACCTTCTTCCTAACAGATACTTACTACCTCGATATGGCCTCGCTGAAACTTTTAACCTCATCGGTCTCTTCCTGCTCCGTACGGTCGGTTGCTCCTTTTCGCTAGAAAAAGCACAGTGAGCAGGATCATCGGTGCTAACGTCGGTAGATAGGCACCCATTCAACCTGACACACCCACTTATACCTGTTGGTTTCCGCGTAAATCCTCTCATATCATTGGCTGTCTTTCCAGTTGACAAGTTAGGACCAAGTATGACAGCGGGATGGCTGGGCCCTGCTTCAAAAACCTAAGCTTGGGCTTGTGCTCACGCCTAGAAAACAAGCTGCTGACTGACTTTCCTCTCAAGGCTGCCAGGCTGTCAATGCTCTTAGTCTGAAAAGCACATCATCACGTTCTAATTCACGGCATTGAAAACGCGACCCTCACATTGACAATCGACCCTTATCGAAACAAGTCTCCTTGTTGCCACCGAATCGCGTCTCTTTCGGACTGCGTTTGGCCTTTGCTGCGGCAATTCAAAGATGCCCAGACGGCGTATTCTGCTAACAGGTGCTGATAGCCTCGCGGGATCGCACATCTTGAACCTTCTGCTCTCCGACAACAACTCATCTGTTCGGGCAGTTGTGGGATCGCCAGAAAGAGCCTACGCAATTCAGCATCAGCATCGCCAAGGCACATTGGACCTCACAGTAGTCCCTGAGGAGGAGTCAACTGTACCAGGGGCTTTCGATAATGCGCTGAGTGACTATGGCGACCCTTTTCACACCGTAATCCATACCGTTACGGCCAATCCATCGGAGGAAGCGGACTGCCTGGCAAGATTCATCAATCTCGAAACTACAACTGTGATCGGCTTCCTGAAATCGCTGCAGGAGGTTGCGAGGGAGGTAAAACGAGTGGTCATTGTAACTTCACTCACACCCTACGCGCGGTGGCTGATTGATCCGCAAATCGAGCGAAGCTCTCGGGGAGCTGCTAACGCAATCCATGGCTCTACCGTCGTTGATCCCGAATACATTCTGGCGACAAGTCAAGCGAGTGACAACATCATCCACGACGCAGTGTTGAGGTGGATGAGGGAGTCCAACGCTCCGTTCGATAACGTCTGGATTACTGCACCGAGCGTATACGGCCCGACGGTGGGCCTTCTAGAGACCTCATCAGATCTGATCGAGGCAAATCGGCGTATATGGAACATTTGTAGCAACGAACATCGGGAAGCGATGGAATCGCCGCCTTACGGCATCGCTCAATTCTTAGATGTCCGAGTAAGTCCGCGTCAGACAGTCCATCTGGTGAACACTTCATTCTAATACCTCGCCTAGGACCTTGCTCTTGCCAGTGTTCGTGCAGCATATATGACCCATGCTAGCAACAAACGTTTCCTTATTTCAGCGGGAATCATGCCCTCGGGGTCTGAAATCGCAAGCTTTCTCGTCGCTTGCTTTCCCGGGTTCCAGGGCCGCGTGCAAACGAATGGAACACCAGCGTATCGTTCCTTTGTAGAGGACCCGTCTGTTCCTTTCGCTGATATACATCTCACTGCCACTATACTGGGTCTTTCGCAATACCATTCCGCCGAGCAGACCCTCGCGGACACTGCGCGGCAGATATTAGACCTTCAACAACGGAAAGACTGGAGGAGGATCATACAGAGCTAGGATCAAATTGATCAAAACCGCCAGAAGAGGTAAATATTAAGGAGGCAAAACTATGTCCATTAGCCAATTTCTTGTGACAACTCTCTCGACTTGTTATTCATTTGGCTAACGGTACTGTTCTTACTAGACCATGGCAGAGCAACACGCATCCATTACCTGCCTCTCAGACACCGAGTCCGCATACGCGCTTTCGTTCGTCACCATGCGTCGAACATTCAACATGCGCGATCATCATTTAGCTCGACTAGGAGTTATATTCGACAAAATTGTGTGTCGCAGTCCCCGGGCGGGAGAGGATCTAGCATGAAGATATATCTGTTCATGCAGCAAGGACCTATATTCGAAGACATTGTCTCGGAAGTTGTACTCGGCTCTCGGAGAGATGAACCGTCCAAGAAGTCGCACAGTCCGCGGATGACAACTTCACCACCACATCTCATCATCTAGGAACTATAGACATCAGCGGTGCTGATTGGCAAGCTCGTTATTGCACCAAAATTTAGATTAATTGTACTACTGCTATTACTAGACACATCTTCAACCATTTCTCGATACCTGGATTGAGAAATCTCCTCCAAGTCTATATCGCTTTACACTCGAAGATTAACTTTTACTGTCTCAGCCCGCTGCGACTATTCAGGTACACGATTGTCGAGCCAGTTCTTGTTCCAAAATTCCTCGAAACAAGTCAGCATTTTGCCACGTCTAGAGAAAGCTTCGATACATACAACTGGCACCTCTCAGATGGCGTTGCGGACTTCGCCAACGCCTGCGCTCTGCTTACGGCCTTCGCATACAATCCCCATGCAGCACAGCCCAACATATCCATGCGTTACAATCCCTCCCTATCGTAATAGGCCAGTTTATCCTTGACGGATTAGGAGCCGTGTTACTAAGTCTGAGTGATTCCTTCAAGCACATATGAAACCACTGCCGTGCTGACATCGTATGTCTACTTTGTGGTTCCTCGTTTGCGATAGACTTCTAACCAAGTGCAGCGCCACGCGACAACTCTGTCAGACTGCAGGGAGGACATGGTCTGGTCTGTGGAATATTCCGTGGCCACGGCAATGCTTCCATGCAAACGCAGGAGCTATTTCTAACATCATTCCCATGCGCAGGGCTTACATTATCGAAGTTCCGAATCGGAAGAGGGAAACAGCACATCGATACCTCCACCTATTCTACTTCTATCCATTATTGCATACGCTTCTTTAGATATAGACCTCGTTGACGCTAACGGCCTCGTTCGTATTGGACCAAATCAGGTATAGCAGCATAGTCTAATGCCAACAACTGCATATTGCACAAGGGCCGCAGCATAGATGATAGCCCGCCGATCGCCTCGTCGAGGCTGGAAGTCATCCACCAACTTAGGATTATGTGTCATCAAGCTGCCAGTCTGACTGTGCAAGGGGGTGGCCGCATGGCAGATACTCGTCCAACCAATCAACCAAGATCGTGATCTCGCGCTAGCGTTGGCAGGTGCGTGTAATCCAACTCGCGTGGGCGCCACGCCCTTTACCACATGTCAGCCAGTCTTCCATACAGATGCTGACCACTGTTCAGCCGAACTCGTCAGTTTGCGGTGATATATTATTCGGTCCATGGGTTATGGCGACGTTTGCGTTCCGCTGTGGCGCGTTTAGGGGCCAACAGCGAAGCACGCGCATTTCCGTGGCAGCTCGATCTTGCAAGTGCCGTTTCGCGATGCGAACACCTCGAAAATTGAAAGAGTGGAGGTTACTGTCTCTGCACGAAGTGGACCATGTGCACTGTCAAACTCGGAGTTTCAGTGAATAGACTAGACTGTCGAAGCTACTGGCGAAGGTTGCCAGCTCCAACACCCAAACATGTCCAAACGAGTCGATAGCTCAATATTTCTAACCGCAAGATACATAGATGCATTAAATTGTGGAGTTCATGACAGTGTGGACATGGTCAGACGATATCATCATCTCGACACCATACTTCTTCGCAGCCCAGCAGTTCTATCATGGGAGGTTGTCAATTTTGAAGGAAACAACGTCCGGGCAAATCAATCCCGCACGTTTTTGAAGACTTCGAAGATCAGACACACTAAATTTCATAGTACAACACGTTCCTTCTTCTTTCGGAAACTCCTGTCACTTCACGATATTGCGAGCGAGTCACAGGTGAAACTTGCAAGCATCAGTCAACCATGGAAGGCAATACTGTTTACGTGCGAACAAAACGAGGGCAAAAACACCAGGTTTGAATCACTGTTGCTGATGCGACAGTATCTATAGTCACTGACAGTCGTCTTTCTGACGCCGTAAATATTCGCGCATCGCTTTGAACATGACTGAGGATAAGAAAGATGCTACTACAGTGGTGTTGGCAGGAGTACCACAGTACATTCTGGATCACGGTATGTGTGAAAGAATCACTGCCAATCTAACAAGTGCTCAAGTTTGGCACTCACCAATACTCCTTCTCATTGGCATCTTTCGTTTGCTCTTTTCCATCAAACCACTGACTATCTATCAAAGCACCACTTCTCCACCTCTTCTCTCGCGATCCGTACCAGCCGTCCTCTATAGCTGCACAGCTCATCAACACCCACCCAGAAGTCGACTTCAAGCCCGTCTCAATACCATCTCCACCCCTTTCTCTTGACAACCTCGATCAGCTAAATTCCATCGGGGCAAACGGCGGCAGTGATGTCTACCTGACCAGCAACGACGACATCACGACTGATCCGAAGTGGTTGAAAGGAGTCGAGACAGATGCCAACGGAGGAACCGGTGAGGAGAAGACAGGTGTGATCGTTGTAGTAGATAAAGGAGATGGAATAGTGGATGCATTTTACTTCTACTTCTTCGCGTTTAACTGGGGTGGCGTTGTGTTGGAGAAACAGCTCGGTGCGTTATTATCCCTTTCTCACCCGTGGGAAATGACGAACCCGCTAGTTAGCTAACAGAGACGTGTAGGCGACCACGTTGGAGACTGGGAACATAACATGATTCGCTTCAAGAACGGGGTGCCTAAAGCTGTATGGTTATCACAGCATTCCAACGGCGAAGCATACACTTTCTCTTGCTTGAAGAAAGATAGCTCTGGGAAACGGGTACGCTACACACCCCCCTCGTCTCTTCTACCATTTTCTCTTTCTATTATACACACTAACGCTTTTACCCTCTACGAATGATAGCCTATCCTCTACATAGCAAACGGCTCTCACGCAATCTACCCCACGCCCGGAACTCACGACCACACACTTCCAAACCTTAACCTCCCTGTGCCTTTTCTCCTCGTGGACGAAACAGACGACGGGCCGCTGTACGATCCGACCTTGACTTCCTACGCGTACTCGTACACCACCCCTTCATCTACTCCTTCTTCTACCTCAAACTCCCTCCCTCCCGCAGGAACGTTCACAGCCTACGCCTCATCTGCATCTACGCCGGTGCCCGTATCCTTCCTCTCCTTCCGCGGCCGATGGGGCGACGCAGAGTATCCTGCTTCCGACCCCCGGCAGAAAGGCAAGGGGCTTTTTGGGTTCAAGAAATACGTTGGTGGGCCGACGGGCGTGTTGGATAAGCAGCTGGGGAGGAAGGAGGTTTGGCCGGAGAATGACTTTAGTAAAGGGCAGAGAATAAGGACGGGGTTGGGGGTAGGTGGGTGGACGGCCAAGTTGGGGTTTTTGAGATACTTTGGGAAGGGGGCGTTGAAGAAGAGGAAGGGGGAGAAGAGGGTTAGGGTTAGTGGGGAGGTAGTAGGGTAGATGGCGTTGGGAGGGCTACAGGATTTAATCCAAACGGAGAGAGGAACTCAGATGTAAACTTGGAGAAATGCAGTATAATGGTCGGTTCTTCGGGCTCGAATTCGGTGGTCTTGTGGACGTCGTGTGTAGCTTTCTTTAATTGCCGACATAATGTGTTCTGATACAATCTATCTCCAGTATCTCAGTGGCCGCACGAACTTGTCGTCCTCAAATACTGCGCGCACATCGTCAACTTTGCTCTTGTCACTCGTCCCTAAAGCTACACCGAGCGAGAGGTCGACCAATCCCCCTGTCGGTGGGGAAAACTGTCGTAACCGCACCCCGCTCTCAGCGAAAATTTCCGCCGTCTTGGTATCGACCATATAGCCTTGGTTGTAGACGACTTCGCTTATGCCAACTTGAGCGATTTTGACACTGCAGGTCAGGCATGGGCAGGTGTTGCAGTACAGGGTGGCATTCTCGCCGATGCGATCGCGGCCCGCTTCGAGGAGGGCGTTTTCTTCGGCGTGGAGACAAAGACAGGTAGAGAGGCCGGCGCCGCCTTTTGCAGCATTGTTGCAGCGAGGGCCTAATTTGGTAAGCGGAGTCAATAGAAGGGGTGAAGGGATCACATACATCCACCTTCGTTGCAATTGGTCATGCCTCGCGGTGTACCGTTGTAGCCTGTGCTGATTACACGCTTTCCGCGGACTATGCAACAGCCAACCCTCCTCTTCATGCAATTGCTCCTGTGCGCTGCCAAATCTGCCAACTGCATAAAGTATTGGTCCCAACTCGGGCGCAGGCGCGCTTCGTTGGTGAGGTCTAGTGAGCGTATGGCATCGCGTAACGAGGCGATGGATGTGGATGAGTTCAACAACTTCAGCTGTGCGCGTTGGAACAAGGCGCTAAGGCCAGTGCCGGGTGCGAACAAGTGTGCGTCGTTGCGCAGAACGAAGTCCTCGAGCGTAGGCGGAGTGAGTTGGTTCGCAGCACAGCGGTCTTTAAATCGCTGCCATCGTACGCTCACGGGCGCGTCTACGCTAACGAGAAGGAAGAATGGCCGTCTCAGCAGTGCATCGACTACTTTGTCATCCCATATGTCTGTTGTGACCCATCGCTCTCTCCATCTCAGTGTGACAAAGTCGAGTAAAGCATCAACATCAGGAAACGTGTGTTGCGACTCGGTGGGGCCCGGCTCAGCAGAAGGGACATGTGCGTCGGACGCTGATTTCTCTACTGCCGGTGTCGCAACAGCTCGTGCTAAACGTATCCGTGTGAAGTTGTGCTCCTCAACGAGATAGGAGGCTATCGAGGACTTGCCGGCGCATATTCCTGGGTGGCGTCAGCAGGTGTTGGGGGTTGTTGGCGACGTTCTTGCCTCCGCACACGCCGATAAGCATGACGACCAAGTAGCTTTGGTGAGAGTGTGTGACTTGACGAAAGACGCTGAATACATGAATACATACAGAGAGCGGGAGCTGGTGTTGCTAGCGCCTTGTGCCGCTGCAGGAACGCGGAACGGAAGGTGGAACTCGTGCCCCACCTGATGGCATGGGATGACATAGGCGGGGTGTGAGACGAGAGCTGCCTTCAGCACAAGACATTCACTATGCTGCGTGCCTGACCAACACTCTCACGTGCACAACTCTCCAGACCAGCGCCTGTGACTCCCGTATTTACCGCTCTCAGCCTCCATGCTAGTACTTTGCTAGGCACCGGCGAACCTCAGTAGTAGCACCATCCCCATCATCATCTCGGGTACCCCGCCCTCACCCTCAGCATCACAATGGCCATGCTCAGGTTCGCGCCGTGGCAAAGCGACGTCGACGTACAGTTCTATGCAGCGCTTGCACATATCAAAATCAACCATGACAAGCTCGACGACTCGGCGCGTAAGGTACTCGGACTGTACGAGGTGCGAGCAGGAGACCACTCTTCGCGCTCCATGCGCATTCAGATCCATCCCAACGCGCTGACATCGGACGAGTATGTAGACTTCTAGCGCCTGAAGTAGACCGAAGTCGCTAACAAGACACATTTGCAGCGCTCCACCAACGTACTGCCGCGCTGAAGGTATCATCAAGAACTGCAACACCATAGAAGACTACAAGAATCTCGATCGCACAGCTATACTCGAAAGATGCGCGCAAACAGTACGTTCTGCTAATGGAACACTAAGACGCACTCTTTGACACACCCTAGATATGGGAAGCGATACACGACGGCTCCATCTACGAATGCCCCTCCCTCCTCTCCTCCTTCACGGCCATCATCTTCGCCAATCTCAAAAAGTACAAGTTCACCTACCACTTCGGCTTCCCCGCGATACAGTCAGACCCACAGTGGAAACAAGTAGGACAGGCAAGCAGGCTGCAGGCGAGAGAGACCACATACCTCGTAGACGCGGTACAGACATGGAGATACAGCTCAGACGTCCGTCAAAGAGGCTTCTTCCTGGCAAAACGCGTGCGCGGAGGAGGCGACCCCGACGAACGACCGAAGACACCCGTTACACCTTTGGAAGAGTTTGGATATACGTGGGCCATCGCTAAGCTCGCAGCGTACGAGAAGGGCTTCTTCAGTGATGTGGACAAAGATGATCGCTTCATTTGTTTCGCGGATCCTTCAACATACGACGAGAACCCTGGGTGGCCACTAAGGAATCTGCTCATACTCATACGGCATCGATGGCACCTGAACGAAGCCCAGATCCTGTCCTATCGTGATACCCACTTGCGACGGGACCAACCGAATTCCCTAATCCTGCAGCTACGATCAGACCCCACCCCAGATGCGGCATCCACATCTTCAGATGAGCCTGACACCCGTCCCCGGACTCCAAAACTACCCAAGGTGACGGGCTGGGAACGAACAGAGGCCGGAAAACTAACCTCCCGAAATGTCGACCTTTCTGAGTACATGGACGAGCGCAAACTAGCCGATCAGGCAGTGGACCTCAACCTCAAGCTCATCAAGTGGCGCATCGCACCCACTATCGACCTAGACGTAATCAAGAACTGTAAATGCCTACTGCTTGGCGCGGGTACATTGGGTACCTACGTATCGCGAACATTGATGGGCTGGGGCGTGCGCAAGATCACATTTATCGACAATGCTACAGTCAGTTTTTCGAATCCCGTGCGGCAGCCTTTGTTCGATTTCAAAGACTGTCTCCAAGGTGGCGCGAAGAAGGCTGAAAGGGCTGCCGAAGCGTTGGAAGAGATTTACCCAGGTGTGGACGCGACGGGTCATGTAATGGAGGTCCCTATGCTTGGCCACCCGATGACGGATAGTGCGAAGACGAAGGCAGATTTCGATAAGTTGAAGAAGCTAGTCAACGAACATGACGCTATTTTCCTGCTCATGGACACAAGGGAGAGCAGATGGTTGCCGACAGTCATGGGCAAGGCTGCAGGAAAGATTGTTCTCAACGCTGCTCTAGGGTTCGACACCTATGTTATCATGCGGCATGGCTTGAAAACCACGCGAGCTGATGAAGTGGAATTGGGGTGTTACTTTTGCAACGATGTTGTAGCACCCGCAGATGTAAGTCGTACTCTATACCCACGTACGAACGGTACACCTACGAACGGTAGCTAACAACAATGCACAGTCCCTTAGTAACGCAACCCTCGATCAACAGTGCACAGTAACCCGCCCCGGAGTCGCACCTCTCGCCTCCAGCTTACTCGTCGAGCTGCTCGTTAGCATACTTCAACACCCGTCAAAATCCCGCGCACCACCTCCCTCACACCAACAACAACAAAGAGACCCACCATCTCCTTCCCACCCATCCTTACCAGCACCCTTCCAGCACCCCCTCGGTATAATCCCCCACACAATCCGCGGCTACCTTTCCACCTTCTCCAATCTCCAAGTCGAAGGCACACCCTACGACTGCTGCTCAGCGTGTAGCGACAAAGTGATTGCATGCTACGAGGCGGATCCGTGGGATTTCGTGCAAAGGGCGCTTAACGAGAGGGGGTGGGTCGAGGAGATGAGCGGGTTGAAGGAGGTGCAGCGGAGAGCGGATGAGGCGGCTGCTGATGTCGACTGGGACGAAGAGGATGAAGGGGGTTTGGATGAGGAGGGGGAGATGCTGTAGAACACATCGTTGCTGAAGAGGTTTTGGTATCCTTTCCATTGATATTGGGTTTGGTTTCCAGCGTTTTCGTCTAGGTTCTTTACCGTCATTTTTAGTGCAAGACTATTGTGCTTTGCGGTTTGGTATTTTTCTTCTTTCTTTGTCCACTTTGAATTTCTCCCATGTTGATGCAAGATCTTCAACAATCTTCAGCTTCTCCTATTGCCGCATTCAGAGGAGAGAAAGCTCTAGAACATACTAGGATAAAAATACCTTCAACCTTGCTTCTATTTTTCTTTTTGCGGTCGGCGGCCGTTGCTCGCTCCTGCTGTTTGCGAAATACATGACGTATCGTTTTGTCGTTGGCCGCGAACCTCGAACTCAATCACCAGTCTTATATTCCCCCATCGTCTATTTTTCCTTGAATTCTAGCTAGCTAAACGTTGAGAGACGTCTAAAAAATCGTTGTTTGTTGCAGTCGCGCAGCTACGTTCAGTCGCAGCTTTCTCTCGCGAACAAAGAATCAAGATCTATATGATAATATCAAGCCAATGTTGTCTTTTGAATTTGAAAACCAGTGCAGTTTAATGAATGTTGCCTAGAGATTCTGCATCATCGATTTATCATTCCGTAGAGATGATCCGAAGATCATGTTCAGCCGCAGCTGAGTCAAGGAGTCTGCATGTAGGTTTTCTAGTTGGGCAAATGATCTTGCTTTCTTTCCCCGGTGAGTTGTAAGCCCCCATTATCGCTGTATGGCCGGCTAATCTGCTCTTTACCAATGGTTTGCTGGGAAGGACGGTGGGCTTTTCTCAAACTTTGACCGAGCTTACTGATCCGCGACGACGTACCTTAGCGCAGACTTGCAGCAAAATCAAGGCCGTATCACAGATCTAGACAACGCCGTGTGCGCCTGTCAGCCGCATTTTTAGTTGTGTCACTGCAAGTATGGCTTGTATCTCACATTCCGCACATACAAACTCATCATGCTTCTACACCCTCGCCCGAGACGACCCATTTCCACGACAAACAAATACTCGCGAATCTATGCTGCACTTGAAACCCCCCAGACATGCCAATTGCATCACACAAATCGATTCCAGAGGCTCACAAAGCAGTGTCCACGATTGAAGCGGACGCGAACTCGTTGTCGGAAATTCCACTTCTGGATAGAGTGGTTCCTCTAGATCGAACGCAGCGTACGGTAGAAGTGAACGAGAAAATTAGAGTCGGGTCACTATCAAGAAATACATATTCCTCGTGGTACTTCGTCGGTCATGGGGCTGTCGACGCGGTCTTGACTCTTGGTCCGGTCTTCTTCTTCAGTAAGTTCGAACATGTCATGCAAGTCTCATTGAGTGACTCAAACTGACTCTTTTCAAAGTAATTGCCGGCCTGTGCATTGGGCTCAATGGCAAACCAATCTCGTCGTATGGCAGTGACGTAAAGTCAATCACATTGCTTTCGCCCACCATCTTTCCCATTATCTATGCCGCCATTCTCGGCAAACTACTTCGGCGATTGGGGCTTTACAAGGCGGAGCGTGGCACTACAATCGGAGTAAGCGCTTCATCAAGTCAAGATAATGGTCTCATCAGGCTGACTTTTACCAGGTTTTGGAGCGACTCATAGGCTGCCAGTCCATATTCTCGACCTTGGAGAGGCAAGTCGGTCTCCGGCGTGTCGACTTTCTAGGTTGCTCCGTTCTACTAGCTTGGCTGCTTTCACCACTAGGCGGTCAAGCCTCGCTGCGGCTCTTAACGACTGAACCACAAGTGAATACCTTCAACTCGACAATACTCTACTACTCCATTGAAAAATACGCCAACGCAACGGCACTCTTTCGCAAGCCAGGCAATGGATCAGCTTCGCCCTTCTTTGCTCCTCTCTTCATGACTGCTATACAGACTTCGCGACACCGACTAGGGAATCCTATGGACTTATTTGGCAAGGTTAAAATTCCAGATATCAATGCCCTGAACACGTATTCCACCGAGGTAGCAGACTATGATTGGCATCAAGTCATAAATGACACGGACGTCCGCTACACATCCGTCTTCGGTATTCCCATTGCTGGAGTGCCTGAGACGGGCAACGCATCCTTCAATCTTGTAACGCACTACTGGAATATCAATTGTACCTCCAATAACAGAGGTGCCCTTTCCAGCCCATGGCAATGGGAATTTCCAAATACAACCACCCTAGGAGACGCCATCAAACCTCGAAGCCCCTCATTTGACTTGATCGTCAACGAAAAAAACAGTACTAAGGCTGAGGTCTTCTTTGTATACCAATCAAGAAGAGATTCAAACCTCACTACACGCAGTGTGGTCTCCATCCCATGCATTGCCGCACCCGTCGTTGTCGAATCGAAAGTCTCTTGCTACGACAAGTCCTGCAGCGTCCGAGCAATACGCAATGTTGACCGAGGGGGCAGCGACCTTTGGCATGGCATCACGCCACTCTCCATCTTCAAAGCAATAGCCGACCAGATGCCCGGCGTAGATGTCAGCACCACGCAGGAAATCGAGTTTGGGAACGAGCTAATTGAGCGGTGGATACTGGATCCCAACCTAGACCCCGAAGCCTTCGCCGACTGGATCGACCTGTCGCTCCTCGACATATCCTATTTCAATAGGAATCTGCAGATAGCAATCAACACGTTCTGGGACTTCACAATCGGCAATGTGGTGCGCATGGATGGCCTCACGAAAGAGAGCGCTATCGTCTCGGAACGCACGTGGAATACAACAACTATGCTTGTGGCCGAGTACAAAGGCTTGCGTTACGTCTGCCACATCAAACTTGCGGTGTTGACCATGGCTATCTGTCTTGTTCTCTTAATGGCAGCGAATCTCTCGATGATTTTGGGCATTGTAACGCGCACACCGGATATCCTGGGCTTTGTTTCGGTTTCTGCGCGCGATAATCCGTACTTCAAAGGACGTGTTTCGTCTCATCTCAGCGGCTTGGAGACTGCCCGTGCTTTGCGAGATGTTCGTGTGAGAGTTGGAGACGTGCAGAGCGAAGCAGATGTTGGACATGTTGCGTTGGCAACGATGGATGCCAATCCAGGGCGTTTGTCGTGGACACGGCTGTATGATTGAACAATATATATATGCAATAGATTTTGGGTCCTGGGAATTGTTTTGTGGTTTGACCTGCCACTAACCAGGCCTTTTGAGAATTTAGCCCAAGTCATCAATCCAATTTAGTTCACTTTTAATCACTGTAAAGGAAAATCGTGTGATACTCAATTCTCACCCGACATACTAGTAGCCTTCCTAACACTGCTACTAGAAAAACCCGTGCTGAACTTTCCCACACCCTACCAGCTTCCTAACGCTCAACAATCCTAACAGACAGCTGCTCTGGCCGCCTTACATGCAACAGCAACGGCTCCGCACACGAATCCCGCAAAACACTCAACACCCTCTGCCTTGCTTTCTCCTCCCTCTTTCCCTCTTGCTCGCGTTCATCTACAACAGTCTCCACCCTCACTCTCCTCAAAACCGAAGCCAACACAGCAGTAAACTCAACCTGACTAAATTTCATACCAGGACAAATCCTCGGTCCAGAGCCCCAGGCATAGAATCCAGATTCAGAAGTAGGATGCATGAGTTTCTCGGCAGCTAGGGAGGAGGCAGTCGGGGATGTATGTATCCAGCGCTTTGGGTTCCAGAGTTTGGGGTTGGAGAAGTGAGCTGCGGATGTGTGGGATGCCCAGGAGTTCAGCATCAGTTGTGTGTTTGGCGGGAGGGTGATTGTGGCAGGTGAATTGGCTGAGGAGGAAGTAGAGTTGTGGCTGGAGATGGGTATGTCGAGATTAGGCGTCGCTGGTGCCCGAGGGAGGGGTGGACTTGGGCCGTAGAGGCGGAGGGTTTCATACTACATGTGTGATTAGCTTATAGACTTACCTCGGTTTATTTAAGAATAGAAGAGTGGAATCACCATGACTGCCATTACCCGCTTTAGCATCGGGAAGACTCTAGAGTATTCCAATTCTGTTGCATTGCTCAGCACTTCATCCAACTCCTCGACAACCCAGCTTTGCACTTCAGGATTCACTGCTAGTAATGCCAGAGCATATGAGAGCGTAATAGCGGTCGATTCTAGGCCTCCGACTGTGAAGATGAAGATGTTGCCTCTTAGTTCTATATCGGATAAACGGGTTTTTGTCTGAGTCCCATTACTCTTCGCTTCATCACTTGCCCTGATCAAGGTACTAATCAAGTTCAGATGACTCCTTGTCTCCTCGCTCGCCGCTGTTTTCTCGCGCTCTCTCGCAACAATCTCATCCATGTACTGGCTAAATTCGCTCATAGCTAGCAGAAGCTTCTTGACACTGGCAGGAAGTAGAAGCTGCAGGCCGGATGATTTTAGCCATGGCATGATGCCCTCTAGCGCTGGCGAGATGGATGTGCTCATCACAGTCACCAGCGAATCTCTTAACGACAAGGCATGTCCCGAGGTCGGCTTGTTGACTTGATGATTCTCAAATGCGACGGAGGAGATGACATTCAAGGCCAGTGTACTTGTATCTTTTATCATGCTGGTGGTCTCTGTGTTGGACGATGAGAGCCATTTGGCAAGCAGGACTTCTGATTGCTGGAGTGCCTCACCCCAGACGATGGTCGAAGCACGCTCACTGAAGCAAGGCGCGGTGAGTTTGCGGTGGCGGGTCCAGTCATCGCCATTAGACTAAATGATATCAGCGGTATCCAGATATCCACAATTTCCCAGATGGAATACTCACCGTATCTACATTCTGTCCAAACGTACCCAGAATCTCTATTCTCGTGGATTAGCTCACGACATCTCAATATTCCCTGATACTACCCACCATTCACGTTATCGGGCTTCACAAAGTCCCTCCACTTCCGCAACACATGCTCGATTGTCTTGGGATCGCTTGTGCACAGAACATTATGGCCCGGGGAAACAACGATGAAGCAACTTCCCAACTCTCGATGCAGCTTATCGTCATCGTGCCAGGCACAGGTCCAATCGATAGCCCTAAACCAGCGAAATCGTCGCAGGACGGGTCCAAGTAGTGTGGTAGCCAGTTGCCATTGTGGGGTGTACGGCGTGAGCGGGCAGATTATGAGGCGTAGGCCGGTCTTGCGGGCAGAGTGGTAGAGGCGGTAGAGGCGGTAGAAATAGTATGTCACGAGATGGGCAAGGTAGAGGTTGACAAGAAGAAGCAAAGCCATAGTCAGCCCGCATCAGCTGAGCCCAAACGACCTCGTAAGACGATTATGCGTGTATGAGCAGTTCAAGCATAAAAGCGGCGATATATTCAAGTTAAAGGAGCCGAAGATGATGCAACTAGTAGAAGCTGTGTACAGCGGTGCAAAACGATGCGTGTAGAAAGCTGAAGGTGCAGCTGGTGGCGGGGCTGCATGCTGATTATGGGAGCAGCGTCTTGAAAGCTCCAAACCAAACGACTTCTGCGACCACAGGAAACACTTCACGCATAATGATATCAGTATTTTCGAAAAAGAGACAACATACACTACAGGGACATTACCATAATCTACAAACTGTAGAACGATACGTGCGATGCAGTGTAATAGGCAGTCCGTTTACATCGTCCTAAGAAACACCAAAAAAAGGCAAAGCAAATAGTCAAAAAACTAATATCTCACCCTATACTCACCACAAACAAACTAACACTTCTCTATTCCATCCATCTAATAATTTCCCTCATTCCATCCACGTGACCCATCCACATCCTACTACCATTCATTCAAACTCCATCCTACCTTACCCCAAAAAACCCCTAACCTCACCCTCGTACCAACCCCAGACCTGAAACCAAAAGCACCATTCCAAGCCTCATCACGCAACGCAGCGGCAGGCAGGCATGCACGCCTCTCCCCCACCCCCTCCAATGCAAGGCAAAAAAAGCATAAACGCACAGATGGTGTGCGTGTGCGTGTGTCAAAACATTATGCAGAGTCGATCACTTGCCTACAGTGTACCCACGAGCTGTGTGATGGATGCATGTACATTACTCGGCAGGAGAAGTGAGACACAGAGACAGGTACAAGGCACGGGGTAGAGGAGAGACGGGGGGATGAGACGTTGAGTGTTTGATCGGCGCGTGTGTTCGCAGGAGGTTTGCAGGAGCAGGAGCAGGAGTAGGAGCAGCAGGTGTTTCGTTTCTTGTTTGGCTGGGTCAGGGGGGTTTTGCTGGGCGTGATGGGTTCAGGGTTTGGGGCTTAGCCTTGCTTTGCTTTTTGGTGCTTCGTGACTGACTCGGGGTGGGTTGTTAGTAGTAGTATGGCGTGCGGACTGAAGGGGGGGAAATACACGCAGGCGCAAGGTTGGGCTTGAGCGAGGCGCGATATTCACGTCTACGCTGGAAGTTGAAAAGTGGCCTGGAGATGTGGGTTGACGCTGACTGAGTGGTGATAGATGGGGCCCTCCTGCGAACCAATGTTCGCAGCAGCAGCCGAGGTATCGCTCATGCATACCCGTTGAAGCACGCCGATGACTGGGATGAGCGAACGAACGAGCCATCAAAAGCCCTACGCACCACCCCCAGCATTCGAATACGAAACTGAAGCACTTCGGACTGATAGAAGCGGGGTTCAGCACAAGGACGACGATGTCGCGATGTTGAAGCCGACACACAAGGTCCCGAGGTAGGAGCGAAGCGGAAAGCCTCGCAAACAAGACGGCAGTCGCCGGTCGGCACGGCATCCCCATCCTCGAAAGCCAAGAACCCTATTCATCAAACCTCGACATTATTACCGTCAGAAAACAGAAACTATCGATCTTCTAAACCCACAGCAGTATCCTGGTCGCGGCTTTCCTCGGCCCGCCGACGTGCAGAGATTTTCCTACCTTCCTAACCTATACTTCCCAACCACCTCGTTCGGGTCAAGGATGGCTGGTCGGCGCACGTTGCTCTTTCAGTAGCTTCGGATATAGCTACAAGAGGGAGAGGAAAGTGGAGGCGAGGTCTAGAGCGACTAGGGTTGACGCGTGTCGTAATGGGGATTAACAGACTTTTTGGCGCTCAGGTAGTGTGGAGAGTGGCGTCCTTCGTTTTTATGTTCGGTGCATAGTACGATGGTGGATACACAAATGATAATAATAATAAGCCAGAGGAAGCTTGGCGTGAGCGATTCTGAAGTCATCATTCTATTGCTGAGCCACAGTCTAGACTAGACTAGACTAGACTAGACTAGGGATGCAGCCCTCGAGGAAAAGTGGATCAGGGTGTATTGCGCGCAGCCATCCATCCTACGGAGTTGAGGCGCGGGCGGAAGTTCAACAATTAACTTCCCATATTGAAGGATTCAAGCGATATTGTCAGGACGGAGCGGCCCAATAGTCCAAGGGATTTATCCAGCCGCCCGCTACCGATGTCTCGGGATGTCATGTTTTTTTGCTCTCTAGCGAGCGAAAGTGTTACGGAAGGGCGACCCTGGAGATGGCAGTTCATTAGCTAGATAGTACAATAGCGCCTGGAAAGGTCCTTATCGCGTCGCCTGTTGCCCGAAGAAAGTATGTCTTTTGGATAAAAGAATCTTTCTTCGACTCTACCGGCGCGTGTGTATGCCAATATCAAGCATTCAGCTATGCGAGGCTATGAAACGCCGCATCCTGTAGTTGCATACGGGGTCCATGTGATCCGGGAAGCTGGATTTGACATTGAAGTTATCCAGGCAAAAGTCGCGGCAGGCTGAATGCGCACATGGGTACATGCATCCCCGTTCTGCCATCGATGTGTATAGCTGCGCTGAGACCTTTCTTAGAACGCATGTTCGAGCAAAGGGACCAGCCTGATGCAGAAGTTGAAACGCCGGACTACTATGCTACAAAAGACAGACTTTACCCTGGCACTCGAAGCCAAATGCACTGTTGGTGGTGGTGGCCTGTCAACGTAATCATGGATGTCGCTTCACACCATCTCGCAGGCTGCCGTGTAACCACAAGCATCGAAAGCGGGACACACAAAACGCACGTAGCTATGTCGTGCGTAGCACGCAGAGGCGGTAGCGAATGCGCATCGATGGCTGGCGGCTCTGCGCGAGCTGGCCACCTGCTTTTGCGGCCGCCGTCAAGATGCTGCACGGCAGCGAGCGTCGATCAGCGTCTTCAAGACATTTTTGCTTTCTGACACATAGAAGCGGGTGGGTGGCCTTTTGCTGCCGGTACTTGAAGCTCATCACAGCACCCAAAGGGAGGGATCTGTGAGGGTGCGGCGCAGCGGGGCAGAATAACCGTCTTACCCAACCCTAGCTCGTCATAGATCCCGTATATTGCTCCATCCCTACACCCTCGGACAGTATTGATAGACTAGATGAAGCAAGAATAGAAGAGCGGTGAGCCATCCACGACTGGGGGGTTGTTGACGGCAAAACGGGTAGAAGTTTCAACCGAACAATGACCCCCTCACTTGGATTGTATCGCTGAAAGTCTGTTGAGAACATGGAAGAGCATCTGGAGTTCAGTCCAAGGGAACGCTAGAGAATGGGCTGCAGCTAGCGACTTGTCCACAGAGCATGAGGAAAGATGACAAGCAAAGTGGGGCTGAAGTCCGTAGCAGTAAAGCAAGACCGGTGAGTGCGAGCCATGATCCCAAGCCACGCGCCAATCACGAGTTGACTCCCCACCTCACGACCTGTGTCGGGATGCAAGGAGCGGCCGTGGCGTGCGCGCCCCAGCAAGACCCCGATAACGGCTCCGCTGGCTTCCTGACGTGGCCAGCCTTGATTGGCAGACGGACGCCTATCTGATGGCGTCGACGAGGATACGATGTTGATCAATATGGCCTCGGTGGTGCTCAAGAAGAGCACTCGTGAGAGAGAGGAGAGATATGGAAAAGATGTGAAACGCAAAGGATGGCACATGGAATTGTGCTCTTCATTTAGAGAGGTCAAAGTGTCGTGTGTGCGACTGCATGTATGTAATGCGTAGCTCGCAGCAGTTCGCAACGCTGGTCATGCTCCTCGAATCCTGGACGGGATGGAAGGAGGGGGCGGGCTTGGCTGATATCGAGCAGGGATACCCTATATATCACCCAGCTGCAGGCGCGGGTGGGTGCAGCTCGAACCTGTCCAATCGACGTGCAGCCTTCGTCCAAGCTTGCCCGTGTTGCGGGATTGCCTCACAGCTGCAGGAACGCTTGTCGGCATGTTGATTGACGGGGCAGTTTGCAGCTGGTCGAAAGCGTGTGGTTGACCAAAACGTTCGAGTTTCTAGAACTCGACTCGATGATCCTCTTGCTTGAAATTCGAAACTCTCCAATACGGAATGGAGGAGATGCCCACAACTACGCTGCCAGGCGGGTCAAGGGCCAACGGCATCCTGATCTGGAGCAGCGTAGCCGAATGCGCCTAGGCTAGGGTTTCCCGGTTCTAGATGGGCCGTTCTTGTCGGTTGGACAAGAATGCACACAGACCCCACTGCGTGGCCACTTCACGAGAACATTGTGCTCGAGGAGCAAAGGCTGATACAAGACCAGGCGCCCTTTCAAGATACCCTGCTTGCCCGATAGCTGAGAACAAGGCCGGCCGTCATGTGCTGAGAGAGGGCCCGTCATGACCAGCGTTTTACCCGTGCACGTCTCGAGGGGTGCAGATCCGTCTTGATTCTGACAGCGGTGATATTGCCATTCCTACGTTGCTACTAGTCGTGGATTCAGCAAGTTGCATGTAGATACGGGCGCGGGCCTTTCTCCACGATCCGCTCCCACATCGCGCCGGCTGCGCTGCACGTTTATTTCCACCTGTGCATATTTGCTAGACACCTTGGCCCACGCGGCGACCGTGTGACTGAGCCTGGGTGAGGGGACGTCTGGCACCGATCCTCGACATCAGTTTGCACACAGGGTGATACTATGCGGGCCGCTTGAGGCCTGTAACTCTACCTACTACCTCCTGTGTACTTCGCGTGTCTGTAGTGTACGACCGGACTGTAATCGACTACCTGGCCTTGCAGCTTCGATGGGCCCCCCTCCGGTCTAGATTAGGTTCAACGGATGATGCGACTTGCTCCGGCGTGGCCCTCATCTCATGCCGTCAGTGATGGTACACGTGTAAGAGAGTTTGCTGCTCAGGGCAAGTCTTGGCCATGTCTTGCGAAAAGGCCATGGCATGGAGGAGGGATTGGTTGTGAAGGGAATGAGCATGGCTTCACAGCTAGCAGGGGGGAATCGAATAGGATGCGAACAGTTGGTTTGGCGCCTGGGGCGGCGAGCTGATGCTGATGTGGGATGGGATGGGAAGGCTGGCATGTCATCATCGCCTCCCTTCTCCCAGAGTCTGAGGCTGTCACCGTTCGCATGGATGGCGCATGGTGGAGCCGGACTCTCCCGTGCCTTGTACGGATCTCGTGATCATGGTGACCATTGAATCAAGTCCGAGCCATACGACAGACATGGACGGGACGGCGATAACGGCGCCAGTCGATAGTACGCCGTATGGCAGAGCGTGTTTCAGCAGGCCGGAAAAGAATGCGCTTGTGCGGTTGCACTACGCTCGATCCAAGGTACTGGGTCCATTGGATTCCGACAGCGAGACAGCGACCATTGTCTGAATATTGGAAGAGGCAGTTTGTGTGCGGGTGCGGGTGGCTGTTGAGGGTGAGGCAAGAAAGCGTGACCTGGCTGGGCCCCCTGCCCCATTGGGCTAAGCCTCGCCAGCGCATCTCCTCACCGCAACTAGCAGGCGTCCTATCAGGCGGCACGGCGGGCACATCCAACACCAGGCCGTGGTACAGTCGGCACGTTTGTCGAGTTGAATTCACTCTGGACTGGACTGGAATTCAGCAGCGAGCGAGAAGTGGGGACCAGACGACGCCGCGGCCCTCTCCATTCTCTAGGTGGTGTGGCTCGTTTAGCCCTCTCGTTGCGAACCCCGCTGACATGACATGGCTGTCGTGCTCTCTCGAGTCTCCACGTTGCACATGCTCGTCGTGCTAGGACCTCGCTTCCTGGCCTAGAGGGGGGTGGATGAAGGAATGAATGGATGGAGGGTCATTGTTGTCGAATTGCCAGTCTCGCGTGGGCGACATGGACGCTGACCTCATGCGTGCTTTCGACTCAACCACGTCCAGGTCATCGGATGGCCAACCAGCTCCCTCAGTCCAACCAGGCGACTCTGAGTAATGCCCGGAAAGCGACTTGGCTCGCACGGCGTACCGTCCGTCTCTCCCGTTCGCTTTCGGGCACATCCCTGCGCGAGTTTGGATGGCGGGCATTTAGCCTGAGCAGGAAATCGCTACGTGTGTTTAGACCAGCTCGAGGCCCGTTTCCAGAGCAGAAAAGATGACGAGCATCATCAGCACAGCACACATGAGCATGCCGCGGCAGTTGGAGACGGTTGCAAAGCATGGCGGCTGGCGGGCCACTCAGCACCTCCAGGCGATCCGATCGTCTGCGGTGGATAGAGTATAGTAGAGGGATGGACAGGAGCAGCCAGACTTTGGCCAGTTCAACAGGGTCTTTGGTTCCCGATCGCTCGCTGGGATGGCTCTGCTTTCCAGCCCACGCTTGTGCTCACGGTTCCCTATCAATTGATGACTAGGTTCTGCCAGCGCTGCGCGTCAAATATCTCCGACAGCTGTGAGTGGCCCCATGCATTCAGCCGTCTTATCCCTATCGGGGCCCCAGCCGATGCCTCAGGAAGCGGCACAGTGTGGTAAAAAAAGGTAGGCGCCCGCTAAGTTTGGAGCGCGACAAGCCTACCAGTGAGCGTGGAGGAGGGGGAGGAGGGAGATGATGAGCGCCATGGAGAGAGAGATGGAGAACAAGGGAGAGAGAGAGAGAGAGAGAGAGAGCGGAGAAGTTGCCATGCCCCCAGAGTCTTTGCAAACCGAGGGGAACATCTGATCTGCTGTGTCTTTGATGCTGTCGTGCGGACACGGGCGCCTGTCGTCAGGTGGCTGGGGGTGGAGTCGTAGGCTCGCTTGGGTGCATATAGTCGTGTGGTGTATAGCGTCTTGCAGGCCTGTCCCTGTCAGACTGCGCCCTTGTCTGCGGCAGCGTCGTCGGTGCATCAGCCCAGGTCAGCATAGGCGTAGACGGGGACTGCTGTTATTCTCGGTCCAGATGGATGTGGATGTGCATGTCTGTGGATGTCTGTGTGTGTGAGTGTGTGTGCTGTGCACCAGGCCGGCCACCCCCATGCCCATGGTGCGCTCACGCTGCCTCTCCCCACCCAGGCCAGCCCGAATTGAATTTAGATTGTGCCCGCGGCGGCTCGTGGGTTGTCTGTGTGGGTGTTTTGCTTGAGCTTCGTCCCCAGAAGATCTCCACCACCCGTCTCTAGGCACAGCAAGCACTGTATCTGCACTGCACTGCACTGTACTGTGCTGTATATACTTATACTGTACAAGCAACTGAGCCTGCATCTTCCGCGCTGGTGTCTGCATTTGCCCGCCGCCGTCCTTGGAGCCGTTTCCTGCGCTGCGAGTCTTCGCGCCGGCCCGCTCTCGCAGCATCGCCATCGTGCCTTTGCAGAGGAGCAGCGCACACGCACACGCAGCACACACCACCCACCACCCACCACACACACACACAAGCGGCAGCCCGTAGCCCGTAGGCCGGTAGTAGCGCACTGACAGTCGACGTAGAGAAAACGCGCCAGAGAGAGAGAGAGAGAGAGCGAGAAAGGCGACCATATCCCGGACGGACTCCTCTGCGGGGCGTGCACTACTTCGCCTGTCTCGGTCAGCCCTCTTAGCTGCGGCCTGCCTGCTGTCCAAAGCCTGCAGGATTCTCTGCAGCATCGCCGACGAGAACGAACGGCTCTCTTGCTGCTCCATACCCACTTTCTTCCCCCCCCCTCCCCTCCCCCAAAGCGACCACTCCAGCATCGTCCTGTCGCGGTTTTGAGCGTCTTTGTTGTCCATTCGTTGTGAATTGGGTCAGTATCCTTTTCCCTCTCTCTCTGCATTTCTCTCTCTCTCCCCCCCCCCTCCCTCTCTCTCTTTTTTTCTCGCTCCCAATCTTGGGGACGCCACACGGCCCGGCGTCACTGTCGTCGTCGTCGCAGCGTTTTCCCGTGCCCTCGCCTATCTATCTGGCCTGTCCTGTCCGGTTGGTCCAGCGGGACTAGCATCAAGAGGTCGCATCCCAACCACCTCCGCCCTCTAAACCTCCGCCTCCCCACCGCAGTCTGCGAAAAAAACCCGCGTGCTGCGCTTTCGTGTCTCTTCTACATCTCATTAGACTGGCGGAGGTTGGTTGCCCGTCAATGCCATTGCATTCTCCTCGTTGTTACTGCTGCACGACCCTCTACTGACGCGTGCATCGCGCAGTTGTTTTTCTTGCCCGCGCCTGCAGCCATCCACTATCGATACAGCTCGGCCCGCACGTTACGAAGCGCAACGACGTTACGACCGCTCTACGAAACGATCCATCTTCACTCGCCCACTAGAAAAAAAAAAGACGGCACATGTTCCTGGCCGTCGCACACGCTCCCACCTATTCTTTTCGGCCGGCCTTTGTCAATTCGTCTCTTTGCGTGTTTTAGCCATTCGCAACAAAAAAGCCTTGTCAACGCCCTGCTTTACGACCGCAACGACATCACGACGTGCTTTTTGCCGCTTCAGCATTGCCTTGCAGCGTTCGACTTCACTTTGACCAGCTTCGCTCGCGCATTGAGCCTCGTGTCCAAGCTGCCCGCCCGCTTTACTACGAAACCTCTCGGTCAGTCCTCTCCTCCATTTCCGCAGCTATATCTCTTTCCTACCCAAACCCCATCTTGAATCGCTCCATCCACTGCATCATCTTGTGCGCGCAAAACCCTCCCTCGGTTCAACTTGATCTGGTTTGCCCCACGTGTCTGGTCGCCTCTCGTTGGCCCCCCGCTGCGATTAACCGATACCACGCTTGCGAAGCAAACAACTGACTTGCGGTCAAGGTGATTCGCCCCATCGCCAGATTTCAACAACAAGCTATATCATCAACAAGTTATCCTTTGTGAGCTTCGTCCGCTTGCCCTCACACAGCAATACGTTCGGCTATCTGTTGATTTGACTCGAGACCTTCCGTGAACATCATCTCGGCGGTTTCGCGCCCAACAACTTCACAAGCCAAAACGTGACAATACCGTAAAGCTGGAGCTCCCATCCATCTCGTCGGTCCACGCCCGCGGCCCAGTCGACACTTGGTACAACTCCCACTACCAGCCCAAGCCTGCAGTGTCGAGCGAGCGACTACCGGCCCTAACCCACATCCAACCCCACACAGGCGCTTCGTCGACTTCCTCGTCGCCTCGAAACAATTCCATCAGCTCTGGTTCCATTGGCAGCGGAAGCGCGGGCTCCAACACGTCCTACGCCGCCTCCATCAACGGCCAGACTGCGGGCTTCAAGACGCCATCCCCGGAGCACACTCCCTCCTCGCTCAGCCGTGACGGTCAGCCATTGAATGCACAGTCGCAGCAGAGCCCTCCTTACGGAACTCAGGACAGCTACGGCTTTGCCCCAGTCGCCTACAACAGCATGAACCAGATGCAATCGTATGCTGACGTGCATTCATCCCACATGTCTGCTGCTACCCAACACGCCCCAGCTTCGGGTCCTCCTTCGGGACTCCCACACTACGCATATCCACCGCATTCCTCCATGATGCAGCCTCAACAACAACAGCAACAGTATGGACCTACCCCGCCTGGATATCCACCATATGGCTATCCCAATGGCGTCCCATCACAGATTCCTGCTTCTTCTTCAATGAACAATGCCTTGGTACCGTCAACCCTGCAGCTTCCCGGTAAGTCGCGACTCTTCAGTTTCTGATGTCTTGATGTTTGCTCATGATTATAATAGCCATGTCATCTGGAGCACCCGCTTCGTCACTACCGGGCGCACAGAGCTATCAGACGCATACCTTTGACCACACTGGACAAGTCGCTCCGCCTGGAATGAAGCCCCGTGTAACCGCCACGCTGTGGGAAGACGAAGGTAGTCTCTGCTTCCAAGTGGAGGCGAAGGGCGTGTGCGTCGCTCGTCGCGAAGGTAGGCCATGTTCCGCCATCTAGTTGTGGCTCAGATCCATGTGCTAATCGTGCTTGTCAGACAATCACATGATCAACGGCACAAAGCTTCTAAACGTGGCTGGAATGACTCGAGGCCGCAGAGACGGCATCCTGAAGAGCGAAAAGACACGTCACGTCGTCAAGATAGGGCCAATGCACCTCAAGGGTGTCTGGTGAGCAAGAACCAACCCAACTGTGCGTTTCCCAAAGTGCTAACAGGACGTAGGATTCCCTTCGAGCGAGCACTGGAGTTTGCAAACAAAGAGAAGATCACAGAGCAGCTCTATCCTCTATTTGTTCATGACATTGGCGCTCTACTGTACCACCCCTCGAATCAGACGAGGGCAAGTGTAGGAGGCGCCGCCATGGCTGCTATAGATCGCAACCGGAGACCTGACCCTATGCAGACTCAGCAGCGATATCTCACTGGGCCAACCGCATCGCAACCGCCGTCTCTTCATCATCACCACTCGATGAGCAACCCAATTGGAGGCGCAATGTCGCAACCCCCACATGCTATTCAACCAAACCCCTCATCTGGACGCCCAGGCCTCGATCGGGCCCATACTTTCCCCACTCCTCCCACAAGCGCGTCAAGCATCATGGGTATGGGTAATCAAGGTAGCTCCTATGAGTGGAATGGTGCCAATGTGCAACATGCTCCTGGCAGCCAGCCCCTCTCCATTGACACGGGTTTGAGCAACACACGGTCCGTTCCCAACACACCTGCAAGCACGCCACCGGGTGCTGTGCAGCAGGGCATCTCTTACGGATCTGCACAGAGTTACGATGGCTCGAGGCCCATGTACTCTGCACCTCCTTCTCAGCCTGGCCAATACGCTCCTCAAGGCCAGCCCATGATTCAATATCGGACTGACGGCGGCCCTTACCCAAAGACGGAAATGGCGCCACCTTCTCGTATTAGCGATGTCACAGATGAGGGTGACGTCAAGCCAGCGGACGGCATGATGCCACAAGGAAATGACCAAGTGTCTGCTCCCGCTGGTGGCGAAGGTGATCATGAGCAGGACCACGAATACACGCATTCCAGCGCCCCGTACAATGGAAACAGGGGTCCGTACGGCTACAATCCTAACGGAGGGCCCGGACCAATACATCCTGAACATGCCCACTTGTCTCCGGAAATGACTGGGTCTCCTCACCAGAATGGCTCTGGACGTGCCACACCGCGAACAACGGCGACTGGCCAACCACAGTGGAACTCAGGATACCCCACTCCCCAACGTCAAGCGCCACCGTCTAGTAACCTGTACACGGTCATGACGGATCCTCGCGGTGCTCCTAATGGCAACGCAGCTCATGACGCTTATCCTGGCCCTGGTGCCGTCTCGCAGTATTCGAACCAAGGGTACCCTCCGACAAACGGAGTGAACGCCAGTGGCAAGCGTGGTCGCGACGAAGAGGACCAAGACCCATATCGTCCAGACAGCGTTCAGGGAGACGATATAGGCGGCCTCAAGAGACGCAAGACCATGGAAGGTGGTGCCGTTGGCCCCACTTATGCCCAAGACCCGTCCCCTGGCATTCAGCGTGCACATACCATGACTGCTCAACGCGCCAGGAGGTAACGGGATTCAATCATTACTAATTCTGCTCGGGTGGTCAGTTGCCGATTCAGAGTTTACACTAGACGGCGGTATAGCCCCTACCTCGAAAGATTTTGCAGCAACTAGCAAGTGTTCTGCCAGGAAACACGCAACATTTTACTACCACATTCTGGACCTTGATCACATCATTATCATAACCGGACCTATCCGAACCGACATGAACCCAACCACACAAACACGACACGATCCGATGCGGACATTCCCTTGTGTCTATATTTCCTTCCATTTCCTGTGTTCTGTTTACACTTCTGCACCTCTGGGCATCATTCACGACTTTAACGACCATCTGCTTCTTCGGACTACCGTTCCGGTTGACCATGTCTTGGACTTTCCTTTTCACGATATACGACTCCTGCATGCGGCATAAGCATATGCAAGTCCCACATGACCTTCTTGCTTATTGTCGCGGGTGCCGGTTCTGTACTTTCTACACGTCTTTTTTGTGACGGCCTTGGAGAGGATTAATGGGAAGCCCACGATTGATTGCCAGTCGCTCTGCCACTCCCCACTACTCTCGCTCGACATATGCCAATCCAACCACCGATAATACGGGACACATACATGTGGCAGTGCGGTCGGCAACGTGAGCAACAAAACGACCCATGGCTCTATTCGAGGTGGACGGCACGCCATGCTTGACGAAAATAAAGGCGCAAACGAATGAGAGGGCTGTTTATGCACTGATGATGTTTGCTCATTTGACGAGCGCCATGCTCGAAGAAAGTTATTATGTCACTGTTTCTACCTGGGCGGCTTGTGCTGGCTGGAAACGAGCATACTGTCAGCCTGCCGGAACCATGTTCAGTATTTTTAGCGGAAATATGGATGGGTTAGTGTTTATTTTGTGGACCCATTTAACGAGCCGGCGATATGGACCTTATAACGATAATGAGGGAAATCAAAAGCTCTTTTTCAATGCCTGCCTTGTGCCATGATAGTGTCGCGTGCTGTGTGTGGTAAAATAGTGTGCAAATGTGAAGAAGTATAGGACGTGACATGCCAACGTACGTAAGCCGGGGAAGCAGGTTGCGACTGCCCCTCGTACGGCCCGACTTGGCAGAGGGCCCCTCGTCGTCATCTGGTAAGCAAAACAAGAGGACCAAACCCAAAGAACGCGCAACTCAAGACGCGGCTGAGCCAGGCAGATACTTTGGCCTCTTCTATATCCTCCCGCGTAGTTCCCTTGCCCCCAAACCTCCGCCAAAGATGAATATCATCAAGCTGCAAAAGTACGTCGCTTGCCCCCCATCTTCTATGCGCATCCGCCGAGTTCCACAGTAGCTAACAGGGCCATTGCGGACAGGAAATACCCCCAGTTCCAGCAGGGCGAGATCTTTGGGCTGCAAGATGCTTTCCGCAAGCTCGACATTGACGACAAGGGCTATCTCGACGAGGCAACGGTCATCAAGGCGACGCAGCAGACGGAGCACCAGCCCTACGATGTGGTGCGACAAGCCCTGAAAGAGGTCGAGCTCGACAGCTCGCGGAGAGTAGAACTCGACGATTATGTGGATGTATGCGACCTCTCTCTCGTAGCAGCTAGTAACTGCCCGGGCATCTGCAACTGACTGCCACAGCTCATCTCCAAGCTACGCCAATCCTCTCCCGCCCAGCAGCGCATGCACACAGGCCCAACCCGCCCTCGAGCTGGCACCGGCGGCACTGGCAGCCTCCCCTCGACCCCTGGGCACGCCTCGAAAGGCAGTGTTGGCGGCGGTGGCGGCAGGATCCAGGTCCAAGGTTCCTCCGCAAACGTTACTCATACCATCAACGAAGATGAGCGAACCGAGTTCACGCGCCATATCAACGCCGTCCTTGCTGGTGACGCAGATATCGGCGACCGCCTGCCCTTTGCGGTCGATACCTTTGAGATGTTCGATGCGTGCAAGGACGGCCTGGTCCTGTCTAAGCTCATCAACGACAGCGTGCCCGATACCATCGATGAGCGTGTGCTGAACAAGCCGGGCAAGAAGATCAAGTCGCTGAACAACTTCCACTTTACCGAGAACAACAACATCGTCATTGAGTCGGCCAAGGGTATTGGTTGCTCGGTCGTCAACATTGGCAGTGGAGATATTATTGAAGTGCGCGAGCATTTGATTCTGGGCTTGATTTGGCAAATCATTCGGAGAGGTCTGTTGGGCAAGATTGATATCAAGCTGCATCCCGAGCTGTACAGGCTTCTAGAAGACGATGAGACACTCGAGCAGTTTCTGCGCCTGCCGCCGGAGCAGATCCTGCTGCGGTGGTTCAACTATCATTTGAAGAATGCCAAGTGGCACAGAACGTGAGGTCCTCCACTTGCGACAATGTTGAGATATCAGGAGCTAATTTTGACAGTGTCACCAACTTCTCAACTGATGTCAAGGATGGAGAAAACTATACTGTTTTGCTCAACCAGCTGGCGCCCGAAACCTGCTCTCGCTCCCCGCTTCAACAGAACGATCTCCTCGAGCGCGCCGAGATGGTGCTTCAGAACGCTGACGCTCTCGACTGCCGCAAATTTCTGACCCCAAAATCTCTCGTAGCTGGCAACCCCAAGCTGAATCTCGCCTTCGTCGCCAACCTTTTCAACACACATCCCTGCCTAGACCCCATCACTGAAGAGGAGAAGGCCGAGATTGAAGACTTTGATGCCGAAGGAGAGCGCGAGGCACGTGTTTTTACCCTTTGGCTCAACTCTCTCGACGTCAAGCCCGTTGTACAGTCATTCTTCGAAGACCTCAAGGACGGCACCGTCCTCCTCCAAGGATACGACAAAGTCATCCCAGGCAGCGTAAACTGGCGCCACGTCAACAAGCCTCGGGAAGGCCAGGAGCTGATGCGCTTCAAGGCTCTGGAGAACACCAATTACGCCGTCGAGCTCGGGAAGCAGGTACAATTCTCGCTCCCCGGTATTCAAGGCGCCGATATTACCGACGGCCAGCGCACCCTGACCCTCGGCCTCGTGTGGCAACTCATGCGAAAGGATATTGTGTCTACTCTGAAGGGCCTCGCACAACGCCTCGGCAAGCGCGAAATCGCCGACGCAGATATGATCAGGTGGGCCAACGACATGGCGCGCAAAGGTGGCAAGAGCACCCAGATCCGGTCATTCAAGGACTCGGGCCTTAGCAATGCTGTCTTCTTGCTTGATGTCTTGGCTGGCATGAAGCCCGCCTACGTTGACTACGACCTGGTAAATGCAGGGCGCAATGAAGACGAGTGCTACCAGAACGCCAAGTTGGCCATCAGTATTGCGCGAAAGATGGGCGCGACCATCTGGCTTGTCCCCGAGGATATTGTCGCGGTACAGAGTAGGCTGATTACAACCTTTATTGGTAGCTTGATGAGTACGCATGAGAAGATGGGTGGGTCGTAGAACTCGAGGGTCCCGACAAACGAGCGGACGGGACGACATGATTTTGCGAGTCGATGAGCGAACGGGTCACGAAAAAGGGTTTCTTTTATTATAGTTTTACACGAAAATTCACAAAGATTGTTCATACCTCGCCGTGTTCAAGTGTCTTTCTTGGTCCATGGAAGTTCCGTTCAAAACCGTTTGACATTCCGTTTCTTCGCAGAGTGATCGAATCATGGACCCTTGAATCTGTGACCATTCCCATTATAGCCCCAAACTCCAACAGCCCCGCGCTAATTCTCGACTAGCGCTCCTCGTCCATTTCCCGACGAAGCCACACATCCCAGCATCCTCAAAACCTCCCCCACTAACGATCAACAAACCACCACCATTCTCTCCATAGAAAGAAAGAAAAAGTACAAAAATGCCAGCCCCCTCCGATCTCCTCTCAGACGCGGATATCAGCCAAGCGTACGAAGATGTGCGCTCTGATAAGTCTGAGACTACGTGGCTTATCTTGAAGGTACGCGCTCTCTCCCCTCCCTTCCACTCCTTGAGGAAGAGGAGAAACACCTTCGGTTGCCATACCGGCGGCGCAGGATATGCTGTCTAGACATGATGTCTACGGGCCTTGACGTGGTTGTTTGTTTGTTTCGACGCTAATGTATGTAGTATGCATCAGCTACATCAGACAGCTTAACGTTAGCCGCGTCGGGAACAGGGGACATTGCTGAGATGACGCAGTCCCTCGGCGAGGAAGCGGCGTACGCCTATGTGCGGATGAAACTGGGTAATGACGAGTACTCGGAACGGGTCAAGTTTGTTTTTGTCATTTGGCAGGGTAGGTTTGATATATATATTTTTTCTTTGATATTTTCTTGTCGGCTATAAGATATATATATATATATATATATATATATATACATGTGTGTGTGGAGTGGTGGTAGGTGTTCTGTAAAGGTTTTTTATGATACTAATATTGGAGCGTAGGGCCCAATACAAAGGTTATGCGCAAGGCGAAGATGAGCTTCCAGAGCGGGCAGGTCAAGCAGGTCATTCGCACGTATGCGGTTGAGATCCAGACGAGCGATACCAAGGAGTTGGAGGCTGAGGCTGTTACGCTCAAGTTGAGGAAAGCTATGGGTGCTAATTGTAAGTTCTCCTCGATCGGTTGATCGTGGCAAGCTGGAGTGGAAGAGTCGTTGCTAACCTTTGTTTCAAGATGATCGGCAAGGTTCGAGCTATTAGCGTATTAATCTGATCTTGTTTGAAGTGACGTCTCGGGATTGAAAATATTACTTATCGACAAATGTGTGAATGAGTTGGTAATTTGTATCGGGTGGTGATGACGACGCCGGACAAGGACAAGTGCTTCTGTCATAATAGCCTGACAGTGGAGTAACCTTGGCTCTATCTTCTTAGTCGAGAGCCTGATCTGAGGAGAGTCTCGAATAGTGAATGAGCCAAACGCCTTGATAGCGGGCAAGTTACTTTTATATTGACTTATAGTACTCCTCTTCGTCATCGCTGTCGTCCTCATAGCTGTCATCCTCACTGTAACCCTCACTGTAATCCTCACTATCATCATCACTATCGTCCTCGCTATTATCCTCACTGTCGTCCTCCCCGCTCTCATACCTATCGTTGTACTCAACTCCATCGTTTTCGTTGTCGTTGTCCTTGTACTTGCCCTTGCCCTCGTCGTCGAAAAGAACATGGCACTCAATTCCTTGACCCTCGCAAACCCTCTTCAATTCCTCCCTAGCCCGCTTATCCTTCCAATACCCCAGAGACCGATGACCCCAAGCCCTCAAATCATACACAAACTCTCTCAACTCCGGCGTCGCTGCTCTCCACTCGGGCTCTCTATCCGTCTCCCAAACAAGCCTGGAGTACTGCATGCTCTCATCCCAATTGGTCACTCCAGGTTGATAGTGTGAACCCTGCCTCCAAGAATCGGCCACTTTCTCGCCGGATAGATACGTTCTGAAAATTTCCATGGCCTCCAGGTCCTCGAAGCGTTGTTGGAAGCGATTGTACATCCACAGATCGTCTGTAATGGTGAGGTGCTGGAGATGCGGAGGTAGGACGTCGGAGAGCTTGGTTATGCGACCTTCGTCGACAACTTCTGCGCCGAAGAGCACCGCAAGCGATACGGAGAGCGACGTGAGAGCGGGGAAGTCGTGCAAGGGGCCTAGGCTTCCTTGTACTATATTTGCCTCCTCCTGCGGCGGGCCGTATTCGTTATTATGGTAAACTTCGTAGCGTATAGTAAGATGCGTAAGCGTGGAGTGGACAGGCTGCAGTGCTTGCCTAATTCCCGAGAGTTCGAGTGGCGCGTTTTCCGTATATTGATAGCAGTCGTATTCGAACGTGTGGAGATTTGGCGTTTGCTTTAGAATTTGCTCGATCATGATTGGGGTGACGGACGATCGTAAGAGGCGCAACGTTGTCAGCTTCTCAGCATTGGGAGGTTCAGGGTCTTCGTCCGATGGAAACCTGAAACTCGGTTTACATTCTCGCCATGAACTGGTGTTCGCTCTATCGTAGAGAAATCCTGTCAGCTCGAGCGTCTCCAAGCTCGGCAGATAAAATAGAAGAAGATATCCAGATCGAAGGATCCTAAAATTTGGTCCCCATATGTGCCCATCCGAAAGGCCTGTAATACGTATGCATGACAATTTGCCAAACAGCGTTCTATCGGCAGTCAACGTAGGTGCAGCCAGATCCAATGAAACTTGATTAAAGAGCTGTCGAAACCAATCGCTCCGCATGAGGAAATCGACTGACACAGAGAGGGACTCCAAAGATGTGCAAGATGCCAAGAGGAGCATCTGGAAGACAGATTGGTCGTTATCCTTCTTCGTCAGCGCTTTTCTCCAGTGCCTTGGGTCATCGAATCGCTGGTTATCGATGATGTCCTTGAATAAATCTTTCTCATCCTTCTGGATCCCGTCACTTGGGGGATACCTGAAATATACATGGCTGGGCTGCTCGTGAATTAAACAGCCCGTTGCGCGGAACTCCAGACTCTTTACCAGCTCCACGTATTCTGGTGTTTCGATAAGCGTTCGCAGCAATTTATGAGCCGGAGGAGACTTTAGCACTGTTCCGTCTGGCTCCGTCTTCCTTTTCCACTCCAGAACAATGGAGTGGTAAGCGTTGGCCAAGCTAATCGCACGGAGGCGTTTGCATGTCTTGGAAAGATTGCTTGCAGCGTGCAAGTCAAGGTTGGTGAGAATGTTGTCTACCAATTCATTTGGTAACGCTTGAAGTGATGCTTTGTTCATTACGTCGGCGAAATAATGGTAGTGAAGTGGTTATGGAAGGAACGAATTTTGAAGTCGATGGAGAGATGTCCGAGCGCAAATCCATATTACCCCACGTGTTGCATCCCCCACAATTTTTCAAGTTACTTGGATAGTACTCAAAGAGATATAATCACACGAGAGGGAAATAAGAGTGCAGCATATATACCGACGATTCCTTTCTACTTGTTCCGTTCAAACCCCTCTACATCTAGTCAGCGCTATAACGTGAATATCCAATGTCGTAGTATTAAGTACTGCATAAAGTCATGAACAGTAACGATCATTAGCCGTGATATCGTATCCAGATATTTATCATCCAGTAGACCATTTACATTGCCAACTCCACCAAAGAACCATGCCAGGTGATTACAAAGAAGGCTTTTCCAAGAATGGAAACACATGCCCTAAACCACCCCCAGGATCCGTCTTCGTAGTCGCCGAACTAGCGACAGGCGCTAACTTCCTCGAATCCGGGTCCGCTGTCGGTTGTGCACTGGATTCCTCAGTTTCCTCTGCCTGTTTCCTCGCGATCTTATTATCAAGATGGTTCTCCAGCCACTCGTGCTGCGTCTTGCCCAACCTTAGGCTCTCCTCAACCTCCTTTGTAAGCTTGTCAACCTCATCCTGCAGCACCTCATCCCTACTCTTCTTGGCACTCTCCTTGGGTGTTACAGGCGTGTCGTCTCGTGCCGTCTTCGCCCATAATGCTTCCAGCTCTTCTAGCCACCCACAAGCCTCGGCGAGCTTTCGCACACCAGAGTCACAGTCCTCAAGCATCAGCACATCGTCTGGCCGTCCACCTAAATCGCCCACCTTCTCTGAGTTTATAAGTAACCGCGGTGTTCGGTCCTCGCATAACTGTGGTAGCGACGCAAACGGGTGTACGGATAATGACGTCCCCATGACTATCGCGAGGTCGGCTTCTGACGGGAGGCTGCGGTTTTCGAAGAAGTCGGCGGGCAATTGTTCCCCGAAGAAGACGATTTCGGGTTTGACGAGGCCGTTGCAGGAGAGATCGAGGCAGCGGGGCACCCACTTCTTCTGAATGGCCTCTTGCATGCGCTCCTCGGGATAGGGCTTTTTGCAATCAATACAACTCTGCCTAGAAAGAGTTAATATGTGTTGACAGTGCTGGTGTAGAATATCCTCACTTGGCGAAGCTGCCATGTGCCTCTACGATCATGTCCGCAGGCACTCCTGCCTCGCGCTCCAGGCAGTCGATATTCTGGGAGAACAGCTTCAAAAGCAGTCCTTTTTTATGTAGGAGGTTTACGAACGAGTGTGTTATTGTTGGTCTATATTTCCCAGGGTATAGTTCTTGTGCGAGGGTGTAGAATGGCTCTGGGTTATTACGGAAGTATGAGATATCAAACACGGCTTCGGCGTATGGTAGGTTCAGACGAGCGAGGTTCGCATACAATCCAGTCTCTGGGGACCTGAAGTCTGGTATACCGGCCGAAGTGCTTATACCTGCGCCCACCTTCTATAGTCAGTATGAATTCGTAGTGCAAAATTGGTGAATCATACCATAACCACAATCTTCTTTGCCCGTCCATCTTTAATGTACTGTGCTAGAGCCTCCAACGATCGCGCACTGAGCGTCTGGGGCGGCGCATCCGGATTCGCTACCGTGGACTCTTCGTTGCCCATCCTGCCTCTGCTGCCTTTACTTTTCCCTTTACTGCGACCGTTTTCTGAATTGCGCCACGGCCTGTCCTGCTGCGCCTGCTGGCGATGGGCTTTATGTTTTCGTCCTATCTTGAGGGACGAAAGGTATTGTAGGCGGAAGCGAGGTACAGGCGAGCGGCTGACGTAGCAGTAGCACTGGTGGTGATTGCGCGTATGCTAGGCAACGTTGAACTGGACCCCACGGAAGCTCTCCAAAAATCTCGGGAGTCCGCCAGGGCGCGTCATGCCAAGACCCTAAAACTTACCAATAGCGCTGGGTGTATTTACCACGAAACCCGACCATATCGTTTCGTTTATGCTCTCGATTGAAACCCATAACTCTGTGTGTACTATTTCTAGTCGGTCTTCCAGTGTAGCTTTATCGTCTGTGTCACATCATAGATGTAAGTGCAATCAACGCGCCGGTGACATGGATTTATAACTGCAAGCAACAAAGAGCATCACGTGAAGGCGAGAACTAGATGCACGCATCGCATTCTTAAGGAGAGCTATATACGAAGCGAATATTTACAATGAAGAGTTTCAGACATCGATCACCCTTGCGTAAGAGTCATCAGCTAACTTTAGCACGTGAACTTCTTGGGGCCCGGGACTGTATAAGGTAGAGCTGCAACACAAGTTAGCACATGCACATAGACAGAAGCACGGGACTGTTATACGTACGTTTGTAAGAATCGAAGGTGATACCAGGGTCACTACCCTTATAAGCACCAGGGAAACTGACGAGACCAGACGGGTTAGTGCTTCCTCCGCCAGTGACCTTAAGCTGATGGCAACCCGGATAGGACTGAGCACCAGGATATTTGTATGCGGCGTGTAGCGCAATGAGCTCGTGGCGGACGAGATAGTAACCGTTGGCGATGCATTTGGGAATCGTGTATGTGACGGAGGCGCCGGCTTTCATGAGAGGAGTGGTACCCCAGTTGTTAGACGTGCCGTCACGGCCTTGCTCTTGAACCTTGAACCAGACAGCCCTGCAAGCAAAGTTAGCGCCATTAGCCTATGAGGCGGAACATAACATACGAAGATTCGGGCTGCCAGTTGTTGCAGCCAGAGTCGGGACACTTGGCCATGTAGGTAATCGAGGGGCCCACATGGCTATCAGGCCACAAAGTCCAGAAGAGCTGAACATTGGAGCCGGCAGTGGCATCAGCATGAAGAGCAGCAGGCGTGGAGCCTTTGATGCCACCAGCAGTGTAGCCACCGCATTGGACATCAATGAGGTCGAGGTTCTCAATTGGGCCGTTACCCTGGACAGGGCGCGAGACGCGATCGACCTTCGGGTTCATGTATGGGTCCTGGTAAGGTTGGTAGAAGACATAGTCTTTACCACCTATGGTAGCGTTGGTGACATAACCATGAGCAGCAACAGCTGAGGCGAAAGCGAGGGCAGAGGCGATGTACTTCATTGTGAATGAGTGGAAAGTGTACGATCCGGCGTAACGAGTGACAAAGGTGGGCTGAAGAAGAGAATGAATATAAGTTGAATGAAGAGTGAACAAATGCGATGCTCCGGTACTGGATGACCTAGGATGCCGATATAGATTGAGCAAGGCTGCTCTTATATAGTAGCTTGCTGGAATTATTCCAGGACTCCAGATGGCGCCCCGTAGCACCAATACACACTATTTGAAACTTCCTAGACAATGATGCCTGCGGCTGATCATGAAAGGAATTCGTAGATTAAATAAAACGCGCTAGTGGTGCATGGTGTGGCTCTTGGGACATCCGCAATTTTCGGTTGTGGTCAGAAGTATCCCTATAGGAAGTTAATGCTTTTGCAAAATAATTCGAAATGCAAGCAAGTAAAAGTCCATCAGCTTGTACCGTCAAATGTCCTCCGCATTGAAACATTTTTTGTCAGTTTGGCCAAAAATGCGAGAATAGCGGCGAAACGCCCTGGTTGTTGAAACAAAGTGAAACGTAGTGTTGAATTGTGGCGCTAACAGGGTGAATGTTGTTTGATTGGTGGATGTACCCCAGTGCTGGGGTAGTCGGATCTCGTCTACAACACCGGGAAATCAGATGTTTCCATCGGAGAAAATATATTGACCTCATATAGGAAGCCGGGTTGGGGTCGCGAGAGTGTAATTGTTATCCATGTGGCCAAATTCTCTATATTACGGGCCACAATGCTGTGATAATGTGGTTTGACCACTGTAAAACGTGAGGGGCAACCCGGCCGTTTCGAAACGGTGAAGGCGCAACGCGAGATTGCGGTGTAAGAAACAAGCCCTTGGTATAGAGAAGAAGGCTTACTTGATAGGGGCGTTGTGGTACCGAGGCATCAGGCGAGAAGTTGAAAAGAATTTATAGGTAGCTCGGGAAAAAGAGACCGTATCCTCTTCGCTTGACCCGCGGTAGAAGCTACATCTAGTAGAGTGCTCGGATTTGCCTAGCCCCAAATAATGGATCGTCGCATGAGAAAGACAGGTGAGTCTCCGAAAGTTCCGAGTTCGTCAGTAACCCGAGTGCTGAACAGCCTAGGAGGATATTTCCCCTACTTATCCTTAGGTTCAGCCTCCCACCTTTCGACCCCTTCAGGGATTGGCACAACCGCTCTCTTGCACCAGATGTGTACCGCCCCAGTCCAATCCAAATCCTCAAGCAATCCTCCCTTGACCGAGACCGTCTTCGGGTGTCCATCCTCCACAATGTTTGCGTGAATGATGCGGCTACCACAGCCTTTACAAAAGTAGCAGCGCTTCTTGTTGCCAGAGTCACAGTGCTTAACGAAGGAGGATACAGAAGGGTTGTCATCGACTCGGAAGTAGGGAAATATAGCCGAAGTGCCGAATGCGCTGGATGATTGCTTACGGCAGTCGATACAGTGGCAGTGGAAAAGCTTGAAGGGTTTCGAGGTGGGCGTGGTGAACTGAACAGCGCCACAAGCGCAAGATCCGTTCATGGTGAAGCTGAGCTGATATTGTGTGTGTTTAGAGGCAAGATGCTCAGTAGGAAAGGGAGGCTGCTGACGCAAGTAACACGGATATATGTCAGCGTCTACAAAGTACGTCATGTCAGGTGCTCAACATAACCGACATTGGGTGACAATAAGAACCTTCGTCCTCTATTAAGCAAGTAAGTAGCGGCACCTATCAGGCAAGATGCCACCGACTGGGCAGTTGGAAATGTTAGAGACCACAGACGACGAAGGCGTTCCGCCCTACTGCGTACTTTGTGTGGGCTTCCAGTTCATCATCTCTCTAAATTTGGGTGCTTCAACTTCCACGGGGCTGATGACCATGCCATTAGAATGCTATCGAGTTTGCTGGACATTGCATACGACGATGTTGCATCTGAAATAGACGAGGCTGTCAAGTGGTGGGGGAGTGAATGCGAAGCGGCTCGAAGCTTCTTGAGGGGAAGCTTGGGCCTGCGACCAAACCTCCCACTTGGAATGCCCCGCCATCATCGACAAACAACCCAGGGCAGCCCCTCAGCTACCTTTGTACAACCCCAAGCAATAGCACCACACACCCATACCATAGCAACATGGTCATCAACTACAGCAAGTGGGCAAGTACATACGTCAAACTTCATACGCCTTTGCAACCTACTAACTCCAATCTAGGACGCCCTCGAGCTCTCTGACGACTCGGACATAGAGGTGCACCCAAACGTCGACAAGAAATCCTTTATCCGCGCCAAACAGGCCCAAATCCACCAAGAGCGCGACCACAGGAGGCATCAGATAAAGACACTCAAATATGAGCGCATCATCAACGACGGTCTCACCGAGCGCGTCGACCGCCTCCTCACAGCCTTGAAATCCCACAAGGCTAAGCAGGCAGAAGGCCACGGCGCGAATGATGATCAGTTGGTATTCCAGGCCATGATGGAGAGCATGATGGATATGAAGATTGACAAGAATGGGGGTTCGGATAGGCCGCCAACGCCGCCAGAAGGCGTACACGAGCATATCAAAGATAAGCCGACATATCCACAGATGATGGCAAGTCTAGTGGATTCAGTGAAGAAGGACATTGATGCAAGTAAGAGCGAGGAACCGCGCTATGATCAGTTCATCAAGGGCCTAGACAACGAGAAAGCCAGGATAGAAGATCTACAGAGACAGTTGTATGCGAAGCTCGCCGAGCTAGAGAAAGAAGAGAAGAAGCACATTACAAGCGAAGACATCCACGAGGGCTTCAGCTTCTCGAACGTACGGAAAGGCGACGAAGCGAAGCCCCCTGCTCCAACATCAACGTCATCGTCAGCACCGAAGAAGGCTGAACCCTCAGCAACAGTCGAACTCCTCAATGCCCCAAAACGTCCCGAACCCTCACGAACAGACACAGGCGACTCCGGCGCAGACGCAGACGTTGAAGAAGGCACCGCCGTCCACGATGAGGACAACGAAGATGACATTTCTGCCTCGCCCCTTGCCCAATCCTTTGCAAAGATAAAAGCAGGTGACTGGTATGCCTGTCTCCAGTTCCTCATGCAACATCCAGAGGTCATGGCAGAAAAAGAAACAGACGGCCTCCTCGTCGAGGCCTTCAACTCCGAGCTCGACGGCAAACCGAAGCACGCACGACAATGCGTTCATCAGGGCCTGTTGCTACAATACTGTAGACAGCTAGGGGGCAGACAGGGTGTGGAGTTATTTTTCAAGCGGATACAGATGAAAGACCACCAAGCGGGGAAAATGTTCCACGACGACGTGGATACCACATATCGCAGGATCAAGACGAGAGCGGCGGAGATCCTGAAAGAGCGCGCCGAGAACCCTACAGAGGGAGTAGAGCAAATACAACTCCACGCCGTCGACCCAAATACGCAGATCAACATTTCCGTTCCTCCTGCACAACCGACATCTACAGACCCCGAGGAGCGCCAGGCAGAAGAGCAGGCAAGACAAATTTTCGATAGCTTCCCGCCAGGCTTGCAAAGAGCCTTGGAGAGCGGGAAGCTGGACGAAGTGAACAAGGTGCTGGCGAAGATGAGTGTCGAGGAGGCTGAGGAAATTGTGGAGAAGCTTGGTGCGGGCGGTATGCTAAGCTTAGAAGAGGGTGTGATTGATGCAACAACAGAGGAGGGTCAGAAGGCCATGGAGGAGATTGAAAAGTCGAGGAAGATGCCTGGGCAGTCGTAGAGTGACCAACCGACAATGTATGACGGAACGATCTTGCAACGGTTAAATAGCATATTGTAACTGTATAATCTCCTCGATGTTGGTATAATACACACTTTGAATTTCATATACCCTCTCAAGCCTCCTGATAATGTTTCCACACGCGCAATGAAACTCGCCCATATGTGCTTGACGCGATTCTGGTATCTCTGACGCCCTGTCGTTTGGTTCATCGCCTATTTCATAACAATAGTTAACCCTCAGCTTGAAACCTGTAAAGGTAAAGGCCATCAAATCAGCTCCCCTAGGCTATCGTCAATACCCGCCATATCTCCATCTCGAGCAAAAGCTGCAAACTCGTCTTCCGCATTACTCCTGCTCATTTTCCTCTTCTTGTACGTATTTTGATACGCTTGTTGCCCATATACTCCTCCATCAACACCCGGCCTCGCATGCTGCAAGCTCTTCAGTAGATCCTCGGGCGCAGGGGGAATGAAGTCACCGATGGCGGTCGCGTATTCAGGCTGCGAGGTATGATTTGCTGGCGCGGGTGCAGTCGTAGGCTCAACGGGATGCGCGACAGGCTCGGGCATCACGTCGTCACCAATGTTTGGTACCGGTTCGAAAGCGGAAGTGGGTGCTTGTTGGGGAGAGCCTACGGGAGTGAAAGTTTCCATGGGTGGCGGCGTAAGTTCTTCAACCTGCGGGCGTTCTTGCGAGACTGGTGGTGTTGTGGCGACGGGCAGCGGTGCAGCAGAAATCTTGTTCGTCTCAGCAGCTGAGAGACCCTTGAGAATGGCCTCCTCGACCTCTCGTTTGCGACTTTCGATTGCGTCTTTCCGAGTTTTCAAGTCTGAGATCTGCGCTTCGTCCTGTACGAGCTTCGTCCTGTTGGTCTCGAGTAAGTTTTCAAGGCCGGCTACGAGCGCTTGTCGAGCTTTGATGCTTTCTGCGACTGCGCCTTCCGCTACGGCAAGCTTTTTAACCAGCGCCGCGAGGCTAGCTGCGTGCATGGGCGGGGATAGGATTGCAGCGTTTGGGTTGGTAAGCCTCTCGTAGTCTTGGTTTGCGGTTACGGTTGCGGGTTTCGCAGTGAGATCGGCCTTTTGCAAGGAGGTTGCGAGAGGTGCTACGGGTGCGAGCTCGGGTGTTATCGAAGGTCCAGAGAAAAGCGAGCCGCCTAGGGCAGGCTTGCGTGTGGACTTTGAGCGATCGAGTTCTGTCCATTGTCAATATCTTGATCCTGAGACGGCTAGTATTTCTACTCCTTACCATCAATTTGCCTCTCGATATCCTGCTGCACGGGCTGACCGAATATCTGTCGCGACCGCCAGACCTCCACTACTCTCCGGATCTTGTTCTGTATCTCGTGGGGAGAGCCTTTGTAGGCTATGGAGGTGGCTTCGGCGATGATGGGCTCATATGCGCGAAGGAACTCTTCCTTCTTACGCATCTTTGATGTTTGCGTGATCTCTATGTGGCTGTGAGTCATTATGAAGAAGAAGGGCCAGAAATGTCACTCACCATTCGCAAGGTAGATTAAGACGAGCTTCTTGTTTGGTGGTGACTCTCGCATGCGTTGAAGCCATACTTGAGCAATGCGCTCGGCGTGTCGTCTATATCAGATGTATGTCAGTGTCTCTTCTCGTGTCGCATGAATGATTTCAGACCGTGTGTAGGCCGGACGCATAGGTCCAGCTTACGACTGTTTGTCCGCGCGTACTTTATGGACGCAGCAAGTCTCGAGGCAGGGGGAGCTTTACCTGTGGAAGAGGATCCACTGACCGACAGTGGAGATGGCCTCTTGAGTTTCATTGAGCGACGACAACTTCGCCTTTAGGCTGTCTTCCGTAAAAGCCATTCTGGAGGTGATACACTATTTGAGACCAAGGCTTCACTGCGGGTAGGCTATCACGCGAGCAGTCTGGCAAAACAACCGCCTCAGTGACGTGGTGCGATGATAGACAATCTAGTTACACCTTTCCTGCTTGCAATGGCCACCTTTGTCTGTGTCTGCGGCGTAACTACCCTGATGACGTGTTGATTGATGGTGGAGAGGATGAAGAAGCTCAAAGTAGCTTGCGACGCTAAGAGACCGACGGTGAAATGTATCTCCGTGCTTGGCACCATCTCCTGGCGGTGACCGACGGCAGCTATCACTACGCAAACAACAAGCCGCCTGTAAACATTCAGTTGCCGTCACTATCACTTCCATTCCCCTTGGCGCTGCTCACCAACCTCACATTCATCATGGCAGACCGATTTCCCTCGTTAGATGAGATTGACGCCGGTAAGCTCAGTTGTTGCACCCCCGAGGTAGCTCCGCATGGAGTACTGATATATGCCAGGCCACACCGAAGCGCGCGGCGAAGCTACCAATTTCGACCTTGTAGGCGACTCAAACGGCACCGATGACTTCCTCTCACGCGAACGCGCGCTTCTCGGCGACGATGCGGACCAGTTCGCTTCGGAAAATGACAGAGTGGCTACTGTTGAGGATGGAGACGATGATCTGCTAGGAGGAGACTTTAGCCAGGCCAATGTTGGCAGTCAGGAAATGGACGGCTTCGAGAGCTCTTTCCCCGCTATCGATACTACAAATGAGGTAAGCTATGCATTGCCTCTTTCAACTCCGCATACGCCGCTCAGGACAGCTTGCGACTGGGCATGACAAACTTCTCGTGGGGAGCAAGCCCTTCGCAGCCCTATACATGTTACTAACAGAAGCAGCACATGGCCCCCGGTGGCACCATTACAGGATCAACGCTTCCCTTCCTGCCTGGACAGCCGGCACCTTCCTTCACACCGCAGCGATCAGACTCACCAGAGCCCGAGGTCATCCGAGAATGGCGCGAGCGGCGCGACCTCCAAATCCAACATCGCGATGAAGTCTCCGCTGAGCGCAAGGATAGGACTATCAAGGAGGCACAACAGAACATCGACGACTTTTACGAGAACTACAACAACAAGAAGGACAAGGAGATTGCCAAGACACAAAAAGAGGCAGAAGAGTTTCTCGCAAACCGAGACGACACCACGGCCGGCGGAACCAGCTGGGAGCGAATTGCTAAGCTGGTGGATCTGAGTGGCAAGGGTACGAAAGGCGGAGCGTCCGGGAGCGAGAAGGCTCGGTTCCGGGAGCTACTGCTAAGCTTGAAGAAGGATGAGAAGGCACCCGGTGCGACTGGCTACTAGATGACATAAAGATACAATTGGTTAGCGATGATTTTCAGCTGAGGTACGCATTCATGTGGCACGTCTGAAATGCTCGGCTGTGGCAAGGAGTCCTAGGATAGGTTGCAAGTTACTTCATGCATCTGTGTTAATATGCAATTTCACCCTCCAAAACTCTTATGTGCCTCCGCGTCTTGGATCAAATAAGTCGCTAATGTGCCCTTGTAGATCAAACTGCTGGTACTCGTGCACGAGCACGAATGTGTACATGCGAAGTGCTCGAGTCAGCAGACGAATCGCGGCAGCAGGTGCTACTGTAGCTCGAGAGCACTCTGGATTTCTTCACGCTACAATCACCCAGAAACCTTTGCTCATGAAGCAACTAGAGACCTCTATGCTATGTTACAAAAAGCTTAGCGGTCCTCTTTTCAGCGGGAATTATACAGAGTCGTTTCCCTCACTTTTCATCTTCCCTTTCCAAGGAAACACATCCACTAGGGACAGTGCTTCCATTAAGCCTATTCGATTTCTCCACTTACTAAGCTGGGAGTGATTTTACCTCTAGAGGGGCGCTCAACGTCCTATACGCTATGGACCCCCTCACAATTACGAAGTTTCTGCTCACAGTACAGCGCCTTGAGCAAATCCAAGTATTTGAAACCTAATCACGTCTGGCAAGCGTGTAAGCATTCCTCCAGATCAGCAGTGCAGGCCAATTTTATGCTCAATTGACATACTTGGACAGGAAGCCGGACATACCATCACTCTAGACTAGAGATGTCCATATATTGGAAAACATGATCTAAACACTCCTACAAAAACACATAAGACTCAAATATAGGCGACCCAATTTTGATCATCCATGGACACGGTTGCACTATGCTTGTTTAACGCAAGGCCGTCTTGGTGGGCGAGGCGATGCACGAGCAACTCGTGCTCTACACTTTGATATCGAGGTCAACAGAAGAAACAGGTAGGCATTAAGGCATTTTAATTGAAGTATCAAGAAGTTTAGCTACGTCGGTGCTTTGTCATGTGGGCGGAGAAGATGCAGTGATTCGTCAGGAGTAGAGACAAGCGGTAGAGTGGGGGGCCGTCCACGAGTTGCAGCTTTTAACTAAGAGCGGCAGTGAGTGAGTCAAGGAGTTTCATAACCTGTAAGATGGGAGTGTGATGAAGAACAGAGAAGGCAAACTTGCTGACAGAAACAATTGAACAAAGACACGATCGGAGAGTTGCGATGAAGTGACCGGGTCATCAGAGCGCTAGCTGATTGCGCTTACCTCAGATCAGGCAGGTGCTCCCCCCTCATCAAGCTTTAAGTCACCTTCAGCTTAGGTCTTGTCATTGAGCTTGTTGAAGCTTATCTCGTTCTCCAATGGCCGTCACACGTGCGGTGATATGTCCCTCGTTCGTGGTAGGATATCCGTTCGTTTAAGTCTGCATCATGCGGCGTACCTGCGGTAAGTATAAGAGCATAGCTTCCGCTTCCTGGCTTCCAGAGTATCTTCTGCACTCTCGTTCACGATGTGGCTACTTAGCATTGGTGCAATTGCATCCGTTATAGCGACCGTGTCTGCCTGCGAAGGTGACCACAGTTGTTACGGGCCATTGAAGGATGATGTAGTCCTCACGAGGAATGTTCGTCGCATGCAACCAGACGCACAGAATGCGACTACAAGTCCAAGGGGCCCTCTCGAATGGGGCCAGATCAACTTCCTCCATACTACAGACACGCACGGATGGCTAGAGGGACACATCAAAGAAAAGAACTATGGTGCCGATTGGGGCGACTATGTCAGCTTCACAAAGCAAATGAAGAAAAAAGCTCACAAGCTGGGCGTGGATCTCTTGCTAGTTGACACAGGGGTGAGTAGAATCCAGCACCCTGGGCGGCGGTATGCGAAAGCATTCCCGCACGTGGGTGTTCGTTAGGTGGGGATGTTGCTGACCGGAAATAGGACTTGCATGATGGCGCTGGCCTAAGCGATGCAACATCTCCAAACGGCATCGTCTCCAATGTCATCTTCGAGAATATCGACTACGACCTATTGACCATTGGCAACCATGAGCTCTACGTTTCCGAGATCGCCTATGAAACATTCAACAATTTCTCAAAGGTTTATGGAGACAAGTATCTTACTAGCAATGTGCAGATCAAGAATCCAGTGACGCAACAGTTCGAATATGTTGGAGCAAAGTACCGTTACTTCACTACTAAGCAAGGTATGCCATACTGTCTTAAGAAAATAGCTCTAACTAACGACTGTCGAGGTCTGCGAATTATGGCTTTTGGCGTATTGTTTGACTTCACAGGCAACAGCAATGTATCGAAAGTCATCAAGGCAGCCGACATGGTCCAACAGCCTTGGTTTAATCAAGCCGTCAATTACACCAAGCCAATTGACTTGTTTGTACTCATCGGTCACAACCCCGTGCGGACAACCGTTTCCAGCAGTACAATTGGTACCGTTTTCAAGGCCATTCGCAGCATCAAGCCAGACATTCCCATTCAGGCCTTCGGTGGCCATACTCACATTCGTGACTTCGTGGTCTACGATAACAAAGCCACCGGGCTTGAGTCTGGTGAGTCCCTTTCGGCCTCCTTGTGAGGTGTTTGGCCTAATGCTCGATAGGCCGTTATTGCGAAACCCTTGGCTGGCTAGCCATATCTGGTATCGAATCGTCTACATGTAAAGCAGAGCAAAAACCCAAAGGGGTCCCGCATCCAACTCAGAGTGCAACACCAGTGAAAAGCACAGGAACCGTTTCAGCAAGCGTACACTTGCCTTCCTCGACATCGCCCTCTACTCTTCGCTATGCTCGACGATACCTCGATTGGAACCGACTTACCTTCGCATACCATGCCGTAGGCAGTCAACGCTACACCTCCTTCGACGAAGCCAGGGGCCATCGAGTAACCTCCGAAATTACCTCTGAACGTTCCAGGCTCAATTTGACCAGCCTGTATGGTTGTTCCCCAGAGACATACTGTCAGTACTGCAAGCCGTTCCTAGCTGAAGGCAACATCTTCAAGCTCTTGCAGACTGCGCTTGCTACTGTTGTCGTGAACGAAACACGCAAGGACGTGCCACGACTCATCATCATCAACACTGGCAGCATCCGCTTCGACCTCGCAAAGGGTCCATTTACATACGATGACTCCTTCATCGTTTCACCCTTCGACGATGCCTTCCAGTTCATCCCCAACGTCCCATACGAGCAAGCGTCAAAGGTACTCAGCATCTTAAATGCAGGCGCCTTCCAAAGAAAGAAACGAGATCTCGAAACAACCGACTTCAATTTCAGCCCCGTGCTAGCTGATCGAGACACTTGCATCGATCCACCGCTGACCCACCACTACGATGGACTTACCCGCCGGTCAAAGCAAGGCGGCCGCCTCATCCGACGCCAATCTACCGCCCCCACGCCAGGATATACCACAAGCGACGACTTCGGCACAGACGGCGACGACACGATTCACTCGCGCATCCCCAATTTCTCACAGCCGAACGATCTTCAGGCCAACGCTTCGTTCCCGGTTGATGGATCTGTGCCCAAGACTGTCGATCTTGTCTTCCTCGACTTTATCGCGAGTTATATTGTCAATGCGCTGAATAGGCCTGATGTTGGTGGAGCGTACTCGCTGAGCCAGGTGTCGTACTATATGGACAAACATTTCACGACTAATAGCTACTTGCCGGCGTATGCGAAGATCGCTTGGCAGGCGAATGTACCGAATTGTCCTGTTGGCGAGGGAATCGGTACGTCGTAGATGTGGTAAGGTTGCTGGGTGGAGAGGGATCAAGCGTTTAATTATCCTGATACTCAAGAAATTTAGGGAAGGGCATCTCACGCGACAGATTGAGTACATATAAAATAGAAGGCGATAATTCTTCTAGCTCACGGAAAATATACTTGACACGTACGAGCTCTACACTTCGCTTCTTCTCTGCAATTTGAATGAAACAAACACTTTTGATTCATGCTCAAGTAATGCCGCGCGGTACATAGTATATAACACTCAGTCAACGCCATGCCATGCCGAGGAGAAACGCCGGGGCCCAAGTTACATTATAAATCGCACCTAATCGCTGCTCCGCCTGTGCTTTTTCTGCTTCTTGCTGGGCGTCTCCTGGGTGGTCACGACTTCCTGCACAGCACCAGCAAGAACATGCTCCACATCCTGCATCGTCACATCCTCGCCCGTATCCTCATCACCCTCAATTCCCTCCTGTACTACTTCCTCGATTTCCTCGATGCTCTGCTTCAGCGGGTCGACTACCGTCACCGGGGCTAGGACGTCAAAGGCACCCGTTCCGATGCCTCCGAGTCGGCCCACAACGATGCGCGCACTCGGATTCTTCAGATCGTCCCAATCTCTCTCGAGTACCGCGTCCTTCAAGAACCCTACTGTCGTCTCGAAGCTCATCTTCATAAACGGACTGACATTGCCCTTCAGGCCAATACGATTGAACGGCGTGAAGCCGCCACCCTTCGTCATGGTATCAGCAATGAGGTTAAGATGGCGCTGGTCGACATTAATACCGTGGCCGGAGAAAACGTTGTGCATTTCTCTGACAATGGTAGCGCGACAGGCCTCTACGCCGTAGAGGTGTAGCATGGAGACGATGTCATTGGTGAGGATGCGGTTTACGTCAATGATGTGAGAGTACTCGCGCATGGCGATCAGGTTTGAACCATCGGTGTTTATAACCGGCTCGGGGTCCGATCCATAGGTAGCGGCGGTGATTCCGGGGATGACGTGAATAGTCGCAAAGTCTGCGGTGGCTTCGACATGGTGCAGCATGAGCAATTTGGGCGTGGCGGCGGGGAACTCGAAAGTGATTTCGCAGAAGGCGCCTTTTCTGTCGTCGAAGGTGAAGTCGAAGACATCGGGGTTCTTGTTACAGATGCGGTCGCGGCGAATGTCAGAGGCTTCGTCGGTGGGAACCAGAATATCCTCGCCGTCGTCTTCCGAGTCAAAGTCAGGTGTGGTTGCGCGCGACGGTTTGGGGCTGCCACCGTACGTTTCGTCGTCTTCGCTCGCCTCTTCACGATCGAGATTGTCATTGAAGGCTTGTTCTTCGTCCTCTGGCTCGTCGTAGCCTACGCTGTCTTCTCGCCGACCCCGGGCTTTAGCTTGGGCTGCGTCGTCGTCACCTTCACCATCGTCGCTTTCTTCGTCCTCACGGCCACCTTCCCTGTTGGCCGCAAGATCAGGTTCACCGGTTGTTGGCTGGTCGATCGAGCGTAGTCCCTCTCCGATCGTAGGAATGGATGTAGAGTTTGCGGTGGATAACGACTTGTTCTCCCCCTTCTTCTTTAGATCGACGCGGATGACTTTCTGAAGACGCGGGCAGAACTTCTGCTCGATTGACTCCGCAACATCGCGAACCTTGATGGCATACTCTTTTGTGTACTCCTTGGCCGGGTAGAAGTCCAAGCGAACTTTGTAGCTCCTTGATTGACCGAACTGCGATCCAGGGCCAGAAGTTTCAGTGACAGTGACTTTATCTAGCACGGCCGAGAGCGGCAGACGAGTGATACTCTTGGCAAACTTCTCATTATCCTCCTTGGACAGTTCCGAATGTGGGTATAGTTGCATAGACGGCGTGGAGATCTTTGCACTAGCAGTCATAACAATTTCTCGTAAGCGGGGAATACCAAGTGTGACGTTCTTCGCAGAGTGACCAGCTAAATGGAAAGTGTTCAGTGTCATCTGTGTCGAGGGTTCACCGATGGATTGACCAGCGACGACACCAACGGCTTCACCAGGCTCAACTAGCGATCGGAGATACTTGAGGTCGAGCATCTGCTCAAAGCTTTTCTTGAGAATTTCACCCTCCGGGTCCTTCTTCTTGTTTTTGAGTAGCTTATCCGGGTTGCTATCGCAGTACTGTTTAAAATTAGTATCAAGTTAAATTCCGAGAAGATGTCTGGCTTACCTCTTTCTTTGCCTGGTGGAATAGTTCGGAAGTACTGCCACTGTGACGCGAAGGCGTGTAGATTGCAGTAGCTGGGTCCATTGCTGTGACATCACCCTTGCGAGCCTTCTTCGCAGCCTTCTTGTTGTGCTCGGAAGCCTCAGGACTGAACACCTGGGAAAAGGCTTCCTGGGTCTGCAAGGCTTGAGCAAGAGACAGAAAATTCTCGGCCTGGAACTTGAAGTCGTTCAAGTATTTCTGCCTGGTCGTGTCGAGACCATCTTCACCGTAGAGGAATTGTACCATGCTGCCATCTGAATCGCGCACAGAGGTATCGTATTCGACGTGCAGTCCTTCCAAACCTTTGACGATACATCGTTGCAAATAACCAGAACGCGAGGTCTTGACAGCTGTATCAATGAGACCTTCTCGGCCAGCCATCATATGAAAGTAATACTCCTGTGGCCTAACACCAGTTAGGAAGCGGTTGACGATGTATCCACCGGCGCGAACACTGGTCTCGAATGGCTTGAAACATGGTAGTGTCTTTCCACTGACCATGATAGGAACACGTCGACCTTCAAGAACCTGTTGACCGAGATTACATGAGATCTGGTTGGCGTTGACCAGAGAGCCTTTAGCACCTGAACCTGTCATGGCTTGCATTTGGTTCTTCGGGAAAAGCTTGATGAGCTTATCTGGGAGACACGCCGCGGTGACTGCCGAAGAAATTTTCTGGTTCGCGGTGGTGGTGAGCAGATCCAACCCGTGTTGCTTGTGATCATCTCGTAGGACGCTCTCCATACGTCTCCGTAGCTCCGGGTTTTTCGAGTCAATCTCGGCTGAGTCCATAGTGACGTACTTGGACGCTACTTCGAAACCAACTTGTTCAGCTTTCCTGAGCTCTTCCAACCGCGCTCTATCACCTTCTTCTGTCAAGATAAGATCTTCAACACCGCAGGAGAACGCGCGCATGTGAAGTAGCTTGGTGAGAAGTCGCCCGATGATACTCAGAGCTCGCCCTGCGATCGTTTCACCGTAAGCTTCGTATATACCATTGATCAAACCGCCCGGTGCGGGACCAATTTGGCTCTTGTCCATGATACCGCACAGCAGTTGGCCATCCTTCACGATAACCGTCTGCTCCTCGCTTGTTGGTCCCCACAGCTTTCCGTTGGTCGATGATTTAGACGTGAGCGTCAATTCCTGGTACTCTGCAGGTTTGATGTTCTTGAGCACGCTGGTGATGATCTGTTTACCCGTCCACAGTGGCTGAGGCTTCCATATGGTGGGTGGGACCGTCTCAAGTCTACCAGAGGTCGTATGACCTTCTTCAGGTCGCAAGCAGGAGTAGAGTAATTGGTGGTAATCTTCTCTAGTGAAGAAGGTATCCTTATTCGTGAGCCAGACCCCCATCGAAATATGATCCTGGATCAAACCCCGCAAAGGCTTGCCGGCTGTGGCAGATAGATATTGATGATCCGTGTCCGCAATCGTCATGGCCTCGGCGCGAGCCAGTTCGTTCTGAGGGAAATGCATGTTCATTTCGTCACCGTCAAAATCGGCATTGTAAGTATTGCAGTTTGCGTAATGCATTCGAATCGTTTTCTCGCCAGGTAAGACCCGGGCTCGATGGGCCATCATAGACGGCTTGTGAAGTGTCGGTTGTCGATTCATGATAACAACGTCGCCGTTGTTCAAATGACGATGTACTTTCTTGTTCTTTGATCCATTAGCATATGAGTTCGAAGGTGCAAGCAGTTGATTCGCCAAGGCCAGCCTCTCTTCGTAGTTCTTTTTACGCAACGCAATGACTTGTCCGAACTCGTTCTCGATTGCGTGTGCACCAGGCCATTTGTCGGGCCCATTGAGCACGGCTTCCTTTAGGTCGTAGAAGTTGTGGTTTGTGACAGGCTCAGGGTAGGTGAGCTTCATGGCGAAAACTGGGGGGACACCAATCTCATTGGTTTCAATGTTGGGATCAGGAGAAATAACACTACGAGCAGCGAAATTGACGCGCTTGCCCATCATATTCTTTCGGAAAAGACCGTCTTTCTTCTCGAGATGCTGCTTGATACCATCCGCATTGGTGACCGCGGCGCGGCCTTGAGTAGGGTTTGCATCACGATCGATCAGTGCGTTCACGGCACCCTGAAGGTTTACCCATTGAGTCTGCAGATCGTCGAAGTTGCGGCGTCGGTACCCACCCTCGTTCTCTTGACCCTTCATCTCATTACTAATCTGGCGCATAGCATCGCATGCATTCAGAATGCCTTTGTAGAGAGTGTTCTTTGGCGACTCTGCGATGGAGTCTCCAGTCTTGTCCTCCATCCTGAATCTATTGGGCGGCACAACGACGGTCTCCATGAAGAACATGTCTGCGCTCACGTCGATGAGCGACTTGGATGCGTATGGGCTGTACAGTAACCGCACTATCTCTGACTCATTCTCGAAAAGTAAGACCATGGCGGCTCTGACTTCGGCTGCCGTGATGTATTCTTGTGCACTGTCAGCGGCATCGACTGCCGTTCTTGACTTCCGCGCTGTCCCTGCTTCGGTAGCCACGAGAGATCCGTCGGCGTCTTGAAAGTCGTCCATGTCGATGTCTTCATCCTCCTCAGACATGTCGGCCACTCCTTCATCGGCGTGCACTGGCTGCTTCTTCGCTTTCGCGTCTCGCCGTGCGAGGATGTCGAGTGGGTTCTGCACGCGCTTCTCTGCTTGCGCCATTTGCGCCTTCTCTTTCTGACTCAGATTTCTTCTGAAGATTTTGATTCCTCGGTCCTTGCGGAAAGTAGGATTAACACCCTGACAGTTCTTGCATTTCTTTCCTGCTATGATTGCCGCATAGAAGTCCTTGATCACGATTCGCCGAGCCTCCGAAATGGTGTCATTTTTCTCTCGCATGGATCTCACGTCGTGCTTCGAAATGCCCGCCCGCTTGATGCACCGCTTCACGTAGTTGTTACGTTGACCCATAATGTCCTCGTTGTCGTCATCAGATTCCGAGTCCTCTACATTGCGCTTTCCGGTCTTCCCCTTGTTGATGTCGACATGCTCGTGCATTTCGTTTGCTTCCTGGACCAGCCCACATCGTATCAATCGTAGCCTCGACACGTATTCGTTGATCTGTACGCGGGCGAGCTTGAACTGATGGCAGTAGACGCATTTGCCTCGGAGCAGTCGCAGCAGCTGGTCCAGGAATGTGAGGTGGTATACGGGTACGGGGAGCTCAATATGACCGCAGTGGCCGGGACATCCGCCAAAGGTGGTAAGGCCGCATGTTGAGCATCTTCACGCCCATGGTTAGTAGAGAGTCTAGGGTCTTAAAACGTCGTTTTCAAGATGGCGAAGCTTACGGGTTGTCCAAAAACGCGCCTAATGCGGAGTCATGTAGGCCTCCAGGTACTGGATGCAGCAGAGTATCAAAGGTTGTTGGGTTCGTTATGCGCTTCACCGAGAGAGAGCGAATGTCGTTGGCCGCGAGGAAGCCGAACTCGACGCCCTGAATGGCAGACGAGACAGGCTGGTGGGTGTTCATTTTGGCGACAGACTTCCACTGTACTGCACTGCACCTGCAATAGTGTGATTAGAGTCGTGCGCAACGACTTTCAATAGAGTCAAGACGTCCAATGCGGCGGGGAGAGATTTTGGTAACAGAAAAAGTTGGCCCAGGGTTTAGCCGGCGCACCAAAGCACGTGCACGGACGGCAGCCTTCGATTTCGCGTCACCTTCGACCGCGATACATGACCATCACCAACATCCTTGTGCAGCTACTATACGCCTTCCACGACATTCACTGGCCTCTCTTCCCTTTGTCCTGGATGCAGTGAACTTCTGCACCCTCTTCCTTTGGCGATAGGACGCACGCAGCCTTTTACCATCTCCCCGCGACACCTCCGCAACAGCAACACGCGACCACCAACCCTTCTTCGCCCTCGCCATGGTTGAGAAGCGCCCATATCCCGAAGGCCAGGGCCCAAATGGCGACGTTAAGCGCGCGAAACCATCAGATGCCATCGCCGCAGCTCGGGCAAAGGCCGCAGAGATAGCAGCTCGATTTGCTGCCCAAAGGGCTACGACAAATGGCGCCTCTGCGACCCCCCCACCACCACCAGCGACTGCTCCTGTCAGTGATGCGCAAGCGAAGATTGCGGCCATGAGAGCGAGGATGGCGGCGCTCAAGGGTGAACAGGTCGAGACCAAAGCCTCAACACCCGAACCCACAGGCCCCCGCTTCGCGACGACACTGGGCAACCGCCGCGCTGAGACGCCCAAAGTAGAAGCAAAGCCTAAAAGTGCGCCCAAGGCACAGCAGCAGCAGGATGAGGAGCTCGAGAACCCCTACTTCGATCCCAAAGCCGCTGCATTGGCCAAGGGAAGGGGCCCGCGAGTCTTGGTCTTTAATGAGCGCGGAAAATACCTCGACCAGGCCTCCAAGCTACGAGCGCAGAGTCGTCTTGAGCAGATCAAAAAAATGCTTGCACTGCAGGCCCGCCGCGCAGGCCTAGACGAGAATAGCGAGCGTGGATTTCTTGTACAGCCACCCCCGGACATTGAGTGGTGGGACGAGGGCATCCTGCCAGACAAGAACTATGATTGCATTGACGAGCCTGACAAAGTCAAGATTAACAGCGACGACTCCATCATCACCATCTACGTGCAGCATCCACCGCTTCTCAAAGCACCACAAGATCAACGCCTAGTTCAAATCAAGCCTATGTATCTCACCACCAAGGAGCAGGCCAAGCTGCGGAGGATGCGTCGTGCAGCCGACCTGAAGGAACACCAAGCAAAGATCCGTCTCGGGCTGGAGCCGCCTCCACCCCCCAAGGTCAAGCGTGGCAACATGATGCGTGTAATGGGCGAGCAAGCTATCGCGGATCCTACGGCTGTCGAAATGCTAGTCGAATCACAGATTCAACAGCGACACGACGACCACGTCACAGCGAACGACGACCGGAAGTTGACAAAAGAACAGGAGCACGCTAAGCTTGCTGCAAATCAAGAGAAGGATGCGCAGAAGGGCTTGTACATGTGCGTCTTCAAGGTCAACACACTGGCGTTTGGCAAGCATCGGTTCCAGATCGACAACAACGGCAAACAGCATGCCCTCACCGGCGTTACTCTGTTCAACCCTGAACTCAACCTGGTGGTTGTCGAAGGCGGCGCATACGCGGTGAATAAATTCAAGAAGCTGATGCTCCACCGCATCAACTGGCAGGAAAACGCCCCACCTACGGAAACCCAGGCTGAGAAGCAAGCTTCAGATCCGCAATGGTTAAGGTCACTTGATGAGCAGGGGAATACAAAGGATCATTCGGCCAACAAGTGCATCCTTGTCTTCGAAGGCGAGATCAAGCAGCGGTCGTTCCGCAAGTGGGGTTCAAGAGTGTGCGAGACCGCTGGCGAAGCTCGTGAGACTCTCGGCAGAGCTAAGCTCGACAGCCTGTGGGCACTGGCAAAGAGCATGGAGTAGACATATCGGTCACGATTACTGGCATCGACGACTTCACAGAATATATTCGGATCGTGGATCTATGACGCTCTATCGGGTGGCTATCTTTGGGGCAGGTTTCTCTTCGTGCTGAATGTAAGTTGTACTCGATCTCCATAGGATGAGACTATATGTATTAATGCAAGACTTTCTCAACCAGCTGCGCAGTCGTGACAATGGCTCACACCCAAGATCAACTCCAACATTTGTGAATCCTCGGATACGCATAGGTGATGCCACCAGTCATCGCTTTGCCCCAGCGTGAGAATATGCAGCGTGACAATGATTACAGGGCTTCCTTTGATGAAATCCCCCTTTTCAATAATACGTAGTCCTTATTACAGTGTTTCCTGTCCTCAAGCGCCACTTAGTAGACACATCGCTGTAGGTCCTCTAATTTTCTCTTGAACCATAATGCTTCATTATCATCTCTTGTCCAACTTTCAAAGAGGTCATTCTTTTTTCTCACACCTCTTCTTTCTTCAAATAACACCCTGCATTGCGTGGCCTTGGGCACTTCCTTCTTCTGCTTCATGGCTTCGAAATGACTATTTAGTCTTTTCCACAGAGGAGTTACTCATGTCATGAAAGTATTTGGTAAAAACTCCGACTTGAGGTGCGGACGAGACACGTTTTATGCACCTCAAAGGGCGGTGTATTTTCCCACCCTCTGGTCTATCCTGGTCTGAAGACAGATACCACTCCTCCCTATGCATACGGTAAGCAAAAAGATAGCACACCTCGACTTTTTCCACGCTTAGAGCCGCTTGTCTATTGAACGTGTGACCTAAGTCTCGGGGTGCTGACATGATGTATAAAAACTTCATCTCCCTTTGCTCGCAGTTTTGTTTTTTGCCTAATTGTACACCAGATCTAGAATAAATCTAGAACAAACCAACCTATTGCTTAATATCTCCTCTCGCCCGATTTCTTCCTGTATTCTTAAGTTGCCCCCATTCCCCACAGTGTGTTCCTTCTTTCGGACCACCGACACTTGCTCAATTTTTACGTGTGAATTACCAGAACGTTGAAAAATGGCGGAAGGTCGTTATATGATTGTGATAAGTGGTGAGTATCGCATGAGACCCGTTGTGCCATACTCAATGGCCTTGGACAGGCGGATGGTCATATCCCAGGATCCCAATTTGCTCCTGGTTGCCACGAGAGCTAGGAAACAGGAATCGACTGCTTCTCTAGAGATTTGATTTACCTCTGATAGAAGAAGTCGTCCAGAGCGACCTCGTTTGTAAGTTACATGTGTTCACTAGAGCACGGTATATGGTTGTGGCACGAGGTAGTTAACATGTGTGGATGTTGGATGAGATGGTAGAAGTCTGAGTACGGTTTCTAACGTGCCACTGGCGTGGAACGAATTACTGTATATATACAACATGATGGCATGGCTGCGTGACTTCTAGATATACCACAAGCTTGTGTACGTAGAGGCTACCGCATAAGTTTTGAAGAAAGCTCATTGCAATGAAGTTCGTTTGGGGAAATCTCGGTCTTATCTCGTCGCAAGTTCACTTCGTTACTACAGGCTCACAAACCCCTGATACTCAGGCATTGGAGTCCAACGATTGTGGCAATTTGGTGCTCGGCGTTGTCGGAATCCAAATCAGCGAACTCGAAATGCTCCTTTGGTCTCCTTATGGCCAGATATGGATTCAAGGGGTGGGACGAGCTGAGTACAGCATGCAGTCTAAGGTTCTAGTGTCTAAACTCACCGATTCAGGAGCACGTCAAAGCAGGTGGGTGGCCTAACAGACACCACTCTACGTTACACCGTAAGCGGGATAATGATTCCGAGTGCGATGCATCCGGGTCAATGTAATGCGAGCATACGGTTAATGAAGCAATCAGATTGCCCAGACATTTTAATATCTCTCTAGGTAAACGAGTCCAGGCAATGCAGGCATGTTCGTGTCTAGACGGAGATGAGAGGAGGATAATGTCAGAAACAGACGCACCCCGCAACAGGTCTTCGTATCGACGATAACTGTAGACATGGCATCCGGCTGCATCCACCGATCGGCAAAGAGGACTACGGCCCGCCCACGCTCTGATCGGTGAAGCGACCGCGGTTGTTGGATGACGAAGGGTGCGAAGAAGCCATGCGCGAGTTGAGCTCGACTTCTAGGATCGGATACTTGCAGACTGACAGGCAGAGAAGAGTGGAGTAAAGAGCTGGGGTTGAGAGACACTTGTGGAGATGCTGAGAGTGAGAGAAAGGTCCAATGAGGTGAGTGGAGTAGATAGGAGATATACAAGGTGTGCTTTCCAAGTTGCTCGTAGTAGCATACAAATCCGTCGTACCGAGTATCGTAAGTGGTCATAGTACATTGGCAATGAGGACAGGAGTGGAATCGTGTCTTCTCAACAGATACGCCCGCGCTCATCACGCCCATATAGCAGCCTTGGAGTACATCCCGTCAGTGACCCGTCACACGAAGCCTGGAAACTGTAAACTCACACAAGTGCTGTGTTACCCCAGGTCGGGCGGTTGCTGTATTGCGCCCATTCGACAAGCCCTTCTCTCGCAAGAACGCATGTAGTCGAACTAACCTCAACAACATGGCGATCAGCAATGGCTATCACCCTCGCTTAGCCAGTCGATCAGCCACATGCATAAAACACGTGAAAGCGCCTGCTCATGAGAGTGGCGTGGGATTGCAGGTTCCACCTGGTCGTGGGTATGCCGATTACCGATAATCGAGGCATGGGATGCTGTTCTGCCGCGGCTGGCATCCAGTCTCGCCCTCACCTTGGCAACATCTGATACTCGAGTTTTCGAGTCACCAGATAGAAGAGGGTGGAGGATCGGAGATGAGAACGTTTTGAGCCGCAATGCCAAGCGCAATACGAAGAGATTGATGAATAAGTTCACTCTGCGCCTCAACTCCTACTTGAATCACGAATCGCGCAAACATCGGGAACGCTAAACACTCGGCGTCCGAATGGTGAAGGAACAAGAGCATCCACTTTCACATGCCATATCAAGTTTCCTTTCTTAGCCCTAGGCCGTCCTCAACAGCGTTCCACCGTTGCCGTTGACGCGCGCCGCAATGCGAATCAACGCAACGTCCTGCGCTGCAATGCGCTGTACAAGTGCTGCACGTATGACGGAGTGCGTTTCAATCATGGATTGCTATGATAAGGCGGTTCGGGGGCCAATTGGAAAAGTTTGTTCGAGGGAACCATGATTACTTGCATCCGTATACGGAATGTCGCCTTATCTACGGTACAGCGATGAAAGAAGGCCTGAGGCCCTGACGAGTGGGAGATATCCCTCCGCCACAATATACTGCCCTGTGGCGAAGATTGTACGCCATCTAAACCGGCATAGGACGGCTAGGTCCCGAAGCGCACATTGCCTAATACCTCTAAAAACAGTGTGCATGGGAATGGGATCCATGGCAATCTTTGCTTCCAAGGCAGATGCATCCGCAGGCCGTCTATTGCATCCGGAATGCACACGAAAATTGGGTCTCTCAACTATCCATTATACAGCTTCCGCCAATGAGACTGATGCTCTGGCGGGCCTTATCGTGAAGTCGGGCGGGCCGGGCCAAACCTTGGAAGCCTGCTTTTCACATGCCAGAGCTAAACGCCCTGCAGCTGCGTCAACGCCTTGCCCAATGTCGTGACCTTGTGAATGCGCACGAAAACTGATACGCGAGGCACGCATGACAGCATGCTGAGGCTTGCCTTTGCAATCGTGCAACACTATTTGTGCCCTCTTTCGCATCTTCATTTGTTCTGCGTTGACGACCAAAGACAAGAGCAAAGTGTGTCGTAAGAAATACGAAAGAAAATTGGCCCGTTGACGTTGGCTGCGACTTATCGATAAGACAGACCACTTTCACATGCCATTCACCCACTCGACCTGAACCACGCCGTTTTCAGCACAGGGCACGCACAAGCTCGCCCAGACAGTGCATCATCGCGCAAGAGGGGAGCGCTTGCATATAATAAGGCGTTGGGACGAAAACCCTTTCCCAACGTTACTCTTACTCCTGACACCAGTTGCTCGCCATCCATCCCCACTTACACCACATTCGCAAACACATAACACTGCATATTCCTCTCTTTTATGGCACCACACGCTGAAGACGACACGAACTCTCAATCAAACGGCGATATGAGCAACCACGAAACTACCTTGACTAATGGCGAGACGCCGAGCTCGAGGGTTCTATCGGTACGTGTTATTGCGATTCTGCCACACATTCCGTATCCAAACTTCATCATTCTTCTGGAAGCGGCAGTTGCTGGTCACCGCACGACGACGACCTCAGGCAATCATCTGGAAATACCAATTGCAAGGTTGTGACAGGCGTTGAAGCCCCCCAATCTACCGTTGGACCAGTTACACTGCATTCCTAACACACGATGTGCGACGGAACTCATTTCCGTCCAATCAATCCCCCCACGTCTCACTCAGCCAACAAAAAAATTACAAACCAATCAGCTAACGCGAACTGATAGCATCTGCAATCTTATCCTGTAGTCCACGACTCCGTCGAAGGATTCAAGTCCCATCCCTATGGCTCCAAGACCCTTGCCCTCGCCACCAACACGTACAACAGCGTCGTCGCACCGTTCCACCCATACCTCAGGACACCCTACTCGTACGTTGCTCCCTACATCGAGCATGCAGACAAGCTAGGCGACAGCACGCTCTCAAAGATTGAAACACACCTGCCGATTGTCAAGGAGGATACACCCAAGCTCAAGGAGTACGCGTTGTCACCTTACACATACGTCAAGGGAACATGGGCAGATGAGTACAAGAAGACGCAGAGGCAAGATGGTCTGGTAAAGCAGGGTATCGTGCTTGTAAGCACCGAGCTGAAGATTGTGCAAGATGCTTGCACTGTCTTCCTGAGCTACTGGAACAAGGGCAAGGAGCAGACAAGCAAGAAGGTCGAAGAGGTTAAGCAGTAGGGTGCGATGTTTCTTTAGCTGGAGGCACCCAAGGTCCTCATTATGGTCGTCGGGTAGGGCTGGGGAGTGTGTGGAACATTGACGCCTATAAGGCTGGCGGTCGAGTAGCGCATCGTGGGTGAAGGAGTTCAAAAGCTTGTTGGGCTTGTTGAGGTGGCTGTTTCCTTTGGCACATTTAGATACCTTTTATTCCTCGTGCATGGTTGTACGTTCCTAGTCGCTTTCATTCGTACAAGCATAGATCGTTAATTTAATGATTGAGATGATACTGGCGTTCACTTATAATCCATCATGCCGATGCATCTCTGATGGTGACTCGTCTCTAAACTCGCTTCGGACTCCCTCAGCCTACTCACTGGTTCTCTAGTAAAAATTCTGTCAGTACTCACGCCTTAGGGAAGGGAGGTTTTTTTGCTGAAAGATACGAATAGGGACAATGAAAAAGACCAGAGAGGAATCATGAAATTCGTGAATTTTGATCCCGATGCCGGATTTTCATGCTTTGATTATCAAGCCGAAGTACACGCCTGAGTGGCAGGCCACTTTTGAGGTCCTGTCCACCATATGATATCCACCGACATGCTCATGCAGGATCTCCACGCGTGTCAAATCATGCCCCGTCTGCGCCCAGCCGTAACCGAAGAAAAGCCTAGAACTGTAAGGGAGTGAAGAACCACCTGTTCTTGCCCGACTGGTATCGCTCCTCGAAAGCCTTCTTAACCGTCTTCTTGGCATCCTCCCGTTGCGAAACCTCCTTGAATGTGTCGGCGGAGAGCACGCCCTTCAGGTTCTCGAGCTCAATGGTGTAGCGGGTGGGCATGATGTGGGTGTCTGTGTGAATCAGCACCTGTCGTTCCAAGTTTATCTTCACTGCCACGTACAGTTGACCTGCTTGACGAAAGGCTTGACCTTGCTCTTCTTGGCCTGCTTGTTCTTTGACATGCGGCGGGTGACCTTGGATGGGTAGGTCTCGATTCCGGCGACGAGAGCGTGGGGGAAGGGATGCGACTTGGTGCCGTTGTCAAGAGGCGAGATGATCACGCACTTCTTGCCGGCATAGCGGCCCCGGGTAATGATCTAGGCGGACTGTGAGTGAGTGCGACAGGTGTTTTCGTGAGCGGCTTCAAACATACGACAACGCGTCCGACCTTAAGGCTGTGAGGTAAATGTTAGCAGTTGTACTGTCGCATAACGAGTGTTTTTCGCAGGGTGCAGCAATTGAAGGCCTGCAGAGTCTTTGGCGAACCGAAAAGCCTCGCATTCCGCCATTTGCATTCCCTGGATATTCGTTCGACGGTACTGGGAGCTACTTACAACTTCATCTTGGCTGTAGTCGTTGGTGATGGGGTTAGTCGTGGAGTTCGAGGTCGTCGAACGGAAAATGCGCCAGTTCGTGTGCGCGGCGCTCGCTTGATCTTTTGGCCGTGAGCGCACGCTAACGCCTCTAGCGTCGCCTCTGGTTGGTCGGCCCCTCCATCGCCGCTGCCGAAATCTCGAAGGCCCGCCAAAAAGTTCGCGATGCTTTGAACTCAGCTGCACTACACGGCTCAGGACATCCATCATGAAGATCAAGGCTCTCAGTCGGTCCTCGTCGTCGGCGCAAGCCCCGGGCTCGACTATAGCCAAGGTCACTCGCAATCTTGACCCTAACCTGCACCCCTTCGAGCGAGCACGCGAATACACACGAGCATTGAATGCGACCAAGGTCGAGCGCATGTTTGCGCAACCCTTCCTTGGAGATTTCGAACCGGGACATGTCGATGGTGTCTACTCCTTTGCCAAAGACCCCAACTCGCTCGAGCACTTCGCCAGTGGTAGTGGTGATGGTGTGGTCAAAGTATGGGACTTCACAAGCAGGCAGGAGAGGTGGCAGGCGCAAGCGCATGAGAACTTGGTCAAAGGAATGTGCTGGACGCAGGACAAGAGACTGATAACATGCGGATCGGATCGGCAAATTCAAATGTTCGAACCTTACGCCCAGCCCTCAAAGTCACCACCAAAAGCGACCTGGCACGGCAACGCTGCCTTTACGTCTGTCTCGCACCACCGCTCGCTACCTTCCTTCGCTGCGGCGTCGAGCGTAGTCTCTTTATATGACACCAGTCGCACATCAGGCGCGCCAGTGCAGAACCTCGTCTGGCCTTCGGCCATTGACACGATCAATTATGTTACTTTTAACCAAGTTGAGACGTCAATACTGGCATCTTGCGCCACCGATCGAGCTGTCATTCTGTATGACGTCCGCACAAATTCGCCCCTACACCGTACTGTCCTCAATTTCGCATCGAACTGCATATCCTGGAACCCAATGGAAGCGTACAACTTCGCAGTTGCTAGTGAAGATCACAATATCTACGTAAGTATCACAACAGAGAACTTCGTGAGGGCTATTTTAACTTTCTCATAGATATTCGATATGCGGAACATGAAGCGAGCGCTGCAGGTCCTGAAAGGTCACGTCGCTGCGGTCATGAGTGTTGAGTTCAGTCCAACGGGAGAAGAGCTTGTGTCTGGCTCGTACGACCGATCGGTACGCCTATGGGAGAGGCAGAAGGGTCACTCTCGCGATACCTATCACACCAAGCGCATGCAGCGCGTCTTTTCAGTCGCCTGGAGTCCGGACAACAACTACGTACTTAGTGGCTCAGACGACGGCAATGTACGCCTCTGGCGTGCGAAGGCCTCAGCAAGACAAGGCGTCAAGTCCTTCGCTTTACGACAGAAGCTGCAATATGATGATGCACTCAAAGAGAGATATAAGCACATGCCAGATATCAAGCGCATCACCAGACACAGGCATATTCCTAAGGCAGTCAAGAAAGCTGGCGAGATCAAGAGTGAGGAGCTCAAGGCCCTTAAGAGGAAGGAAGACAATGAGAGGAGGCACACGAAGAAGGGCGAGGTCAGACGGAAAGCGGAGCGCGAGAAGATGGTTTTGGCTAGAGAGCAGTGATGCACTGAGAAGGGCCTCTTTGACATTGATCTGCATAGCGATGGCGTTCTTCTGACTTCATGAAATGACATCTAAAAGGTGTTCGCATTGCGGGTTATTCACAATTGACACGAAGATCCGGGCAACGATCCCGAAAGCACCGCACCATTAGCATGAAATACCCGGTTTACTTTGTACACTCCGCTTATTCCCACCCTCCATCCTCGATGTGACAACATACCGTACACTCGACGGAATGTAGTTAGTCTCCTACACGTGATATCGCGCGATTGCGTCATCTTCTTACAAACACCAAACGAAAGGGCGAGACTAGCAAACATCCACGACTCGAATCAATCTTGTCATTCCTATGAGACATTCGAATCAATACTGAGGTTTCATTGCACACTTCCTTCTACTCAGCAAGTTTACAGGCGTCATGGCATCCATTTCAGCGCACAAGATTCAAGATGACAAGTTCAACAGCCTCGGCTTAACTAAACTGGCAGTGAACGAGGAGCAAGTTACTTCTTATAGTCGCGCGCTGGGTACCGCGTCCGAGAAGAATCCTATCCTTGTGCTCGTTCATGGGTACCCCCAATCGGCCTACATGTGAATAATTTCCCTACCATGTTGCCTACGATATACAATAATTACTAATCACACAACAGGTGGCGCCATCTCATTCCCTTACTACCTCAAAACGCGCCAATATTCGCTCCTGATCTTCCTGGTTATGGCACGAGCGCAGCTATCCAGAAAAATGATAAACTGACTATTGGCAATGCTATCCTAGCGGCGCTGATGACTGAAATCAAGAGAACATCGAGTGGGTCTTCGACGAGCAACATTCCTGTTGTGCTTATTGGTCATGACCGCGGAGCAAGAGTTTTGCATCATCTTGCTGTTAGTGGCGTGGAAGGAGTCAATATACTGGGTGTGTGTCTGATTGATATTGCAAGTGGATCTCTTCCAATATAATATATCCCCAAACGGCTGTCTAGCAGGAATTAATAAGTATCAACAGGTCCCAACTTCAACACAATGGCAGCGCAACGCCTCACCCGTAGACGCCGCAAAGGAAGTAACCGGCTACTTCCATTGGCCGTTCCTTGCCAACGTCTCCCTTGCAGTCCGTATGATCACCGCCTTCGGTGCCTCGAACTGGTGCGAGGAAATGATTCTCCACTGGGCAGGAAAGAACCCTTCGGGCCTCGACAACCTAAAAGCTGATGACGCGCTTACTGTCTATGGCGAGTTCCTCAGCCAACCGCATAGTTTGAAAGCGAGCTGTGAGGACTACAGGGAAGGCGCGACTACCGATGTCGAGAGAGACCAGCAGAATCAGAAGGAAGGGAAAAGAATCAAATCTCCACTGCTCCTGTTGTATTCGGCTGATTACATCGGAAGTCGATACAAATTCCCGGATGTGTGGAAAGACTGGGTAGATAATGGGGTGGAGATCCAGCACCACAGCTTCGGGGATGGGATTGGACATTTTGGCGCTGAGGAGGCGCCACAAGAGGCCGCGAAGGTCATCAATGCGTGGCTGACACGGTTAGGTGTAAATGCTGCATCATGAGTGGGATAGGGTGACTTGGATGGCCGTAATATCTTCTCGGTTATTGGGTATCGAGTCCAGTCAATATTGAATATATTGAGGCCAATGGATGGTAGTGTGGTACGTTACCATGGAAGAAGGTGTAAGGAATTTCACTATGCAAATTTCACTCACTCACTCCAATTCCATATAAAACCCCTCCCGTCCCCCAAATCCGCCTCGACACAACCATTTCACTACCCATCACCCATCACCCACACATTCAAATACCCTCTACAAAATGTCTCCAACAAACACTTTCCACCCATTCTCACGCCTACCCGCCGAGCTGCGCGACTCAATCTTCAACTTCAGTATGCCTTCAACTACAACTATACACATCAGCGAGGCCGAGTTCGAAGTCACACAAATTTCATCACCACCCAGCCTCCTTACCACAAGCCATGAGGCCCGCGAAGCAGCTCTAAAATGGGAGTTGAAGAAATACCCCATCTGGACTGTAGACGATTGGCAAGACATCTACCTTTCGCCTTCTTCCGACACAATCCTCGAACTTGTCATCGAGCCCTCGAAAAGCCACACTCTCAATATTACATGGACGGAGCTGCACGAGATCCTTCACGATGCGCTCACAGAGGCGAAACGCCTCCATATTGTGTGCAGTGAGCCTGAACGCCTAGCTAGGCTGTTCATGCTGCCTGAGGGTGAAATTGTCAGCGTGGGGGAGAGTTGCGTGGAAAAGGGATTGTTCGGTAGCGAGGTCATTTCTTCGGATCGAAATGTTCGCCAAAGCCTCCAAGGAGAGGTATTAGTAACGACAAGCACGCGGACGGTGGAAGAGATTCGCCAGGGAGAGAAGGATGACGTAAGGGTGTGGAGCATGGTCGATGAAGAGGTTTCGGACGGTTTTGGGCCCGAGGCTCGAGTCTTCACCACCAAGGCTTTTGAGCAGTTGCTAGTGGATGGATGGAAGTGGAGCAGCATGCATGAGTTGCATGATATTGTGAAGGCTTCTGGGCTGCTCGACCGTGGAGCAGTTGAGGAGGAAGAAGGGGAGGCTGGTGAGCAGCAGAGGGAATTGGAGGAGAAGTCAGGGGATGACTTGACGATGGAAGCGTTGAAGACTTTCAACGAAGAGATGGCGAAGTTGCGGCCCAAGATATCGTATAACGCTGCGAAAGAAGCTTAGGAGGTAGCGTTATGCCGGAGTATGATCGAGATGAGCTGTCTGGTCATAAGGTAGCCTGTAGAACTTCAATACAGTTTCGTTCGTCACTTCGATGGCAAAGATACTGCGCATATGTCCGGCCTTGAGTGAGCGTGTGTGAACCTAATGAATGCATCATACCGTGAAAGGATTCAGATTGGTGTATGCTAGAACTCATCATGTCATTGACCCGTCTACAATTCATGGTCCCACCCTAAGAACGCCATCCTGCCGTTGTACCTAGAAAGTCCCAACCACCCTCTTCACCGTTCTCCTTGGCCCATCACCACTAACCTGCACAGTACCTTCCGATTCCGCACTCCTTAGAACCTCAAGGAATTCTTGGTTTTCCACCTGTTCGCTCGCGCCCTCACGAACCCGCTTAACGAGCTCACTGAGCCTTACAGTCTGACCTGGAGAAGCAAGCTCATCGAGCGCAGCAAGCACCGCTCGTTTAAGATCCTCTCTCCTCTTGCGATCGCCCGTTGATGTGCCCTCTGTGAGAAGCGACATATCGATAAGACCCGTGCGCGCGTCCGTGGCGGCTTGCTTGAGTGCGGACTTGATGAGGCGAACAGCTTCGTGAACGTCATCTGCCGTTACCTCTTCAGATAAACGCATCTTGGCGTGTGCTTCGGCAAGGCGGATCATGGATTCCAGTTGACGGGTGGTGGCAGTGATTCTGCGCTCTTGAGAGCGAATATCAGCACCAAGGGCGCGCATAGCGACGTATGCGTCTACGAGGGCTTTTGAGGCGGGTTCGGTGATCTTGGGATGGATATGGGTACGAGCATAGGAGATGTAGGAGGTCAGGAAGTCGATAGGCATGATTTCGTTCTTTGACGCATTCTCGGGTACGTCTTCGAGGTACATGCCGACAAGATGACGGGCGAGGCGGCGGTCGTTTTGCTCGTCAATGCGATCGAGAATAAGGTAGACCAAATCGAAACGTGAGAGTAGGGTGGGCGGGAGATCGATGTTCTGCGGGACGGGTAGGTTGACGTCGTATTTTGAGCCGATAGGGTTGGCTGAGGCAAGAATAGAAGTACGGGCGTTGAGAGTGGTGATGATGCCCGCCTTCGCGATAGATACAGTCTGCTGCTCCATCACTTCGTGAAGTACAGATCGCGTAGATTCCGACATTTTGTCGAACTCGTCGATGCAGCAAACACCGCCATCGGACAAGACTAATGCACCAGACTCGAGCACGAGCTGTCGAGTCTCGGGGTCCCGGGTGACATACGCCGTTAGACCTACAGCAGAGGAGCCCTTTCCAGAAGTGTACACGCCGCGCGGCGCGATTCTGTGTACGTACTGCAGGATCTGCGATTTCGACGTGGATGGGTCACCACAGAGAAGGACATTAATGTCGCCCCTGTATTTGGGGCTACCACCCTTTTCGAACTGTTTGTTCGTGCCGCCAAAGAGCTGGAGCAGAATGCCTTTCTTGACATCGTCCATCTCATAGATACTAGGCGCAAGTGATCGAGAAAGGAGTTCGTAGACATCCGGACGAGCACCCGTAGCCTTGATCTTCTCCTCTTCTTCCACTGAGACTTTGCGAGTCTCTTCGATATCACCAGCTGCATGCTCGGCGAGCTCCTCTTCAATGGTTGACACATCGATGCCCATCCGCTTCTTATCAACTTTCTGGATATGTAACGTATCGACGTACGTCTTGAAGATATTCTTGACGGACCGCTGACGGGGGTTAATGCGGACTTGGTTGCACTTGAAGATACCTGTGATTTCGACTCGGTCACCGGCCTTGCAGACATCGACAAGCTCATCATATGCACAAAGTGAGACAGAGTGTGGTGTCTGGCCATCTGGCATATCATCTGGTGTCTCTTGTAGCTTAATGACTTGCTTGTTGGCGAACCCGGAGCGGTTGTGAACGATCTGCATGCTATTCGGCGACTCGCAGACGGCGCGTGGGCATTTTGTGGGTTCAGTGATCTTGCCACGATCAATGTCGACGCGAACCGTGTGATTACACACCGAGCAGCGGAAGAAAGCTATTCATGTCAGCAAAGATCCGAGAAGTCACATTCCAGTAAACTTACCATCCTTCATGTCTGGTATAATGGGAGTGGTCCTAATCACTAGACCCTTGACGCTAACGAGCTTGTCCATGTCACCAGGATTCAACTCGCGCAAGTTGATTGTCTTATCGAGACCGAATGGCCTGACATTGTACGTCTTCTGATCTACCTCGCTCACCAAGTTGGGAATGTCAGCGAATGGTGCGGGCGATGGAGCGCCCGGGGTAGGAGCATCAGAGCTCAGCATGGGAGGAAGAGAGCTGGAGTCTCGAGCCCTGGGTTGCGCAGCGCGCTGTGCCTGGGAGAGCTGAGTCCTCATCTCTGCCATACGCTTCTCGGCGAGCTCAAGCATCGTGTCCTTGATGGCAACATCCATAATCGGGATGATTTCATTCGGGTAGGCTTGCAATTGGTGCCAGAGCTTTCTTGTCGGTGGGTAGGCCTTCAAATTGCGGGCATCCAAGTTCAAGGGAGTGACACCTAGTTCAAGCATCATCTTCATGATGTCGACATACTCGCGAGCCATGGCGGGGTGCTCTGTGGGTAAGCTCATGCCCTCTTCCAGCTCGCCGTCCTGGATCATGCGGTACTTGCGCTGGAAGTTCATAAGAAAGTCCCTCATAGCATGCCTAGCATCCACAAGAGACACGTTAGTACCCCAAATCACTCGTGACGAGTTTCCGCCCAGTACGTCCGCATCCGAGGTATCTGGATTCAAATTGGAAAAGGTGGGAGCGTCTGACGCATCGTGAACAGCCATGCCATTCTCATCAACAAATAGCCTGCGGCGCCGATTGGTAGAGCTTGTGCCGAAGACATCGGAGTGGATATCGTTTCGTCGATTGCGGGCTGCGGACTCGGAGCCACGGACGAAGAGGGCACTGCTGCTGCTTCGGATGTCGGTATTTTGAGCGTTGCGGGCTCGGCCAGGGCTGGAGCTGGAAGCATAGTGGATGGGAGAAGAATCTGTCAATGTTAGCAATGCGTTCAGTCGCATACCGAAATTCTTGCATACCTCCAATAGTCATGGCACTGGCCTTAGGCGTCGCACCGCCATCGCTCTCTGGCGCACCATCTGCTACCCCTGAACCGGAGGGGTTGACGGGCGACGAACGGAAGAAAAGTGGCGATTGCGTTGATGCTGTCTGCAACCTCGAGTTCCTGGGAGTCGCTTGCGATTCACGGTTTGACGCCTGGGAGGCTTCAGACTGGAGCTGTTCGTCTGGGCCCACTGGCGCTGGGCTGCTGGAGGGCATGCGAGAATTTCCATCGCGGGCGCTTCTTCGTGGGGTTACGGAAGCAGAAGTGCGCTGGGAGCGACGCTTCGCTGGAGATGACATTGTTGCAAAGCCCCGAATATACTCTATTCAGAGGACGATGCGATGGTGATCTCAAGAGCCGTGGAGGGGGGCAACGCTGAGGGATGTTGGGCTGGACGCGCCTTCTCCTTTCGACGCGACGCGTTCTGCGCTAAACCTAAGGTGGATCAAAGTGGTTCTTGGCGTCTTCACTGGCTTGTGATGATTCTCTCCAGCTGCTCGAGGAGTGTCAGTGAAACAATTTCCTAAGGTCATGAAGAGAGTGTCTCGCTTGATAGCCGAGTTCATAACTTTGCCAGAGTGGCTGTTCAGGCCCCTCTGCTCAAGTGATAATCACCTAGTGGGGTTAGTCCGTTCAGCTATCGATAAGATGTAGGTGCTGGCCCCGCGATCAGGTTAATTTCGTCAATCAACAAATATCACTTCTAGGCAGCAGCAACATCGCAATTGTCAAAACACCTGCATTCCATTTCGTCGCCTAATACACCAGCAGTCGTTCCATCATAATGGCCCCGCCCTCCAAACTCGCCATTGCAACCGGCGTCGTCCTCCGCTTAGTAAAGGAAGAAGCAAGCTACCACAAGGAGATTGTGCAACAGGAAGCCCGCATCAAGAAGAGCGAGGCGAGTGAGGGTGAAGAGAATGCCGAGTACATATTGAGACAGGAGGTGAACAGCCGCATAGCCAGGTTTTCTTTTCGGAATTCCTCCATGCTAACAACTCATAGCGCCAAGCTCTTGAAGAGACTAAGAAAGTCTTGCCTGGTATGAAGACAAAGATCGAGCAGGCGCTGGAGAGACTGGAAGAGGAGCTGGTAAGTGACCGACACCTGATTGGAGCAAAGATAGGTCGAGCTGACTGGTAATTAGGAGAGCAACAAGGAAGCTGGTGGCGATCCCTCGACTGCAGAGGTCACGAAGGCTGAAGAGGCTATTGCAAAGGGGAAGGAGGCTATCCAAGAGGCCTCGTAAAGTTTCGATCGCTGCTAAAAGGAGCTATGATACCCGTACCTAGATGTACAAATGACCCAGTATGATACGCCGACCTGAACACCATGCTATGCTAGAGAAATGCCCATAGTATCGGCTGCGATCATGATTCATCCATCTTGGACGCTGATCTGTCCTCCCCGTCGTCTTCACCATCCTCTAAGTCTTCTCCCTCCTCCAACCCGGACGAATCATCCGCGTTAGCGTCTCCAGAGTTTGCACCTGAATCTGCCATGTCAGTGTCCTCAACAACACCAGACCTAGCCGGAGATGCTACGACGCTAACTTCCCTCGACAGCGGCTTCAGTCTATCTTGTGGTGGCACTCGGAGCATTGAGGAACCTTCTCCACTCTGGCTAAGGTGTACCGGCGTCAACCCCCCCTCTGGCCTGGGGGTGCCAACGTGACTAACATCTCCCCTAGAGGTGCTACCTTCGTGCTCGCCATCCTCGTCCCCATCCTTCATCATGCCCTCTTTGCGCTCAGCCTCCTCCTTCTCGTCCTTGATCATGCGCAACATTTCTCGTGCCTCCTCGTCGAGGCGTCCGAATTGTGTGCGCCGCTCGCTCCAGGTGTTCTTTGCTGACTGTACCTCGTACTCCAGCTCTGCGATCTCTTCGTCTAACTTTGCGTGTGCTATAGCCTGCTCGTCCCGGGGTTTGAGCATCTTGCTACTGGTGATCTTCTCGGTCAACTCGTCGTACGTCTTACGAACTGCTAATGTTTCTTTCGCTTCGACAAGCTGTTCTCGTAACTCCTCTATAGTGTTCTTCACATGCTGCTGCTTCGCCGTGATGCCGTCCTTCTCCACCGCATATCGTTCGCGCTCCGTGTGATTACTGTTCGTAGTGAACTCGGATCGTAGGATGGCGAAGTCCAGAAGCGATAGCTCGTTCATTATATCTTTTCGCCAAAGCTCGATGTCATGTGCTTGTTGCTCGCGCTCAATTGCAACTGCGGCTGCAGCTTCCTCGGCGGCGGAGGCATCTGGAGGGGGAGACGGGAGCTGCTTTGGGCGCGCATCGTCGAAGAAATCGGACTTGAGAAGGCGACCAGCGGCGTGAATGTACGGTCGTGCCTCGACGGCGAGGAGTCGGGATACGTTGTGGAGCGCATCTAACAAGGTCAGTGGAAGCTTCGAATCGGAGGGCAGTATGGCTTACCTTCGTCTGCCTGGGACAGAAGGCCCCAATCCTGAATCGCCATTTCTTCTCGATACCACAGAAAGCAGGTCAGTGATATTGTAAGAGTCTTGTTCTTAAGCAGCTCACGTAGTTGCTGCCAAAGTCGCAATATCGAAGTTCCAAAACCGAGCACAACGCTAGCTGAACAGGGATCCGCCGTAGCTCAGCCCGAGGTCAACCTCCGACGTCAGAACCCCGGATATCTTTCACTGCACCTTCGATACGCCTTCGTACCCTCACTACTTTGATAGGAGCGACTCGGCTAGCCACTATTACCTCAACAACCACTTTAACAATCATGATGATGTGACTGCTGCGGGGTGCTTAGCCCCGTATTCGTTGTTCAAACCGCCCACGTACCATGGTTCACAGCGTCTAAGAGTCACCCGCTTTCCTTGCGAGTAAACGACCGCTACATTATCACATCGTGCACCCTCCAAATTCGCACCGCTACGTGTTTTTCTCCTTCGCCATCATCCATCCACCACCCATCATGCCAGTCCCCAAGCTCTTCGAGCTGGCCAGACAGCGCCTTATCAAAAACATCGATTTGCTCAACGACGTCGGAGACCTCCCCTACTCCTTTCTCGAGCCAGTTCTACGCTTCATCCAGAATCCCGACCAACTACAAGAGTTGGAAGAGAACTGCACACAGCTACTCGGCGAAACAGGCGACATATGGCTAAAGTTCATCAAGCGAGACATACCGAACTGGGACAAGAAACCACATGAGCCACGAGATCCCAAAAACTGGAGTAAGGTTTATCGGAAGCTCAGGAAGGATATGGACAAAGAGAAGCAGGCTGACGCTGATGCGCTGAAGCAGCAGATGCAGGCCTTGCAGAAGGATAGAGCACAAAACAAGACATTGATTGTGGATAGCAAGGTCGGATATGGCGCCGGTAGTAGCAGGATGTTCTCTTCTGTTGGACGTAGTAGCGGCTGGGGCGGCACTCCTGGAGCGCCCTCCAAGACTGGCAAAGTTGCATTCGACAAATTGAAGAGGGGCATATTCGATCACAAAAGGGAGCGTCCGAAAGCGCCACAAATGCCAGCGCACGTACTAGCTCAGCGGAGGACCCAGGTGGTAGAGGCGCCAGCTCGAATGGTGAGGATGGCAGAGTACGAGAACAAAGCTCCAAGAAATATGGTCTTGTCTAGGCCGGCTTCTGCGTCAGTGGCGAAGAGAGCTCAGCCGCTGCCATCCACGAGCCGACCACAGATCACGCAAAGACCAGTGGTACAACAGAGTACTGCCCCAACTCGAACGTCTCTCCCGGCTGGACAACAGTTTCACGCACCGAAGCTAAGGCCACCACAGGAGTCAGTGGGCGCTCCAACAACGAAGAGGAAGAGGGAAGAATATAATCTTTTCCACCAGCCAAAAAGAAAGAAGTTTTAAGTCAGAGGGTCCACCTCCACCTCCGTTCACTTCATTCTGTAATAGCTCTGGGGTATAGAGACAGATATCAGTCAGCGTGTTCCCTATTTGCGCTGTTTCCGTTTGTCACCATATCATTATGCAGTCTTACTCAGGAGCGTTTGATCTTCTCGGGCATTATTGGGTGACCACTAGCCACAGAGGCAGTGGGCGTGGCGCTTAGGATGTCATTACTACCGGGCGGCATCTTTTTCTGTATGTTTATAGTTTATACGTTCAAGTCACGGATCGCAGTCACTACAGCTCGTCTTCGCCATCGTCCACCTGTAACCTCCCATTGAATTAGTGCGAGGTGAAAGTGAAGGAGTGCGAGTTGTCTTGGCACTCCCAAATGCAGCAAGACCGTTCCGCGGGTTCGTACACTCCATCATCCCACTTGTTCCATACAAACACAAACACGCCGAATACCCTCGCAGCGACTGTACGTACCATGGCAGATATATTCGCGACCACTGGAACTACGATCCTAGAGACTGATAGCCCGTTTCGAATTCTTGCCCTACCGGCAGAGCTCATTAGTAGCGTTTGCGCCTTCCTCGAAGATGATGACCTTGTCAATATCCGTTGCGTATGCCGCGTGCTCAAGGCTCATTCAACTACTGCTTTCGGTACGCGTTTCTTCTGTCATCTCATCGCGATATTGCACCCTACCAGCCTCGCTGTTCTTCTAGAGCTTTCCCGCCACGAAATACTCTCGAAATACGTGCGTAAGGTCACGATAAGCGGAGAACTCCTGGGTCACAGCATCTTTCCGTTGCAAACCGATATGCCATCGCACCTTAGCCTACAGAAGAGCATCGAGAACTCGGGGTTGGACTATTTGATTCTTCTTGAAGCGTTCAAAGCCCTTCAGAACCTCGAGGTTGTCGGAATTGATGTTGGCTCTTTCCATGCCGCTGAGGAATTTGGATTCTGCGACCATGGAGTTAGGTGCGGGCGAGTCCAACTATACAAAGAAAATGTCGGCATCGATCACAACGAGGCAATGGGCAACAGTCGTGTCTATGATCCGGTGTTGCGGGCCCTTCATAGCGCCAATGTTCACGAGAGAGTCGAGTTATCACTCATGTTTCACCCCTCATCAGAGGAAGATTGGCCGGTCTCTTTCTTCGATGTTCAATCACTACTCTGGACAAAGTCGTTTGCTCCGAGATTGCGCGACCTATATAGCCTCGGCCTCGTGGATTCCAAGTGGATCAATACCCTCATGCATTCTGCAACCGATCTCCGCGAGCTTCATCTCCAGGGCGACCACGACCTAATCAGCCTTCCTACTTCAAACAAAATCTCCCAATGGCCTGAATTTCGCAAACTTGAACTCGACGAGCTCCTTCTCCAGCATAGAGACTTCGTCCCCTTTCTCCGTGAACATGGTCCAACCTTAGAATATTTACATCTGCAAGGGATCGGGTTCCCCGACGGGAACTGGATCGAGCCTCTGGAAATCATAGAGAGCATGCCGAAACTCACACGTTTGTTTGTGAACACGCTGTTCGAGCAAAGTCCTTATAACAACTTGGGCAACACTCTCGATCGGTTTGACAACATCTGGGATTGTAACGCTCTTGATCTTGTAAGCCATGACGACATCACGGTAGCTCTGGTAGCCCTGCGAAGCGAATTACGAACAGAGCCGATGACTCCATTTACAACAGAATATGCAGTTGCCTTTCACCATACTGTGGACCTGCGAAAGGCAAAAGCAGCTGAAGAGGAATTGATTCTTTGCGTTGACGGAAATTGGGTGTTCAATCCGGAGGCTGTATGGGATCTGATGTCTTCCGATGAAGATGAAATATCGGACAGGGGTGCAGGCGAGGATGGGGACGAGGCCGGGGATGAGCCTGGGGATATGTCCATATGAGCTGTTGCGACTTGGGTCGCTCGTCTTACGAGATATAGAGGCGGATGTATGGCAAACCAAGTGCGCTTTACCGCAAGAAGTGGGTCCGTCAACTACTGGGTCAGAAGCCCAACGCGTCGGCAAGAATCATGTATAACGTAGGGTATTACACAGATTTAATATGTCGTCTTTTTCCTCACCTTTGCGTTCTTGTCTATACCGCTTTCGGACTCATGGCAGCCTTATACTTCTAATCCCTACTCCTTTAACGCACCTACTCCAAAACCTCTTGAACCCCTTACATAATGGCATTTTCATAGGCATTTGAACGAGAGCCGTTTAAGTAAAGCTCACGCCCGACCGTCACAGCATATGAACAGCGATAACTCCTGCAACACTAGAAGCTGTATACTAATACATTTCTTTGGGGGTTAGATGAGAGCACTACAAAAGGAACTCGCATGTGATATTCTTGTTTGGGAGAAGGACAAAGTGACTAAGCACTGCGGCCCAATCCGGTAATCCGGAACAAACCTAACTTCCACTCACAACCCCTAGCGCCGATTCTATACTCTTTGTGAACGCTTCTTGATGATGACATCTGAAACAAGACCGAAGATCCTTCTCTTCGGTGCTGGCAGCGTAGGAACAGTATACCTCTGGCTCCTATCTAGGGTCGCATCAACAACAGCAGTTTGCCGCTCCAACTACGACATCGCGAAGAAGAACGGATTCGTCATCAACTCGTCCATCTTTGGCCAGAATATAGAATTTGAGCCTGACGTCGTACACGACTGTGAGGAAGCGGTTTCTAAAGCCTCGGCACCTTTTGACTACATCATTGTCTGCAGCAAAGCCATCCCTGGAGTTGTTCCGCAGCTTATCAGCCCTGCGGTGACCCTTGGGCATACTGCTGTTGTCCTTGTGCAGAACGGAGTTGGTATCGAGAAAGAGTACCATGAATTCTTCCCCGAGAATCCAATCATAAGCGCAGTCGTCTACCTTCCGGCTACACAACGACCAGCAGGTGTCATCAAGCATGGCGAAGTCGAAAAGTTGCAAATTGGAAGCTATCCCTCGTTTGCACCAGATCAGCATGCGGATGCATTTACCAAACTCATACAGTCCGCTGGTGGTACCGCAGAATTCTACGAAGACGTCCAGCCCAAACGCTGGTTCAAGTTACTAGTCAACGCATCCTGGAACCCGATATGCGCACTCACACTAAGCAAAGACACAGAAGTACTCAGCAGCTCAGATGAAGCGTCTGATGTGCTACTGGCAGTCATGCTTGAGATTCGGGATATCGCTGTTGCGTATGGATACAATATCACGAGAGAAGAGGTGGAATACCAGCTTGGTCGGGCACAAGCTAGGATCCCGAAGAACGCTGGCATAGAGCCAAGTATGTTACAAGATGTACAGGCCGGGCGGAGGATAGAAGTCGAGGCGATTGTTGGCAATGTAGTGCGCATGGGCAAAGAGAAGGGTGTTTTGTGCGTTCGGCTGGAGATGCTATATGTCCTAGCAAAAGCCCTGGATTCACAGATTGGGAGAAGTTAGAACGAGCAGCTGCGAGTGAGTATAGAGACTAGTGCGGTATATTCTCGTGTGTCATTATTTCGCTGAACATTCGAAGTGCCTCACATCTTACAACAATGTTCCTCCCCTGACCACTTTCTTTACGCTATCTTCTTTGTTTTCTTGTAGTTAAAGTCCATTTTGTCACTCTTTATACTTGCAACCTCTTTCATTGATTTTCACAATGTCGTAACGACGCCGTTTCACTGCCCGCGCCATCGCCAGCACCACGCCAAGGCTTCTATTGGCTTTCACCTTCGCCTTCCTAACCATGAGAGCGCGCCCGCCTAGATTATTCCTGTTGTTCCTATTGTTTATTCGGTAATTTCGAGCTCGGACTCCCACAGCGTAATCAAAAAGCTTCCCGCCAAGTTTGCACGTAAACACCCACCTCCACCTCCACAACGCATACAGCCGACACGTACCAACTTTCAGATCAACTACCTGCACTGCATTCCGACAGCTTCATATTCTCCCAATATTTTAGCAGAAGCTCGCGCTCTTTGCAATAAGTATATCGCTCGTCCGTTGCTGGCGCTGCTCACGAGCTTGCCCCATACAAAACGTATACAGGCTTGCGCACAATTCGCTGTCGGCCGCCTTCCACTCACTCTTGATACACACGTCGTCACCAACATGTCACCCACCATGCTCTTCACCTTGTTCTGGGCCTTCGCACTATGGCTCCTCGAGAGGTTCGGCACCCTATCCTTCGATAATCAGCTTTTCACCTGCTACATTATCTACGACACACTCTCGGAGCCTATCAGCAACTTCTACGCCGTCTGCACGTATGAGAACGTTGAGACATGTGGTTTCATGGTACTTTTAGGTCTTATACTCATGCTCCTCGTCGCTTGGGACTTCGAATTCAAGACGGACAACTTCTGGGAATGGCTTGACAATGGTTGCACTGCCCGAGCTCCTCAACATTATCGCCAGAATACCGCCGATGATATTCATCTACCTCCTACCGCACCAACTCAACTGCCTCCAACGCCGCCTTCAGCAACCGATAAAAATCCTACACCTCCTACCTTATCACCTCAACCCTCTGCAAACCCACCTTGCTACTGGCCTTTTCCAAACCTAGATTGTACCGGTACCGGCGAGTCATTTCTCCCTTGCAATCGGTACAGCAGTAAGCCAGACCCGACCATTCAGTACCCTCCCCGCTGGAAGCACACATTTCTCGACGAAGAAAATGAGATGAAGTATGGTTCCAGGCGTGTATTCAAACCGCATTATGGCTACGAGTGGAAGTTCATTCCAACTGCAAGTGAGGCTACAGTCGCCGTGCAATCCATCATTGAGGAGCCGGGAACACCCCAGGGCTTTATTGCCGCTGAGCGTAGGCCTGCTCAGAAAGAGGTAGCCGCTACACCTACCCATAAGGTTGTGGATCCTCCTGTTGCTCGCCCATATCAACCTTCAGCAGCTTCTACGCCGGTCTCTGCTCCTACCACCAGTCCTCCCGCTGCGCCCACTCGAATTCCTCCGCAAGTACCTATTTTGTCATCCGGTCCGCCTGTCCAGATCCTCCAGGCTCAATCTACTCCAGCCAGCCAGCCACCAGCTCAGCCGTCCTTCGATGACATGGTCGCTTTCGCCTTTAGCTTCTTCGCCGGCATGTCAGATGAGCTCAAGACAGCGTTGCAGGCATTCATCCTCGTCTCGTCCATGCAGGAATACCAGGAGCCTGCTGATGCCATCCGCAGCCTAATCGAGAAGGCGTACAAGTCTCTCCAAGTGTTCTTTCCAAACGGACTGACTGCAGATCAGTCTGTTCACATGGGTTGGAATGTCATGATTCTGGATTTCTGGGGCCTCATAATTCCACATGGCTATGCCATCCAGCAGGAAGCGCCTCAAGTTCTAGTCACATTCCTGGGTGATTTCTTCCTTTTCGGTCAGTATTTGGGACTGCCGCTTCGGCCCCTTGACTGCACTCCCCCACCGTCTCGACGCCCACCAATTCAGCTCCGACCTCAACAGCCTCCGACCCAGCCTCCGTCTCAACCAATCCCTCACCTTCCATCTCAACCTCCTCCACCAACGCTGCGAGCCCCTCCAGCCTACCCTGTGCAGCAGCCAACCAAGCCTGCAAAAGACACGAAAGGGATCCAGGCACCCTCCGAGGCAGGACCTTCGGTGCCGCGGGCGGCATCGAAGGTCTCCAAGACCACACAAAAGCAGCCTATGCAGCCGAAGGTGTTCGACTTCGACACCTATCTCTGGTTCCAGGCAACGAATAGGGAGCTGAATAGGCTCACCCGCAGGTCCTTCGGATGGAATGAGGCAAATGTGTGGCAGTATTCGGGCGCAAAAGACCTCGTGTTGAGCGATTCCCGGCGCAATTGGGCAGATAGCTCGTTTGTGAAGATGGAGTTGACCAAGAAGGTACCTGCGTTCAAGCGTGCGGCAGTGGTTCTCCGCATGCAAGCGAAAGCAGGTGCCCTCTTGGATCACGCTTCATCTGCGCCTCTACTCGATGAGGTAACGGGGTTCATCAAGCAGGCAGCAGAGATGACTGCTGCTTGTGGTGGCATGGACCCTGTCAAGCCATGGGAAGATTGGTACAGGGCTTGCTATTACTTCAACAGTGAAGTTTTTGAGGAGAGGACTGTATATCGTCCTCTTCGCGAGCAGTATGGGACGCTTGTATGGAACCGCTTCGACGATCAGTGGACCGCCGTTGATAAGAAGTGGCTTCCTGACGATGACTATGAGTGAATGAGTAAAAGGAATGGCATGCTAATGCTGGCATGGTCATCATCCTCTCTTAGATACTGTACTTTAATTCCTTTTTAGATGCTATGTGTAAGCTCTACAGTAGAGCTGTTTCAATGTCGCGGAAGTTTCCAGGAAATACCAAGCATGATATAAGAAATGTCATTCTATTTTGGCGTCAAAGCGCGATTCAATATTACACATGTTGCAATCACTAGGTGCATACAATACTGTAGTGAGTGTGTGATGTATACATGGAGCAAGATCAAACAGCGATAGGACTTGCAGGGTTCAAGTACGGGTCCGACATACGTCTTCTATTCAACGTGTGAGGCATCTTGACTCCATCGAGTGTCGGTGAGAACAGTGGGTCAAGACTCTCACTATCAGGTTTATTAGCACTAGCACTCATAGGACTATTTTGACTACAAAGAAAGAAGAGACTTACTGCTGCATCATGTCTTCCACAGAGTTACGCTTCGTGTCACTCTTTTCACTCTGCTTGCCGATATCAAAGGCAAAGTAGTCCTTGGTTTGCTTGAAGGGACTAAGATTCCCCTCTTCAACAGTCATCGCCATGGGCGTAGGTGGAATAGTAGTAAGGATGGTGTGCGGGTAGTTTCCGAATGTCGACATCTTGGTTGGGCACGCAGCACTCATGCTTGCACGGAAGCCTCGCCCGGTCGTATCTGGTGGCGAAACGGAGAGAGCCATGGAGTTGCTACGCCCTGTTCTAGCTAGCACTGGTGCCTGGATTTGGCTGTGACTCAATGCTCGTTTGATGAAGCTGAACGCTGAGGCAGTAGAGGAGCTGCGGCTATGATTATTTGGAGAAGTATTGAAGTGGTCGGAATTGGCTGATACGACGCTGAGGTTCCGGCCATGCTGTTGCAAGAAGGGGCTATTAGTCGTGGTGGGTACGGCCATGAGACTGAATATGCCCCTGAGGGCAGAGATCGAGGCGTCGACGGAAGATTGGATGCAATTCCACGAGTACTCGAGGCTGATAAAGTCGTCTAGGCTATCTTCGATTTTGATCATCTCGTTCAAGCAGACGCAAACTGCGTCAGCAATGATGGTCGTTCCGGTTACCCAAGCATTTGCGACAGCGTCCTGACAATACGCAGGCTGGGCATGGATAAGGTTGATAGCAGAATTAGTTGTCTTATCAATAGCATGATCTGCCATGTCGCGCTGCTGGCACACATCTACTCGTAGCGACGCGCGTCTGCTCGAAAGTGATTGTTCGCCGTGCATCGTAGCTTTCGCACCATCGTAAACGGCTTTGAAAGCATCCTGGTGGACATATGCAATGCCAGCGTTTAGGTTGTCGAGCGTAGATAGAACAGCATCGGCGTTATCCCCAAGTGAGGAGTAGAGAAGGGCGACATGATCGGTTCCTTCGATGAGGGCGTGTGCCTGGAGCGACTTGAAGAAGCTGAAATCGTTTGTTCTTCGAGCGGAGTGGAGGTTGTGTCGGACTAGAGCAATGCGTTGTGTCCAATGAAGTCTGTGAGTTGGCTCGGATGCCATTGTACTGGTTGTTCTTGATCGTTGTCTTCTTTTTGCTCGTTGATGTTTTATTGTTGTGGCTTCTGTGTACAGGTGCTAATTCTTGTCTAACTGCGGATGTAACGAAAGGAGTCAACCTAGAATGTAGGAATAAAAAAGAAGAATCGGGTTTCTTAGCTATAGGGCCACTCACGGCAATCACCATGTCCTTATAATCCTCGATTCAAGGGGTCTAGCGTGATCCACCTCCATCGCCGATGAAAATAGACATGCACAATCCGCATTTCGATGTTAAGATCTAAATGATCATGTCGAATCAGTAAAACATACAATCTAGCGGGTAGACATCTCAGTTTGAGTCAAGCACATGGAATATTCCACACGAGAGGAGACGTCAAGGTAGGATACTACTGTGGTTCGTATGACCAACCAGGCGAGGGTGCGTCAAAAGGCAAGACAAAATGACGATGATTTTCAATCCAAGACATGAGAAGTACTGAAAATCCCCTTACAGGATGGATTGTCTTAGCACAATAGCAATGTCCACGTTCTGGAGTGTGTAGGGCTGAGACATCTGGGTCTAGTCCCCGTACGACCATGGACGAATGACCAAACGTGACTGTTTCAATGACTCTCAGATGATGAAGATAGCTCTCCACTGCTGCATACGGACAAGCAGTCCGTCATATTGACTATCAGACCACTTCCTGCTTGCGGGTGTACTGAGATGCATTCATTCTCTCCAATATTAGTGTCTTGATCACGTCGCAGTGGCTCCCGATATTTTAGGAGGATACCATCATACTAAGTGGCCAGTGAACACGAGTAAGATTGCGTCTGACGCAAGACCAAGTGCGGTGCTACTGAGAACGGGAGGTGTTGTTATTGGTACACTGTCGGCGGTCAGCACCAAGACTACTCATAGCAACCATCAAGGAGATGATCTGGTTCAAGTTGCATTGTTTCGATCTTGACATCGGCACTAAACGCTGGTGGGTCGTGGCGAATTGCGAGGCTGACGTACTCCCAAGTCTCCGGCATCTAAGCCGGACTACTCTAGAAGGCACGCGAAACAAGAAAATATGTGAGCCGTCAAGAGTTACCCGCAAATGGCCCAATAAGCGTGGCAGTCTAGTTCTCGTGGTACTAGATATCGCCTATCTTGTGCCTAAGATGCTATATTGGTTGTACTTGAACATCTTCTTGCAGGTTCATCATACTTATCGTCGATTAGCTTTTCAATTGGGTAGGCAAAGTGAACGAATCGGAACCTAGCACTTCTGGGAGAAACCGAGTTGGGCCTGGAGTCAGACCTGGGCTTTACCAGAGCTCAGATCCCGCCTGAGCCAACTGGATTGAAGAGTCGTATCAGTTGCCCATATGCTCCCTCTTCTTCAGCGTCGGTAGACCCACGGAGCCCTGCAACCCACTCTTGCTTCCCGGAATTCCCGAACAATGAGATATATGAAATGGGGTTCATGTCCGAGCCTGAGGTGGTCAAGCCGGATCATGCAGTTTGGTGGAATCGCTGCAGCGACCGGAAGAGGGGAGCACCGCCAAAGGTGGCCAGAATGAGAAGAATACAGCAGAAGAGTCTGCCGAGTCACCACGATACCCTGAAGTTGCGCATATACAGTCGGGCAAGGCACAAGGCTGTGAGAAAGGAAGAGGTAGTAGTGGGTCGGGGTCGATGGACAGCGCATAGTGGCCTAGAGTACGTGCGTCCGATCTATGCGTAGATTACGAGGACCTAGGAGCCGGAGGAAGCCGCAGTACCGGGAGCAGTCCAGGTAGGTTAATTGCAGTTCGAAGAGTATTGTCGGCGACGGGGGGTTGTGCAGGAGATGACTGTTGAGACGAAGCTCACATACGCTATCGGTCGTGTGCCTCGCCATCGTACCAAATTTCAGCCGCATCATTCTCGCGTCGCACAATGCTTAGCTTTTCCTCCATGATCTCCAAACTTATCGCAAGGGCGTCGCACAGGCTGAACCCGCGTTTCGTGTCTAATGCAAATCCCGTTGGTGCGGAACGGTGATTGGTAGAGAAGGTTACAACGACGCCCGACTCGTGTGCTGTAGCCGCTTTGCTACCTCGTGCCATGCTCTACTTGCACAGGCTGCGCGACTGCGCCGCATTATGGGCTTGGGCTTGTGAGCCTTATTTCGAAGAGCTGCACTTCTGCGGCGATGCTCTTGCCTCTCGGCGTTCTTGTCTTTTGAGATTCCATGCGTGAATGCCAGCTTGGAGAGGAAATGAACCATGTCGCCGTATCCAAACCCATCGCAAACGTCAACATCTCCATCATCCACATTGTCATCGACGATGCCCGAAGGATCGCAAACAGGACTTCCGGGCATGAAGCGCGGAATCGCGATAGGTGTCGCGTGCTCTGTTGCCATTCTGGTCGTCGCACTGCTCGCCTTTTTCGCAGTTAGGCGGCGGAAACGCATCTTACGAAGCCCGAAAAACTCAGGAAACAACATGGTGGAGCTTTCAGGGACTGAAGTGTGGCCGCATGAGAAGGCCTTGCAGATAGCGTCGCCGCCGCAGCCACCGCCGCTCCCGCTCGTTGAAGCGGATGCGCGAGCGATCTATGAGTTGGATGCGGATCCGATACTACCCGAGTTGCCCAGCGATACAGATGCTTCAACAATCAAAACAAATAACAAATCTGATCGGAATTCCTGGTGCCTCGACGACGATGCTGTTTACACGCAGAAACTTCAACAATGGGACGATAGGGGCCTTGCACTGAACACCCAGGACCAGTCGGACAATCGAGAAAACGAACACCGAAATTTACCACTGTTGACGATTTCTGCACCTAGAGGCTCGCCAGGCGATGTTTCACCTTTACTGGTGTCATCCTGGGATACTTCATCACGGTGCGCCTCGCCTGTCAGCGCGCTGCCGGACGCTCACCTACCATCGCATCGCCACGAACACTGGCATCGTTGAACATGAATCGCACGTTGTGCTGCCCAGAACGGGACGAGCACGCCAACAAGCAATCGAAACACTACATCTATGCAGACTCAGACCATAGTCATTTCCACCTTAGTGAGAGGGGGCAATCGTTCCAAACATGGATGACGCCCAGCACACCCCCCGATGGAATAGAACAATCCCGGAGCATGGTTTTTTGGCCGGGGGATGGTCGATTATAGACTTCGAGAAACACGTTAGAGCAAGGATAGAAGAAGAGTCGAAGTAAGAGAAGGAAAGTGCGTGGAAGGGCTGGCTGGCGGTGATTCCGAAAGTAACGTGTAGAGAGACGAAGCGTATGAATTTGAGTCTAGATTGTACATGTATGTGCTTGCATTGGAGCAAAAGTCTTGCAAAGGTTCAGCAACCCTGAGAGCACTCCAACAATCTCTTCATTGGATGTATCGCTGTAGAACGTTGATTCCCTTGATGCTAGGTGCTTTCTGCGGAAATCCACACTTTCGCGACTTGGTTACCTCTAAATAATGGCGCAGGAAACAATTTTCAGAACTCATTCATGCTACTCTACAAGGGAATTTTTTATTTAGCAGCCTTTTTCATCATTTACAACTCAGCCATCATGCATCCTGTGCTTCGAGTTCTAGCGGCCGCGCCTGCCTCTTCCTTCTCCTAACTTTCAACCCCTCGATCTCCTTAAACATCTGCTGGCCGTCGTAGATCCAAGCCAACTCGACTCGTTTATGTGCTGGTATAATCTTTCCATTTGCGTCTTCGACTCTGCATTGGGTATAGAAATCCAAGGACGGATAAAGGGTGGGCTCGGCGTCGAAATGTGTAAGCTCCAAGAGACTTCCAATGAGAAGCGTAATGATGCAGACTGAAAGTGTGAAGCCACTGAGGGCGATGTATGCGTAAAGTGTCCCACGACCAACCCTGATCCTATAGCGTGTGTCTGCGAATGAGACAAGCGATGACTTCGCCGGCTGCTCGAAGGCGCCTCTGCTATAAAAGTCCGAAATGTCGGTGGAGTTGGATAAGAATGGCAGAACAGTTTGGCTTAAAATCCCGTTTTGACAGTAAAACAACGTGATGCCTAACAGGTTTTGCAGCGCGTTCGTGCCCTTCCAGTGCGCTTCAATATTCGTGCTCAGGTTCAATCTGCCGATTCGATACATGTGGCCTGCAACTAGGCGACCAAAGAAATTAGTGGGAGAGCCAAGAATGGGATTTGATGCCACAACTCCAGCGGCAGTGCTGTTGGTAGCTAGAATGGCGCTGAGGGCATCCAGGACATCAGCGGCGTTGAGTTTGGCAGGCTGCGGATCTGACTGTACTTCATGCCAGAGTATGCGACCATCCAACCGCTGATAGGCAACAGTAGCAGGCACGTACGAGGCGTGAAGAGACGTCGAAAACCCTCTCGATGATCGCCAGCTAGTGTCATTTTTGCACTGCTTGTTGACAATGAGATTCGCAGGACATGGAATCATCCTGGCATTGATGCTTCCATCTTGCATATCGCTTATGCAGAGAGTGTAAAAAGCTGGACCAGCATTGAAGTCTTTACAATCTAGGGCACTGGCCGTCCCTTTGATATTATCGCGAAACTCGAGCAAGAAAATCTGCTGATTTGCTGAGAGGACCACCTGAGAGTCTGAACTGCGAGACAGTGGCAAATTTGCGTTGACGTTCTGAAACTCCTGTGCGATCAGAATTTCGTGCAGGCAACTTTGATTGGGCTCCAGGCCCATGCCTTTTGCGCATCCTTCATGTCGTGCGACGTCAGGCGTAATATCGATCGCGTGTAGTGGATTCGAAAGGAAGGAGACGTAGCCTAAGTTGAAGAGCATGTCCTCCATAACTCCTAGCTGAGGAGCAACACTACTGTTGAACGGCTCCATGCCAAATGCCATAGGTTTCACCGTGTCACCTATAGCAATATATGTCAATTCGGTATTTACATTGCCTATACTGCATCAGTGTCAGCTATACCTATCGTCGGAACAAACGCACTCATGATTAACACCCCCAGTAGCGGTATTGAAATTTCTGAAACGAGCCGAAGAAGGCTCATCAAGCGCGGTTTCATAGGCCATTCGCTTGGTGGGAGACCTCTTCCGAACGCTAGGACAAGTAGACCAAGTGGCCCTGTGCCAGGTTGCAAAGCCAGAAATTGAGGGAACCCGATACCTTCAGGCCGTGAGATCAAAACCCATTGGACCAAATCGAACGTCGAATGGACCGTGCCTGCGAGGAACAGACCGGCAGCTTCCGAGAAGACGCGTAGTATCAGAATTGTCCTTGCTTGAGAGGCATAGACAATCTTCGATCGCGAGAGTCGTGTTGAGCCGAGGGCATATGACACCGTCATGAAGAAAAAGATAAGTGCAAGGATGGTCGAGGTCCAGGCTAGTATAGTCTGCCGTGCAAGGCCTAAGTATCGTCCATCTTTAAAGGGTACGCGCGTAGGCAGCCACAAAGGTCGCTGTCTTTTAGGTCTTGTCATTGGGAGATACCGTATATGAGCGCAATAAATGCGAAGAAAGCGACGGAAATCATCTCGTGCGAGATACCCACAGCAAACGCTGTGGGGTAACCCTACATCCAAAAATAGGTTTAATTGATGAAGGATTATAGGCTATCCTTGAATAGGTAAAGTGAATGGGGGCCGAATCGTGGAGATGTGCCCGTCTGCCGCAAATTGTTGGACAGAATGTTGCATCAACTAGTGAGTGTGAACATTGGTCCAACCGGTTTTGTTGCACCTTGCTTGGGTTTGATAACATTTCGAAAGGACATCGTGAACGTCCTGTCGCCAGAGGTCTAAGCATGATAGACACTTTGTTGTATCACATCTGAGGACAGATAGTTAAGGTTGTGACTCGAAGAGACCAAAAAGCAAAACATATAGCTAGCAATATTTAGTACCTTGATGTGCTGATTGAAGAACGCCTAGGGCGACGTTTATCGCGAGGGTTTAGGCCCTGACGTCACACGCTAAGTGAAAGCGTCACAGCGCGGCCTCGTATCAAGCGACATCGAACTGATGAAAGAATTGGAAAAAGCAAAGACTAGTAGGTGGGGGCGTGATATCTCGATAAGGGCATGATCGAGGTGAACAATCGCAAGTTAAAGACCTGGAAAAATGGCGAGCAAATGTGGGTATGTGGATTAAGGCGCGCAACAAGGGGTAGCGAGATCCCGGGGCGCAAACCATCAAGCGAAAGCCCAACGTGATGTGGAGCATGGCAGGAACGACATGAAGGATTTTCGGCGTCGTCTAGCCCTCCTCAGCATTTGAGGTCCTAGAAGTCAACGCGATCCTCTAGACAGTGCCATCATAAGGAGCTACAACACTGTTCAAGGAAGCAGTTCAGATGGTATATGGAAGCCCCAGGGCTGCGACCTTGGAGAAACTCCGTTTGACGCCTTACACCTAATATATGCGCATTCAGCAATGAACGCCACAGTTTCAGCTCCAGGCTGGCGTCCACCTCGGTACCACTCTTCAGCCTATTTCATCCGGATCCTACCCGAAGTCATCTCAGCTGGAAACCTCGTGTCAACAGCGCCACAGATTGCGTTTGTGCTCGCCAAACTATCTCTCTGACGCATAATTCAAGAAAGTGGGGAAAGGCCTCATGCTGTCGAATTGCGTTTATCATTTTAGTGGCAGCTGCATATTGCCGCTCGAACCATGACGGTCCACGACCTAAGATCCTGATACCTGGGTTCATCGGGCATCCCCATTCTCGTTCCTGCTCGTGTTATCGATTCTTGGTTAATGCAAGGCTAAGACCTAGCACGGCTAAGAATCAGGGACGGGTGGTATACCTCCCCACACTCAGCAAGCCACGATAACGTACGTGGGACTAATCATCAACAACTGGTGGGGCGCAAATGGTCTGAAACTATCTGCATTTTTCAAATGCTGGTTGATCGGTGAACTCTGACAGACGCCACAAGCCGCATCTAGTTAAGAGAACCGGGCCCACAGAACCACGAAATGAAACATGTCCAGTATTCGCCGTGTGCTACATAACACTAGCATACGTTTGACCCCTGCATTACTAGGCAGTACCGTACCTTTGCGCCAATCTCTTTTAATACACATGTCAACGCGGGTCTCACCTCTATTCTGCAACCAAACCCTGTACAAGCATCATCAGCATGTTGGGAGAGATCAAAGCAACGGTTCTACTTTTCGGTGGTATTGAGGTATGGACTTCATGTACGAAGTGTGTATTGGACATAGATTGACTCGATAACCTCAATTGCAGGTGGACATCAGCCAATTCGATTTCAATGACCACTCTTCTAGAACAAGCAGCATCAAGACTACAAACACTTTACTCATCATTTTGGTAGTGTCTATTGTTGGCCTGCGTCTCTTCGCAAGGGCTGCATTCGTACGCAAGATCTTTGCAGATGATGGTGCGCATCCCTATCATTCATTGATGCCCTGACTGATGGTAGAATAGTTCTCATCTTGCTTGCTACTACATTCACTGTTGCACTTGCCTCCACGTGTCTTTCCGGTAGGTTCCATATGTACACCAAGAAAATTCATACTAAACAACCACGAAAGCTACCCGTTACGGGCTCGGAACACATGTATGGAAACTTCCCCTGACGACGATCATCCAAACCATGAAGAATTGTATTCTAGTGAGTAGCGCGCAGCTTCTTGAAGACATACAGTCGGACTGATACAACACAGCATTTGTATATCTGCCAAGTGCTCTACGCGTTTGCTATCGCTCTCACGAAAATTGCTATCATCTCATCGTACCTACGGTTTATTCAAAATCGAAGATTTCGAATGTCGATGTATGTCATATCGGGTGTTATCGCTGGTCTATGGGTCACAGGTAAGTGCTGTTATCGTTGTACATGGTAATGTACTCATCTTAATAGGGGTATTCGTCACTATATTCCAATGTAGTCCGGTAGCAGGGGCATGGGACTTCACCCTCTCCCCTCCCAGCAAGTGCGTCAACTACGTCAACTGTAAGTATGGTTTTCAGTATGATCAGATGCGTGAGAGATGTACTGACTTCATCTCTACCACCCTAGATCTATACGCTAGCTCCGCTGTAAACATTTTGACCGATATTCTCCTTTGCATACTACCTTGGCCTCATCTCTGGAAGCTGAAGATGCCGTTGAAGCAACGCATCACTCTTTGTGTCCTGTTTGCGGGAGGTATTAGGTATGTCATTCGAAACACTCTGATCATAAGCATGGCTAAAGTTCTACAGTGCTTGCATAGTATGCATTGTTCGAATTGGCTACTTGCACCATCTACGTAACATGGACACTACCTGTAAGCAGATTTCAACTATCCCAAGTCACATATAATGTCTTGCCACAGTTTTTGTCACTGACAAATCTCAGATCAGAGTGTACCTGCCCTTAACCTTACCGTTTGCGAATGTAGCCTAGGCATCATATGTATCAGTATACCTGCTCTCCGTCCCATCGCACAACGTATTTTCCCAAAAGGGTTGCGAACGACTTCATCGTCCAAGGCCCCTTCACGAAGCGTTCCTCTCAGCCATATGACGCCGCGACCAGGCAGATCCACGTTTGATATTGAACACAAGGAAGATTTGTCAGTGTCGCAGGACATTCAGGTCCGATAGTGTATGGCTTCGTATCGAATAAGCTGCTGAAGATGCTTCCAAGCAAGGATGCCCTATCCGCTTGATGGTATCGACATTAAGACTGGCTCCTGCTGCGGTCGTGACGTTTGATTGTAGGAAAAATTCGTTATCGGTCAAGGCCTCCAACTTACTAGTTCCTTCGTTACTTTGGACCCGAGTTGCGAACGGGTATTGTCGAGCGGTGCGAGTGATATACTTGCGATGCACCCCCCTTGTAGAATGGAAAGAGGTCTCTTCACAAATCCGGGGACAGAATGATCCGCCTCTAAGACCAAGTCTATCTTGATCGGAGTGTCTGGCAAAAACGACGAACTCGTAGAGCATCGCCTCGGGTGCTCGCATGCGACACCACATCGTTTTACAAGCTCAGACCGAAAAATTGGCCAGTGCTTGTTCATCTGACAGGAGCCGCTAAAAAGGCCAAGACCACTGCCACCACCATTTCGACGCAAAAGTTGATTGGCTAAAGATCACGACGTCACCGAACAGCTTGCAGAAATCAGGCTGTGCTGGCGATCTTACCACCGGTGAGCAATGACAAAGTTCGTTTGCATCATGGATTATCTATCGCACACCGACTACTTATATGAGGTGCAACCCAGCGTCCCCGCGTCATTGTTACTGCCAACTCTCTCAATAACATCAAATTACTCATCGCGGACACATAAACCAGTATTCGCATCAGCAAACAGTCATACAACTCGGCTTCCAGTTTCGTCATCGACAGCATATAAATACTGCTTGCACCACACACTATTAGCATCGCACTAAACCTGCACCACGCACAAAGTCTACAAACAACAAGCACAATGAAGGTCGCAGCAGCTACAGCCCTCCTCTTCGCGACGCTCGCGCTCGCCAACCCTGCACCAAATGCTCAACCAGGCGCCGAGCCTGCACTCGTCGAAACAAGCGAATTCTTACACAAAGCCCAACTCGAAGCTCGCAAGAAGGGAAAAATCGGCAGCGGAAGCAAGAATTCTAGTGCTTCGGATATCATGACACCGAGTCGCGCATTGCAACTGGGCGCACTGGGACTCGGTGTTGTGGAGGTTGTGAGATTGTGGGGTTAGGCGGCCGCAGGATTCTAGCGGTTGCTTCCAAATTTGTGGGTCATTTCTGGCGAGTAATCCGGGAACGAGTCAAGGAACAGGGCCTAGACTGTACTGCAATTCCTTTTCTTGTTCAATGTTCTCCACTGCACGATACCACGACAATTTATTCATTTTTAAGACAATAATACATATGCGTACTCATACCCATTCGCCATGTCATACTGTGATCTTGGTGTGATCTTCCTGCCATCAAGATCTTGTTATTGGCGGCAAATTTATCTGCCGTCATAACTTTCTAAATAGTAGTCACCCTCTCGAGGATCGACTATTCATGTTCGTGAAAACTTGCTAAGCGTGACTTGAACCCTACCGTTGCTTGACATAGCCACAGTGCTGCCTTCAGTGTGGTGCTGCTACACGTACGTGCTTAACCATGTTTTATCCGAAAGTAGAAGGTAGAAAGGATGTGTTACGAGACTATTCAGAGTCTAAGAAAGATAGCGCGCACAGCCACCACGAAGAACAGCACTATATCGTAGTCGATCCTTCGCTTCGACCGCAACAGGAATGAGCTACAGTGTTCATTTCAGGTTTTCTAAGCATACATATAATCTGTTTCCGGATCGTAGGCTTCTAGACTGATGAAAGTACATTTTTTCTCTTCTGTCACAGCCCTAGTCGCACTGTACTCCACTCCCCAATAAACCTTCTTCTCATGATTTTTAAGGGTCGCATCATGCGGATGGTATGCTGCGCTGAGCGCTCCGCTACACGTCGCAGCTAGAGGCATGCGATTATCTGACCTAATAGGACTGATCCATAGACCAGCCATCAAGCCAGCTGTAGCTACGGCGACGAACTATAAAATTCCGCAGATCAAGTACCCAACGTGGCTGATGGAGAAAGGGGCAACTTCAAGCCAGTGGTCCAGTATCTCAACCCGAACAAAGAAGATGGCCTGGCTAGTTAGCCAATGTAGAGGCCCCCAGAAGGCTATATTTACAGCAAAGCAGAGAATTGGCATCCAGAAAAAGTACTCGTCGTGTTGGCCTGTTCCTTCCTTTGGCAAAGTGACCTGAAGCCATGTTTCGGCAGCAACAGCTCATCAGAATCCACTTTTTTCACAGGAGCCGCGTACTTGTAATCGCGTGCTGCTATCATGACGATAAAGTGTTCATTCCAGATGTAATGTGCAGTCGCGAGTAAGAATTTTGGAGTATTGGCCAAAGCGATAAAGCCCAATATATCCCATTCTGAAGGTTGAGTTCTCGGGGGAATTGAACCGTCGGGATTGAGACTTGAGGATTACTAAACCAGCCGCCGAATAAAAATTGAGTGTTTGGTGTGCCCATGCCAAGGAGTTTGATTGCGCTCATGGTTATTCGAAGGTTGCGTCTCGCTATCGAAGGTCTATTAGGAGGAATAGTCCTGGGACTACAACGATGCATGAAAATCTTCGGATGGCTAGAAGGAATGCTAAACGTTTGAATTGCATGCATGAAGTGATACTCACATTGCTGTATTTATTTACCAACGGCGTAGTCCAATTGTTCGAAACCAGTACGGATCAAAAGTGTCGACTTCAGTTTTTCGTTGCCCCGAAGTTCTGACTCTTTTCTTTCCGCTCTAGCCAGCATCCAATACGTCGCGCTAGAGCATGAACGCTTTATGATATTAGCTATCACAGTCAATTAGTAATCCAAAACCCGTATTCTAGCTTGCATCGCTCCGGCATTCGCTTGCTGAGGCAGTGATCGACCTTGGCATTGTCGTACTTTGGAAGATACCTAACGCCACCACATCCCGTAAACTCCACACACAGATGAATTTGGATCTCGAGCGCCATTGGAAGTGCAGCCCTCATTACCTTTTTTGGATTTTGATATATCGCGAATAGGCATCACATAAAAAGTAAGCTACTCAAAAGCCGACACCGCCCTTATTACTTTGGTTGTAATTATCTTCTGGTTGTTTAGAAGATGTCGGAACGAGAAGAAGAAGTTGGTGTAGAGTATGTAACGGTTGGTAACGATCGAGGTGGAGGCGGAGGAACTGCACTGATTTGACTATATACGAGGGGAGCGGTAAGTATATATACTACATGCTAGAATTAACCTCGAACGAATGAGATGAATCAATCCTTGATTAACACCAGACTGATCTCAGTATGCCGTTACAGGAAGATTGTTCCATAAAGATAGATCGTTGTCAGTATCAAATGGAAAGACACCGACAATGCGGGCAACAGCAACCTCGAAGAAAGCCGAGAACAAGTCGGCTTGCTCATGATCAGAACTGGTAACTTGAACGGAATCTCAAGGCCTAAGGTGAGGCAAAGAGCATAAGCAGGAAAACACAGTCACATTATCATCAAAAAGCACTCAAGATATTCGCATGAACTTTGTATTAAGTTCTAATACTCATACATACAACCGACCAAGATATCAACAAATAGAATGTACATGTGATACAGACTCTCCATCTTGCACCCCGGCGACCAAACGCCAATGTATATACACCAACCGAGGCTACTCATTCATGATACAGCTAATATAGTACATGTTGTGAGCCATCATACCCAGCGTCGCTTAAGCGGAGGCAGCGGGCGCGGGTGCGGGCGCAGTGGGGTTGACGTTGGAGCAGATGAGAGCCTGTCCGAGGATGGGGACGAGGCAGCACTTAGCCTGCTGGCCCTTGTCGGCGCAGGTGGAGATGAAGGTGTTGACGTTGCTGGGGGTGGTTGGCGCTAGCAGGGTGTTAGCATACTGATTGCTTCATGTCTGTTCGATGAGAAAACTTACGGGGAGCGCAGTCCAAGTTGGCGAGGTTCAGGATATCAGTCGCGCAGCAGACGGGAGTGCCGGAAGCGCAGAGGCCGACCTGGCGCTCCTCGACGACGGGAGCGGCGAGGGCTGCGACAGCGAAAGCGAGGATGGTGGGGAAGAGCATCTTGATTGTTGGTTGGTTGTTGTGGTGGAGGTTGAAGATGGAAGATTTGAGTGAAGAGTGATTGTTTGATTGATGTGGAAGTTGTTGATGTGAATGGATGATGTGCGATGATGGTCAATTGTCGACATCGCGCTGCCCTCTTTATACATCTTCTGAGCAGTCTGTCCAGGGGTCGGTCCAAGATCAAACTACTTGCCTACCAGAGAAATAGCATGGCCTTCGTCATCGAGCATCCGCTACCCAGAGCATGATCGTCATCGACATTCAGATGAAAAACGGTCAAGCCTGTCCAGAACCGGATCCACATGATGGTTCAGGGGCAATCTACACCTCCAATATCCCCAGGGCGGGTCCGTACCTGGTAAAAAATGACGTCGATCACGATATTTTCAGCTTCAATGCACCCATGGAGCTATGTCAGTGGCTGAAGCGAACGTTGAGATATCGTTTAGACCGTTGATCTTGAAACGTGCACGTACGGGTGGAGCGGCTGTAGCATGGAGAATTGACAGGCATCATTCGAAGATCGATGTCCAGTCTTGTCTGTACGTGGTAGTGATGTGTGGTGATACTGAAGCGACGGACCGGTCGGGCGAGCACACTGCGCTGGCGCGTATACTTGCCACGGAATATACATATGACACGTCCCCTGCAGGCACGATACATCCGCATACATCCGCCTAATGAGATCTTTCGAGACATGGAAGTCTGCAGTATGGTATCTGCTGAGCCTCATACGTTGGTGACGTCGAAAGCGCCAGGGTGTCGTCGAAACGAGCTCTTGTTTGCAACGTTAGCATAGGTGCTCATCTCCGGGGAGAGACCGTCTAGGGCTGCCAATTTCAGAGAGTGTGGAAGCTATCCGGGCCTCTTGTGGGTGTGTGGGCGAACCACGGTAGCGGCATATAGGGCGAGTGTGTAATCCGGTCATGTAAAGGAGTAGTTGGCCAATTACCGCAGATTCTAGATCTACAGCCACGTTGACAATCCGGGGTTTGGTTTGTTTGCGGCGAATATCTAATGCGCCCCCAATGAAACCAGCCATATTCAACTTGTTCTTTCTTTCTTTAGCTCAGGAGTTCTGCTCGAAGTGGATGCCTCAACGGCATGATGTGGCGACAAAGTGTCACCGCGCCGTTGTTGAACCATGTGGGTGACGATGATAGGGGTGTCGATCACACTGACAGGAAACGTCGAACAAGGGTTCTAACAGGGTATTGCGACGAATGAAACTCCGCGGATGCTTCTAGGGAAAAGCGGAGCATTAGAAGGACCTGAGGCAGCTCGCTTAGCGGGTGATATACTGCAGGGGTAAAGACGTATAGGTTTCTCAGAGGTAGTCACAACCTACCGAATGGAATTCTAATGATCGCTTTTGTCAACTTCTCTTCGCCATCAATCCGTTCGGGGGCCAAGTAGTGTAGGGTTCCGCTTGCCATGCGTTATACGGACCGAATCGCGGTCGTTACCGGCGAGGAGTGTTGTCGTGAAGAAGACGGTACTTCACATGTGGAGCCGCGACCGTTACGCCACATAACGCGGCCCAGTACGCCTTCCCCGTTCGAGAGAAACGGCCGGCTTCCCTGGCACAGATCTACGTCACCACATCGGCCCTGTTCCTGAGTCCTGAACGCGCAGCAAAGTCTTCGCGAAGGAGATTTACATCATTATACATAATTCGACCAATCGAACTGGCACTTCAATCTATTTCAGGGCTTACGCTTGCCCTGCGCCTTAGGGAAATTCAGAAGCGAGGTGCATTTTTCCATGCGATCTCTACGCGAGGCTTCCATCCTGGTACCGCAGACAGATGCACAGAATTTGGAGCGTAGTTACTTGTCGCCACGAACAGCGGGACAGGAAGGATTGGGTCGTAGGAGAGTTGGTGTCTAATGAAATTAAACAGGCCTGTGCCAACACTGGTGACATCAGATAATGAAGGGGCCATCTCTTACCGTGTAAACCATGATTCCATCCGCGGCGACTAAGGAGGCACAGCTCGAAGCTTGATACAAGTCACACACCAAAGGCCTCCCCTCGAAACCAGGTGTACACGGCGAAGCTGTTTTTGGTACTATGCGTCGTCCCTTTACCCCGACGGTGGGATGTTTGCATGACCGACTGAAAATAGTACGTTCAACAATGGCAAGTAGACATTATCAGTATTGGCTCTGAAATAAAAGTACCTGAACAACAAACGCCTTACAATGCAACAACCATAACACGCTATGCTATGCAACGTGATTCAAAACACTGTCCCTGCACCAATGCATTAGAAACAGCAAACCTAAAACTTGTTCATGAGCTTCTTCCATGTGCTCGCAGAGCTCTCTTCCCACGTCTCCGAAATCTCGTCTTCAAACTTGCCCGTGAATATATCGGCCTCGGCAGGCTTCACAAACTTGCTCCTGGTTATGAGCTTGTGGCCGATATACAGAACAGAGAAGAGAATCAGGCTGACATAGGCGATGAAGAAGTCCTCGGTGTTCCAGGGCACAAACGCAGTAAATCCCTGGGTTAGGGTGATGATTGCGCAGAAAGTGAGTCCGTAAATCGCAAGGCCTCGGCCGCCCCAAGACTTGTATGGAAGAGTGTCGCGGCCGATATTTTGCGCCTTGAGTGCGCGCATGAAGCCGAGATGACAAATAAAGATGCACGTCCAGGCAATAAAACCAGCAACGGATACGATGTTCAAAAGCCAATTGAACGCCTGCCCACCGTTGGATGAGAGATTCATGTAGGCTAGAAGACCCATGGCAGCGGTGACGGCGGTTGCGTAGTACGGAACACCTCGTTTCGATGTGCGCTTGAGGAAAGCCGGCCCGCAGCCCTCCTCTGCGAGACCGACGAGGACACGACTACCGGAGTAGACGTTAGAGCTGGCAGCAGACAAGACAACGGTAAGGAGGATGGCGTTCAGGATATCCGGAAGAGCGCTGACACCGGCCAGCTGAATAGCGATGACTAGGGGGCTAGCGCCAGCATTCGTACCACCTGCAGTAAGCGTCTCAAGATCGTAGGGTACCTAGGGTAAGTTAGTCTCGTGTCAAGTGCGATTGGGGGATAGACTGAAGCATAGCAAGGCCGTATGTGACGAGGCAATGAATCAGTCCATCAGTATACACAAGAAGACTTACCAAGATACCAATGAAGAAGATCGTGAAAACAAAGAGCGGGAAAATACTCCAGAAAGTACGTCGAATAGCTTTAGGCATCGTCACACGCGGGTTGGCCGATTCTCCAGCACCAATGGCGCAAAGCTCAGTTCCTTGGAATGCGAAACCAGCCTGGATCAGAACGGTCCAAAAGCTTACAAACTTTGCAACGGATCCTTGAGCGAGATCGCTAGGAGCAAAAGCACCAGGCGAATCCCAGTATTTGAAACCTAGATATCCCTGTTTACCGACACCAGCGTTTACACAGATGGCGAAGATCCAGAAACCAACAAGGGCGACGACTTTGATCAAGGCGAACCAGAATTCGAATTCGCCGAAGATATCGACGGGCAAGAAGTTGACGGCGGTAATTGGAACCCAGAAAATGGTGACTAAACGAGGCGGTACGGTTAGCAAAGCCCCATGCGATTCTAAGGAATGTATGTAGCGGATGGAAAAGGGAGAGTGGACCACAGCTCTCAAATGGTATGCCTAGAGCAGTTCTCGCGAAACTTTCAGATCCAATGTAGAATCTTGAAAGATCCGCAGAGTCCTCCTGGCATATTTGAAAGACCCGTATGTCCTCCGTACCGCAATCCTGTGTTGTTCCGCATGCAATTCATACAAGGGAGGGGCTTACTGAAGATTCCAATACTCAAATCTGCGTTCCACCATTGAATAATGAGCCCAGCAGCTGTAAGTTCGAGCGCGTACGTGGTTGCCCAGGAGAACCAGTATATCCATCCCATGGAGAAACCAAGACTGGGGTCGACGAAACGGGAAGCGTATTGTGTAAATGCACCGCTCACAGGAAGATATGTTGCCATTTCTCCAAGACTGAGCATGACCGAGTATACGAGGGTACCGACGAAGATGTATGCGAGGAGTAAGCCAGCAGGGCCAGCTTTTGCGAGGGAGCCACCGCTAGCAATGAAGATACCAGTGCCAACAGTTCCACCTAACGCCAGCGTTAGTTCGAGAAGAATACAAGATAGGATGGCGAGACTCACCGATAGCGACGAACTGTAAATGCCTGCTGGACAGCTTTCTCTGTAGCTCTCCTGTCGGAGGAGTAGACAGCTTCTCAACATCGCTCGCCGAATGCGCAGCCATCTTGTCCGAGTGATCATGCGCCTTGGGCTCGATTCCCTCAGCAGCAGTTGCCATCTTGGCCGTAAGTCGACAATGGACCCGGGGATTGGGCTTGACGTTTGACGTTTGAAGGTGATGTATAGAGTCGCGATATGAGCTATAGATCAAGCGCACAGGAACTCGGGACGGAACAGTATTTCAATGGCGCGCACGACATTCTGTGGAGTCATTTTTCTCCACCCTAGGAGCCAAACGGGAAGCTATCGGAGTACTCCACGCTCTGGAAAGCGCGTCGACCATTCAAATTTTCATCGCGGTCCACTTGGCGGGGAGCATCTTCGCGTATCCCGCGCCAGATGCTGATGTTGATCCGTGATGGTAGCATGATTAGCAGTAAGAAATTTTCGAGCAGGGATTGCGTGCATCGGCTACGAACGGGTCGTCGCCGCGCCGCTCGTGTCGACGTTAACGCGACGGAAAACCGAAGTAATCATCGGTATCGCGGGAATAACGCGTAAGAGCTTGTACCTGAGTGCTACGGCAGGAAAAATTTGCAGTCTAGTAGCCTTTTTTTCGGTATGATGGGCGGCGGATAAGGCGTTCGGGAATAGTTCGAGGGTCGGTCCTTCATCGGGTGAGGGTAAGACGGCTCTTGGCATCGAATCACACCTCGTATATCGCCAAAAAACCCACCCGTCCCGTATTTACCCCTCGGAAGTGACCGAATGCTGGCCATTCTGTCACTGATCCATTTGACTAACTGCTGATAAGTCTTTTTCCTCGAATGAAAAATGACTCCGCATTTATTGAGGAAGAGCACTACGCCGCGGTTTTCATTGAGGCGCTTATGTTCCATCACCATAACACCATAATATACAAAGCCATTGCAATCAAATGAAGTTACAGGAGAATGAAGAGAAGAGCAACATTATTCATGAGTCGACGCAAGCGATGTACATCTGAACATGCAGGTGAATAACCTACGCTAAACACATTTGGGTAAGGTTTCGTAAAGATAGCTGGAGGTCACTGAATCGTGCACTGGCGATCTGTATCCACTGTCATCACGAGGAGGGAAGGCCTGAAAGCTTATCAGGCACTTGTATTGCGAAATCAAGCGGCAACTGCCACAAACAACCTCAGAGCCGCATGCAGCGTACATAGGTACATAGGTACATAGGTGCTGTCTTATTTTCGAGACACCAGATAGGACACATCGTCAGACGACCTCCTAGGCCGAGATCAAAAGGAGACGATCTGCATCGACCGATCGAACTGGCCGGAGATCCAGTGATTGTCTTTATACCCCAAGGCGACCGTCTAGACGCTCCGTCCCAAACGTCTACGATCACTAATGATACAGCCTAGACCGGACGAACACTACCTATGTCTTAGCTGAAAGCGTCTTTCCCAACACACCAACTCACACATCAGAGGAAGCAGGGTGTATCCGAGACCCTTTCGAGACCTTAGAAAGACCCGTGACCTCCGCATATGGCTGATCCTCGTCTTCCCTGGGTGGTATACATTGCAAGGCGAAGAAAGTACAGCTCAAAGAGCTAGCAGGGAAGATAAGGGGCAATGTCACACGTATGCCCCACGATGAGGAAGTGGAAGAAGTAAGACATCAAACCCGTCATGAGTCAGCCCCTGCAAAAAGATTGGGGGCAAGTAATGGTGGTGGTGGTGAACGTTATCATATATACCCCATGACCCGCATTACCGAAGTGGTCATCTCATCTTCTCTCATCTATCTATGTATACATCGCTGACTACCATTCAGAATATATTGCCTTCCTCCCTATCTATACATGACATACTCATTAAGATCCATGATATTGGTATCATGTGTGAAGAGTAAAGGACGAGAAAAAAGCGTCTCTGGACGGAAAAACGCAGAAGATACAAGGGCTATGCAACGACACGCAGAAAAAAAAGACGACAAAGAACAATGCGCTTATACGAAACGAGAACAAGGTAATCAACACTGGGTTGCAAAGCGAGGAAAATTACAGGAAAGCACCCGACCTCGTCCCACCCTTTTCGAAGTCCTTGTCATCTAGCGGATCGATCTCGTCTGTCTCGGCTCTCCTCACACCTGGCATAGGCAGTCGCGGCGCCGTATCAGGAGAGTAACTTCGTGGCATTTCCCAGTCATCTGTGTAGGTGGGTGGGTTCAACTCTCCACTGCCGTGACTTGGTATGGGGAGTAAATTCGTCGAATCACCCTTGACTAGCCCCAGCCGCTCTTCTTCTGTCGCAGTCAATTTGCCTTCGCGGCTACTCTTGCGACTGCTTCTGCTGACTGGTCGTTTGCCGGAGCTTTCACCTGTCGACTCGGAACGATTTCTACCGAAGACGTTCTGGAAGGAGAATTGCCGTTTAGCAATATGCGCCGTTGGCCTGGGGGGTATCAGAGAGGAAGAGGCAGATGATTGGCGGTCGTGAGAGTTTGGTGGCTCGGGAAGCGAAGCGAACTGAATGTGGGCATCGTGCGATTTGTACGATGTATCCTGCGACATATTCTGCTTGTAGGACCCCATGTCCGAGGAGCGTTCTATGTCTGAAGCTCCATCTGTAGGGATAGGAGGAAGGGTCTTCATGCCCATAGGATTAGACCCGTGAGCATGAGAGCTGTCGCGACTACTAGTCGATTTACCCCGGGATCGCAGACGCTGGAAGAAGCCGGGGTGGAAACTGTCGTTGTCATCGTCCGACTCATAGGCGGGGAACTGCGACATGCCGAGCGGCGGGTGGACCGTCTTCGTAATAACCGTGCCGCTGCGGGTGGGTGGAAGACTGAAATCGCCGCCAACCACAGTTTTGCGTCTTCGAAGTCCATCAAATTCGAATTGGTCGCCCTCGCCAATGGGCTCCATGTGCTCTTCCTTGATCTTGATGGCCTCATTAAGTTCCTTCTTTGATCTAGCCGTGGACAAAGTACGGAGGATAGCGGCGCCACCACGAAGTGTGTCTGCTCGAGGCTCGTATTCTGGCTCTTCCATCTCAGCCACGGTACGCACTTGGTCGAGATCTCCCTTGAACACGGCAGCGTCTGGTACGTCTTTGGCAGACTTGGAGAGTTGTAAGAGGACTACCCCTGAACAAATTTGCAAGAAGCCCATGATGACGGTGACGATCTGTAAGGGTGTTCCCTTGAAACCTTGAAAGAGGACAGCCGAGGTAATGATGGTGGCCGAAGTGAAGAAGACGTAGTACGTTGGGGTAACCAAGGCGGCGTTGAAGAGATTCAAGGCTTTCTAGAAGATGCTTAGCACTTGTCCACATAGCCAAGTAAATGCATGTGAGCTTACGTTTAAGTAGATGATTTCGACGGACAAAGTTATTATCACGAAACCGAATAGCACATAGAGGAACCATTCTTTGAACTGCCCACCGTACCTGCCAGAAGCCTGCGCTACTATGGCAGCACCTAGGCCCTGAGTTGCAACCACACTGAGACCTCCAATTAGGCTGCAAATGATGATATAGACCATCATAGTCTTCTTTCCATATTTAGGCCCAAGCCAGAGGGCGATGATGACACATGCGACGATGATGACGCCTGCGTAACTGAGAAAGCCAGGTGTGATGAACCACTTCTTCATGTCCTGAATACGGGCAACAGCCGACTGCGCCGGGGCGTTTACAGCGATGACAACGGATCCAATGATGCAATTGAAGCAGCCCACTTTCCCAACAAAGCTCAGACGTTCCTTCAGAAAGATGGTGGACAGGATGGCGCAAACGACGACGGATAGAGCGCCCATGGGTGTTACGAGGATGGCGTCGGTAAAGGCATATGCAACTAGGTTACATACCTCTCCCACAATCATGAGCGTCATGCCGAGCCACCACCAGGCGTTCTTGAGGTAACCATAACCCTCGCCGGCCTCTTCATTATATTTCATGTTTGCCTGCAGCAGGCCATGCTTCTTGATAACGAACGAGGTGCCAATGAAGACGCCTGATGCGATTGCCAGAATAAGACCGATGATTTTGTAGGACGGCGGGCGATCACCATGGCCACCGGCCATACCCCCAGCGCGATCATGGAGGTGGTGGGCGGTTGCGAGAAGATGTGCAGTCGAGTCCATGGTGATGTGATGCGTTGCGTGGGGTCGGGACCACTGATGCGGGTGCTATTCGATGCTAGCGCACCGGCAACTCGACCTCGAGGAAGAAAATGGGAAAGGTATCAGGACAAGTTATGGCGAGAGCAGCATAAGAGGCTTCGAATTGGCGGTGGTTTCAGCCGGGGAAGCGCACGCGGGCGGGTATTCGTGGCGGAGGGTTGGGCGGAGGTAGCGACGGTTTAGGAAGTCTGTTTTGGACAGCACGGCCGCACGGTGCCTGTGGAGTTGAGGACGTTTAGGAATGCGCAGCGCGGTAGCAAAGCAGTTGCAGAGTGGGAAAGTCGTAAATCGTGGATCGGGAGAGGCTTTCGTCCAAGGTCGAGGAGGGCGCAGTCGACCGGTTCAGCTGCGCGCGTCTCAATGCGTAATCGCGGTGCGTACGTCGAGATGCACGCTGCAGGGGTGATTGGTGCGTCAACAGTCGTGTTTCTGCTGCGTGGTGGGGGCGACAACGGGTGTCCGCAAACAAGTTCGCTATAGCTGAGTCGTGTATAGCTTGCGGGCACAGAGCAATTGGGTGTGGGTGAACTGGAGACGGCGCAGAGAGCGTTTGGTTTCAACCCGTCAACAGGCTTTGTTAGGCTAATAAACGGGCGGCAGGGGCAACCAACCGCAGGGTTATGTGGAGCAACGTAGGCCAAGCGCACCACCAGCAGCAGAAGAGTGATTGAAACATTCAGATTGAAGCCACCCAACGCGCAAGACCGACGCACACGGCAATACGATTGTGTATGGCGCTGACATCGACCCTCTCAGCATGATCGAGAATGGCACCCACGAGCCCCGCGACATCTTCGCTGCCACGTCGGTGGCTGAGATCCATGCCGCCCTCCACCAACTGCACGAGCACGAGGCCACGGTGACGCAGCGATTGAATGCCCTCATCGCATCGCAAAAGGACCTCTCGCGCGAACTCGGCCGCCTCGACTTGCTTCGAGCCAACCTAGGCACCCAGGCTGTCAACACGCGCGCCATCAGCCATGGCATGCTCTCCGATGCCGCCTCGACTGCGAACCGCATCTCGAGCGCCGTCAAGCGATTAGACCAGGAGCAGTCAAACGTCAAGGCGACCCTGGACGTGGTCGAGCAGGTGGCCGAGCTGAAGGCCTGCGTGCTGGGCGTATACGGGTCTATGGGAGCACCCCAGGACTGGGAAACTGCAGCGGGGTACCTCCATCGAGCCTCCAAAATACCCGACTCCGTCATAAATGGCAGCTTTGCTGAGGAGATTGTGCCCACGGCAGAGGTGCCTGATCCGCCGCGGGTGACTCTAGACGCCGCTGCCGAATCTCTCTGTGGCCTGTTCCTGCGCGAGTTTGAGAAGGCCACCCAGGAAGGAGACGGCGCAAAGGTGACGAGGTTCTTCAAGCTGTTCCCCTTAGTTGGACGAACAGCCATGGGCTTGGATGCTTACGGAAGATATGTCTGCCAGGGCGTCGCTTCACGGGCGCGGACAAACTTCAATTCGGCTGCACCAGCACTCAGAAACGAGAGTTTCTTCTACGCTAACACCATTACCAAGCTGTTCGAGCACATTGCTCAGATCGTAGACGGCCACGAGCCTCTGGTAGAGCGTCACTATGGTCCAGGCATGATGCAGAAAGTCATTGAGCGACTACAGATCGAAGCTGATGTGCAGGGTGGCATTGTGCTCGACACTTGGCATGAAGAACGGAAAATTGACCGCAAGTTGACTGAAGTCAAGTCATATGCCTTCTCCTTCCTCGTACAAAGCTTTCTACCTACCCAAAAGTCCGCGACAGGGACGCCACGCTCAAACTCACCAGCCAACGGTCTACCACGAACAAGCGAAGACGAAGGCGTCAACATGAAGGAGGTCGATGGTCTCCTAGCCGAGAGTGCGCTGATCCTTGGTCGATACGCACTGTATTCGCGATTCATATCTGACAAGTGCGCGGTAAGTGACTCCAGGTGCTCCATTGCCTCTTATACTTATCTTTGCAGCCCTCTGAGCCCGAAGACCGCATCGATCATGGCCTGGTGATGCCCCATTTCCTAGCGACCAGCAACCTCCAGAAAAAGGTTACGAGCCATCTTATCGAGCCTGTTAACATCATGACGACCTTCTTCTTCCGGCGCTCCGTAGAAAAAGCCTTCCAACTTGACGAGTCGCCCTCTGATCTCACTCTCAACCCCACAAAACCCCTGGGCTCAAATCCACCCTTCATCACCTCTGCAGTCGACGATGTCATGTATATAGTCAACCAGGTTCTTCAGAGAACACTGGCAACCTCTCAGCGTACTGTTGTCGCCAGTGTCGTGCCTACTGTGAGTCAGATCCTAGGCTCAGACTTTATCGGCATGATCCAACGGAAGATGCGAGATGAGAGTTATCCGAAGCCTGTCATTCAAGGGGGCTTGCCTCCTGAGGATAGAGTCATCGCGTTCCTAGTTCTCATCAACAACCTCGACATTGCGAACGACTACGTTAAGCGCATCGTACAGCAGCAACTGGGCAACCATTTGCCGTCTTCCAATGACGAGCCTGCAAAATCACCTATGCACGACTTGTTTCCCTTTGGCCACGATGCTACTTTTGTCGAAAACACACTCAAGGCGATGGGGAAGTCGTTCGCCGCGAAGAGTGGAGACCTACTCAACGATGGCATCACGGTCTTGTTCACAAACGTCCTAAAGCCTCGCATACGGCCAATACTAGCTGAAGCCTTCCGCGACATCGACTATGCACCAGAAGATGACGAGGACGATCTAGACGAAGACGGCGGGGAAGATGACGCCGACTTGGTGAAATCACGATTCGACCGCGGCTGGGGAGTTGTGATCCGCCCCATCAAACGCATCTTGACTACTGCGAACTTCGACCGTCTTCTAACCTTAGCCTTGAACTATCTCGCATCTGCGCTCGAGAGCCGTATACGAAGCTACTACGGAAGGGTTAACGAGCTTGGAGCGGTGAGGCTTGAACGCGATATCGCCGGCATTATCTCAGCGGCTGTGGCCGGTGGAAAGTACGGGTTGCGCGATGCTTTCACCAAATGCACGCAAATGACGCTTATTATGAACATGGAGGACGATGAGTGGGACGAGGTTGCAGACGACAACTCAGGCGAGTCTAGAATCCCATGGGTGCTGGACGCCGAGGAGAGAAAGAGAGTGCGAGCTATCGTGAAAGGGTAATCAAGATACCCAACCGCATTCAAGAGGAATGCCTTGGCACGCAATATAAACAAATGAATCCCCACAGTTCTTGTTCAATACCAGTCACACTTTGGAGCAAAAAAATATTGCCATCGGCGAGGCTTGCATTCCAGTCCAGGCAGGCAGCTGAAAAGGTATTTTAAGCTTTGCTATCCCCTCCCTCACATTGGCCGGACCTCGTGGCTCGTGCCAATAGACTCGCCAAGGCTTGGCCAGAGCTTGGCCAGAGTAATCATATAACATCTACAATCGGTTTTCTACTTAATTTTGATATTAAACCTTGAAGGCGAGTATTAATTTCGCGCGATGTAAAACTAGACGGAATAACACCATGCTATACTCAAGTTTGGATAGCTGATCTTTGGTCTCACGATGCGCGTGCCACGTCTCCTTTCCTGGATCGCGCTCCTTCCCCTGTCACTCGCTCAGTGCCCCGTCTACACAGGATACGCTGCGCAACGTCATGGACCATACACTGAAGGACGATGGAATCTCTCATACGCGCGACCTATTCCTCCATGTCGAACATTTTATTCTCCAGAGGTCGAGGATACCATCGAACGCCTGCGCCACGTGATCACCGACCCGGATCTCTTCCGCATATTCGAGAACAGCTGGCCGAGCACTCTGGATACCACGATCGCATGGCATGGCCTAGCCAATAAGACCTTTGGCTTCGAAAAGGGGCGATATGGCAAAGAGCAACAAGAAGAGCTGACATTCGTAATCACCGGCGACATTGAAGCGATGTGGCTCCGCGACTCGGCAAATCAGTTACAGGCCTACGTATCTGTGCTGAAGAAAGATGATAGTCATAACAGCCTAGCTAGCCTCTTCCGCGGCGCGATCAACCTACAGGCGCGATACATCCTAGAAAGTCCATTCTGCAACGCCTTCCAAGCTCCCGAGGAGAGTGACATTATGAGGAAGAGCAGTGCAAACAGCGATCAAATCACCCCATACTTCGACTACTACAAGGTATTTTCGTGCCAGTGGGAATTGGACTCTGTAGCCTCATTCCTCCAACTCTCAGTAGACTACGTTACAGCGACCCAGGATTACGACTTCTTCCAAAGATCGAGTAACTGGACGAAAGCCGTTGAGGTCGTGTTGCGGACCGCGGAGAGCATGATGGTGGATAGCTACACCGACGATGGCGAGTGGCAGCATACACCCTACACCTACTGTGCGCCCTGTAAGTCTATATACGTATGACCTGCATGTGTGAGATATAAACTGACTTCTTAAAGACGGCGGAACCCCGATAAATGATTGCAACGGGAGCCCGCACAAGGGCAACATTGGTCTAGTTCGCTCCTTCCATCGACCCAGCGACGACGCATGCACATATCAGTACCTCATCCCCTCCAACATGATGTTCAGCGCCGCCTTGAACGCATCATCCCTCATCATGGGGCGCATCGAGCCCAAGGGGGGCAACCTAACAACCTGGATGCGAAACATGTCCACGGGTATCAACAGGGGTATAGAGAAGTATGCCATAGTCGACGGTGGCAAACACGGCAAGATCTACGCGTTCGAGATCGATGGCTACGGCAGCGCAAACGTCATGGACGACCCTAACATTCCGTCCCTTTTATCTGCTCCGTTCTTGTCTTACACTACCCTGCGCGACCCGATATACATCAACACACGCAAGAAGATCCTTTCGAAAGAGAACCCGTATTACGCCTGGGGCCCTATCATCTCCGGGATTGGCAGCCCGCACACGCTACCTGGCCGCGCGTGGCCTATGGCTCTCATCATGGCCATCTTGACGAGCGAAGACGACGAGGAGGTTCTGATGAACTTGAAGATGTTGATGCAGAGTACGGATGGGCTTGGGCTTATGCATGAGAGTGTTCATAGTAGCAGGGAAGGGGTGTGGAGTCGGCAGTGGTTTTCGTGGGCGAACGGGCTGTTTGGTCAGGCGATTTTGGATCTGGAGAAACGGAAGCCGCATATTTTGAAGATGAGTTTTCAATAGGAATACTATAGAAAATTTTATACCTAAGCTTTGAAACTTTGACATTTTCTAATCGGGGCTGATCATCCCAACCCCATGTTAGCGGGTGCGAGTGCAATCGTTGTACGATCGCCAAATATTGGCAGTAACGCTCCTCAAGCCTTGCTAGTCCTCCGGGCCGCAATGAGAATAACTCCTGGCATCCTCAAAAGGTGACGAGTTAAAATAGTGTGCATGTCCAAGCAGCTAGATCATCACCAACCAAAAGTCTCGGTTGCAGATATGGCTCACTTCTCAGTCTTCAATCTCATGTTTGAGCATAGTGTACGGACTAGTGCAATCACAATAAGTGGAGTCTTTGCATGCCATGGGCCAAGCCTCGGCCAAGCTTGTTCCCATGTTCGCACGATGCAGCGGAATCTCACCTACTACTACGCTACTCTATCATTTGACCTCTCGGTCGCTATTTCATAGCTTTAGCAACAACCGCCTGCGACTACTAGGTGCAGGTTGCGGTATCCCCAGAATCCGACAATTAAGGGGTCGCATTGTTACACGTTTCAGCCTCAACGTTCGCAGACCATGCTGCGTCAGGTTGGTCTCAACAACCGTAGCCCCGTTCCAAAGACGCGGAAGAGCGAATTTTTTCCTTTTCCCCTCAAAGGCCTGCGATTTCGAGGCCATTAACGCATGAGACCATCACCCCACACGCTCGCCACTATTAGCGAATACGACTATCCCAACAACTACCACACTACCTACGTCAATTCCGCTTGAGCGACGAACTAGGGTGGTAGCAATGGTGAATCGCGCAAATATTTTCTGCCTAAACATTGAGGCATCATGTTGGTGACCGGCGGGGTTCGAGCAACGACAAAGTGCCCGAAGCATGGAATCCGAGTCAATCACATCTCAAATCGTTGCACCTGCATGCCTAGTTGCAGCAAGCGTAACAAGCCACCGAATTTGATTCCACCCCAGAGTAGAGCAGGCCATTACGCATCTGCCTCCGGGTCGTCAGGTTCCGGAGACATTCCCACCTTGACCTTTGCGCATGCATAGAAATGCTTTGCTGCCTGTGAACGCCTGAGTCTTTTCACTAGTCATTCTTTTTGCTCTAATCTTCCTCTTCTTCAGCACTCTGCGAGTAGCTGCCAGCTGGACTGCGCTTATACCCCACATTCATTTAGATTTTTTTCGCGCCTAAGAGTTGAGGTCATAATGGGGTGTGGCAAGATATTACTGATAGTATTGAGGGCACTAGCCCTCATTGTTGCATTAGCAGTGGTTGGACTGGGTGCCTGGTGTAAGCATACCGCAGAGTCTCAAGAGAAGTAACATGACTGACTGTGCGCGATAGCTAAGGTTATCGTCCGCGACATTGAGGTTCGTGGTAATAGCGTCCTTGAGATAATCCGATTGGAACCTCAAACTAGGGAGCAATATTGGCAAAACTACTTCACTGTGGTACTTAATGGTGTGATAAGAATATGGATATCCATTGCTGCTGTACGTATTGTATCACTACTAAAGGCTTCTCGCTCATGTACGACAGGCCTCCTTCGCATCACTTGCCAACACCTTAATCGTCCTAGCCTCAGTCATGGACCGCATACGCATGTCGTCAAATGTCCTCGTCCCGATCGAATGTCTCTCTATGTGTGCCATGGCTACGGCATTTGGAACCTCCCTCAGCTTCGCGCTAAGTCTGAACGTCTTCAGCGAGACTCGCCTCGATACGGCCGGGTCTTCAGATTTGACAAAATTTGCAATGCTTGTTCCTCTGAGCAAAGGCTACGTTGTCGCTGCGGGCACTGGAGGGTTCCTCGTCTTAGTTACATGCCTGGTAGCAACGGTCGAGGTCTGTAACCGCGTACGGGCGAAAGAAAGCTGCTCCTTTGAGCCAACAGCATCAGCACTGGGTATGGGCCATGGATATCAAGCAATCGCGCCACAAGTGTCTCGCGATAGGGTACCAACAATGTACGATCCCCGAATGCCACTCCGTAGGGATCTAGAACGGACGTCAATAGAGCATGATGAAGCGGGTTTTGCAAGTGAGGGTATAGAAATGGGTCGTAGAGAATCAGGGTTGAGCGAGATGGGGAAAGTGTCGGTCGAATTTGAAAAGGAGATCACTGGGCCACTGAGTTTGGAGAAGCCGCAAAGGGTACTACAAATACGACCTTCTCGACCGTGGAGCGAGGCCCCGAAGAAGAGGGATGACAGCGTACATGCTATATAGTCACCCCTTAGCACCAGCGTTTGCAAACGACATTCGTTATGACTAGATTAGACAAAACAGATGAATATATGATACAACCTACACATCGATCATCAACAAATCCACTTCCAAGGTTGAGTGTTGTGGTGTTGTGTTGAGGACACCCGGCATAATTGATCTCGGAGAAAGTTGAGAAGATGTCGCTAGACACCTATTGCAAGCATGCAAACCTGCAGACAAAACCCGAACGGTAACAGTTCCGCACGTGACCGTATGTTTAGCGCGTTTACGTGTTGAGCTAACTCGCGTCAACGTCATCGCTTCACCGAACCGCAAACACCAATCGCAAACCATCTCAAGTGTATTCAATACTAGAATACTGCAATCACACAATGGCAGGCTTCAAGCGGGGCGGCTTTCGAGGCGGAGGCGGTGGAACCTTCAAGGGTTACGCCAAGAAGCGTTCCGAGCCCGACGATGGCGACAGCGCACCGCGATCGAGCAAGAAAGCGAAAGGTGATGACGAAGAGGAGTCAGTCGCGGTGGTGCCTAAGCTCGAGATCGACGATGATGGCAATCAATTCATCGGTGTGCGTATGCAGCAATCAAACGGTTCTCTAGCTGACACGATCAATAGCTCAATGCAAGCGGTAAGCGACGCGTCACAGTTAGTGAATACAACAAAAAAACACTGGTCAACATTCGAGAGTATTGGGTCAGCGATAGTGGGGAGTTAAAACCGGGAAAGAAGGTACATGCCCAGCCCAAAGCCTCTTTACTTTCCCAATGCTCATGACTGATCAATGCAGGGTATATCACTCACGGTCGATCAATACAACACCCTCCTCGCCGCCGCTCCTCTTCTCGAATCAATACTCGCACAAAAGGACATTGAAGTTGTGAGGCCGGCCTATGATGCCGATACCAGCGCGAAGCCAGAGACACCAAAGGCCGATGGGGAAGACGACGAGGAAAGTGGAGTAAGGAAGGAGGAGAGCGAGGAGCAGGTTCAAAAGGTGGATGATGATGATGATGATGAGGAAGAGTAATAGGAGGAATGATATACCCTTGAGACATGCCTATGGCGGTTTGTGCTACTATTAATGTACAACAGGGAGCATGAAATTATGCTTCTGGCGTAGTATAAGGGGAAATGTAACGGCGATTAAATGTGGTTCAGCAATTGTATTGCGCAACGACCTTTTCAGTAACGGAGCGTGGCGTTAATCCACTTCGTCTCATTGAATCCTCGATGGCCATGCGAATTCTCTCCATCTTGCCTTCGCCATCTCAGTTCCGCCGTGCCCTGGAATTGAGCAACGCCTATGCGCTGTATTGGGCACAACTCCCGTGTTTCTCGGTCTCAAAAAATCTCGGCGGTACACTCACGGCCTTTACCTTGTGGAGGGGGAGGAGCCGACGAAGTGACTAGCAAGGTGAAACGATTGGGGGTCTAAATGCGCTTGGGGGTTCTGTGGTAGCGGACATGCAGGAGGTAGTCAGATATCCGAAACAGAAATGTTTTCGTTATTTCTAGGTCACTGTTAATCCAATAGTAAACAGGTCATGTGGGGCTCATGTGAAATGCCCTTGACTGAACTGAAAGGAGTTGCGAAGATGCTGACTCTTTGGCTCCTGCTATAGGGGTTTTTAATGGTTCGTTTCGAAGGCTGGTGCTACCTGTTGAGCTCGGGTTTTTAGCTCATCAAGAATAGACGCATGGTCACTTCTTAACGCTTTTTTCATATCATCATATTATTTATTTATCTTCTACTGTGTTTTGTGATCCGCTCTTGTTAGCGATATGTTTACTTCTAAAAAGTGGTCACTCTTTTATTGCAACAATTCGGAACAGAATAGGCTAGCTCCAAGACCCAAGTTTTTCGACGATGTTGCTGTAGCGACAACTCAAAAGCCTCATGATCTATGAGAGGCACAAAGGTCCCTGCGTCGAATATACGGAAAGTCGACCTAAGAATGCCTAGCAAGTAATAAAAGAGCTTTGAAAATCCAATAATCCCTCCAATACTGGTGCTCGGATCTTATTCCGGATTTTTTGCTTCGCCAGAGAGAGGGTCCGGTTGCCTTATAACAGGAAACATGGTACTAGCTTCCGCATCCAGTAGTGAGTTAGGGTCTACCACAAATACTTCATTGTTGATGAGCACGGCCACTCGAAGAAAATATTCATATGGCACTCTCTCAACTCTCGTGAAACAAAATCTACATAACCTACATTAACAGTTCTTTACACTTCGAAACGGATCATCCCCTCGTCTCATCTTTCATCCACCTTCGTTTTCGTATGATCTTCTTTGGCCCTAGTAGCTAACATTGCCTCAATTCTTAGCAATCACTATGCCCTTTCTCAGGCAAGGAAGTAGACTCAGGCGGCTTATCAAGAAGTTCTTGCCTAGTCGCGCTCGCAAGGCTTCTCGCACATCTCACATCAATGTCAAACATGAAGAATACAAGGATGAAAAACGGTTTCAGCAAAGCATTGATCGCACCAATTATGCGCCCCGAACCCCCGCAAGAAGACACGGCACTGTAACGACAGAGCAAGGACTAGTATGCCGTCAAGTTCCGGGGATTGCTCAAACGGAGGTGAACCTCCCTCGGGGCTGGGAGCCGCTAATATCTCGGATCGAAAATAGAGGAATACATTATCCGCAATACCTCCAGCAAGCTAGTCCACTTCAAAGCACCATAAAATATGCCCAGAAACCAATTCAATACCCTTCAATACCACGGAAACCGGTGTCCAACTCCTTTCACTGTATTGATCCTCCGTCAGCACAAACCTTCGTACCAGTTCCCGGCTGGGAAAAAGACTGGAACAAACCACTCGGTTTGCGGACTGGTCCTAATAAGATCGTATGGAAAACACCGTCCTTGGGCATTGAATTACGCAATAAACGCAGTATCCAGAAACTGGAAGCGCAGAAACTGAAGATGAGGAGTATGCGTAGTATTGAGGAGATGGCAGAGGAGGAACGACATGCGTGTCAGGAGTTTCTTGGTCAGTGTTCTCAAGATTCATTTCTTGTCTACTAGCAATTGGCAATGTTAGCAAAAATTGTGTTGTCGGCTAATAGGTCTTGCAAACCCAGGCATCACAGCAAGAGTTGAGACCGCATCCCGAAATCTCTCCGTTTCATGCCGAAACTTCCGACCTGCCTCCCGAATTAACTATCGCTACCATTGAGTACATCAGCCAGGAAGGGTTCTAGTTCTCTTGTAGAGGTGCGCTACTGCATTTCTTGAGAGCATTATTGGGGTCCTACAGTGCTACATATGTATAATGTCTTTTTGGGGTGACGGCCACGACGATTGGGTGATATTTTGCAAGTCTTAAGGGCGTTTCTTATATACAAGCAACTCTTGTCTCAGTAACATACATGGTTGTTCCCCGGTGCTTTTCAAGATGTAGTGACGTCATGAACCACACACAGGCTCGTGAGTTTCCAGATGCGACAGGGAGAAACGAAAAAGCGCTAGTTGGTCTACTGCATCACGTATGAAGAGTCTAGATAGAACAACATTGATCGCGTAAAAGTGCAAAAGCGGGAGGACGCGAGACGCGTAAAACGGTCTTCAGCCCTACCCGTCTTGGCAACAAAAAAGTTGAACCCCTCTACGACCCCGCCTCGATCGAATCTCATTGACAACCTCATTTACAACAATTTACTCGCCGAAATGTCTGTCTGTGTTGAATGCAAAAAGCCACTCGATGTAGAACTCGACCCCGAGGAGGAGGAGGAATATGAGACAGCAGCCTCATCCTCCGGCAAAGCTCCCGCGGCAGCTACAGAAACAGTTCCAGATGATGTCCAGCTAACATGCGGATGTCATTTCCACTGGTAAGCAAAAAAAGATCGTTTACAATGGCTTTGCATAACAAATCCTAAAGGGACTGCCTGCTCGAAGCCTACCAAGTCACCGAATGTCCCAATTGCGGGAAGAATATAGCATCGACGTCATCCAACGGCGCGCAACAAGTTCTCTGCAACTTGAACAACGAAGGCGGCCTACAAACAGACCTCGACATCCTACCCCTCCTCACCGAAGAATTCTACCTCAAAGCCTACCCCGAAGATCGCAAGTGCCGCGCTTTCCTCGAATTCTGCCGCGAAGGCGACTTCAAAGCCATCATCGACATGCTACAAGACGACGAGGTAGACGAAGATGACGATGAAGATGAGGAAATGGCCGACGATGATCAGCCTGGTAAAGAGGTTGGCATTGATAGGATGCTGCGATACCAGGACCCGATTGGTGAGATGCAGTCTGGTCTGCATGCTGCAGTGCAGGCGCAAAGCAGGGAGGTTGCTTGGCTGCTGTTGCTATTAGCAAGCAACCTAGATCTGTTAGAGTTTCCGCCCGAGGTGTTCCAGGAGGCCGCGGCTCTAGGAATTATGAGGGGTTTGACAGAGGACAAAGTGGATATCAGAAGTTTGAGGGATGCGAATGGGAAGACTGCAGAAGATGTTGCAAATGAAATTGGTGGTGTGTGGGTTGGGTGGACGGGCAATGGGCGGCTGGCAATATGAGGAGGATGTCATACATATGCCATGACACACACGATACGTGAGCGAAAGAAGACAGGTTCACGACCCTACTCTCAAATCATGAGGGGGCAAATGCCATGCGCATAGCTTCGGGCTACAACAAGACTCACATACGATTTTAATTCCAGTGGGCAATATCATGCAGCAGCGTTTTGTTACGATATATAATCTGCATAGCTACATCACTGATGTGTATCTGCTCTCAAATGCCTATGATAGGCATCAGTATTAGATGGCTTTAGCAACGGAATGCAAGACCAATAAGAACTATACCCTACACCAACAAGAGTAACAAAATGAAAGCCTCACGATGGCCGTATGAATGCAAAGAGGGTTGTACCACAAAGCGGTGGGTAGCCATGCCACCGGCAGACTTTGGGATCAACAAAAAAAATTGTTCGAATTGTCCTGAGCAAGCCCAGGCACGATGTTGTCCCCTTCGTGGATCGAACACGATACCTCCAGATTTTGTGACCGAAGACTTCAGTCTGGCGCTCTCCCAATTGAGCTAAGGAGACAGTTTGCGGGATTTCATGACAAATTGTTAAATTATCTTCTCTGAATAGGAGTTTGGGGGGAAATAGGAGAAAACAAATATAGAACAACTAGAAAGAGGATGAATAGGAATAGAGGCTTGATTAGTGCGGTGAGAACTCTGCAATGATGATTGCGGGGTTCGAAGTGGGGTCAGATGGAACGAGGAGTAATTGCCGACGAAACGCGTTAGTACGAGACCGTACCCCGGTAGGCGACTATACAGTTTCAACACTCTTTATTCTTGTATCACGTCCTGTCGAAATTATGCCAAACACATGCAGTCTGATTTACTAAGCAACTACTACAGCCTTGCCTAGGTGCGAAGATCTCAAATCTGATTACCCCCGGATTGCTGATTTAACATGGCAACTTTCCCAGACAGATTCTGGGCTAATCATGGGCTGTGCCTCATGAATACCGCTAGAAAACCAACTCATTAGGGGCAACCCTTGAAAATTGTAGCCTGGTTTCTTTGGCGCTGTTCATGTTCTGGAAAAAGACCAATACCCGTGTTCGAATCCCTGTCGAAACAAATGTCCTTGCTCATGTCCATAGCTCTCTGAGAAGCAGTTCTGTCCATGCGTACTCTACATACGCCGGCTTCAGGAAAGTCTCGACTGAAAGGTTCCAATCATCCGACCACCTCCCGCATGCATAGATAGCCCGTGAGTATTCCCAGTAGCTCGGGTACCACCCGGAATACTCGAAGTCGATGAGAACGATATCTGGCTCCTTGTTTTCGTCGCCAAGGTCGCGGATCATGATGTTCTTACGTTGCAGGTCGCCGTGGGTGAAAACTGCGGGATGATCTCGGAAGAGTTGCTGAAAGACGCGCGAGTAGTAGTTTCCCCTCTCGGTAGACATGCCATCCTGTCGATACTTCGCGATCATGGCTTCGTTGAGCTCCTGTTCTGTCTTGAACGGACCTGCGAACGGGGCGGCTGGATCGGAGGTCCAGAAGATCCCGTCAGGTAACCCACGGCGCCCTACACTGCAAAACGGATAATCTTGGTCGGGCGATGGTAGTTTTCGCATATCGTTCAATATCGATCGGAGTCGCGTTGCAATGGCCTCTTTTGTAACCTTGGGAATGTCCGACCACATGGACGCAAGGACCTGACCCTTGATGCGTTCCATGATGATGTAATTCTTCTTGGTGCTCTGATCTTGGAACCAGGCATAGATTCGTGGCGTTGGCACTACTGTTGACTCTAGATGTAGTATTGTTTCGCCCTCGATAAGATCGACACCCTCACCATACTTCACGACGAAGTGCTCGCCAACTCCCACCACCATCCGTGCCTCTTGATCGCTCATGAATTCTTTCGATGAATGAATCTCCTCGAGGGTGGGCAGTTGCACCGGAAGCGATTCTATAGCTGCGTAGTAGGGGACCACAGGGGACGTCATGACTGTAATTAGGTACCGCGGAAGTGAACGCAGTGTGAGTTGAAGTGAGAGGTGGTTCCTAAGTAGTGGAAAAGGTATCGAACTCGATTCACTTATTAGCGCAGACAAGTGTAGTCTCAAAGCTCGAAAACAAACCTAGCATAAAGGTGAAAGCAGTTGATGTGGCCAGATCTATACGAGAAAGTGGATGGAGTCCTTCATCGTCATTATTCCCGAACAGAGACGGCTCATACAGAATCTCTATATCTTCATCGAGGCGGATTGAATCGCTCTTGGTCAACAGATTGCACTACTGGACGTCCATGATTGTTGCCGACAGCTTGCGTAGTAGACCGCTACAATTATGCCTCTCCGCAAGACAACTCGTCGCCGCCAACCCCACTCAAGCCTTATTTGTTCAAAAGCGGTTGGATCCCTAAGGACAGCAGGAGGCCCTAAACAACTATGATCGCCGGTAAGCAACGGCCCGCAGTTAGATTTATGATCTCGCAAAGATACATATGCATGTTTCGATCCTAGGTAAGCATGTCTAGTCATCAGTGCCGACAGTAGCTCAGAGCTCGTAGCGAATGGAAAGCGAAGGACCGCGGCATCTGGGACCTTACCCCTAGGCCAACCAGCGGACTTGATGTCACACGTGAAATGGACGATTGCATATTGAACAATGCAATTCATATTCAGAATCCCATGCACCCTACGCCTTTGCACCATATCATCTTTACTGCTGTCTAAATGTCATGACGTCTTCCAAGCATTCCCCGCTCATCAGTTGTGGTATCTTATGCTCGCATAAATCGCACGCCTCTATATTGCTATCCTCGTCGGTTCTTTGTACATCCGCTTACTTCGAGACGCCCTCGTCAGCGTTGAAGCAGTCGCCGAAGTCTTTGCTGTGCTTATTCGAGGCATGGTCGGTGAGCAGCTTGCGGCTGGTGGTGCCCTGGAAGGTCTGAAAGCAGGTCTTGCACTTGATGCTTTGGGCGGCCACGTTCTGCTTCGGCGTCAGTATACATTCTTCCGAGACCAGCCCTTCGAGAATGGGTCCTAGAGGTCGTGGAGAAGTCTTACTGTTTTCAGTTGGCTCTTCGCCTCCTTAGGGCCGGCGTCGCCCTTGCGATCACGCTTTTGCTGTGCTCTACCGCAAAGTCAGTCGCTGCCCCGCATCGTTCGTTCAGTGAATGACATACTTGGCTCCGTTACCCATTTTGTGAACGGCTGACTGTCAGTTGCTGAGAGCGAGTGAATATGTTGGTCCGTAGAGTGATCAAGAGTTGTGTAGATTGCGTGGGGATAATCGTAGCAGACGAGAGAAAGTAGAGATTATTTTGCGACCGTCGGTCTGGGCCACGGAAGAAGGCGGTGATTCGCCCCGCCGGCGTTAAGCCGCGTTCCGTTAGGCTTCCGCGCCATCATGTGATGCTATATTCCAAGGTTGTCCCTTCACGCCAATCGCCGGTTCCACGCACGCCTCATTGCAATCTGACTGGCATCACCACCTTCCGTCCGCAGTGGGGCGCCGGTGTCACCCGCACAAATTGCAGCTGCCGTTCATAGGCGCAATCGATGACTATCCAAAGTCGCAAGCGTAATGCATGCGCGACCAGTAGCGTCTCAGCTATGTAAACGATATGTTATCGAGTTGTACAAGGGTTTGTTAATGTAGCCGGTGCAACGAGTATTTGTTTGCCATCCAAGCAGGCACTCATCTTCGTTTTCCTTCTCCACTTCCATTCTACCATTCTTCCTTCTCTAATTCGCGTCTAATCATCTTTGACCTTGACACCTCCTTCGTCCTTCCTCGCATTATGGCCCACAACCACGATCATGAGCATGCTCACCATCACAGTCGATTTCAGATCACCCGAAAGACACGTCTACGGGCTGTGATAGCTATCTCCTTCTGCTTTTTTCTTGCCGAGATATCGGTTGGCTTCTATACAAAGTCTCTTGCCCTTGTAGCAGATGCTTTTCACTACGTACGCTCCCCTCACATTTCACATTTGCCTACTAAACATTACTCAGTTGAATGATCTGATCGGCTTCATAGTCGCACTCGTAGCTGTCCACGTAACAGAGCGCAAAACCTCCCCTTCCGATCTCTCCTTCGGCTGGGCACGAGCACAACTGCTAGGTGCCTTCTTCAACGGCGCCTTCCTCCTCGCTCTAGGCCTGAGCATCGCTCTCCAATCCATCGAGCGATTCATCTCGATCGAGCATGTCGAGAATCCCAAGTTGGTGTTGATCGTTGGCTGCGTCGGTCTCTTCCTGAATCTCATTAGTGCTCTGTTCTTACATGAGCACGATCATGACCATGGACATAGTGGGAACGAGGATGAGGAGAACATAGTTCCTACACCTATGCATGCGAGCCATATGCATATCATTGCGAAGCCAAAGAAACATGGCATGGATCTGGGTATTCTGGGCGTCCTGATACACGTCATTGGCGATGCGATCAACAACATCGGCGTCATTATCTCGGCAGTCATCATTTGGTTCGTCAAGTCACCATCTCGCTTCTACGCAGACCCGGCAGTATCTATGTGGATTGCTATTATGATTCTTATCTCTGCCGTGCCGCTCACCAAACGGTCCGGGAAAATTCTCCTACAGTCTGCGCCCCTAGGAGTCAAAATTGAGGACATCAAGCATGACTTGGAGTCCATACCAGGTGTGCAGAGTGTGCATGAACTCCATGTTTGGCGTCTGGACCAGAAAAAGTCGGTTGCGTCCGCGCATATTGTGGTCAGTGACCCGGATATTGCAAGCTTCATGAAAAATGCGAAGATCTTTTCGCAGTGTTTACATGCGTACGGAATTCATTCTGCGACACTACAGCCTGAACTCGCCAAAGAAAACACAGGGCAGGACCATGAAAATAAGGAGGCGACATCGGGCGTCACGAGTGCAACAAGCACTGCACGGCCAAGTATTGAAAAATGCGGAGTACCGTGTGGAACGTTGTGCGAGGAGCTAAAGTGCTGCAATTGATGATGGCTTTCTTCAAGAAGAGACCGCGAGGAAGATACCATAGCAACGGACAGTAAACCAAGGAATGATATCCTTAAAATTGTCTTGCTTGCCGACTCTCGCAGTAAGAGATGTAATGGCGGCCTTAGCCATACTTGTCTTTTCTAGACCTTCAAATCTCGGCTCAATCTTCTACGTGCGATGAACTAGCTAATGTAGGTCATGCGGTGACAGCGTAGTTGAAAGCATTCAGCTGCGAGAGCCTCCCCGCGACAGTCAAGAGCTACCGTAGATACATTGGTACGAATGTGTGCCGATGATGTCCGATCATTCAATGTGGAGAAGCAGGAATAGGTCGCATTGCTGTGATCCAGACTGATGACTCGGCCAATGGTCATTGTCAGCCCAACGAAGGCCACTAAAATTGATCCCACCAGCATTATGTCCCACTTTGAGCTGGGTGATGATCTACCGAGGAAAGCATCGAAATCTCCTGTTCTAATCTTAGATATCGGTAGCCTGACCTAGCCGCATACCGAGTAGTGAACACTGAGCGTTATCGATTTGGAACCTTGTAAAGACTAGCGCATACACGTGACCGTAAACTAGAAAAGGACTAGTGCTCCCCGCCTTACACTTATTAGCTTCGCCTAGCTGTTCCGTATTCAGTTCCGTATTCAAATCGTTGGCTTACGAGTGGTGCGCTTTAAAGATGACTGGCAAAGAGATTCATAAATATGGCACTGATGATGGATGGCACGGTAGGATTGAAGAAGGAGGAGGTTCCTTACCTGATAAGGACAGGTATCACTTATACATCGGTAGGCAGTGAATCGTACAGACTTGTCTATCTTAACATTCATGTCTCCGCTAAACTAAAAGCACTACACTGTTCAATAGTCTGACTATCTCCTAGGACTCTTTTGCCCTTTCGCGCATCGCGTTAATCTCGTTCGCCACCTCAAGCACCTAACGTCCATCCTCCCCATCTCTATCGTCCGCCCGTACCCAAAGGGCGAACCGGGATGGCGCTTCGACGAAACATATCCCAACGCTACACCCGACAGCCTTTTCAACAGCCAGTTCATGCACCAACTCTACTTCCGCGACGACCCAGCATACAAGGGGAAGTACAGTGTCCCACTACTATGGGACAAGAAAACCAACAGTATCGTGAACAATGAGAGTGCCGAGATATTGAGATGGCTTCCCCATGCTTTCGACTCGGTGCTAGCCGATGACGAGAAGGTGAAAGAGTTAGATTTCTATCCTGCTGAATTGCGGGGTAAAATCGATGAGATAGCACCGTGGCTGACATCGCTGATTTGCTCCGGCGTGTACAAAGCCGGGTTCGTGCGTACACAGGAAGACTACGAGAAGAACGTTGTACCGCTTTTCGCTGCGCTGAACAAGCTGGAAACGCTGGTGCATGCCAACGGCGGCCCATATATTCTGGGTGAGACGTTGACGGAGCTAGATCTCCTCGCGTACCCAACTATCGTCAGGTTCGATACCGTATATGTGCAGCATTTCAAAACGAACCTGGGCACGATACGCCATGACTACCCTGTGCTGAACAACTGGCTCAAGAATTTGTACTGGAATGTCGAGGGCTTCAAAGAATCAACTGATTTCCAGCACATCAAGGAGAATGTAGGTTATCCTCCCCTTTTGAACTAGAGCCCAGTCCCTAGTCACGTACGTATACTTACGTTAATGGTACAGTACACGAAGAGCCATGGTGATATCAATCCACTCTCTATTACCCCATTGGGGCCGTATCCAGATGTCGAAGAAGGCTATGAGAGTAACTGGAGTACGCTGAAGCCAGGCAAGGTAGCGCATCCGCGCGTAGTAGAGGCGGAGAGTAAATTGTAAGCCATCGCACGATCGCTTGTGATGAAGACAGATATGCGAATAAGAAGCAAGAATCATTCCTTTATATGCTGAAAGCGACTGTGTTACAATCAAAGCAAAACCAATGGTGAGAGACATTGTCAGTGGATGTAATGCAGACCTCGGAATGAGGGCTGCCGGCGATAAAAATCATGCGTACAAAGTGTATGTTCATTTCGATCAAGCTTGTACATGGACTGACATCAATGTGCTCATGAGCGGTGGGGTACAGCAGAGATTACGGGAACGGTATGTTCATTGTCTAGAGACTATGATACAGACTAGTAAGCTATTCGGTAACCAACATGTGTGTAATGTTGCCTGCCAATTATCTAATCATTTACCGCCCCGAAGGAATCCATTCACCAGTATTGTGGACAGTAGAACAGTTTGCAGTTCATCCGTGGCCGTTTCTACCTGTCTTGACTTCGAAGACCGCCAGTATGGCTTAGTACAGTACCAAATACAGTCCATCTCGATTCGATATCTCGAGTTTCTAGAAGAGTGGGGTGATGTGATGTTGTGTGATACGAATGTGATTTTGTTGGTTTCGATTAGGCAAATCGAAGTGAGGGCGAGGGGTCGTGATCGGTGGCGAGTGGGCGGAAATGACAGGATATACAGGGCTCCGGGGCTATGCTGGGGGGTGTTCTAAATATGATGCTAAGAACGCCTGGGGACAAGTAGGGAATAATGCGCCCCATAGCCGGTTTGTCGATATGAGATCGGTGGAGATGTCGGTCGAGTATCCAAGAACGTAGGGGGTGGTACGAAAAGACCCTGGTAACAAGGTCCGGAGCTTCTAGCAGCCGCTCATGGTCTCTGTCAAAAGTCCTTTCCTACAATTAGTCCAAGGGCCCACCTGGACATAGAACTGCTCTTCCAACCGGACAATTCAACAACCTCGGCCATGATAGCAATGGAAAAAGACAGAACAAGAAGACATAATGAGAGAACAAGGACGGCCCACCCCGTCATGTCCAGATGCTAGGCACCGTTGGCAATAGGCGGCCCACCCACTCGAGGATCACCAGGAGGTATGCCCGACACCTTCTGCGAAGGAGGATGTGGTGGATGTGGAGGGTGATGCTGGCAGCCATGTTGGCATCTACCGCTTCGACGGGCTGCTAGAGAGTTCTGGACGTCATCGTAACCGTCGTCGTCATAGTACTCGTCGTCCTGTGGATCCAACATCCCATCGTCAGGATGCCGGTCGTAACTGCCCGGTGGAGGGTTCTGCGTGTGTTGGGCGTTGTTGGCGTTGTTCTGCGCTTTCTTGCTAGCCTTCTTTCCCTTCCGTCCCTTCATCCTGGCTTTTTCTAGCAGCCGGCGCTTTTCCGCTAGTCGCTTCCGCTCCTTCCTGTCCTTAATCTCGTATTGCCGAATCAAAGCCTTGGGCTGGTGACCAAAGATGTCCTCGTACTCGCAGAACTCGCATATCCAGGGCTGAGTGGGCGGGTTGTGGAAGTTGGCGTATTCCTGCTGGATGCGACGCTTGCGGGCAGCAAAGGCATATAGCTTGGATGCGCTACGCCTGGGCTTTGGCGGCGGAGGTGCTTGTTGCTGCGGCTGGCCACCCTTCTGGGCCTGCGGCGCGTTCTTATCCATAGGCGGTGGATACGCAGCCGCACCGTTTATGTTCGGACTCGTCTGTGTGCCCTGGGTGGACACCCTGGGAGCGTCGGGGCGGACGGCTGTGCGAGTGTAGTTTGGGGATCGGACAGCCTTGGGGCCAGAGGGAATAGTAGCAGCCGTAGTCGGGTACAAGGCACGCGGTTTGGGATAGGGTCCGTTCTCTTGTCCTGGCCAAACCATCTTGTTGGCCGAGTCCGAGCCGCAGGTAAAGGTAAACTGCGTCTTGTTTGCGCTGTTCTTCGCAGCTTCTTGTTGTAGCAAGCTCACGTTCTCGTTGCCCTGGGGCGGCGGCGTCGCTTGCGCATTGGCAATGGCGGTGGAGATGATGCCACTCTGCTCTGGAGGACCTAGTAAATAAATAGTCAGCGCACGGACTCTTCGCGGTAAAGACGTGTGATTTCCCGAGGTGACACCGTACGTTTGCTGCTCGCTTTGGCGTTGGCGAGATTGGTCGAATTGCCCAATACTCGCCTCTCGGACCGTCCAGAGCCAGATCGCCCGAAACGCCCTCTACCTGCGCCAGAGATGCCTGTCCCCGAGTTTATGCTGTGCTGAGGTGTTGCGGGCGCCGAGCCGTAGTAGCGTCCAGGCCCATCTGCGTCGTCGATGGCGCCTGTCTCGTGGGCTTGCGCAATGCCCATGCTTGCCAAATCTCCAGCAAGATTCGCATGATGCGAGCTGTTGTTGCCCATGTTCGGAATCTTGCGTTTCTTCTTGTTGTTGGTGTTCTCAAATGACTCATAGCCATCCACCGAAGAGGCGGTTGAGCCCGGCTTCGCATAGGCACCCGTTACGCCAGCCGCAGACTTGCCAGACGCATGCCTGCTGTACTGGTAGCTCGGAGAAGAAGGCAACGGTCCGTTGCGCTCGTCCTCTTCCTCTTCGCTCTCTACTTCTGAATGAGTATGGCCACAGTGGCAGGCATGGTGGTCATTCTCGCCTGTCCGGAGAGACCTGTTCCCACGCTCGCTGGCCGTATACGGGAAATTGAACAGCGGGCCACTCGATGGGGGGTTGTGCGGGAACACAATCGTCTCAGCCTGCTCGGGGGACAGTCGGGCGCGCAGAGAGCGTCTGGGCAGAGGGCGAATGGGCCGATCGGGGTACATAGAAGACGAGGTGTCGGGCGAGGAGCGTAGCGGCGAACAGCGGTTCCACTCGTAGCCTGCGTAGGGAAGAAGCGATGTCAGATATGTGGAGAGAGCAGGAAGCAGGCCCATACGAGACATTCCGTGTAGTGTAAGGGTGCAGAAAACGAAAATGGTAGAAGAGCGCTGTGGGGAGCCTACAACGTCTTCCAATGCTTACCCGCAGTCGCCGCTGCCATGCTGGCAATCCTTCCTCCAACGCCTATCTATAAAGATAGCGCAGTAGTCGGCGCGTCCAATACAATCCCAAGAGTCTGCTCTATAGTGCCTGTCTTGTCCCACATTAGCGACCATGTCCAGTCGGCATCCGCTGCTAACGAATATATATTCTCGAAGCATTTTGGTCCCATTCTCTACATTTCCACGTGTAGTTGTTGTGGTATTGGAAGCTCTACGCACCTATTTCGAGGGGGTTGTGGGCTGGACGAGGAACGACTCTGGTAGCAGTTAGCGGGAACCCCTCTATTGCTCGGTACCTGACTGACTGACAAGATACAGTCGAACTACGGGGCCGATTATTCTAATAGCAACAACTTACCGGATCCAAAGCAGAAGTCAAGTGTGGTCGGAATGAGTGACAGCAGTGGTGGTGTCGATACCCGAGCTCAAGCGATGGCAGTTCGCCAACGCCAAGACACACGTAGTCGCAGTGATGTGGCCTCCAAGCTCGCCAAAATAGGACCACTGCTAGCGAGCAACAGTCTGCGTCAACGTTGCAATCAGGGGCTTGAAGAGGGATGATAGAGCAGGTGAAGCTACGTAGGCAGAGCTATTGAAGGAGGTTGACGTCGCACCCGACTGCATATCATCTCGCAATGACCGTGCTGGGGGCGCTAACATCGAAAATGGATTGGTAATGGCTCCTGATTCTGTCTCTTTCGAATGACGAAAGGAGCATGCCACGCTGCTTTGACCTCTCGTTGCTCTCTTAGAGTACTCATTCTATCGACCAAGCCATCGTGGAGCTGCAGCCCAATGAAAAATTACAATTGCCCGAGGAGCAGCTAATAGCACGAGCATCACTTCTGATCCTGGAACGCACCAATATTCCTGTGACACCGACGGGTTGCTAGGAAAGGCTACCCTCCAGTTATTCAGCAGAGCGGGGAGCACGGTAGTAGAAGTTCATTAGGCACATTTTCAAAGATCGTTCCATCTACTATATTCAGGTTAGTCGTGTCTCTGAATGGGGATTGGAAGCCTAGCGGCTTCGACGGAACTATGAGAAGCTTCAACATAACCAAGGCCCTATTCACACTAATCCCGGCCTATATACCCAGTTGCATGCAAAGTAACTGCCTTATCTTCTTGGTCAATAAACTTACCCTAAAATCGGGTCACTACCAATATAAAGGTATCTCGTTACTACGATGCACCATTTAGAAGATACTCCAAGCAGCATCCTGGTGCCCACTGGGTTTTGTTCATGGACTATCAATAGCACTGCTGAATACCATTGCTTTAGTGTTATTGCAAAAATACCTCTACGCTTTGCTGAGAGCTGGGTGAGCCTTATAAATTCCTTCTCAGATACGATTGTCGAGCATGTTGCGGCGCTAGAACATGTCGCCCTACAGAGTTCGACAACGACAACCATATATCGCTCCCAGACCCTGAGCGAACTTGAATCCACATTCAAGCCACCAGGGCAGCTATCCTTCAATCATATGCCCCTCGGCGCACGGGCAAACCTCCTCCGAAGGTCCCACTCGTTGCTACACTCATTGAGAGCTGCTAACCCCGCATGCCAACCTACGAAGCTCAAAGCTTACTTTGACGCTACATGACAGTCCAGAATGTCCATGGATCACACTCGTGATCCGTGTCCATGGGTAGCACTTAGTGATTTTGGTGGAGCCTTTTCTATGGGGGTATGTTATCTTATCGATTGCTGAGCGTTGACTCCGTCGCGGATGGGGCTCCATGGTAACAAGCCTGCAGGCTATAGGAGGAGCTGTATGGCACGCAGTGAAGGGCTTCCGGTATGTCTTAATGGCTGTTCTATATCCTGTATAGGCCAATTGACCTTGCAATAGCAACTCTCCTCATGGTGAACGACGCATCGGGTCCATCACGGCTATCAAGGCACGAGCGCCTGTCCTCGGTGGTAACTTCGGCGTCTGGGGTGGACTGTTCAGCACCTTTGATTGTGCTGTCAAAGGTATCAGGTGCGAACTCTCTCCCTTCTAGCTATCATACATGATTTCAAATACTGGGCCTAAGAATACGGCATACTGATGTTCTTGCAGGAAGAAAGAAGATCCTTGGAATGCCATTCTCGGTGGCTTTATGACTGGTGGAGCTCTCGCTATTCGAGGTGGAGCAAAAGCTATGCGCAATAATGCAATTGGATGTGCTGTCTTACTTGCAGTCATTGAGGGTGTCGGCATTGTGTTTAGTAGGATGCTGGCTGAGAACACAAGACTCGAGGCACCTCCGCCACCTCCGCATAGCGCCGCAGTCACATGAAGTCCATGGACGAAGCATGACTCTTCAACCGATAGTCATGACTGATGAAACAACTCAACTACATCTTTCAATGACTTTTAGTGGGCTTGACGATCCGCCTACGGACTCAAACAATCCTCCTGCGCCGCCCTGTGTTTCGATTCACACAACCGGGCTTCCTTGTCGATGTTGGATGAGGGAACACCAAATACGGAATCGATGTGTGGTGGCCAATGTGAGATTGTATTGCATCGTTCCACAGGCCGTCAAATGACTTGTTCGAGCGTATCAAGTGTACGTTCCATCGCGTATGATGCTCTCCGTATGTCATACACTTCTTTCCTTCCTTTGCATTTTTTTCTTTCGAATTTGGGTTTCTCTACACTGCTAGCGAAGATCTTTCTCCTTTACCTGTTTGACGCCGAACCTACTTTACCGCCTGTCACGACTTGCCCCAGTTTAGTCAATAACGATATAACCAATAACAGTCAAACAGACTTCCAAAGCATCCGCGGTGGATTGGAGAAGTTGAAGCATTCTAGTACTTGGTCCGTAGGTCCGCAGAAGGGTCAAACCTTCGAGCCTACATATACGAGTAAAACTAAGCGACCCAACTGTTCAAAGACATACTTATCCACTTTCTACGGAAAGCCAAGCAGTCCGATGCCCGGCCAATGAAGGCATCGCCTCTCTCGTATCGACCATGCGTGTAGTTCCGGATGCGGCGGGAGGATTGTAGGTGGACATAAAAACGGGTCAATTTTCTAAGCATGCCGGAATTCGGCCGAGTATTGGAGTAAGCGATCAGGCAGGCTAAAGACTAGGAAGTATATGGTAGGTGTCACCTACTCTCACTTGTGTGACTCTTACCGTGTTCGCCCTATTTCCACCAGTGCCGCTCCTTCTGTTCACAGACTCACTCTGGACACGACACCTTCTTGGAAAATCCACAGTCGTTATATGCATACATACATCAAGAGCCTAAAGAAGTGCCCTTACTCAATTCTTTCTACGGAAACTCGCTCCTTTCACATCTACCTGTTGTTGCCGCTATCTACGGTGGCACCTGTCTTACCCAGGTTCCAATTTTTAACCCAAACCTAGCGTCAACAAACATACCCAGGATTTGACGTCCCCTTAACCTTACAACTCTCGCTAAGGGTCAACGAAGAAATCACTACCACCATGGATGACGCAGACTGGCGCGATACCTGCACGTACGAGGAATGCGGGGTCGAGGGGTCATTCTGGGGCTATCGCCCTTCCCATGGCGTGAACATAGCGTTTGTTGTTCTATTCGGCATCTCTACGTTGGCATTCCTGGCTCAGGGTTTTTCGGGCAAGAAATGGCTCGGATTTACTATTGCTATGGAGATGGGTTGTATATTGGAAGTTATTGGGTATATCGGACGCATACTGGCGTACAATGATCTGTTTCATGAGGTATGTTCAGAACATGTTCTCACGACCATTCCTAGGCGAAGTGAAGCTAATCACGCACAGAACCCTTTCCTCATCCAAATCATCTGTCTCACCATTGCTCCCGCCTTCCTCGCGGCAGGTATATACCTCTGCCTCTCCCGAATTGTAGTGACATTCGGCCCAGAGAACTCACGGATCAAACCTCTCTCCTACCCACGAATCTTCATCCCTTGCGACATCATCTCCCTCGTGCTGCAAGCTATCGGTGGCGCAATGGCGTCTGCTAAGACGCACACAGGAGAAAATCCCAAAGTAGGAACAAATATTATGATCGCTGGACTTGTGGTGCAAGTGGTCACATTGCTAATTTTTATGATCCTCGCCCTGGATTTTGCCGTCCGCACAATTCAGCGTACCGCCCACCTCGGCTCTCAAAACGCGCTTGACCCCCGACACGCAAAGCTCCGTCAGTCGTGGGTCTTCAGGGCCTTTCTCGTCGCCTTGGCATTCTCCACGCTGTGCATTTTCACAAGATGCGTATACCGCGTGGCGGAATTGAGTGAGGGTTGGAGTGGGCGTCTCATCAAGACGCAGAAGTACTTCATCGGACTAGAGGGTGCAGTAATCATTGCGGCGGTTTTAGTGCTGAATGTGTTTCATCCTGGTTACTGCTTTAGGGAAGCTTTGGACACGGCGAAGGTGCAGAAGAGTGAGAGAAAGTAGTACGGGTGAAAGTGGAGAATTCCAGGTGCGGTTGAGATAGTTCTTGAAGAGAATTAGTGTTCCACCAAGAGGAAAGCGGAGTTTAACACTGTGACGAGGCCTTGGAAAATCGGATATGAGCTCTAGAAACATGCATCAAGTCATAATGCTGTTATTTAACCGCCCTCGGGTACTCTAAATAGAGCGTGTTGTTTACATACATTATGTAGAGGCTACATTATTGATGTATACTGGTGGCACTTGCCGCTTGAAGTAGTGGTGTGCATATTCACTTGATTTGGAAATTAGTTGCGTTGGCTCAGGCTGTTATAGAACGCACGATTCTACATTTCTTACAGAAACGTGATTAGTATAAAGGACTATAGAGGTAGATTGAAATTGGAACGGGCCATGTATGCCCGCGCATGCAACTCGCGGTCTCTTTCACTGCTAGAAACCAAAAGGTACGGCTGGAGCACCTCAGCGCGTTTCCTAGCGACAGAATATGTGCCCTCAATATTGCCTGCCGACCCTTAAGTAGGGATTGACATTTCAGACTTGTAAGTAAACCTGCATCAGGCTGAGGCTAGGTTACAGTACGATAGAACGACTAACCTTTCTACCCCACCTCCTTCACTCCGCCCACAGACCGCCAAGGTCCCTAGTATTCTAGTCAAGTGATAGCGCGACTCACCGCAGTACCTCTCGGCTATATAATCGTACTCTAGCCTTACCTGCCCCCACCTTCTACCACCCACCTATTAGGCCACAATTATCAACATACTCTCCCGTAGCCACCAATACACCTCAAGGTCGTCGCCATGAATCAAGCTGAAGATGTCGAGGTCATCCTCGGTCGTGAACGCCGTTACAAATTCCACTCCGGTACACTCGCGAGGAGCTCCACGCTCTTCGCTGACATGTTGACCGAACCCAATGCCGCGAAGCTCAACAGCCGCGCGAGGAACGCCGGAATCAAGGTTCGCTGGATGATTGAGCTCACTCGCTTGCCGTGTAGCCAGTATCCGGCTGGATGCCTTGAGCTCGTGGTACGTTATAGAACACCCTGATTGACGTCAGCAGTGTATCAAAGTTGATTATGATGGCTAATAGAGGTACCTACAGGATCTCGCACCAACAGGCGAGCGCGCCGATGGTCGCTCCGGCATGGTCGTCAATGAAAATGGGCGCATCCCCAAAGCACTCAAGGCGTACGCCCACTATGAAGCCGTGTTGTACGCCTTCTACGGTAAGGAGCTGGTCATCGACGACGAGAATATGTCCGCTGCTCTGTCAGACTGTTTCCAGCTGCTCGTGGTTTCCGACTACCTTGGATGCACCGGCCTAGTCAGGAAACCCATCGAAGTCGCCTTGTTCAAGCATGGGCAAGGCTTGTTTCGTGCCATCCAGGGTGCGCCCTGTAGGTGGGTGGAATTAGCTTACCGGATCAGGAGTGAGTTGATATTCAAAGAGTGTATGATCCATCTTGTGGGCAACTGGAAAAAAATCAAAGAAAATAAGTCGGTAGACATACTACTCCACACCGTCCCGGGTCTACGCGACTTGATCGAAAAGTACCACCGTGTCCTAGTCGCAAAATGCAAACAGCTTGAGGACGGCTTCACGTCGTACTACCCCCCCAGGATGAGACTTCCTGTCGACGACCTCCCTATCAAGCGCGAAGCCTACGCCAAAGACATACTCATATGGATGGCGCTGTCATTCTTCCGGCAATGGATCGCCCAGCACCTCAACATGGAAGAGGGTCGTCATAGCCAGGATTGTGGATACGGACTGTACAAGCAGATTGGAACCGCCGGCGAGTCCTATATGGACAAATCTATCATCAACCAATTCCACACACATTTCCCCATGACGAAAAAGGCAATGAACGTGCTGGAAAACCATCTCTTGGAGATCAAGGAGTGCATGAAATCCATTGTCAACCAGCACGCTATCCTCAAGTCCAACTGTCAGTTGGATGTCAATCGGTTTCCCGTCAAGTATTTGACGTGCACGGCTTTTCAACGTAAGGACTATCCATGGCTGAACGCCGAGGTGCCGGCGAAAGTCGTGCCGGCGAAGCGCGATTACAAGCCCGGTGGCAACGAGATTGCACGTCAGACTTTGGATACGGCGAGGATGTTCCAGGACCAAAGTTTGAGTGTGGAGGCCTCGGAGGAAAGGGAGGAGGATTTTGAGGAGAGCGATACGGAGGATGTTCCTACGACTTCGAGAACTAAGCGTACCAGGATCGGCTAGGTGTAGAAAATCACCTGCTTCGTGAAGGCTAGGCTGGGTTGGGATTGCATTTGCGTGGTAGGCGTCAGGCTGGAGTTTCAAGTTGGCGTTCTACAGTCAGGGAAACAGTGTGCCGTCGATCAGGCTGCGGTATTCCACCAAAAGCGCTTCTCTATGGTGTTCTGTCGCCTTCGGGCCTCCTTCGGGATTGATGGATCCGTTTTTGAGAGCGTTTCGAATGCCTCCAGGCTCTTGTATCTTAAACAAAATCCCATATATTCCAAAGCTGCATGCAGCTGTCAGATCCCTACAATATGTGTAAAATACAAAAGGTTGTTAGTACTTGCATATCACTTCAGGCAGAGCATTGAAGAAAAGAAAATGAACTTTATACAGTATTCTGTGGCAATCCTGATGCCCAGCTTCTTAAATGCGCCCTCTCTCGGTTTTTGTAGATTCGATTGGCGCCACTGGTGATAACATGTCCTCTGTCCTCACCATTCTTGTCGTCCTTCAGTCCTCCCTCCTTCTCCTCGCACACTCCCTACTCGTCATCAAATCCCGTCGGCCTCGGTCGTGGTCCCTTTGGTACTGTTTCACGTCAGCTAATTGCTCCATATCTCTCTCCATTCTTCTGGGTATTCCCCCTCTTCCCCCTTCTTCCTCTTGATCCACGCATCCGTATTGACACCAACTTCGTCTTGGGCCTCCAAGATCTTATACGTACCAGGATAGGTCATGGGGATCTTCGCAATCTGCTCCTCGCCCAAGTATCTCCGGATCGGCGGCACCGTTACCAGCATTATAGGACCCGTGACACCGACGATAATTGAGTAGAAGTATGCGGGCTTGTTTATAGACGCCCATCTGAGGTAGCGTATCGGTTGCCTGAAGAAGAGCGGAGATGGGGGAATGCCGGCCATTGTGGTAGAGTTTCTACTTGTCGCATTAGCACATGTGCAACGATTTGGGGCGTAGATGTCATGTACGTGATGTTCAAGCCGGATATGTGAGTGGCTATGGACGTGTTGTTAGCCTCAATGGCGCACAATTGCTTGTTAGGTCGTCGATGTTGGATGCTGTGAGGTGCTTGACGGTCGACTCCGCTCACTCCAATCGGCGTGCTGCGATTTTCCGGCACCGATGGGCTTGGCATTGCATACGTCTCCCGTTACAGCTCCATCATGCAACTTGACAAGTCCAACTTCCAATTCACAGGATGAGGTGGTTATTTTCTTGCACCTTAGCTTTTGTGTGGGCCGTGGTGGTTCAGGCGAAGAGTTTTACGGGCAATCGATTGCTGGTAGTGCTCGAGGAGCAGGCGGAGAGGGAGAAGTACAGTGTATTTCTCGAGGACTTGACCTGTAAGTGGAAAGCTCTTTTCGGCATGGGGAAACTTTCTGGCTTTCGTGGTGCTTCTTGAGACCCGATTCTACAGATGGTACCATTTTCGGATTCAAAGCTATTGAAAGCTGCACCTTAGCCTTGCGATCCTCTCACACCAGAGATGGGAATGACATGATAGCATCAATTAGCTTAGATTCTAGACAATAACCAAGCTAATCAATTTATTCAGCTCGCGGATTCTCCACAACCGTTGAATCACCAAAGGCAGATAAGCTCTCATTACTGAGACACGGCGAGCGAGCATACGACCATGTCCTCCTTCTCCCCGCAAAGTCGAAAGGCCTCGGCCCTGCTTTGACCGCGAACAACCTCCTCGAATTCATGAAGAAGGAGGGGAACCTTCTCGTCGCGCTGTCCAGCGAGCAAGCTACGCCCACCGCCGTTCAATCATTGCTTTTGGAGCTTGACATCAACATCCCCGCCGACAAGGGTGCATTGGTTGTAGATCATTTCAACTACGATTCTTCGTCCGCTGAAGAGAAGCACGATGTGCTACTACTTCCATTCCCGGCTGCGCTGAGATCGGACGTCAAGAACTACTTCGCGGGTGAGGGATATGTTGCAGTGCCGCGCGCTGTTGGTCAGGCTCTTGGAAACGAGTCGCCTCTCACTTCGCCCATTCTACGCGCTCCTAGCACGGCATACAGCTACAACCCCAAGGACGAGGCTGAGGGTGTTGAGGATCCTTTCGCGGTCGGTGGGCAGCTCAACTTGGTCTCCGCAATTCAGGCGAACAATGCGGCACGTTTGACTGTTGTTGGGTCAGCCGAGATGTTGCAGAACAAGTGGTTCTCCGAGAAGGTCAAGTTGAATGGAAAGGCTATCACGACCGCCAACCGCGACTTTGCGCAAAAGTTGTCTGCTTGGACTTTCAAGGAGACGGGCGTGTTGACAGTTGGAAAGCTGCTACACTACCAGGATGAGGGTGCCAGCAAGAAGCTGAACACCAGCACCGCCATCCCGGAAAACAACCCCACCATCTACCGCATCAAGACCGATGTTGTATGTTTAATCCCCACTATTTTCGGATCATCTTACTGACAATAATATAGCACTTCCAAGTTGAAATCTCGGAATACACGAACGATCACCTTGCTCCTTTCGTCCCATCACCCAATGACAAAATCCAACTCGAATTCAGCATGCTTTCCCCGTTCCAGCGCCTGAACCTTTCACCCGTCGCTCAGACCGCAAATGCTACCATCTTCGGCGTCGCGTTCAAGACACCCGATCAGCACGGCATTTTCAACTTCCGCGTCAATTACCGACGACCTTTCGTGACTAACATTGACGAAAAACGCCAAGTCACTGTCCGTCACTTTGCGCACGACGAATGGCCGAGGAGTTGGCAGATTAGCGGTGCGTGGGTATGGATTGGCGGTATCTGGGTTACGGTGCTGGGTTGGCTAGCCTTTGTGGCCGTGTGGTTGTACAGTGCGCCGACTGAGCGCAGCACGAAGAAGACGCAATAGATGAGTATAGTGCGTTACTGTATGTAGCTTTATGTGTAAGCAGGAATACCCCATCGGCGATGCGTGGTATGTCATTATGGAGTCATGGCATCCGGGATCAAAAGCTTAGATCGAATTGGATATTTAGTACCAACACCTCCATGTCTTCACGCTGTGAAATTTTTGGCACGAAACGCCGTACCCAAGAGCTATCCAGGCAGCGCAGCGATAAAGGACCAAAGAGAAGGGATCGAATTCCGGCGTCAACATACTAAATGACAGTGCGTTTACCTAAACGAGATATTGTATTGTGTAACTATATGGTAAGTTGACACGTGTGTCGCTACCAGCTTCAGAGTATTATGCCTATCAAGCTATCCATCTTATAGCAAGGGCTAATACCTTACGAATCTCCACTATCGACCTTCCCAATCTCTCTAACCCATCTCCGCTCCCTCCACCAGTCCTTCCCATCACAATTCACCAAACCTCACCACCCACATCCTACCCACACCCGCCGGCAAAGGGAAAGCCTTGACATCCAATCCATCCTCGGCGAGACTATGCATAATGTCATCTCCGAAAGGCACCAGCTCCATCATCAACGTCACGAAGAAGCGCAGCTTCAACAACATGTTGAGTGCCGGTTTGATGAGCTCGAGGACAGCTTCACGCATGGGGTCGTAACGGTTAGGCGTGTTCTTCCACAGGAGGACGAGGGAGTCGAGGAAGCGGTCCGTTACAGCAGAGGGGGAGCATTCGTTGGGTCCAGATGGGCATGTGGTGTCGGATGTGACGCCTAGGCTGAGTATCATCTGCGCGACGTTGATGTACTCTGCTATAGCATGGTCGCACAGCCTGGGCATGTCGTACTTGCTGCCAACAAGGTAGGCGTGGATGTGGAGATCGAGCAGAGTGATGTGTGGGTGCTTAGTGCGCATGTTGGGGTCGAAAATGTAGATGCCTGTCTCGATGAATTGCACCGCGGCTACGATGGCATAGGGGAAATCATCGCGGAGACGGATATAGCGCGTGTGTGCGTGCTATTGGAATGCATTAGGTTTGATTAGAGGTAAACGGATGGATTAGTAGACTACTTACAATGAATGGGCCATCGAGCATCTTTGCAAAGAAGCGAGACTCGTTGCAGAGTAGGTACTTGTCGACTTTCATGACCTGCTTACCTCTATCAAAGGCAATGATGACCTCGTTGGGGAGAATTTCAGAGAAGTATCTTAACGAAGATTAGTCTTGCTTTGCTCTACATGCAAATCGCATACTTACTCGTCGAATACGACTGACTGTACAACGTAGACACTTGCACGGTTGCGTTGTACCACTGGCCGAGACGGAAACGCAGGATATGATGTCCGCTTCGGAACGTCCAGAAGTGAGAGGTCTTGTAGATTCAACTCACTAGGAGTCAGAGGGCCGGAAGGGATGTGTTGGTCATGCATCATCGTATCAGGGTCTTGGTGGATGACTGGTCCAGACTCGGAGTTCACGTAGGCTCCCAGCGTCTCGTCAAGAGCAGAATTGCACTCGAAGTTTGACTCGGGAGGGGAGGAGCTGAGCAAGGGTTGATATTGTGCTGCCGGAGGCGTAGGCAAGTTAAAGTGAGTCACTCTAGAGACGGAACTCGTAGTAGGAGGCGGCAACATCTGACCCGAGGTGTCATGGCCAGTATATTGCTGTTTCGATAGATCTTGAAGAGCATGTCTTAGAAGCGGATAGTCCTCGCGCTTCGGATTGACGAGCGGAGTAAGACCTTGCTGTTGATAGTGTCCTGCCTGAGGAGCTCCAGGAGCGACGAGAGTGGTGCCTCTACCCTGAAGATTAGGTGTCTCGTTTTCTTTATTTGACCGGAAAGAGGTCGAAGGCTTGCAGAAGCTCGACGGTGTTGAAGCAATAGGCGAGGCTGCCACGCTTCTAGCTGCCTGGAGCACCACGTCACCGAAGTTGTGTGAATCGGGTTGAAACGCCTTGCTGAAGGCACGCTTCCGGTCTTGACGGTCCATCATATTATATGTGGCTGGAGGACAGTTTGATGAAGTAGCTGCGGTGGATAAGGTAAAGAAGAGTCGGTCACTTGGTGGGAGCTTTGCGGGCTCTACTATACACCTCGATCGCGAGGTGAATGCGTGTAGGAACGCGACATGAGCGCGTCGGTGACTGCGACACGTCAACAGACGCGCCGGCGGGCCGGGAAATCAAGACCATGGATCGATGGTGAAGACGATGTCCTGTCGCAGTCGAGGGTCCTCCTCGTGATCGTAGCGCTGCAATTGATACGCTCCAGGTTCTGATCACATATTGAATGACGAGAAGGAAATGTACAAATGAAATTTAACGATAGAAGTCATTGAGACGATACTTTTGAAGCCAAAAGAATCTGCGTAGCAGAGCTCTCCGGCTGTCACCGCCGCCTGCTGATGGCAGTAGCCTACTCTTTCACTTCCAGCGCCCTGCCATCTCCTCAAATAGGTCTGCTCTAAACTCTGGCAGCTCGTCCATTGACTCGAAGACCATTGCCATTGTCTTTTCAGTTCCATGGATAAAAGATTCGACATGATCAGCGCATAGCTTGATAGCCACGTGCTTGAGGTCATCTGCATTAGATCTACGTGCTGGGGCGTACATGGCACGTATTGCCTGCAAAAGTTGTTCTTCATTGCCATCAAACATCAACACCATAGCAGCAAGGTCTTCGAACTTTTGGAGTGCAACTTGCTTTAGCCCAGAGATACCGTAACGCTCAGCGAGCATGAAGACGTCGACGTGAGAGCGCAGAGTAACGTCTTCGGGCACAGCAATGTCGGAGCCAGACAAACGGTCCGTGTAATCCAGCTGGTAGCAATACTGCATCATTGCCGCGACAGCGTCCGGGTCATCTGCGCCGAGGTCGATGACACTCTTCGATGATTTCTGATGTCCGTCAGTGAGAAAAGGTGTCTGTTGCGCTATGCTGGAAACACATACAGGGGAAATGACAACCGCACACACTTTTGCAAACCAACGCGAGTGGTAGCACATGATGACACGGTCAACATGATATACATCGTTTTTACAGCGCACCACCAGATCTGAACACTGCCAATCGGATATACGTGTAGGCGAGGTAGTCACAACAGGCTCAGGTGTTGGCACAGGTTCTTGATGCTGCTGAGGCTCATTTACCTGTACTTGTACCTGTGCATTCTGGAGCTTCTTCTGAAATCGTCGAGGCGAATAGAGTGAGCTTCCAGAGAACGTCTTACGATGTTGCGGTCGTTGTTTGGGGCTTGTGGACGCAACGGATGATGCAGTGGTTGACGTGGAGTGGTTGGAGCAAGTTGAAGATGTTCTTCGGTGGAGATCAATAGAGGCGTCTGAGGATGCTGTTGAAAGTCGTGAGGTTTCGGTGCGGCCGAAGCTAGCGCGCTTGGAGGCATAGATTGAGGGATCGAGACTGAGCATTATGAGTGGGGTAGCAATCAGATTGGAGAGCTCAATCGCTTACACGTTCCTGGCAATGAAGACTGGTGTAACAAACATGTCGGGGATTGAGCACCAAGTGCGAATTGCAAGAGGCTCTTGTTGTTTGAACAGTTTGGATAATGTATACTTCAACACGACGAAGCAATGAGTGGAAGGCAAACCAGGCCAGTTTCACTCGAAACCCATCGTCGTATATACATACATGTCCTCAAGCTTCCAGATGTCGAACGATTCATGGCACATGGACAGATGGATACACAAAAGGGAAAATGTCACGTAGCTTCCGTCATGGTGTATGCGGCACTCACATTCCCAGATGAAGTATGTTGCGATGGCCAATGGCGAAGGATGCATTGATTGTTCTTGGCGACGAATGACCCAGGTTTTGCCGCCTATCGATAGTGTTTAATACCGACATGGAATGAGAACAGCCGGCATGCCGCTAGCTTGAAAAACACTGTGGGGTAGCAACAGCATCGAGTTCTCGAAGGTGGTCAGCATGAGGGCAGGTGACTTGCATCCTCGTTGGTTGCAGGGCGCGATATTCAAGATGGAATGCGATCTGCAACACACTTTAGCGACGCTGAAGACTCGACCCTCTTCTAGACTATGCCTCGTAGAAGCCAGAGTTAGTCTATCGGTTCAAAGATCCTTTTGGTTACTGAGGTATCCCAGACGGCTACCAAAAGATGCTGGTCATACCCACGAGCTTATTGACAAGAACAGCGATTGGGTGTACGCCTAGGTGCGCAGGAAGTTGAAGTAGGGCGCCGTCTACATTACACAGGAAGACTCGTACAGCCATGGTTTGACTACTTCACGAAGTTCTGTACGAGCTATCGAGAGGGGCGATTACCTGGGCTGAGCCTGAGGTACAGACCACGACGGCCAAGGAAGTTGGAGAAACTCTGGGAGAAGTAGACGAGTGCGCTCGATCTGCCGCACATCTGCCGCACGGTTGGAGGGTGTTTTAAACGAAACATCAAACACACCTGGGTCTGGCGAAGGACGTGTGGTTGAACGGGATAGATGGGCAAGCAAATCGGGGTCAGTCATCTGAGATGATTCCACGAATCCGATAAAGACTGCAATCCCAGCTCGTAGAAAGTAACAACAGCACTAAATGTCTCTGGATACTTGTTGCAAGTTCTGTCGCGGTGGTAATGCACCAGATGAATGTTTGAACCAAGGGAGGCGGCAGTGAATGCATGGCATGGGCCACTCATGATGCGCGCGCACTGGAGCCCCTCTCCCCTCTCGCGAAAAGGAGGAGCGGGCTAAGCGCCGCCCGCCTGCCCGGCTTTCGATCGCAGCTTCCTCGTCACCATCGAAACCTGCCAGCTCTTTGTGCCCCGAACCCTCTCTCCATCTCGCTATACTCTCCAAGAAAACACACGGGCGACATGTTCTCCTCCTCTTTGTTTCCCGCCACGCTTCCCGCAGCCCTCCGAGCCCCTATGGCTCCGAGTTCGCCAATCTTTGCGGCCCCTGCGCCTTGGGGCAGCACCATCACGTGATGCCTGCTACGGATGGCCGGTTGACCCAATTGGGCCCTTCGCGTGTGGTTGCGGGACTCGATTTTACTCCCTCAGGCCTCTGGCTCGTCCACCCCGACAGCATTGTCCCACTACATCGCCTTACACGTCCACTCGAGCCCATACTATGCTTTCTTCGTGCCCCGGTCTTCTTTTCCAGTCGCCAATCCATCCCATCTGCGCCCTTTGAAGCTCCACGAGCCTTCGCCCGCTTTCTCCGCACTGCTGCGGCGTCACCACTGCGCTTCGAAAGAGAGCAACCACACCCGTCTAAACGCATTCATCGCCCTTGGACGATAGCTCGGGCATTGAATTGCGCTCTAGTAGCTCTCTGCCGACCCGCTGCCAACTCTACTCGCTCCTTCCCACCCTTCTTACCACGCTCGACCGGACGACCTGCCGAGCGCACACCACTACACTCACTTCACTCACTCCACAAGTCGCACTCTTCTCCAAGTGCTGCTTAGCTACGATCCCCAAGGACAGCGACAGCCCGCGCGGATACAATGTCTCCGCGTCGCTCGTCGCGGGCTCGCACCACCCAGCCCCCACCCAGTGTCGCGACAGTCCACAGCGGCTCCTCGTCTTCCGTCTCATCAGCCCGCGCAGATCGTGCGCCGAGGGTGAATCAGAATCAGTCGCCACCGCACAAGTCGTTAACCCCACACTCGCTCTCCTCAGAAGAGCCCGAAGAGCTACCTCGCGGTTCGCAAGCCGAGCCACCCCTCACCCGACGTCGAACGCGCGAACAAGACAACGACGAAGACGAATCCGCCAAGCTCGACGACGAGCTGGACGATGATATGGCCGAGGAAGACGAGGTCACACGATGCGTGTGCGGCTTCCAAGACTACCCGGGTCCGCCATCGGATGTTGGCAAGTCTGGTTCTGCTCTGACAGATCCTGACGTTCAAGGTGATGACCTAGGTGGTCTGTTCATTCAATGCGATATCTGTAAAGTCTGGCAGCACGGCGGATGCGTCGGAATCATGGACGAGCCTGCCAGCACCGAAGAGTACTTCTGCGAGGAGTGCAGAAAAGATCTCCACAAGGTCATGAAGAGTCCCAAGGGGTGCGTAGTCTTCTCATTCCTTCCCTCATCCCCCACACAAGTTCCTCTCTCTCGACGAGCAATCTTTGAGCGCAAATCAAATCTAACCTTGCTGGTTCATCAGTCAACGGTATTCTCGCTACCTCCCCATCTACGAGCAACAGCATGGCAAGCACCGCAAATCGTCTGTTTCGAAAGACACAGAGAGACACTCTAGTAGAGATAAAGATCGCGAAGCGAGAGCTAGTGTCGATTCATTTGGCAAGCGTCGGTCAACGATGAACAGTCGAGCAGCCTACGACGAAGACGAAGTGCTGAAGAAGGTGCTGGAGGAGAGCAAGCATGATGGCGCTCCTCCCTCGGAGAGCGGCAATCGTAAGAAGCGGAGTCGTGACGATAGCGAAGAGTGAGTTCTGCTATGCATGCTCACTGCTACACTGGAGCTGACAAACTTTGTGCTAGAACCAAACCTGAAGTCAAACGACAGCGCACAAGCTCGCGGTCTCCTAGCAATTCGCCCGTCCTTGAATCTGAAGACGATAGCACAAAAGCCTCTGCACCAAAACAGAAGCCGCGCGGTGCCGCAGCACGAAGTCAGCGTGAGAAGGAACTACGCGAGAAAGAGCGAGAGCAAGAACGTACCGAAGCTTCAAACAGGCGAAAGGGGCGCGCAGAACGGAGAAAAGCAGACGGTATGGGAGCGAACAGTCATCTTGAGAGCCTACAGCTAACGATCGAAGAACTTGCGGGTATCGAGCCTGAGCCTGAGCCCACGCCCGCCGAAGAGCCCGCCATGCCTCCTGCAGCCTCCGAATCTGCACCACCAGACACACCTATCACAGACTTCAAGCCGGCTCCCGCCCCGCGGAGAGGCGGCCGTCCACCACAAAAGTCCCGCGGTCGCCTAGGTCGAAATCAGTACTCGCGAGATACGGTACCTGCAACTAATGGCACATCACCGCAGAACGATACTGGGCACTCGCCGCAAGCGAGTGCTACGAACGGCGCAAGCAATGGACATGACAGCAGTGACGGCACAGCTGGGCACAAGCCGGCAAAGCCGAAAACATGGCGTTTGCAGAAGCTTTCTTGGAACGACATCCGGCGGCCTGCAGGAGCTATGCAGAGTTACATAGCCCAGCGACAAGTTGAGATGGCAGGCGAGAAACACCCTTCCCCAGCTCCAGCTGTCCAGCCCGCTACGGCCACAACGAACGGAGAGCCAAGCCAGGAAGGGGCAAAGGAAGAAGGCACGGATATAGCCAAGTTCAAGCATCTCAGCACAACACAGATGATGGACTACCTAAGCCGGGATCTCGTACACTGGCAGCAGATGATCTCTGAGCCGACGGAGAAGTGAATGGCTTGTTCCTTGTGTTTCGCTCTTTTTGCGTTGGACTTCTGCTTTGGATTTCGACGACAGCACATTGACTCGCTACATCTGCTCTTCGAGCACAGTATCTTTCGCAACATCTTTATGTACGGGCGTTATACGGCGCGAGACCGTTTCATTTCACACATGTGGATTTGTTTATCGCGACGGATACCCTCCACTTCTTTCCTTTTCGTTTTCACATAACTGCGCTGCAGATTCATTGTTACACTGTATCGATACAGCGGTACCATCGCCTTGGAGTCTTTCGGATATATCATGGCGTCGCTTCTTCGACAACCTAGATGGTTGTTCTACGCCGATGCACTGCACGGCGCTACTGTAAAGTATTGCACTGTTTCGAAGCTGGGAAAGGGATAGTAACGGAAAGGCTCAATCATGATATTATTCCAAACGCCACATTCCTTGACATCTGCTATGTATTACATGATCACCCAAGGTTTTTCCTTCCTATTCTGATTGATTGCTGTGATATTAATAATCCTACTCCTACTCCGATTTCCCAACCTTAATCTCCAACACACCCATAATAGGGTTGAGCTTCAACAACTCCAATATTGCCGGGAGATTATCGTCCGTGAGCACCGTGTACTCGGGGTAGATTTTGCCATCCCTTGTCTTTGTATCCCAGTGAATCTTGAACTCTTGAATCGTCTCCTTTGGCGCGTCGGCGGCCTTGAACTTGCCCATGAACTCTGCCGTGTTGGGCGACGACGTGATGGTCGCTGTGATTTGCTTATTGAGGGATTTGAGCGTGGGCTTGGAGGATGTGTCGATGAGGATGAATTCGTGGCGGTTCGAGGGCGGGAGGGTGAAGAGGAGGGGGAGAGACATGTTTGGTTGTTGCGTTTGGTTGACGTTCTTTTGCTGGTTGTGTTCTTGTTAGTCGGGTTGTTTGCTTGCTTGATATATGGGTGGTGGCTTACGATGGTGGTGATGATGTTGATGGAAAAGTGAGTAGGAATTTGATGAAATTTTGTGGTGTAGTGTGGTGGTTTGCGATGGCTGGCTTCAGTAGGACTCTCTAGTATATACTCAGTTTGTTATACGTCAATGGTGAGCTTTCAAGCTTCCATGTGCTACAACGATGTACGTCATCGGACATGGGAGGGGTACCCACCCTTGTTGGCCGTTGCGTGTATGGCTTGACAGGGGTAGGAAACATCTTCCCCACAAAAACGAAGTGTGCCTCAGGTAGGAAGCAACACCATTACGATCAAGTTCTTGCAATTATCAATCTGATTGAATCTTTCATTTCAGGAAAGATCATGTCGCTATGCCACTCTATATAAACAACTTAGTCACGTGCATATGCAAAAGCACCCTTTAACGCACTCCCACTTAGCCAATGAAAGAAAATGGCAGATGGAATCTGTCGCGTAGAAAGCGAAGGTTCCCGTGTCCACTCACAAACCCTTGATCTTCTCCTCGAGTGCTCGTTTAATAGCTGTTCAATCGTCAGTACGCGTTATACCTCAACATTCGGCACGAGAGCACTCACCGTTACAGCTATCATTAGCATCCCCAAACAGCATCTTCGTATTCTCCATGTAGAACATTGGGTTCGGTACATCGGCATATCCACTCGCCATGCCTCTCTTCATGATGATAACATGCTTGCTCTTCCACGCATGCAGCACTGGCATGCCTGCAATCGCACTGCCAGGCTCCATTGCAATCGGGTTGACAGTGTCGTTAGCTCCAATAACCAATGTCACGTCCGTTTCGGGGAAGTCATCGTTTATTTCGTCCATCTCCAAGACAATGTCGTATGGGACGCTAGCTTCGGCAAGGAGAACGTTGCATTGGCCTGGCATGCGACCGGCCACGGGATGGATGGCAAAGCGGACGTTGATGCCTTTGGCGCGAAGGGCGTTGACAAAGTCGGAGATGGCGTATTGGGCTTTTGCGACAGCCATGCCGTACCCGACGACCTGTTCTTGTTAGTTGGCACACCCTACTGTGGTGTTGGTACGAGACACTCACAATGATAACGTTCTCGGCGTTTACCAGGGCTTCAGCCGTCTCGTCAGCGGAAGTTTTCGTCACTTCTCCTTCGATTTTCGTTTGAGCTTGTGGCGTCTGTGCTATTCCGCCGAACAGCACGTTGGTGAGAGATCTATTCATAGCCACACACATGATGTATGACAGGATGGAACCTGATACTCCAATCAGAGCACCCACTGTAGTCAGCAGTGAATTGTCCAGCATAAATCCCTCAGCCACTAGTGCAAAGCCAGAGTAGGCGTTCAAGACGGTTATGACAACTGGCATGTCAGCTCCACCAATGGCTGCTGTTGTCGTATAACCCTTTATGAAACTCAATGTAGCGTTGCCTACTAAGCATGCTGCGCCAATTAGGGGTGCACCAGGTGCGTATGCCAGAAAAGCGCCCATAGTAGCTACATTAGCACCAAGGAGCGTGCCGTTGATAAGGTGCCGTCCAGGTAGTGCTATCGGCTTCGAGGACATCTTCGCTGCTAACTTGAGGAAAGCGACGATACTTCCGGTGAATGTTACTCCACCGATGAGGACACCGAGATACGCAGAAACCATGTGGAGAGTCGAAATATCGCCGCTGTGAGCCAGCACGCTGCCAATGCTAGTCAAGACTGCTGCGAGACCGACAACAGAGTGCAGCGCGGCAACCGTCTGGGGTAGCGAGGTTGGCGTGATTCGCCTTCCAATTATCAAACCCGCCACCGTTCCTACAGTGGCCAAGCCAGCAAACTGTGTCAGGACGTCTGGCGCAAACCCGACCGCAGCCAAGGAAGCAAGGATGCCGCTGAAGACACCGAGGATACCGAGGAAATTGCCGCGGCGGGCTGTCGTTTGGGAAGCGAGTCCGGAGAGCGAAGTCACACAGAGTACACTACTAACGAGGTAGCCCGCTTGTACAAGGCCAGCCATACCAGTTGAAGCTGCAGCAATATATCCCCCACCAAACAGAGCCGCTGGAATTGCGTATAGCCACGGATACTCTTTTGGATCTGTTGGACGCCTGAACATATCGAGCATTCGCTTGGAAATGACGAAGCCTCCAGAGACATTGACGAAGGCAAGCAATACGGATAGACCACCAAGAGTTTGGGGAATGGTCTCGGGGAGATAGCTTCCGCCCATGACAAACAAGCCTCCAATTCCGACCATACCGGAAATGGCATTGGTAACACTCATGAGTGGTGAATGAAGAGCAGGTGCAACACCCCAGACGACTCGGTAGCCGATCAAACTGGCTAAAGCAAAGGTGAATGCATTGGACATGAACAACGGACCAGTGAACTTTCCGAGTGCCAGTGCTGTGGTCATACCGGCAGTAACGCCAGCAATCTGTCGAGACTGACTCTGCCACGGAGTAAGTGCAACGATATTGGCGACTTGATCGGCAGGCGAAGGCGATGGTTTGGCTTGCACGGGAGGAGGAGCAGGCCGAGGAGCCGTAGGAAGGATTTGGCCATCGTATGTGACAATAGCACCACGGGTAACTTCGTCCGTAAGATCGACATCGTAATACTTCTCCCTTTTGTCCTTGGGTACCAGTGAGAGCAGGAATTTTGTGACGTTGTTAGAGTAAAGTGTTGATGACTGCGTCGGCAAACGCGACGGAAGGTCAGTGTAACCTTTAGATATCGTCAGCATGTACGAGTAACATGGGAGCTAAGGCTAATTTACCAATGATAGATACGCCATCAAACTTGGTCAGCTTGCCAGGAACAGTAGCTTCGCAATTACCACCAGCCTCAGCTGCAAGATCAACCACGACCGAGCCAGGTCTCATGGCACCGAGCATGGCTTTGGTGATAAGTTTGGGAGCCGGCTTGCCAGGAATCAGTGCTGTAGTGATGACGATGTCGACTTCCCGGCATTGATCATAGAACAGCTTCATCTCCGCCTTGATGAACTCCTTAGACATGACTTTGGCATAGCCACCAGCGCCGGATCCATCCTCGTTGATTTCAACCTCGATGAACTCGGCACCGAGGGACTGCACTTGCTCGCGTGCTGCAGAGCGAGTATCAAATCCGCGAACAATGGCGCCCATGCGGCGAGCCTATACTGCATTTCAATTACGGCTCTGACATGGATGGAAAGGTACTCTTACTGTTGCAATCGCACTTAAGCCTGCTACACCAGCTCCAATCACGAGGACTTTGCATGGCGGGATCTGTTCTTTCGTCAGACTGAACTCTTCTCCAACACATAGGCATGAAGTACCTTTCCAGCAGCAGTGACTTGCCCAGTGAGAAAACGACCAAAGGTATTCGAAGCTTCCAAAACAGCCTTATAACCCGCAATATTGGCCATTGAACTTGCTTTGTGTTAGCCCAGGAATAATTCGGGGTTGACATCAGCGTACCTCAATGCATCGAAGACCTGGGCACGAGAAATGCGCGGAACCATGTCCATGGCAAATGAAGTGGCCTTGCGCGACGCAATTCGATCTATGACTGGTTTGTTCTGTACCGGATAAAGAAAGGAAATCACTGTGGCACCCTCGCGGATGGCATCTACTTCACTATCTTCTCCATCGATGCTGAGTGCTCGAACCTTGAGCACGATGTCGCTCTCCGAGAAGACACTCCTGCGATCGACGGTCTCGGCACCAGCCTGCTCGTACGCCTCATCTGTGAATTGAGCTTCCACGCCAGCTCCACGTTCAATCAAGATGCGTGAGAAGCCTTTCTTTAGCAGGAGCTTGACATTTTGAGGAGTAATGGCTACGCGGCGTTCCCCGGGGTAGCTCTCCTTGGGCACACCAACGGTTAGATTCGAGTAAGGCCCAGCGCTCTATGGGTTCAGATACCAAGTCAGTATAGGGTCTTGGATGCAATGCCATGCTACGTAGACGTGACGTACAAAGGGCGGTGAGGTAGGGATCTCTTCATCGTGCGGTTCCGAGGCATGGGATGCGTAACGCGCAACCGCTGTAGTCTGGACCTTTGGGAGCGGCTGCAGGTACAACGGGCGTGGGCGGGTCAGGCTCCGAGGGCCTGCAACTGGTTGTTGCTGATGGGGAGTATGCTTCGAGTGGTACTCATGTATCAGGGGTGCTGGCCGCCGAGCAAGTGCAGAAGCGTACAGCCTCAAGCTGCCGTGGCTGCCCCGCGGCGGTCGAAAGGCAAGCGCCCGGTAGCCGGCGAGACAGTTTGAAGCGGACGAGCTCATGTTGGGGCTGTCTCGGAGAAGGGCGAGCAAAGGGAGAAGGCAGGCACCCGCATCTGCTGGCGATTTGTTCCACACAAGACACAGCTAAGTAGCTGGAAAGTTTGACGCAGTGTGAGAGAGCACCAAAGCTGCCACGGTTCACAGAGAGAGAGGGTGGTACGTACATAGGGCGGTACCTATAGGCCGCGCCCCTTCCTCGCCTTGTGTTTTGCCGATGGCCCCTTCCCCGCACTCGAGAGTGCAAGGGTTTACCCCACGATCCACCCCCCTATAGTCTGATTCAGCGTCACTATGAAGCTCGTCACGTAGCATATAGCCTCTAGATAGACGATGCCTCGTTGGCATCAATGCGTCTCACGCTGTTCTTTGCTCTGGAACCGTGTGAACCCATCCCGTTGTATCCAACAACAATCGGTTTCCCGTATGCTAGTCGCGTGCTCAGCCGGTTACGCGCTGTGGGGCACAGCCTCCCAAGTCCACAGTCTCCTTCCTATATAAGAACTTAAATTCCATCAATGACGACGAGTATGACAGTATCATGCAGAACGCACGCTGAGTTTCAGAAATTCTGCAGTTTAGCCAATGAAGCGAAAGTCACGCCAAAATACGAGATAAACACCATGTCCTATTGGACGCGTCATCACTGCTCCTAAAATATGTAGAGAGGAATTGAATTCTGACAATATCGTACATTACGAGAGCCATGCTGAGCCCGAAGGTCGAAATGGAGTAAAAATAAGAATGTATACCAGTGAAGACACCATATCCCTGCATTGATCACCCGTCCCAGTAGCGTAAACCCACTCTTGAAGTCCTTGACCCACTTTGACCATCACAATCCCCACTTGTTGTGACTCTCATCAAAGCACATACATGTCACTTTTTTTTGTCGCCCATGATTATATCCTGCCTACCTTTTGGGTCTGTCCTCAAGTTCATGACGTCAACAAAATACCCTCTTTCCTAAACTGCACGATAGCTCCCTTCCTCACCCCACACCTACAACCTGAATGAAGGCCCATGTCCAAGCTCAGATGTTTATCAAAAAGGCTTTCCGGCCCCATCGCGGGTGATAACGCGCCATTGGAAACCCTACGCAGATCAGACGCCACGAGAAACGATCGAGCCTTCGCTGCAGCTGCGTTGCATTTTACACAGCGGGACAGAGGCCTGACGGGCTTCTAGAGCGTGCAAAGACGGCCTCAAGAGCATTTCCGCTTTTAAGTTCCGCTGATTATTCAACGACTCGATGCGAACATCCCACAGCTACGAGAAGCATTCATCGTCCATCGCTTATCACCTCATACGAGTTTCTTAAAATCCGATGTTCCAACTCCGATTACGAGTCTTAGATAGATGTCGAAACAGCTATTCGATCTCAGAGGCCTGTACAGCGAGCACTTGAGACTACGTTGGTTGGAACATCATTTCTCATTCAAATTCTTCACACGACAAGGACCTAGTCAAAATTACTCCCGCGACATCAACGAAACGTTGACAGACGAATCACTGGGCACTTTCTGGTGAGCACGTTTTCTCATACACGCTACGTTCAGCTCATCTATGTTCTAAAGATAGGCGTTATTTATTTACGCGAGTTTCACGACATGCAACCCGCATCTCTAGATTCACAACCGAGAGTGGCAACCGACCGACTGGCCACCGGGTAGCATAATTCGCGTCAGACCTCGCCGAGTGCTTCTGGCTAATAGTCCTTCGGAGGCCTCACAGAGCTCATGAGGTCGAGCCTCTGTTGGTGAGAAAGAGTCCACGCCAATTGAAAAAGCTTCCATGTCATCTGCTCCTACCAATATTGCCCGAATCTCTGTCTAGAAATTGCGACCTCCCGAGCTAGATACCTCCAGCCTTGTTGTAAAGGACACTCTAACATCTATGCACAAATAGCCCCGCGAAAATCGCGACATTCTCAACCGTGTTCGACTGTGGGAGCCGCAGTCAGCCTCGGAGGCAAATCCTACGGCCTAGACCACACAAATGCCTTCGCAGGAAGCAAAGGATCGTCGGCAAGTAATGATTTACGAGGTTTGATACAAGACTGCTTATCGATTGAGCGGCTCGACAATCACTATGAACACTGTGACTTCGTATACTGAATTATCCGGAGGCGAGGCGCGCGAGGAGCCGAGGTTTGAGGCAAATCCGAGCAATAGCGGATCGATTAATGTACGTTCATATGGGATGAAATTGGACAAGAAACGCGGTGAGTGGAGCTCTTTTCACTTTATATACATACATGTCTTCTCGAACATGCAAGGCAAGACCACCCCGTGGCTTGTGTACCGGACGATCCCTGCTGAGCATCGCTGATTGATCGGAAGCGGTGAGGTTGCATTTCCAGATCGCATATTACCCAATTAAGCGACCCGTTTGCCGAGCGCCCATATTGACGAATAGATTACAGCAAACTGGGTCGAGACCTTGTTCTGTAAGCAGAATTTCCCCGGCTATCGGAACGGTACATCACTTTCTTACAGGAAGCCCTGGTTACAGTATCCCTTTCGGTCGATTTGAATACCAGGATGGCCTCACTTGCCTGCATATGACAACGCCCATGTCGAACCTATTTTTGGCACTTCCAGACGGCGGCGGAGCACCACCATGCAGGTCCCGAGTCTCTTTGCGGGGAACGCTTAATCAAACTTCGATCGAAGCTTTTCGTATACGCACTATAAGGCTTTGCTCCGCAATTCTCGGCCTTTGGGTGCGCCATCACCGAAGATTAGACGCTGCCGCGGAGCTCGTAATGAAACGATGGGCACTGACCACGTACCATGCTAGATTCTCAGATCTTAATTTCCTCTTGGTCACGATCTCGTATTTTGCATTCATCAGAGCTCCTGTTCCTAGTGAAATCAGGTGACTCGATATGAACTGACTCGGCCTTATGCAATGAGCCCGCAAAGAACCTGGTCGAGTTCTAAGAGATCGTGGTCTTAATACCGGAGAGCGTGAAAGTGAGCTAATAATAACAGCGTTCTAGCTATATCGATGTCACGATGCTTCGTATCGTTATACTGTCAGAGGAAGAATGAGAGATGAAGTGGCCAGACACTCTGAGGCAGGAAGGCCTGCAACCGTATATTGCAGAGTACCCTAGTCTTGGAACTTCAACATGAACTATAAAGACGATCTTAAATCCCTCAGCAGTTGATCATCACAGACCACCAGCCTTCACTTCCAACACTTCGCCGTCTAGCCAAAAAGCCACCGAGAATCTTTCATCTCACAGACACTCAATATGCACTCCAAGTTCGCCACCTTCCTCCTCCCGGTCCTCGCTGCTGCGAACCCTCTTCCCCAAAGCGGCGCCGCGCCCGATCCAGGTCAAATCACAATCGTCGACACCTCCTACTCGGGAAACGGCTGCCCTCAAGGCACAGTCTCCACTAGCACCTCGCCCGACAAGACTGTAAGTATGACCCAGCTTGCTCTTCATCGCGTTCTCTCAAACGTGGGCATAGCTCCATATGATCACCCCCTATCATTGGATTCTTCCCAAAGGCTTTAGAGCAGGCACGGTGAGAACCTTCACTCACAAATCGATAGGTGATCACTTATGGCTTCGATGCTTTCCAGACATACATTGGACCCGGCACGGTTCCCGCCGATCGCAGCAAGAACTGCCAGCTCCACTTGAACCTCAAGTACCCCGGTGGCTTCCAGTACGCTGTCGTCGACGCTACCTACCACGGCTGGGCTCGCCTAGATGCGGGCGTCACTGGTAGCTTCATTACGACCTACTATTTCTCCCAGGATGCTGGCAAGACGGTAAGCCATTCGCATTATCAACGCATCAGCATGGAGAAGAATTGTCGACTAACCAGTTTCCACCAGTCCACCACCCGCATGACAGCTAATGGCGGCGGCGCTCTTGTCAATGGGCAAGTCTACACCAAGCAAGACTCGGTCGAGACGACAGCTACCATCTGGTCGCCCTGCGGCACCACAGGTATCCTCAACATCAACAACCGCATCTCGCTTACGAGCAAGTCAGCCACTGCGGCGGGCGAGCTGTCCAACGACGATGCGACTGTTGCTTTCACACAGCAGCTCCATGTTGCGTGGAGGAAGTGCACACCTGGAAGCGGCTCTGGTTCCGGCAGTGGCGGCGACACGATTGGTATTGGACAGCCTAACTCGGATATTACCTTTGGTAACTAGAATTTTGGTGGAGAAGGGAAACTGGGCGACTGAGAGGTTGGAGGTGATGGGTGTTGGCAGATTTGAAGGGGAAGCATAGTGATCATTTACAAATCTAAGCATATCTTGAATTGTATTCGTCCATCATCTCACGTTATCGCTATACCTACGTGCTCAAATCACGTGTCCATACCATCGTTGTACGCAAATCTTTGGTAGGTTACACATGGGCACGTAGTCATGTGTGGGCGATATGCCCAAAAGGGGATGGTGTAATCTCTCAATGCTCCCAGTACCTTGTTACATGCGATACCAGATGCTGAGCTAACAATAGGCATGTGCGAAACCCGAAAAAAAAAAGTGAGAAACCCCTTGTATCCCTTGCGCCGGAGACGCAGATCCATGCAGCCTCATTTGTGCAACCGTGTTCTAACCCCCATTTCGCCGCTGCCCAGGGTGTACAAAGAAATCTCGCGTGCGACATGTTTATCAACATCGCCTTCCCTCATGGGCGTACATGTTCCTCCAAAGTATAAAACACTCATCGTACAAAAGTTTGCCACCCAAAATAAGGTAATTTAAAAGAAAAAGAACAAAAAATCCGAAACAAACGTGGCAACAGCAGCAGCAGCAGCAGCATCACCGCGGCCTGCGTCTATGCTGGATGGAGCGCAGCACTTCTAGCCATCCGCCATCATCAACATCGTAGTCCCCTATAGAGAAAGCGCAGAGTAATCAGGAAACCGCAAAATTACTCAATAGGTGGCCACCATGTACTTACCATTGTATGCTGCCATGTTGGTAGAGGGTCCGCTTCCATGGACCACGATTGGGTTGCTGTCCACAATGTGCACGGCGGATCCGTTTCCTGCAGAGGCCACGGGCGGATCCGAGGCAGAGTGACGGATGCGAAGCAGGGTGATTCGTATTCGATAGGTGCCGGCCTGGCGAATGACGAGCTCGGGAAAGCGCATGTAGCCGACGCCGTACGGGTCAGCCATGTCCATGGACGCAATGGAACCATCTGCTTCGTCGTCGGCAAACGGGTGGATCGAGTCGAACTGTCGGCCTGCGAGGAGGGCATTGAGAACCGAAGGGTCTGTCGGAGCGGTGGAATTGGGACCAGGAACCAGCGTGGCAACGGCGACTAGATTGGTCGAGTCAGCAACAGCGTCGTCGGGATCTGCGTTGGTGGTTCGTAAGCGCACGATGATGGAGCCGGGCATCGTTTGGCCGACACGGGCGGTTCGGGGTGGTTGGACTACAATGTCCATGGCGTAGCGAATGTCCTCTGGGGATAGGGAATGGCGGCCCGATCTTGACCGTCCTGATGTGCGGGTGTTTCCAGAGTGATGCCTTGATCGAACGGACCTACTTCCTAGCGCCCTGGGTCTTGCAACGTCAGCCATTGAGGATGTGGCGTCGGCTAGCTGGTGGTCTGTTTCTCCGTTGAGTAACTCTGCGATCCGGGCAGATCGTCTGGGTGACGCGAGGCTGCGGCTGTTCTGCAAGGTGGTGTGGCGCGATGCAGATCGGTTCCGTGAAGCTGGTGGTGGGTTTGATCTGTTTCTCCTGGTCGACGCACTCCTCCGGTCGGGATTTGGGTTTCTACCTCGTCCTCGTCGTGGGCCCCTTCGCATCTGCAGAAGGATGGATCTGGTAGTCTTTAGTAGAGTTTCATGGGATACGTGCCTCGGGCAATTGCCAGCGTTGCTGTTATGCCGTTGGGTCAAGAACAGGAGTTTTAGGCGGAAAAAGAGCAAATGGACCAAGGAAAAAAATGCTGGAAAAACTAGGGCTACTGATGCCATGGCAGACGATGTTGGCTACAAAGATATAGGAAATCAAGTCAAGCCACGAGTCAGATCTCTCATCAAAGCTCTCCTCATGGCTCGTATGCTCATGCCGTGCAAGACAACGACGAGAAAGGCTCCTTTGGCGCGGTTGAGCCCAACTCTCAGGCCCTTTAATCTCATACACGGAGAGTGTATAGAGCAAGAGCATGATAGTAAGCCATATTGCGAGAGGTATAGGTTGAGGTGAGGTCAAGAAGTAGCTTCCCCAGGCGGCCCCTGACAGAGACCCCACTGAACCGCGCGAGCATAGCATCTGGGGCCATTGCTGGCGGCGTTTATGCTGGCGTTTAGGCTAAAAGGACAGAGGGGTGTGCATGCACCCCAGAGGAGACATGCGAGAGAATGCAGAGAAGGTGGCCATGGAAGAAATGGAAGGTGGTGTTGCAGGTTGATCGCGTCCAAGCAACCCGGCAGGCCATGTGGGTGACAGGGATGGTGAAGACGAAGCGAAATTGGAACTCTTGCTTACCTCTTGGACTTGTCACACCCGCCTGCGTTGGGTTGCAACGACAGGTGTTTTTCTTTTTAGTGCTCGCCACTTGTCGTCGTTGTCGGTGTCGTCGTAGTGGGTGAGGCTCGGGGCAGCGGATTGACTGCGGCGCAGTGCTTGGGATGGGATGGAATGGGAGGGGATAGGACCGATGGGACGGACGGCTGTACTGGCTCCCGACTGCAGTGATGATATTGGCCGGGGCAAGGCGTTTGGCGTTTCTTCGGGGCCTCTTGACGGCGCCGACTTGGTCAGAGGTGAAGGAGGTCCTACACTACCATCGGTATATTAGCCATGCTTTGCCCTCCCGCTCCCACCGTCCCCTCTGCCTGTCATCTCTCCGCCCGCCCGCTGGCCTGGCATTGACGACGACGACACAGAGGCGACCGAGCTCGCCCGACGTACCTCTTCTTGCACAGGATGCTACCCTACCCTACCCTATGCACGCTACTCGACTCGACTTGAGCCTGACGTTGCGGCCTCGGAAATGCTGTGAACCGTTGGGGGCTGTAGGTACGGCAGTCTCTACTTGATGCAGTCGAATGGGCCATTGTCGAGACGGTCAGTAGGGCCGTCTTATACAATGCCGTCGACTCGGTGGCAGGCCTCCAGAGGGCTCTCCAGGGCTTTGCCTGTCCTGGAGGGGGTTGCAGGTGCTTTCCCACGGCGTGCCGCCTCCCGCTATTGGCCTCGATAGTATCTTCCTCTTTCTGACAGCGGTCCCGCGTGCGTTGCTCCCTTTCAGCAGCCCAGGTGAATCAGAGGGACCGCCTCCGACCTGGCTGTCCCTGTTCACGGTTACTGTCTAGGTGGCTAGGTGCTGAGGAGCCCCCGTCTAGCGCTGCCGCCAAAGGATAGCCGCCCCCCCTCGACCATGGCCAACCCTCCCATCCATTTGGCGTCCGATCATGGTGCAGCTACAGTACACGCCTGCACGATTGCCGATCAGATGCACCACTACAGATCCATCCATCGTCATGGTCACCACCACCAATCCAACCTGCGAGCTGCCGTCTCCCCGGAAAGGATGCTGTACCACGCATGAGGCTGTCGGTGGCTGCCTTCCCATTGGTCGCTGGACCCCCTAGTCTACTCACATCAGAGGCACAGCAGGCCATCTCTTAGGCACGCCTCGTCTATGCGCTGTGGGCAGCCGTCACTACCCCCCGTCAACCTCATCACCTTCGCCCGTATATTTCGCCGCAAAGGGCTCATCAGGCTGTTTGCTTCTCATCTCTCATTGCTGGCGGCCCCCTACCTCGACCGACCTTGTCCGCGAGCTGATCTACTGCAACCCGCCGCTACACGACGAGCCGACCCTAGCTTGACCGACGCCTACTTTGCACTGCACTGCACGGCTCACACAAAGCAAAAACTCATCTCGACGACAAGCAACTGCCGGCCTTAACAACAGGCCCATGTGGACACCGTTACCGCTACCGTAACCCTTTGCCACTCTGACTCTCCCAACGTTCTTACCTGCTGCACTGGCTCGGCTCCGCCTTGATATTGAAAATGCGCCTCTCGTCGACTTCTCCATGTCCGCCTGCCGCGTGTCCATAATTCGAGTAGCTGTCACCTGTACAACTGTTCTATTAAAAACATGTTACTTGAGTCGATCCTGTCCCAAATCCAAGCCAAGCCGTCGTGTCCAATAAAAGGTCTCAAAGCCATTTGAAGCATATGGTCCGAAAGATGAAAGCATCTGCGCCCGCGGATTCATATTCTTCCTGCGCCTCCCGCTTTAGCTGCTGGATCTGTTGACTGGACTAGGCGTCGGAGAAGCGCAAGCATGGATCCCCCTACGCACTCGATCTCTTCTGGCGATGCGAGATCTCGTATCGGTAAAGGTGCGACTATGCTTTTGCGGAAGCGGATCCAACAGCCGAGTACCGATGACTGGGTCACAGTGACCACCATACCCACCACGACACGCCATGGACAGGGCCCTGGTTATGTTTTGACAGGGACAGACGAAACCTCGCCGAGGTACATCCGTGTCCCACTTATGCCCTCTCCTTCTAGACACTTGCAGCTCTTTGCGCTTGCGCTCACCTTCTCCACGTTCTAGATTCACACTAGCCATTCATTGATTGACCTAATGGAATGATGCGCCATCTGCCGCACATGATGCGCTCACGACCAAAGGCATCTAGTGAAATGCGTTTCCCGCACCCCACGCTTTGGATGATCTGCTCGATCGCATTCGTATGGCTGACGACTACACAGCCGACTTTCCAAGTTGAGCAACTTGCAGATGTCGTATCTGAATCGAGGCAATGCGCGATCAAATCCACTGGGCTTTACCAGCTGTCAATCGCTTCAAGCAACTTGTTATCTATCACCGCCGACAATTACATTTCCGCTGCCTTCTTCAGGTCGACTGTTTCAAATCAAGGCACATGACTGATCGACTTGACCTGCGTCACTTCCGCATTGATGCACTCAGCTCTCTTTTACCCACGGCGCTGGGAGCGCCTCATCGTCACACCATACGCATCCTCGGTAACCCCATGCGAAGGTGTCTTAAAACGTCGAGGGGTGCGGAAATTGCTGGGTGGTACCACGTTGCACGAACCACTGTTCATACAGGTACGATTCAGTTCCTTCAAGGGTCCGGGTGCTTACGGGTACGTTTGGAAGACAAGTGTGGAAAGACGTGTGGGCCTCCTGATGATATTTGTGTTATGCAAATCGTCGGTGGTTTTTGACTCGTGTGCGTCAGCCACAAGCAAAAGCAACATCTGACAAGGAAAACACAATCTGCAATATTGTCATCTTCCACCAACGGGATTGGATAGGTAGGGGGAATCCTTGCCGATCCAGGTCAGCGAGAATTAATCCACAAATTCGTTTTCCTAGGAGTTGGAAGTGAGGCACGCACGCCCCAACCGGGTTTCAACAGTCGCATCACAATAAAACTCACCGCAAGTGACACACGCCGCCTCTTTTACGCCCACAATACAGCCCTTCTAATCTCAGCAATTCAATAAGTCTAGAACATGCTGACGGTCAACGCCGCCCAGCCTTTACATTTCTCCTCAATCCACCTGGTATGTTTAATCGGCGCTTTATGCATGATGCGCAAATCTTCTGGTAACGAAACGTCGCCGTTACAGGGCCACTGCATATCCGTTCTGCCAGAATGCGCCAACATCGGGCCTGGCGCTTTCAGAAGCTTTCTGGCTATGCACCACCTAACCAAAGCATAGCCTGTCGAGTCCAGGAGGTTAGACCCAATGCTCTTTCATTCACATGATCTAGGTACAATCAACCTAGAGCGCGCTCCCAACTGCTGTCCTTGGGTCTGGCCACGCAATGTCGGCTGTAAGGCGTACTCGAGAGGGAATCCTAGCCACCGGTAGAGTACGTCTGGATGTACAAGTCTGCCTAGCTTACTGTAGTACGTAGGTTTGTACCTTGGTGAACCACTCGTATAGCCCAGAGTGCTGGATAGTCACACGGACATGACGGTCTCACTGCGTGCAACGTGCTATACGTCGGGGCCTTGGAATTAGTCCACGATGCGGTCATAGTTGTTTATGGAATACCGACGCGTCGATCTTTGATAGACTCGTGTAGTGCGGAATTGGCTGGTAGGTTTGACAAGTGTGTCATAGTCTTATTGCTGACTGCAAATGTCGCTTCTCAAAGGGTAGTCTTGCATTTCAACTTCATCCAAGAGTTCCTTCCTACCTTCTCAGCTAGAGAAGACAAAGAGAGTTCTCTCAAACTCTTCTACACATCAAATAACGAAAGTGATGAAGGCTTCTCAAAGTGAATCATAGTCCGCTAGTTGCGGTCATACCAGGCAGTTGCATTCAGAGAACCAAACAATTCACAACATGCTCTACTTTCTCATTGGCTTGACGTCTTTTTCGTTTACAGCAATACATTTGGTACCGATGGACAACTCATTCGTGGACATTACGGTATACTGGACTACTTCCTGGGCACTAGAGATGGATTTAAGATGGTCGGTGATGAGGTGACAGTAAATGGAACTCGTGACAAGTTGGCTTAGAGGATTGTATGGAGATGAAAGGAGTGGACAGAGAGTGTTGTGGAAAGAAGACATGCAAATCTACATGCTGCCGTTGCTACTCGAGTCCTCTTGTGTGACCAGGACCCGAGTCATACAAGAAAAACGAGGCATAACTGACTCAACTTCCACTTGTGTAATACCCGTCTTACCTGCAGTGCAGACATGCAGTGTATACATGCCGCGGCGACGTGCAGCAGCAACCGCAGCACGTGCATGTGATGCCCCTGTACATTATGTGTATAGCAGAATCTGGAGTTTGCTTTTCCAAAGAGGAGGCGCACTCATACGAGCTTCTTCCTAACGCTGTGACACCTCTGACGAGTTCCCGTACGGCTTGTCATGGTCATGGTAATGAGCAAAAGAAAGCATGTAATTTGTGTAGGTGAGTAGTTGTAGAAACCTAGCAGAAGATGGTATAGAATCTCAGCCTCAGCCTCATCCTTGGCGCGTCAAGTGCCCCTCCAAAATTTCAGTACTAGCGTGTTTGCTTGCATCCCCCCTCTATTTGACGCATTTCGCAACTTGACCCCACACGGGTATGCAGCAAAGCCTTACTCACTGTCGCGCCAGACTTTTCAATTCTTCTTCTCCCTGTTCGTTGAGGCCGCTGGCGACTCATTACCGTTCTCTGACTCAAAGGCCTACTACCTGCGCAACAGTCAGCAAACAGCTCCCCCCCAATACCTCCATCCGCGCACGCTCGCGACTACTCCTACACCCGAACCCGCACCCACTGCCACTGCCATTGCTACACAGTCAACGCCTTGCACGCGGGCATAACGGTCGCAAAGCTCTAGGTACCCACTACGTACGCCGATACTACGCGAACCTCGACGCCTCGGCGCGCTCAGCTATCAGCATGGAGGACCTCACAAACACGCTCGTGACCCTCGGCCTCGACAAGGTCCCGCAACAACCGAATACATATCCCGCGCTGAACCCATTCGACATCTACAGGAGCCATATCACAGAGCTATTGTCTCAAGTGTCGGGCGTAGATAAGCACGTAATATACCCAACACTGGCATGGACCGCGAAACCAGAGCACGGCGACTTGCAGCTGGCGGTGCCCGCGCTCCGACTCAAGAAGAAGGACATGAAGGCTTTCGCCCAGGAACTAGCTGACCAGTTCCCCGAGTCACCCCTCGTGAAGAAGCCTGTGGTTACCAACACTTCCATCGGCTTCTTCTTCAAGCCCGAAACGCTCACATCAATCGTCTTGCCCATGGTGCTCAAGTCTGGGCCGAGTTACGGCTTCAACAAGAATCTCGGCCTCAAGAACCCGCTAGATCCCTCGTCCGGCGCGAAGAAGATGATCGTCGAGTTCAGTTCACCCAACATTGCAAAACCCTTTCACGCTGGTCATCTCCGAAGTACAATCATTGGCGGCTTCCTTGCAAACCTGTACGAGGGCGCAGGATGGGACGTCGTGCGCATGAACTACCTTGGAGATTGGGGAAAGCAATATGGTGTGCTTGCAATTGGCTTCGACCTGTTCGGCAACGAAGAAGAGCTAGTCAAGAACCCCATTGGGCATCTTTACGATATCTATGTCAAGGTCAGCAGCATTCAGCATGACGAGGCAGAGCAAGTCAAAGCGCTCAAGGCCGAGGTCGCCAAGTTGCAAGAGGAGGGCAAGGATGCTTCCGAGGAGGAGGCGAAGATCAAGAAGATTGGGGTTGAGGGAATCGATGAGCAAGCTAGGAAGTACTTCAAGGGCATGGTGGATGGCGAGCCCAAGGCAATCGGTCTCTGGAAGCGCTTCAGGGTGAGCACGGCCGACCGTTCAATGTACTCGGTCTTCGAATGCTAATTGAATTAGGACCTTTCCATCGAGAAGTATAAGCAGACGTATGGTCGACTGAACATTCGGTACGACGACTACAGCGGAGAGTCGCAAGTCAAGGACGAGAGCATGGACCTCGCCGCCAAGATCATGTGGGAGAAGAAAGTATGCGAGGACTCAGAAGGCGCCGTCATCGTAGACCTCACATCGCACTCGAAGAAGCTCGGCAAGGCAGTTGTCAAGAAGAAGGACGGCACTTCGCTATACCTGACTAGGGATATCGGCGCCGCGATTGAGCGTGTTGACAAGTATCACTTTGAGTACGTTCTGCTCGCGTGTGCCAGACCAAGAAGAGAAGCTAATATTGTTTTACAGTCGAATGATCTACGTCGTCGCCTCACAACAGGACTTGCACCTAGCTCAGCTCTTCAAGATCGAGGAACTCATGGGCAGGAAAGATATTTCGGACAAGTGCCAGCACATCAACTTTGGCATGGTCCTCGGTAACTAGTCCTTTTTCGTCAGCGATCTGTTAAACGTGCTAATGGGTCCAAGGAATGAGCACCCGAAAGGGCACCGCCAAGTTCCTTGACGACATTCTCCGCGACGTCGGTGACAAGATGCACGAAGTCATGAAGAGCAACCAGTCGAAATACGAACAAGTCCAGGATCCTGAAAAGACGGCTGATACCCTAGGAATCTCTGCTGTCATGGTCCAGGACATGAAGGGCAAGCGCATTAACAACTACACCTTCGACATGGACCGCATGACGTCGTTTGAAGGCGACACAGGCCCTTACCTTCAGTACGCACACGCGCGTCTCTGCTCCATCTACCGGAAAGCCGTCACGGCCGACCCCAGCTTAGAACAATTCGATCTCACCTCGGCTGATCTCTCCCTCCTCAGGGAACCCCATGCCATCGAGTTGGTTAGGCAGTTGGCTTCGTGGCCGGACACGTTCTCCAATACGCTGAAGACGCAGGAGCCGACGACGGTGCTGACATACCTGTTCAAGATGGCGCATGCTTTGTCAAGCAGCTACGATCATCTGCAAGTCGTCGGATCAGAGAAGAGTGTCATGGTAGCTCGGTTGGCGCTTTATGTCGCGGCCAGGCAGGTGTTAAATAATGGAATGAGGGTGCTTGGTTTGAGCCCCGTGGAGAGGATGTAAGATGCTGAGCTAGTGGAAGAGATAAAATGGAGCATGATCAAGTGAGATGATAAAAAAGTTACAAGTCGTCATCGCGGCAATGGGAATCGTTGCTAGCATGGTATTCGAATAAAGAGAGAAAGATAAAAAGACGAAGCAATACATGTTCAAACAGTCCCTCTTTTTGCAGTGTCATCATGGTGAGAGCCAACGAGAAATAGCTTGAAACGATGGATGCTCCATTGAACATGCTTCTTCTGGCACCTGGACGTATTCATCACGATGGATTTGATAAGATTGCAAGGGAAATGTCATGCCATGCACTAATCTTCATTCACTAGAGCTTTGATCGCTGGGTATATCCTTACAGAGACACTGACAAAACTAGTCTGATCTTTAACACTCTTCCATTCTGATCCACTTGCGATGCAACCCGCTAAACGCTTGCGATGCTTCTTCTTCTGAAGCATTCAGCCCTCGAGAAACATAGCCCTAAATATTGCTATATAGAAGAGAGATGCCAAAAAGAGTGTGATTGGACATTAGAAAGTCCACCTCCAACCGTCAAATAAGAACCTAAACAGGGGGACGGAGGCAAAATCCCAAAGATTAAACTCAGACTATCGTGATACAAACACCGTCGCTGCATGTCGCTGAATCGCTAGGCAATTTACTGGCTCAGATGATCAGGGGCTAGCCTTTTGTCCCAAGTGGTGACAAGGCGATGTTGAAAAGGAAAAGAAATTCGTAATAGCTGTGAAGCTAAAAAGCCGCGGTTGCATTTGCCGGGCTGAAACAGGTCTATAGGGTCGTAACTCGTGTTTATGGGGGTATCGGTCTTCTTTTTGAGCATGTTATCGGGGCCGCGGATGCTGGCTGACCACTCCGAGCACGGGCGCTGTTGTAGTACATAATGGAATGATGGACTATTGGGATTTCAGAAGCGGTAATGCTCTGCGATCATATCGTCCTAGTCGTGTTGATGGTACAGCGTGTGATAGCTTAATGTTATTTTCTTCGACTTTCTCTGCTTCAATATCGATGAGCTTTTTCTTCTCGAGATCCGGATCATAGTAGTAGGATGCTGTGATAGGGACTTTGTGCTCGCGTGTGCTGAGTGGTAATGTGTACTTGAAGTTGCCTTGGACGATGAGCTCGAAAGGATGCTGGAGAACCTCTTCCCAGCGTTCCGTTCCGCCAGCTTCTGTCTTGTTGCCGGGTTTGAATAGTCGTATCTCGCCGATAGACTCGGCACGAGTTCGCTGGAAGAATGAACCATCAAAGTTCAGTGGCGAGTCGAAGTGGAAGATGCGGCCAAGTGTCATGGTACGCGGTTCGCTCTCGATGGGATCAGTTCCTTCATCGATACCATTGGTGGCTACTTCGGTTTCCCCACTGGTGGTCGGGACATCTATGATCGGCTGCCAGTCCTCTTTCTTATCATGCGGCCCGTTCCCATGTTCGCGCCACCATTTGTCTGACCCTAGGTGTTTGCTCTTTGCGAATATAAACACATCCATGTCGGAAACGGTGACACCAATGATATTGGGATTGACAGCGTTGACGATCAAGTCAAGCATAATCTCTTCCTGGCTTGCAACGACATTTTGTATGTCCCTAACCATGACGCTAGTTAGAGGCTTAGTGGTCGCAAACACTAATCCAACGGAGCTGAAGATGACCACGAGAAGTAATATCGAGAGAACAAGACATCCGGCGAAGCGGCGACACCAGCCACTATCGTGACGATGCCGGCGTTCCAGCCCGCGTAGGGCCGTGCTGTTTCGTTGGCGAGGAGTTCGAACACGTGGGCTTCGGCCTGTTGGAATCAAGGGTGTTCGCTCATCATCGGCAACGTTCTCTGCGTCCACGTCGTACGTCGAGTACTCTCCATGCTTCTTTATACCATTGCTCTGGCCATTGGCTACACTGAACGTGTGAAAACGAGGACTGTTTGGCTGCGATGCTTGTCTTGACGACGGGCCGCGTGCACGCGAGGACTGCGCCATTGACGAGTCGCTGTCTAGTACGAGGTGATTCAGGGTGCCTCGGCCTTGGCCATGTCTTCCAATGTGGTGATGGTGGCTGCCTCCGCTTACTCGACCTGACCCAATTCGAATGGTACCTTCGCCACGATCCAGTGAATCGCCGTCTATGCTTGGGTTATTGTAGGGATTCGTAAACTTCATACTGCTCTTCTTGTTGGGATTTTTGTGCGCATCGCGTATCGCAAGTCGGGGATCTGCGAGGCTTGCGATCGATGTCATACTAGGTGTTCGTGAGTGGTGGTGTCGACTGCGATGCGGTTGTTCGGGCGGGTTTGACTCGTAAATGAAGGTAGCGTCCGAGTCGGATGAGTTTGCCTGGTCAACTGCGCTGGCTACCTTCTGTTCGAAAACATCTGCTTTGGATGAAGCTTTGCGAAAGCCTGTGTTAGTGTTTGAGTAAAAATAGTTGAGAGAGGGACGCTGAGTAGAAAGCATACGCATTTCTAAACTTGGAGGCGATGTGGTTAACATCGACCGCCGGTCATCATACGAACGATATGAGATCGGACTTCCAAGCGAGGGAGTAGTGTTGGAGCGCAAGCCAGGGTCTGGCCGGCTCGGGATGTAATAATGGTACGAAATGTGTTGCAACCTACCAGTACCCGAATTGATCGACGGTGCTTTTCGCTTCGGGGGTTTTCTCTCTTTCTTGGGGCGTATTGTCTCATTGCTTGGCTTCAGCCGCAAGCTTCCGTCGACGCGTCCTGACGCGGAGCGATCTTGGTTGCCGATAGTCGCCTGCGCTATTGAAGGGACGGTTTCCGTCTCGACTGTCATGTTGCGCAAAGGTGGCTCCGTCCGAGACCTATTTGACAGCGACGATAGCGATGGTTTTGCAGAGATGGTCTTAGGCCGATGTGTAGATGAAGCGCGCTGTTCCTGCATCTTGGCCGTCTTGCCGGTCTTGGTGGCGCTGTCGCTTCCGCTCTCCGTGTTCATGGTGTTGTTGTGCTTGGTGCTGAGGTCTTCGGTGACTTTGGATGAGCTGACGTCATTTCGCTCTTCGGTGGAGCTTCTGTGCGTTGTAGCAGGGTGGATAAAACTACATAGATATTAGCAAAACTGTGGGTTGGCACGGATTTTCACTCCATAGTTAGCAGTCGCGTGGGTTCGCGATGACAAAAAGCGGGGCGATTGCGGGGGGGAGGCTAACCTTTGCACTTCAAGACCGTCAAACCCGGGAGTAGCAGGCAGGCTTGATTCTTGAACCGTCTCCAGCTTGGGAGCAACACCGCTGGCACCGCGAGACGACACTTTCATGCTCAGCACAGGCTCGTCTGGGTCGCTAGCCACGGCCTCCTCCCTTACAGGAAAGCGAGAATGTGGGGCAGGCGAGGAGCTCTGGACGACGATGGCGGGCATAGATTGAGCGTCGGGCTTCTTGAGCTGCGAGCGAAGAGAGTTTGCGCGTGAACGCGAGCGGCCGTCATCCCCAGGCGGCGGGGACCTAAGACGAGGCGAGATGGGCCAATGAGGCGTGTTGTCACCTGAATTGGGGCCGGAAGTAGACTTCAAGGGCCGGGGCGCCCTCGTAGTTTCTGAGGACGAGGCTGGTGGGAGTTCAGGTATGCTCGTTGAGGACAGAGCGCGCTTGATAGAGGCGGCGGAAGGAGTCTTGGTGCCTGACCCGCCAAGGCTGGGGAGCCTGTGAGGGCTCACGTCGGTACTGCTCTTGCGTGAACGGAAGCCAGACCTGGGGGCAGTTCCCGTGGGGGCAGCGGTGCGCTGGTGGGGGCGGGCGGGTGAAGCGTCTCGCGAAGAGAGCGGCGAGGCTGCTGACGATGGCGAGCCCGAGGCGTTGAGCGAGCGTGGCCCAGCCAGCGTGTGGTGTCGCATAGATGCAGTGGGCTCGCTCTCGGGTGCAGCAGCAGTAGTAGCAGCAGCAGGAGTAGCAGCAGGAGCTTGGTGGCCCTTGTTTGGAGAGATATCACGGGAGGGCGCGGGTTCTGGTGGTGCTGGGGTGTGCAGTGTCGTGGGCGTCGTCGACGTGGTGGGCTCTGCGGACTGCAGCACGCCGGTAATGGAGTGATAGTCGTCGTCGTCGGGGGTAGTCGAGGTCATGATGGAGCTTCTCTTGCTTCAATGGGCAAGAGCGCTCGTGGCATGTCGTGCGCGATTCGCCGGAAGTTGGCTTGGAGAGGGCCTGGATAGCAGCGAGGTCCGAGACCAAGGGCGGTCAAAATAGATGAGGCGGTCCTGGCCAGCACGCGGCAGGCGGTCGTTGGACGGCGCCGCAGCGCGGGGAGTTTGCGGTCGAAGCAGCGGTGGTGTGGCGTCGGGGCGACAGGTACATTTGCAGTGGGATATGCGGACGGGGGCCCATGGGAGAGCGAGAGGGAGAGTGAATGAATGAATGAATGTGAGGTGTGATGAAATCAGCGTGCCTGCCTGCCCGGCCTGCCTGTCGTCTGCATTGGGCCTAGCCTGATGGCTGACGTTGACGTCGACCCACTGAGCCACACAGTCTCTTGGGCACAGTCTCAGGGACCGAACCGAACCGACGACTGTTTGCCAGCGCATCACAAAGACACTTATTACTTCTCAACCCTTAACCCCAACAGCTTGCTCCACGTACGCCTACCCCACGCCAAATCACTGGGACCTGTCTTCTTCACTGTCGGCATCATGTGCCTGTCTCTCCCGCTGTCCGACGCCCGACTATGGACCGGCACCGTCTCACCTAAGACGGGCATCGAGTAATCTAACAACGTAATCTAGGGGCCTAGTACGTGAGAACACAGCCCTCGTTTCCACCTCTCTATAGGCAGCTCGTGTTGCACAACGTGACATTAGCCGACCGAGGTTGTTACTAACAAGTCAGAAGAGTCATTTCTTTGCCTCCTGTGCTTTCCGAGTCACATGTGTGTCTGTGGTCGAAACTAATCCCTTTCTGCCTTCCCTACGCTGTTACGTCCGTACGTCCGTTTATCCGTCCGTCTGGTGCTTGGCCATCGCTTCGACGCTCTCAGCTCTGACGCAGCCGACTTGTGTAAGAAGTATTTGCACATGTAGCTCAAGGCGAACAGCCAACCTCGCAATTATTGGTCTGATCACGTGACGGTGGTATTCTCGCATTTTATGGCCACTGCAAACGGACTTTGATTCTTCGTTAGCCCAGGATATACCTTCCCTTTGATGAAGATTGAACTTCTGGTCTTGCTTTATCGAGACTGTCTTCCCTTCCGCTCTCTAAGAATCACACGCATGGGTAAGATGGTACTTGGGGTCATATCGAGGGTGCCTCTATCCTACTAGTATGTGCGGTCACAATAACACCAGTGGCGGGCAAGAAACTGAGCTTCAGGCTGGAGACGTGATTGTGCGTCCTGCAGGGACAGCACGTTACAATACCCAGAACACCAAGATATAGATACGTGACCTGCCGGGACTGAATGACTGAATCCGTATACCCACCTTGCCTCTCTCATCTCAACGCTTAGCCCATTTCTCCCTCTTCAAATTAACCCCACAGACAAGAGCAGCCAAATTATTCCATCCCGACCACAGAAACTGGTTCGTCGCCACAGGAGAGTGGACAGTGAGTCACTCCCTGACTGGGAAGATGACATGCTGACTGGTTGATAGCAGCGGCTTCAAGTTTCTCAATGAAACAGACTCAATAGGCTTACATAGACATTCGCGATCTGATATAATTCTCCATTTGGCCAATTTGCTTGCCCCATACATTCCTTACCCCAGGTGGTAAGTGCTCAACAATAGAACCGCCCACATGGGTGGTAAGGCGTACTTGACATGCGACCTTCCCTAAATGAGTTAGTACGGCACTAAATGTCATCGTGGTGGCAGGCGCCACTTGCAACAAACGTTCGGCACTCAGATCCTCACGCCTGGGCATGCACAGTCGTCGACAGTGCCCTTAACCTCCATTCATCATGGACACCGCAGCGACTGGGTTTCCGGACTCCCTGGATCTATCCCTGCTCTCTACCTCCCAGAACGACTTCTTCGGGCCGGATCACGCCTTGAACGATGGCGGCTTGGCTGGATTATCGGAGGCTTTGGAAGCGGCCCAAGCTGCACCTAATAATACCGATGACATTTGGACACTTGATCTTGCGCTGCAGAGTCTCTCAAATAGCTCTACTGCAGACTCATCCCCTTTCATCCCCAGCACTCCAGTTACCCGGCCCAAGCTTGGCAGCCGTTTCTCCAGACATGTCATCCGTATACTGCAGAACTGGCTCGCTGTTCATCAGCACCATCCATACCCTAACGATGTTGAAATGAACCTCCTTCAAGATCAGACCGGCCTAAACAAAGCGCAGCTCACCAACTGGTTTGCCAACGCTCGACGCCGTGGCAAAGTGCAGTATATTCGGCCTGCATCACCCCACGTACGAGATGTTTCAACTAATCCCATTGACGTTATTCCACGGCCTGGTACACCAGCATTCAGACAAGCTTCACAATCAAAGGATCCTATGCAGCGCTGGGTGGATTCACCACCTGAACATGAGCCCGCTGCCGTTCATGATATCGCTCGTGCAATGGCATCGAGTTCGAGCAAGTCGTCGCGTACGTTCACGTGTTGCTTTCATATCCACTGTTGTTGATATACTAATACTGAACCTTGCTCTAGGCGAAAACGATCTCGACTACACGCCCTATGAATCGTGGCGATCTCCCCACGCAAGATCGTCGGCGAGTAGCGCTGGCACATCGCAGTCTAGTGATTTCTCGACCCTCCATTCCTCGGGATCGCAGTCTTCGCTCCAAATGCGTCGGCCACCTCGAAGGAAGCGCGCCAACAGGCGTCGACGTATTGTGAATGAGCCGACCGCAAACCCCAGCATGCCCTACCAATGTACCTTTTGTACTGAAGTCTTCAAGACCAAGTTTGACTGGCAGCGCCACGAAAAATCGCTTCATTTACCCCTAGAGCAGTGGGTATGTTCTCTTCACGGACCTCGTGCCCCAAAGGAACAGATAGCGGAGCTCTGCTGCGTCTTCTGTGGTGATGCCGCGCCCGATGATGCCCACATCGAGGCACACCATTACTCTGCTTGCCAAGAGCGGAGCCTTGCGGAGCGCACATTCCATCGGAAAGATCACCTCGTCCAACATCTGCGATTAGTCCACAGCACCAAGTTCGCAGCGTGGTCAATGGCCAAATGGATGCTTCCTATGCCCAACATCAATTCAAGATGCGGGTTTTGTGGAACTATGATCAGCACGTGGATAGAAAGGACAGACCATATCGCTGAACATTTCAAGGATGGTGCCACGATGGCAGACTGGCACGGCGACTGGGGCTTTGACGATGCTATAGTGAACATGGTTGAGAGTGCTGTTCCACCATGTATGTGTGCCGTTCAAAGGTATACCATTGGCTCTGGGCTAACCAGATCGCTATAGACTTCATCAACCACGAGCGAAATACGCTTATTCCCATGAAGGCTAGTGACCCATCTTGGGGCTCCCCACCGAACGCCTATGAGCTACTCAAAGTCGAGATTGAATTCTTCGTCAGAAATTACTTTGATAGAACTGGGCAGTTGCCCACAAACGACGCCATGCAGCTTGAAGCGTGCCGCATCATCTTTGCGGCCGAATCAACTCCAGGATCTAATATGGAAACGGCCCAAGGCTTTTCATGGCTGCGCGACTTGATCATGTCCTCTCCCGAATTGACAAGAGAAGCCAGGTTTGGACCGATAAGAACAGCTAGTGAAAGCAGGCATTCGCCCCTCAAGATCAATGGCAAGCATCATCTATTCGAGCAGTGTCCTCTCGAAGCTCATCTTCAAGCGTACATCACAGGGCAGCATTTGGTAGACGAAGGACTTGATGACGGGAAAATTCACAAAGAGGCTTGCGATATTGTTAGGCGAATGGAGACAGCATCACACACGCCATCCGACATCTTCGCAAACTGGATAGTTAAAGGCATTTTCGGCTCAAGCACGGACTGGCTTTCCAACTTCAAAGAACGAGTAGGCGTATCCGATACCATTGGCAGGCATAGCATGGATGCGGAGCTGCCAACAAGGCTAGGCTGGGATATGCAATGGCCGCCAACATCGCTCTTTCTGCTCCCGGCATCAATCGCAAATGCAACTAATCCTTTGACAAAAGCTCATAACCCAAACCAATCTTCAACCACCTCTTCCGGAGAAGCTCTTACGCTATCCACAGCGATCGCGGAGTATGGAACAGACACACGGCGGAGCGGATATTTACCAGATGACACAAACTTCTACCGTGCACTCGACAGCGACCTCAGGCGCTGGGTAGCGGCGACCATGGTACGTGCCTATATATGAATTGCTGAGACACACGCTGACTTCATACCCTCACTGTTTGCAGTCTCCGAATAACCCGAACTCCCACGTGCCATCTGATGAAGAGATACAGCATCAGGCCAGATGGATCGTGTACGACGGTGATGACGCTTGGAATCAGACGCCGGCGGATTCTGCGGAGTGGTTGTGGCAATTCAAGCGTAACGTTGGGATCTTGAGGGAGGTTGATACATTTAACCCCCAAGAGCTTAGCGGATCCTATGTTCGGCGAAATTGAAGTTGTGATTTTCAAGAGACATGATTTTATGGTCTAGTAACTAGGGGAATTCCATTAGCCTACCTCCCTTCTTGTATTCATGTGCCAGGAGCCCAATCGTCATTTCGCCTCGAGCTATTCCCTACTTCGTCCCACATCGTCTCTCTGTCTCTCTCTCTCTCTTTTCCTACCTTCTTCCCCATCATCCCGTGGCCGCTTCAGAAACCCTCCTCGCACAATCCCTTGCACTGCGGTGCCTACTCGGGCCCACTCGCTGACGTAGAAGTTGACCGAGTTTTAAGGATTCCGTAATATTCCTCATCAAAGCTGGCGGGGAAAATTCGAACATTGCGAGGAATGCCACCAGGACCTTTTGGACCAGTGTCCACTGAAGCCGTCACACCATGCTAGCGGCCAATTTATACTGTCCGACAAAACGTCTGAGAGTGTTCCCCTTACTGCATGGTGCAATAACATAACGAAGACTACCCAGTCACCCCATGATACTTTGTGAGAGACTTTTCCGACACGTATATTGATTTCCGTGGCGGGGTTAGCCTGGCAGTAGGCTGCAAACTGGTCGGTGCACAGGCGTGTGAGCCCGAGTTGCTTAGTGACAGTCTCGAGTCGGGGCCCGCGGTATTTGTGGGCCCAAGATACGTGTCGGTATGTTATGGTCACTTTCTTGATACGTTGGAGGTGCATTTTGGAACATTCGTAGAAGACGAATTGCTGGAAGAGCGCGACGCCAGTTTTGTGTCGGGTGCCGTGGAAAGTTACGTCGTTGTAGCGAAGTCCTAGGCCGGCTGTCTCTGAATGCAATAGTCGACATACGAACTTTAGCTGATTGGCGTCGTGCTTGGCTCCCTTGTTGTCACCGGCGTGGAAGTATCCCGATCCACCTGCGAGCCTGGAGGTGGGTATACCGTTTATGACGAGTCCGCCAACTTCGGTCAATGCGTATTCGTAGATCAGGTCCCTCAGCTCGCGGGGCAGTTCGAATAGCAGGCATCGAGGTTCGGGTGTCTCCATGGCCTTGAGCGCAATAGGCGTAAGAGTGTGAGCGTTTGGCGTCTGTGAGTCGTGCATTGGTGGATTCGCCTGCTCACGTTGAGAAAGAGGTGAGTTATAGAAGAAAGGTGGTTTTATCTTTCACTCAAGTCTAGGGAAGACTAACTTGTTGCGTGCAAATCATACTCGAACCATTGGATACAACAAACCTATCCTGCAAACCGCAACGTCATCGCAAGACCTCCACTCCCAATAACAAGACTAGCGATAACTTTAAACATTTCTTTTAGAGCGGGTGCTTTTATTTGTGCAAGACTCGAAGACGCGATAAATAGAGAAGTGGATGAGGGTTGTTATGGTAGGTTGTGTTAAAGATAGAACAGAGAGAACCAGAACAGGTGCCAAAGGAGTGTCTTAGAGGATGATGATCATCAGCACCAACTTCCAGGGAGGCTCGTGTCCCAATAGTGCTACCAGTTGATCACGTTATTTGTAGTACACGGAGCCCTTTTGTTGAATAAATCCTCTTGGATCGTGGAGATTTGCTATTTACTTGTGGAGATGAAAGGGTTCAAAACATGTGACAGTCTTCTAGACCTTCCCCTTCGTTCTCTACCACAAGCCACGCGCCTTGCTACAGACGCCATAATGTCAGGCATGCCTCTGATCCCGGCGCTCTAGTGTACTAGTTCGCTAGAATTACATGCTGATATGCCAATGATTAATGTTAAATACTGAGAAGATGCCGCAATATTGCACAAAAGATATCCTGCTTGATGGTAGCACTGCGAAACCCGCAGCCACCTTCATATATGGGCCAGGATACAGAAACTGCAGAAAAGGGGTATTTCGAATGTGACCGCTGAACAACCAAAAGGGGCGTTCATAATAATAGGGCGGCAAAGAAGTGGAATGTATCGAGAGAAGTGTCCGCGATTTCAGTATCCGCTTAACTGAGTGTGTAAGCGCGGGCCAGGAAAGAATCAAGTCAGAGTAACAACATCACAATGATGCTGCCCTGCCCGTTGGGAGAGTGTACTCACCGATCACCGATAACCGCCTCGCCGGCTGCCTCTCCTTGCACGGTATTCGTCATGCTCCTCAATCACCTCGACCACATCATCGCCCGGTACTCGGTGTCGCTCTTCCACGATGACGCTCCGCGCCCTCGTTGGCGGCCGCCTCTCGTCAACAATGATTTGCGATCGCGTACCAGACCTCCTTGGACTCCTACTGACTTCGCGCACTTCCTGGCGACGACTCGCTCTCGACCGTCCTCCATGTGAATTCCGGCGTGGTCTGCGCACTACAATCTCTTCCTCCCCTGCCATGGCTGTTGTTGTCCCCGTCCTGGTGTTGCCGTTGATGAGCGTGTAGAGCAGCCAGACTACAAGTAGGAAACCGGCGACGCTGCCCAAAACAAGGCCGACGACGGTACCAGGCTGTGGTCCTGACACGTTGTAGTAGGTGGGTATTATGCCAGGCTGTATCACCATCTGTTGTCGCTTGGCGACGGGCTGTGCCCGGGGCGCAAGGCTGTCTAATTGCGCTGCTATCGCATTGTAGAAGGGTTCGCGTACTGCAGGCATCGTGGTTACTGGTGGGAGCGACGGAGTCGCGGAGTGCGCGCGAAGCAGCAGCAGTAGTAGTAGGAGTGGCGCTATGGTATTGAGTGTTTGGGATCGCCGTCGCTGGGGGGAACTGCGGTTCCTGTTTGTTGTGGACCGGATGTGCCGGCGCTAGTTGTGAGGGGCAGGCTTGCGATGCGATGCGCAAGATAGAGAGCGTCAGGAAGTTTAAGTTGCAATTGTCCCGTAGGCAACGAAGATGAGCGAGGGTAAAGGTAGAAGGAAAGCAAGCAAGCGCTGGCGTGGTGAGATTGGACACTGCAATGCGTTGGTGGACGACGCCGCCCTGATGCAATTGCTCCTTCCCCAAGGTGGCTGGGGCCAATAATCGGGAGGCTGCACCGACAACATCCACCACCCACCTGGCTATTAATTAGCACACGCGGTATTGCTCCAAGGATGCCTCGGCTACGCTTCTAGGCACCTGTAAACAAGCAGACCTATTTACCTGTTTCGTATAACATACATGACACGGTAAAACAAAGCGTCAGCAGCAATCCCACGGAGCGCGTCTTCCTCCAGGGGCGTTCCGCAGCTACGTACCGTACCGGAGGTGATACGATACCACTTCAACATGTCGCATGTTGTGCATGATCAGTTTCTTCACTCGCTTTCAGTCTCATCGTTCTCCTATTTTTCCTTTTACACCGCATCAAGCTTATTCTATGCCGACTGCAATGGGTGTAGCCTCTAGTTTCCAAGCCGTAGCACCCTGTCGCGCTCCCACGTGAGCCGCTTCTTTGTGGCTCCAGGAAAGCCGATTGCAAGAAACAGCGTGTCACGCCAACAGAGTTGGATACAGTATATTCTCGTCTCTTCTAGCCGTGAACACTTCGCTAGAGGCGGGCTTTTCCGTCCATCTAGATTGATCTCCTGGTGAAGGCGCATACCGGACACCTACTGGTCAGGGTGACCAACAATATTGTGATACTGATGACTTCACCGACACTTGATTCCCTTTTCATTCGAGCTTTGTCTGCGGGTAACAGCTTGGCTGTTTGTGTGTGAGGCAAATCGCAATCTACCTTCACACCATGTGGTCGCCATCGTCAGCACCACAGGCCATATGTGAGGCTACTTAAGGTGAAGCGGCTAGACTTTCCTTTACTCACCACAGGCAAAGCCGCACCCCACCGGACTCTGGAACATGTCGACCAAGCCGGTTCTCAGGAACAGTCTTCGTCTAAACAGTCCGTACCCAGTGATCAATACGTCTGCTGGCGATCGAGGTTCGATCTTTGAGCTCATTGTTGTAACACCAGCTGACTGCTCTAGATCTATCTGAACATGCAAGCATACAGCACAGCTTGAAGATACTGGAACCTTTTGATCAGTCGCAATACGAGACATTGCTGAAGGCCTCCAGAGGAGGACACACAGGCCAAGAATGGATACGAGACGTCGCCGCATACAAGACTTGGATCGAACACGAAGACCACGTCCCCCTACAGGAAATCCGTCACGGCCTTCGCCTTTCGGTTTCCGGAGGACCCGAAGTCGGCAAGACCTCGCTAGCTTTGTTCATCATTGACGAACTCAAAAGCTTCAGCGCACGAAGTGATACGAACATCCAAGTGCTCTACTTTTTCTGTCATCTCCCGGACAGGAACTACAATAGCGCCAGCGCCATATTGAAGGGTTTGTTCCTTCAGTTGGTGCAACAACGACCAGATCTGACTACAGAGTTCTGTGATTGGCTCTGTGCGTACGATAGCCGCTCCAAATACCTATACAATCCTACTGCTTTATGGGACATGTTTCGATCTGCGTTGAAAGGCGACGACGCAGGGACAACGTATTGCATGATCGATGGGCTGCACGAATGCGATGCGGATAGTGCTAGGACCATCGAGCAGCTAATAACGAGACCTTTCCCATTTGAAGGTTGTTTGGAAAATGAGCCTAGGCTAAAGGTCATGATTACAAGCCGCTCCGCCATTGCTTCAAGTCACTTTGGAAAGGTTGAACTGAATGAGCAGAACACAGGTGGGTCAGACACGCCCAACCAGAAGCTCACAAAGATCAATGGTTATCTTCGCGATCTGGATACAAAAAGGGGTACATGTCTTCATACGCTAGACGTAATTGCGGCGTATCGACATCCACCAACTACGGCTCTATTGCAGTCCTATTTCAATGAATCATACGAGGACATCGAGATGCGCGTCCAACTATGTCAGCCTTTTATCCGGACCGATCGCGCCCAAGGACTTCAATTCAACACCACGGACTTCTGGCTTCGATTTTCGAACCCGAACAGGAACGCTGCCCAGGCCATTCACAAGAAGCTAGCTCAAATCTGCTTGAGTGTTATCGACCGAAAGATCTCCCAGATTGATATGGAAGAACTTGAGCGCGGGACCTCGATGGAACTTCCGGCAGACGTACGATATGCGGTCTTGTTTTGGGCTGATCACGTGAGGCTTTCGCAAGATGCTACGAATGGCCTCTTATACTGCATCACTGCTACGTTCAGTCGTAATTCAACAAACCTGGAGAAATGGTGGATCATATACCTGCAGGAGTATTTTTCCATCTCTCAGCAGGATACCTGGCGACAACACCATACCACCGTGCTCCACCTCGTTGCGTTATTTGGTCTCCATAGGATTCTGCAAACAGCTGTCATCAGTGGGCGCTGGCCTCGGCTAGTAAATTACCTAGATATGAAAGACTGTCTGGGCATGGATCCCCTCTCAGTCGCTGTCTCGCAAAAGCACGCAGAAATTGCGGAACTCCTAGTATCCAACGGCACAGGGGTCACTTTTACACACTGCGTTATCGCTGCCGGCTCAAATCTGCAGCTTGCCAGACTTGTTTTTCGGACATATGTTGAAACTGAGCATAGGAGAACCCCGCAAGGCCCGCAACGTATTGATATTGTCGATGCCTTGCAGAGAGCTGTCGTTAGCGGAGACGAACGCCTTGTCTCCTGCACGATCAAATTCCTTCAAGACGTTAGTCCACGAAGTTTTCCTTGGAACGAAATCGACTCCCTCATGTACGTGATCAACTCAGGGCAACGCCACCTGCTCACGCCACTTCTTGCAATCACAAACCTCGAAACTACCGCCGAAGAGCTCATCGAATTCGCGGCAGAGGAGCACGAAGAGGTTATCCTTGCGGATCTGATGGCCATGCCAAAGATCCGAAGCATCATCGAGAAGCAGAAACTCACACTTGTCAAGCCTCTGAACCTAGCTCTCACATACAAGTGTCCGTTAATGGTAGACCGGCTCATGTCTGATAGGAATGTTGCCTACGAAGACGATCATTACCGAACACCCTTTCAGGTCGCTACTCGATTTGCGAACCACCAGACCCTTTGTCGATTTTTACAGCATCCAAAGTTCTTGTTCAATCGTGGATCCGTTGAAGAAGGTGTTGCGCTCAACGTCCTACTACACAAGGACAAAATCGACAATGAATTACCACTCATAAACCTGAGGCAAATCCTCGAGCGTGGTGCGAGAATGCGCTACCAACATTTCGGCATCACTGCACTCCACGTCGCCGCTGAGCTCGGTCGGGCGCCAGTCATGGAAGTGCTTTTGGAGAAGATGTCTGAGAAAGAGATCAAGGCAGATATCGACCGACAACCTTCTAGTCGCCATGGCCACGACCGGGATGACAAGACCGCGCTCGCGATTGCGGCAGTGAAAGGTCACTATGAGATCGTGCGACTACTTCTACTTAGAGGTGCAGACATGGATATCAAGGATAGGCTCGGGAATACTGTGACGGAGTTGGCGGAAGCAGAAGGGCATGCTGAGATTGTCCAGCTGCTGGAAAAGGTAAAGAGAAGGGGAGTCGCGGCAGCGAGGGAGGTACGGAAAGGTGAAGCTGATGGAGCTTCACGAGAAGATGGATTGGAGGAACAGAACGACACGGAAGAAGAAAAGGGTGGGGGTAGGAGCAGGAGGAAGGGCAAGGGCAAGGCTAGGCAATGATATGGGCCGAGCGATTGAGCACATGTGTCGCGACTGAGTCACGTCTAGGTCACTCACAGAAATCATGGATGAAAGCTTCTTTTAATCTTCCAATGTTTGGCCTTTCTGCTATCGCTGTAGACATTAGGTTGGTGATAGCTGCGTACTGTCAAGCGGGCCCCGTGACCACTTTCACTGATCCGACAACTCTGGCGTCACTCTCACCTGCAGATAAAAAGAGAGTCTTTTCGTACTTCCTGGCTGAACATAAGCAATCAACGGAAGTGTCAAACGACTATCGACTACTACCGCCAATACACGTCGACGCTTTACCACAGACCCATCATTAACCTCGCGTCCTCCATCACCGTACTTCCGCCTCTCATCATGGCCAACGCGACCCGCCCTTTTGCCCTATTGAAACTCCCCAATGAGATCCTCCTCCAGATCGCTCTCAACCTTTCCGGAAGCGTCAAGCAGCCCGACCCGCAGGCTGATCTGCTGAGCTTCGCCTTGACATGCAAGCAGTTGGCGCCGCTCGCTCGGGAGTCACTATGCCATGCGCCAATCCTACAGTCGCGCAAGATCCACATGCTACTGAAGAGTCTCTATACCTACCCGAACCTACGGACAAAGACAAGAAGCCTCACGATCGAAACGAGGGAGTCGCGAGGCCTGCAGGAGCTGCCAACACCTCTCCCTGGGCTTGAGCCGGGCCTGCTGTGGCAATCTATCTGCGAGATTCACACACTGTCCATCGATAAAGAGACGCAAGAGTGGTGGATAGCCGACCTCAAGGCGACTAGTTTCACGTTCCCCGGCCCTCTGCTCTGCCTCCTCATCGCCTTACTGCCTCATCTCAAAGAGCTATATCTCGGCGGATCCTCGCTGTGCAACTTCCCTCTCTTCCGCAACATGCTGCCAGCGCTCGACGACATCAACGGCCTCCAGATCCCCTTTCTCCTCACCCAGATATCAAACTGGGATCACCCGAACCTAAGCTGCGTGATGAACATGTTAAGCTCCCGACTCACGGTCCTCGAATTGCCAAACGACTTCCGCATCTCGACTAATGCGAATGCATGGCAGGTAGCAGAGGCACGCGGGATACCCACGTACTTCCCGGAGCTGCGCAGACTCATCCTGCCGTCGAACGCCGTCGTCAGCAAGCCCTGCCAGGAGATAATCCCTAGCAAGCTAGAAAGCCTAGTGCTCACGGACGCGAGGGTACCTGAGATAGACGCCTGGCTCACCAGCGTCGCACGCTCTAAGAAACAGCTCTTTCCTTGCCTGCGCAAGGTCGCTCTGTACTATCGATACAAGGCACCTCCCGCCCCTCAGCCTTTCCTCCAGTCCATAGCTGCTGCAGGGCTAGACTATTCCGAGTACCGACCCAGCTGCTGTCTTCGCATAGTCGACGCGTTCTGGCATCCGTGGATGTACACGGCTGATGAGATCGATGCGTCGGTGCAGACCATGCATGACGACTTCCAGAAGGATCTCGATCGGGAAAACGCCAAACATCAGCTGAAGGTGGAAAGGGAGAGGGCTCGTTTGCTGGACAAGTGCTTGCTTGCATTGCGGGACCTCTTTTCGGAGGATCCTATGTAGCGTTACTTTAGTTGGAAAAAAGGACTTGGCGCTTAGTGTGGAGTTTTGTACATCGCAAGGATCAGCGTAGTTGAACTGCTGCACAAACCTAGACACGTTCAAATAGAGTTGAGAAACCCACCCACCCGGGCGGTTTTCGCCTGATGGTGTTGGCTAGGATGCGCCTCGCTCGCGTGGGCGATCTACACTGCGGCGGTCCCCACTCGTGTCGATGAAGATCGTTGGTGGTGAGTGGATTTTAAACGAATTAGGGAAGTGGAGCGACGGAACTTTTAGGATAATAGCACCATAAGATAGGTATCAATCTTAGGCAAGGTGTGCAACGTGCAGATAAGGAACAAATCATTCTCCAATATGGTTTCTATTCTGCTACCAACTACAACAGTTGTATATAAACAAGACTAATTAAAGCGAACGCAATGCTGCTGCGCAATGTATGCCAAAATATCAGAACACCTCCCATTATTCTAAACGCCATGCTCTTGTGCATATAAACCCAGATACGCAAGGGTACTATCAAAAGACTATGGCCGCCCAGGTTTTGTCTAGTTGACGCCTTTTGTCCAGCGCCGTGGCGATGATGGTAACGATAAGGAATACGCGGATGAAGGAAACAAGATGGAAAGAGTTATATACATGTGGTCGAGTCGCAAGGCGGAGTCTACCAAGTTTCCTACGAACATGTTAGCGACGGTCCCTGATTTGTGAAAGGGGTAGACTTACGGCAATGTACTGCCCATCCTCCCGCTTCTTCGCCCAAAACTCCTCAGCCTGGGATCGGCTGATGTTCCCCTTTGCCATGGCGACTTCAATGAGGCTCTCCTCAACACCTTCGCCCATGCCCTTGCTAGAGCCACAGACGAAGATGCGTCCATCAAGAGCGTTGATGACGAACCAGACAATATCAGCCTGAACGCGCACTTCATCTTGGACGTATTTGACCTCGTTGGATTCACCCACTTTGACCTTGCGGCTTTGTACGACCTTCTTGATCTCGCGCTCGTGATCACCGAGCTCGCCAGAGTACAGCTCATCGAGCATGGAATCGCGGACACCCTGGATCAGCCAGATCTTGTTCGCGCAGTTGGCGTTCTTGAGCCTGTTCAGAATGAAGCCACGGAAGGGAGCCATACCAACACCAGCACCGATGAGTACCATTGGGCCCTCGCCACCGAATTGCTTCGAAAGTGGGTTGGACATGAGCCCTCGGAACAAGGGAATGCGAAGATCGAGGATGCTACGGGGATCGATGCCTTCGTTTTCAGCGGAAACAAAGGCAGAGGCCATGCGTTCCATGAAGCCACTCCCAACGCCTGTTCGCGTGGCGCCATTGGCGTGCCAGTCGGGTGTTTCGTGAATAGTCACAGCCATCTCGATGAGGCGGCGATTCCCAGGGAGGCCAGGGCGTGCCGACGAGATGTGGGGATCGTTCGAAAGCGAGTAGAAACGTGGCATGAGCTGGGTGAGGACAGAGAGGAGGGCAGGTAGTGGTGGCTTGGATGAGGGGAACGCACTCAACATTTGAGGAACAGTGATGTGAGCTGTTGTACGGAGGTCGCAAAAGGCCGCTTGTCCTTGGGCTGAGCAGAGGTATGTGAGGATCTTCTGCTCGTTGGGCGCATCAGAGTATTCGGCCATGACGCGGAGAAGATTCTTGGTGGGTGGGTGGGACTGGATGTCTGTACACCAGGTTAACAGTTCACGACGCGTTGTGACGAGCTCGCGTGCTTGATCCTCTCCCCAGATTGTAGGCCATCGTCCTGTTGTCGTCTTCAACGTGACGGGCTTATCACGAACGAACTTGGGAATGCAGAGGATGTCGAAGAGTTCGTCTACTATCGCCTGTGAGTTTGGCGGACAGACGCCGACGGCACCGCCAACCTTGAAATCGACACCTCCCTCATCAGGGTAGTCAGTGACGTCGACGTCGAAGTGGATCGTCCTCTTCTCGGCGCCGGGCTTGGTGAGCTCGCGTGCGTGGTAGAGCGGTGCGGAGTAGACGTCGTATGGCGGATGTGGCTGGACGTACTTGGGTGGCATCTTATGCACCTCGGAGACGTAGGAGTCATGCTTGGACGGAAGAGGCTCGAAGGACATGTTGACTGGCGGCAGTGGGGTTGTGTCCGTGAGTAGGCTGTCGAGGGAAAGAGGGCCCAGGCGCAGGTTGAGGCTTCTGAAGGCATCGTTATCGGGGATGACGACGGGCACGAAGTCGGATGCCGACGTGTCTGGCTGCAGTGTCTTTAGTAGGCAGCATCCACCGCCGCAGCATTGGCTGATGAGCTTTGTAGCCGTCTCTCCATCGCCCAGTATGCGTCTGATGTCGGTGGGGCTGTCTGAGATCAAGGTGGTAGAGGCGCGTCTCGGTCGCGTCTGGCCTGGAAAATTGACAGCAGCGGCTGGAAGGTCCTGCAGCTTGTCGACGACCTCGTCTACGGCGTGGTCGGGCTCGGTTACAGGCGTCATGGGTGCCTCAGAGTCGTCGCTGCTGTTGGTGCTCCATACTATGGAATCACCCGAGGATTTGGGCGACGTCTGCTCGGGGTGTGACTGTGACTGTGCTGGGCGCAGCGTGAGCTGGGGCAGCTCTCGTGGTTCGCAGGGAATTGGGTCGTTCGGGTGCGACGTCGACGTCGAGGGTATGGCGTTCGCCATTGTTGGCGAAGTGGCGGCCATGCGAAAAGGTGGGGATGAAAAGTGGTGGAGGAGCGGACGGCGTCTTGTAGAGGCAACGAAAGGGACTAATAGCGGGAGCCATGGTTAGCAAGCCCTTTGTAAAAATCCTGTCATGCGCAGCCGTTCAATGCAGCAGCCAGAAGACGATAGAGTTGATGCACCCTCGCGTCGTTTTGCTTTTGTAAGCCCTCTGATGGCTGCAGGCGGAGGTGGGCGTGGGCATGGGCATGGGCGTCCATCTGATAAAGAGGAAGTGGTTATCAGATGGGGGACGGCAGGGTTGGTCGCTCACCTCGAAATGACGGCACTGTCCGCGGCGGCAGACAAAATTGAAGGAGTGACAGGTGCCTGCTCACCGGGGATGCTGTAATTGGTGACACGGTGAATAAATGGACGAGAAAGAAAGAAGAATGTTGGGGGGGCAGGTTGGGTTGGGCGCCCGAGGAGAGAGCATCAGATATGAGGAAAGAAGATGATGGGGTGACGCTGCCCTTGTGCCTCGAGCTGTGTGGGCGGGCCACTGGACGCCGATCTTGGTAGAGAGGGCTGATGAGATGAGAGATCAATTGCCCACCCTGACCAACTAATCGCCTCTGCTACACCTAACTAATAAATGACTTGTCCGTGGCCGACACACGCTACCGATGGCGGAAGCCGGCCGCCTCTTTTAGTACTGTAAATGGCTCGCTGTCCTGCTTTACCCGGCAACGGTTGTTAGACGTACATGCTGCGCAAGCCCTACGTCCGAGTATACGTCTCTCCTGATATCAAAGCCTCCGCGTCGTCGCCTTCTCCCCGACAGGCTTCCCCTTGCAACCATTCACCTCACCGCCATGTACCCGAGCCGCTATTTTCAGGAGTGGGAGTGCACAACCTCTCACCACAACATGCAACCACGTCCCGTCGTTGAGTGCCGGGCCCTCGGGTGACAATGCGCCGCCGCATCTGATAAGCACTGGTTACGTTACTCTATCCTGGCGGTGAATTCGCAATACCCTGCAGTGATGAGCAGCACAGAAACCCACCAGACGGCCAAGTCCTGCCCCTTCACCGGAGCCAATCTCCCCTTGTAGAAGCCCTCTCCCGTGCTCCCCGCGCACGCACATCCTAGCCAGTGCAGCCCTATTACGTCGTCCATGTCCAATCTGGTACCAGTGCGATTCAAGACCCCCATCGAGATCCTCCATCATGGACACACTTTTTGGAAACCCCTAATCATGGCTACCATGTCTCTATATTTTGATAGCCTTATGCATGGTACCCTCGTCTACGAATGCCAACGCGTTTGCGTCGCTCTTCGACGCCACCGACCAACGTTGAAACGGTCAGTAGCGGCCCCACAACCACCCACAGCATTGCTCATGTGCTCTGATGTGCATCCTGTCCTGTCATAACCTGGGAATCGGCGACTTTCCCATTCGCCACAGGTAGCTACTCCAGCTCGTGAGATGCTTGTGGGGGGAGAGTGCACTTGGCCGACTTCTTCCTCGAACCATTCCCTCTACCATGTCAACTATGGCCCATGTGTACCAACTAGGCAGTTGAGGTTTCCATATCTGGCCAAGTGCCATGTTCAAGTAGGCTTGGCTTCGCTACGAAACCCTCTTCATCTGATATTGTTGGTAAATTAATGGTTTAAAACATCGAAGGCTCTAGATTCCAAGTTCCATGGCTGCTGCATGTAGAAATGCTTTTCGGGCATGATCTACGTTCCCTACTCCACCACATAGCCTTTATCGTTGCATACCAAACCCTACTTTAGAATATTAAAAAAAAATCCACCCTTGACAATGTCTCCCATGTCTAGTACAAGACATGATATACTAACAACGATTACATTACAAAGCCGCGAAGCCGTCGACGCCCAACAGTGGCCGCATTAGTTCCGTCTGCATACCCGCGCAATGACGCGACATTTAGATTGCCCCACAAGCCTCCGAAATCGCATCGCCTTCTTCCTCTGCGCACTACATGTACCCCATGACCCAGTTAAACATAAACGAGCGAGAATGTGATCGATTAGATAGTTTATGTATCTACCGTTATCTCAACATCAGATAACGGTACATCAGCAGATAAAAAACAGAAGCAACCCATTTTTGACACCACGATAAATAACTACACACGACATTTTATTCGTACAAATCTCTTAATTACAGTCTCCTATTTTTTATCTAGTATTTCCCACTCTCCTTGACCAACCCAGTCTTTTCATTTTCCGTCTTCGCCTTCAACGCCCACTCAGGCGCCTCATCAATCTCATCCTCCTCCGCCTTGTCACCCTCTTCCTTCGTCTTGTGCACGCTCGTCGGCAAGTGCTCAGCAGGGCTATACACAGTGATAAGTTCAAGCGGCTGGTCCCCCCGCGTCACAAACTGATGTTGCGTTCCAGCCGGAACAACCACAACGTCGCCAGCTTGAACTTCCTGGTCTTTTCCCGCTACAGTCGCGAGCCCTTTGCCTGACGTGAAGAGGAGAATTTGGTCAACTGTGTGGACCTTGTGGTGTCGTCAGCATACTACTTGTCTTCCAAGGCCCACCATGTATCGCCCCTCGGTTGTTTGCACGTGTAGTGTAACCGGATTAGACGGGGTTGTCAACATACCTCATCGCCTATGTCACCTCCAACAGGGACTTCCATGGCCACAATCTGGCTATACAACCCTGTATGCAGCACAGTCCTGAAATCTCCAAAAGACCGCTTCTCGCTCATCAAGCCCGGGAAATGTATCATTTCATGCTTGGGTGGAGCATCCTTCCTGTTTCCCGATTTCTTGTACGCCTCCATCTTGGGTTGAGATGCCGCAAGCCTTGAGCCGCTTGAACTGAACTGTCTTTGTGAGCTCGGGAGAGCAACTGTATGGCCCGAGTTGAATGATGAAGCTTTGTGTGGTGTGCTGGTTGAACGAATCAGTCGATAGGACGTGAATTGTGCGGTCTTGAGCATTGGAGAATGGTAACAGCAGCCTGAGGTCTCGTCTGGTTGTTGCCCAGCCGGTATATGTACGCTTGCGTGGTCATGCTCATAGTCATCACTGTGCATCGCGTCCTTATTACGCAGCGTGTGCCGTTCTGGACTTATTCGCTATGTATGACGTCAGGATCGAAATCAAATTCCAGCCTTAGCTGCAATTGACGAGCACACGGCTCGGTTCGTAGAACTAGCAATTTGTTCAGCATCTTGATTGGCAATGTCGTGTGCGTCAGGACAGGGGCGTGTGAGTGGTGTCGTACCTGATGATGTGATGATATGCGGGTACTGACTAAGCTTGTGGCGGCACCAGTTTCGATCTCGTTTTGTGCTGCGAAATGTGTAATGCCTGTAGAACCGCTGACAGATGCAGTTGCATCGAAGGGTAATTCGGCTGGGAGGATGGAAATGTGCTGTTCAACAGCGTCGAGTTACTGCCAAGGGAACGGTCAAGTGCAAACGAACCACACGAAGACATGATAAAGCTAGTAGATAGAAGACGACTACTGTTGAGAGGGGACTATTATACATTTCTTTGGGTAGGCCCTCTTACCTATGGGTACATGGGTACAAGATGATGCGATGCTATCGTGTACGCCTCTTGCATGGTATCCTGAACCGATCGCGTGACGGATTGCTAAAACTCACACCACGCCCGTGCGATGCCAACAATGCAGCCAACCGTTCAGCCTCTGCACACAGTCTCTGTTTCGACCATGACTCCTCGATGAAGTGACGTTCGGGCAAATTCGGAGCGGGTAACTCGAGGATGCCGAGTGTAGATTCTAGTGCCGGTCAACTACGCCTTCTGGTAGCCTATGTCAAGCACGGATGCCGGCGCCGACATGGTCAAAGGTAAGCGGAATTGACGCATGATCTTCGCGTCAATCTTTTCCCTCCTTCCGACATAACCGTATTGTTCACGTCTTTCATTTAGACGCTATTGCGACTCGCCTCTTCTCCAGTCTCCTCCTCTAGCTCCCGCTCAATCTCCTCCAACTCGGTCGGTCTCGGGCTACTTTTGGTGTCCGGCTCGCCTCCATTGAGTTGCCATTCCATGAGCTTGTTGAACGCACCATCGGGATTTGACGTAAGCTCCGCATAAGTGCCCTCTTCCGCCACATGTCCGTCTGCACTGATGCAAATAATCCGATCGGAACGCTTGATCGTCGAAAGCCGATGCGCAATGCTGATCGTCGTGTTGTTTTCCTGAAGAAGTTTGCTCAACGCTTGGTTGACCAGGGTTTCGGATTCGGCGTCTAGAGCACTTGTTGCTTCGTCAAGAATAAGAATGTCGGGCTGCTTGATGAGTGCTCGTGCGATGGCGATGCGTTGCTTCTGACCCCCAGAGAGTTGGGTACCTCTTGCACCAGCGTGGGTTTCAAGGCCGTCGGGCTTATTTTGATTAGCCAAGATCTTGCGTTACATGAGAGAAAACTTACGAAATCACTGATAAATTGGCAGTTGGCCTTTCGAGCAGCGGCCACAATCTCGGCGCGAGTGGCGTGAGGTACACCGTAAGCAATATTCTCTGCAATTGTTCCAGAGAAAAGCACGGGCTCCTGCCCAACGAATCCAATTTTCCTCCTCAACTGTTTCGCGTTGAGTGTGGTAATGTCGCGTCCGTCAATGGTGATAGTTCCAGAATTCGGCACGTAGAAGCGTAGAAGCAAGCTCGCAACCGTGGATTTGCCAGCTCCACTAGGCGCTACGATAGCTACATTCGTACCCTGCTCGACCTTGAAGTTCAAGTCCTTGAAGATCGACACGGCGGGCCTGGTGGGATAGCTGAATGAAACGTTCTTGAACTCGATGGGTCCACGCGCAGACTTAACAGCTGCGCCTTTCGTCGGCGATATGGTGGGGTTGCGGTCTTGAAGTTCGAATAGGCGACTGGCCGCTCCTACGCCCTTCATCATTTCGCCGTAGAAACCTGAAAGGCCCACCATACTTGACCCAGCATATACTGTGTACATCAAGAATGATGTCAGCTCGCCAATAGAGATGACACCGTTCTTAACCATGTTACCTCCGACGTAGAGGATAGCAATGATCGTGAGATTACCCATGAGCCCGGTGCTTCCGTAGAAGCTTGCAGCTACTATAGCTTCCCTTTTACCCAAGGCGAATATCCTCTTGATCTGGCGATTGTAGCGTGCAGCTTCCTGTACTTCTCCTGCGAATGCTTGACTTGTCCTAACGTTCCCCAATCGTTCCTCAGCAATCTTGGTCAGAGTACCTAGATTTTTCTGAATCTTGCGACTAAGGTTTCGTAGTGCGCGTCCGGAGAAGAAAGCCACAATCGCTACAGGCGGGGCAATCAAGGCGAGGATGCCGGTGAGCTTAATACTAACGAAGCCCATCATAGCGAAGCCGGCAGCACCGCTGACCAGCGCGCGAAGCCCGTCGGAGAGGTTCTGTGTAATGCTTTTTCCGACAATGATGGTGTCTGAGCCGAGTCGGGAGATGAGGTCTCCGACCCTGTTCGCGTCGAAGAACTCGGCGTTTTGAACAAAGGTCTTGCGGTAAAGTTGGGATCGTAAGCGAGCAACAATACGCTCTCCGACGATTCGTAGAATGATGATACGGCCAAAGCTAAGTGCAGCTCCACAAGTGAGCACTCCCGCCAGCGCAAAGTAGAAGGTTGTCATGTTCAGCCCGAAGAGCAGTCCATCGGTCTTATCGACATTGGTCGCAGCGTCTAGGATCCTTCCAATAGAGAAAGGAACAGATAGGGAGATGGCTGAACCTAGCAGCAAGAAGATGAATGCCACGGAAAGAGTGCCCATCTCAGGCTTCGCAATCTTGATCAGTCTCCATACCTCCTTTGTCCCACCTGGTGTACTTCCAGAGCCGGTTCCATCTTTGCTCAGCTTTGCGCTCAGGTTGACGTGCTTTGCTTGTGCTGCCTTCTCCGATTTCACAAAGCCGTGCTCAGCTGCTTCCCCTTCCCCATCGTGCTCCTCGACATCCACGAGACCCTTTTCTTTGATTTCATCTCGGTATGACTTGCGCTGCTTTGCTGGCGCCTTTGTCGTAGCTTCTGCTAATATCCTCGAGACATGGAACAGGCGAACAGGCCGTTCTAGTGCATTGCGACGCGTAGTGCCCGCGGTTGTGAATCGAGCGGTCGTTGAGGTGGGAATGAGGCAATTCGGCGTCTGTCTAGAAACAGCGAGTTGCGATGAGGACTTGGTAGCGAGGGATCGTGATATCCTTGGCGCGGTTGACTGTATGCGCTGTTGTATATGTGGAAGGAGAGCTCCAGTCCCCGGGCTTTGCCAGACCTTTGCGGAGAAAGCCAGCGTGCCGCGCATCGCTAAAGGCAGGGGCGTCGGGGCGTCTACCTAATTGTTGAAGTAGATTGGCGCTGTATTGAAGCATTCGACATGGCGATAGACGGTTTGGTAGAGTGAGGGCAGCTCCGAAAGTTGACGAGCGTCTGACAAAAGTTCTCGGCCTCGGTCGTCGATGACGATTCAAGTCCGCCTGCGCGATCGGGCGCGGAACACGTGCCGCCACCGCTCCGATGGATGGGTAATCTATAAGAAGAAAGAAAACGTTCACCACATTCATTTATTAGATCTCGCAATGGAGCTTTGCATGTGCGATGTACACAAATGCTTCGATATTCATCGTGCGAAGATACTGTTCAACATGCACGACGTCACCAATACCGGTACCAGCGCTATCTACCGGTATGGCTCATTGCGCTTCACGACACCCACCCTCACCACAGGACTCTACATACAACGATAAGCATTGTTGTTTCGCAAATCTTAGCTCAAACTATCTGAGACACGACCTCTTGCCAGGCTTATCACAAAGCGCAGGCATGTCTCGATACATGTTAGATTAGGCACATGTTTGAGCACAGCCACAGCTGTGACTGGGAGTGAACAGCGGGCCCGTTTTCGACTCATCATCAATCAAACATATAGCTTCTATATTTGCGCATAATACTTGTACCATTTCACTTCTTGCTGCATCCATTGTCGCCCTTGTTGTATATTGACATACGTACATTGATGAGGCTGAAGCCAGACCTGCCTTTCCTGTTGTACTGTCTTGGCAGAGTGTTATAAATCAGTAAGACATAGACCTTTGTACGTAGTGCTAGGAGTTCAATTTCTACTAGACTAAACGATCAACTGTTTAGTACAAAATCACTCAACCTAGCTGTCCACCGCCCAAGGGACACCATGGCACCGAAGTCTCCCGAAACACCACCTATACATCTCGAAGGTACAACCCTCGAAGGCGGCGGCCAACTCCTCCGTCTAGCCCTTGGTCTTGCTAGCCTCACCAAGAAACCCATCCACTTGACCAACATCCGTGGCAAGCGCTTCGGAGGTGGTGGGCTCAAATCCCAACACCTCACTTGCGTGCAATGGCTAGGCAACGCTTGTAATGCCCGAATCAGCGGCGTTGGACTCAAGAGTAAGGAGGTCACTTTTGTTCCTGGAGGGGAAGGGACAAGCATTACGAATCAGCTAGAAGTGGGAGATGTACGAATCAACCAGAATACGCCAGGGAGCATCAACTTGATATTACAAGCGATACTGCCGTATCTACTCTTCTCTGGGGCAAAAGAGAAGATTAGAGTGAGGATTACGGGAGGATCAAACGTCTCCAATTCTCCATCATACGAGTACATTGTTCAAGTTTTGATACCTATGCTGGAGCTCATTGGGATGCCGCCTATTGAAGCGCAGCTACACTCACGTGGCTGGTCTCAAGGCACCACAAGTCTCGGTGCGTAAATTGATAGTGCATGCGGTGGCATGTAGTGTTCTCTGTCATCGCCTATCATTTCCTCTCAAATTCCCTTCTTTTGCGTATTACAAACAGTACTCTACTAATTGCCGACTGCCCGCAGGTAGCATCACATACATCGTTACACCATTAACAACAAGACTCCCGGCCTTCCAGCTAGCAGAGCGAGGAAGTATTCGGCATGTCAAAGCGACTATACTAGCCCCCAAGGACACGGAGCAGCACTTCCGCGATGAGTTAGACGTCATGTTTGAGCGCCGGGAATCACGCATTTTCGGTGCTAGCATCAAAGATGCACAAATAGAGATCATATTCGAGGACTCACACCACGACAAGCGATACTATCTCCTCCTCGTAGCCACCACCACAACAGGCGTAAAGCTCGGCCGGGACTGGCTATACGATCAAGGCGTACGGCCCGGTAAGCTAGAGAAGATTATCCCCGCTATGGTCAAGAAAGTATCTGATGATCTCCTCGCTGAGATCGAACATGGTGGCTGCGTGGATGAGTATCTGAGGGATCAAATGGTCGTGTTCCAGGCACTATCTGCGGGCAAGAGCCAGGTTTATGGCGGGAAGAGGAACGATGTACTCCTTGAACAAAGCCTGCATGCTAAGACAGCGCAGTGGGTGGCACAGCGAATTGTTGGCGTGGACTTCGATGAGCAGGGGGGATGTGAAGGGATTGGATTCTATCCTGGCGGGGTTGAGGAGGAAGGGCAAAAAGATAAAGATCTGGCTAAGAGCATGGTGAAGCTTGAGCTTACTGAGTCGTGAAGAACTTTGCCTAGTATTAAGCGGCTCTACGCCCGCTTTGACTCATCTTAGCTTCTCACAACGCATATCTGAAGTGCTTAGCCTGTCCATCCGTCAAGTCACTAAAGCCATCCTGTACCGCCTGCTCGTCTTCACCTTGTCCGTACTTCCTATCTCTACGCTTGTTTTCCCATGACATGTACAGCATCAAAGCTAGTGCAACCACCACCATCCCACAATAACACACAATCAGTCCCGTCAGCGCAGAGAAGTATCTCGGAGCTTCCCTCGCAAAGAAGATGTTAGCTCCCGCAATATTACCCGCCGCATAGAACAAGAACCACAACCCATTAGCAGTGCTGCGTTTCGTATGGCCCGCGATGTTGGTCGTGAGCAGGTTCCAGGACAGGATAACCGGGGCGCCTACAATATATTGCAGCCAAGTGCATCCGACGAGAGTCCAGCGGTGGGATAAGGGAGTCAGGCGAATACCGAGAAGGCCGGCCAAAGGCGGTAAGCAGATGAAGGCCAGAATGAGACAGCGAGTGTTCTTGAAGTATCCGGCTGCGAGACCACATATGGGTACAACAAAGAATTCTATCGCGCCGGTAGGAAGTTGCAGCAGCGTAGTACTGATGCCAGAGAAACCGAAGCCTTTGATCAAAGCGGAGGCGAAATTCGATACTCCGCCGTTCACGACACCGCATCCCAAGCCTATGATGAAAAGACAATGTACTTTGAAATCGAGAAGTGCTTCGATAGCCTGCGACTTGTGGAATTGCTTCGTCTTGACGCCGATCATGTTACTCGCAATCCTATCAATTGCCACAATTCGCTGTTTGTGCGTTAAAAATTTAGCAGAAGAGGGAGAGTCTGGCATAACCCATAGGAAAATCCATCCCCAGACGAAGTTCAAAAGCCCGATGACGAGAAAAATAAGCTGCCATGTCTTGATGTGGGGGCTGTGTGCGTGACCCAGTCCGTAGCCGAGTAGTGCGCCGACCATGGTCGCCATGCCGTTAAAGGCAAGAAAAACGCACATGCGAAGCGGTTGCTCGGATCGCGTGTAGAACATGGATACAATATTCATGATAGCTGGCGAAATTGAGGCTTCGAACATGCCCAACAAGAAGCGTAGAGCCAAAATACCTGCGTAATTTTTCGCAGCGACATGACAACCCAAGAGAATCGACCAGAGCAGAATCATCGAGCCTGTGTACTTTGAGACCGGTAGACGTTGGATAAGATAGTTGGCCGGAAGTGCCCAGAAGAGGTACCCAAAATTAAAAATCGCGGCTACCCATCCGTACCGCGCCCCTTGAAGACCGAGATCGGGGGTGAGGGTGTAGGCGTTGGCGTAATTGAGGGAGAGCTTATCGAGAAACTGGATAGTGTATGTTATGCATATCTAGGTAGTGCTGGTCAATACCGTCCTTAGATGCTTGGTGTACCGTCGTCAGATACTGGCTAAAGAGAAATTTACTAACCATAGGCATTATGACCCAGTCAATTTTGCGGAGAACGACCTTCCGCTCAGCATCCAGCTCTTCTCTTGAGTATTGCCTCACTTCATGATACAAGTCTGCGCCGATATCGCGCATCTCCTTCTCGGCGGCTAGTTGCCCTTCATCGATGCTGGGCTCACGGAGCGATGAGATGTCTTTTTGTTTTTCTGCCATCTTGAAGTCTAAAGATAAGATTCGGTGCTGGTGAGCTTCGGGGTTAGAGGTGAAGCACGCTGAGGGGTAGGTAGTCGGAGCGTGGAAGTTGTCGACGTCCCAACCTGAACACCAATGGCGGGGCATGCGTTGACTTTATGTATACTTCCTTACGAACGACTCCCACTCTTGGCATGTACTTCAACAGCGGCAGAACTCCGTATCATCGTATAGTCTGGGGATGTCCTTATCGTAGGAACGAGGATGCATATCACTTCCCGATTTCGTCGTAGTGACATATGAATCTCTGCGTAGTTGATGTTGATCCTTCGGGAGGACGAATCGGGCAATCCTCGGGTGTGCATACCGCGGCGGGGATAGCTGACTGCTGCCGCAGGCTCGGGTCGAGGTGAACTAGGGACTGGCAAAGTTAGTGTGATGGTGAATAAAAATGCAATGATCAGCTCGGCAGGCTTAAGTACAGTTATTGTGCTAAGTAGAATGTAAGTTCTTCTACAGGGGAGTGAGGTAGAGTCTGGGTATCATTGAAGTAATTCGCTGATATGATATGCCGAAGCAACATGCCTAAGCCAAATGCCCGCGGATGCTAGGCGTAATACACCTTATCATTTGGTTCACCGGTGCCACTAAAGCAGTTCTATTTCCACAATCCGTATGGCCCTGTTGTAAACTTCCAGAGCTTGACCGTTCCGTCTTCACTGCCAGTCGCATATAGTTTTCCATCGGGAGAAAAACTTGCTGACCAGATGGGGCCGTGATGTCCCTTATTTGTCTCCAGCTCTTTCTCCTCATCAAAGTCCCATACCCTGACCCAGGTGTCGTTCTGGGAGCTACCACCAGTAACGAATCGCCGCTGCCCGCTATGTAGCGCTACACTAGCGATCTCGTACGGCGTTTTGATGCTCTTGATGAGCGAGCCAGGCGAAAGGCTATCAAAGAAGTAGACGCTGTTCCCAGCGGCCACACTCAGCGCGCCGTCCGAGGAAGTGTTATCCAACTCGCACGTGCCTACTACGCCTTCAACTGCGTGTTCGCCAATTGTGGCCTCTTGCCGGAGGTCCCACCACCGCACCTTCTTATCCTCTGCGGCTGTAATTACGACGTTCGGGTCCGATGTCCACACAATTGACTTGATGGTTCCGCCATGAACACCAGCGCCAATCTCAAAGCTCGTTGCTGAATCGCTCCGAGAGAGGTCGTATATGCGCAGTTTCTTCTCCATGCCACCTGTCGCTAGGATCTGAGGGTGGGGTTGATTGGGGAATGCGACCGCACGGACAATATGGTTGTGGGAAAGTGTATGCAGGGCTTCGCCAGTATGGGTATCCCATACTTTCCTACACACTGTTAGCTATGCTCCGTTTTTTAATCAGGGTGACCATACGCAGAGAAATCCGCCGACGCTGTTGCTGCTAGAGAAGCATCCGAAGAGAGCCTCGCTTGCCAGACAGCGCCCTTGTGACCCAAGAAAGTACCAATCCAGTCGCCCGTGATGCCGTCGCGAAGCATAGGGTTGCCATCCTTGCACGCTGATATAATATAATACTGGTCTTCGTCTACAATAGATGAGAGGTGGATATGTGGGACAGGTCGCGAGTGCCCATGGCAGGTAAGCGGCACCACTTTAGTCGTTTCGGGCATTGTGGTGTAGTGTAGAATACGAGGCTATTTGGGTTTCGTAGAATAAAATAGGCGGGATAATCGGTCGCGAGGGCTACACAAGCCCTGCAGTCAGGAATTCGAGAGCGATGAGGCTCAAATATATGAGGGCGTGTGATCTAGTCTCGAGTATCGCTGTATGAAGCAGGCCAGGCACAGGTGTGACTGACTCGGTGCCTGGTCTGGCAAGTAGGAAGAACACAAAAGAGAGCGGACAATGCAGTAAGGTCGTCAATGGGTCGTAACGTCGTGAAAGTTGTTTGATGGGAAGATCGCAAGTTCATGTTCGCCCCGCGAGGGGAAAGTTGAAACGACCGTTACTCAGGGTTAGCGGCGGCAAATTCCGAGAATTCCACCACAGCCCAGTCACCATCAACCAACGCAACCAACTGAAACTACGATGCAAGAATATATAAAATCATTCGGTTTGAATTTCAAAAAGTAGTAAACCTCGCCGAGTTACTTAAATTCTCCAATCGCCTTAGAGTCGTTTACAGCAGTTTTCGAGCGTTGCGTAGATTTGAGGCTACCATTGTGTAGTACGCGCCTTTGGTACACTACAATATTGACCAATAAGTATATGTCCATTATATTTTATCACATACAAGTAGTTTTTATGTCTCTTACTTCCTCTAGGTTGCTCTTTCGTGATTACTCACTCGTGTCCCTAAGAATTTGCTAGCATTGACAGGCGCGCGTTACTCCACGACAAAGATGGACATGTGACGCAGCCACAGATATAGGATACGTAGCATCAAGAGAAGGTCTTCGTTAGCATGTGGTCAAGGATCACTATATCGAAAGGCGAGAGCTGAATCATTGAGGGATGTCATTATTTGACTATAGTCATTCATTGACATACTAAGCAAGATGCTTCAGACCTTACGGAGACCGCTCTCTTTTTGCAGGTCGTAGCATAAGCTGCGATTATATTAGTACTTCTTGCAAGATGAACTTCTATTTCGAAGGTAGACTTACGACGAATGACATATTCTCCTTTCCTCCCCATTTCGTCAGTTCCAACTCTACTTCCTTCACAGGCTCGAATCCATGTTTTCCATACATTGGCGCTCCCATCAGACTGGCTTCAAGGTACGCCTCCACTCCAGCTTCGTCTGCTCTGTCGCATCCCCATCGCACCAGCATGCTTCCAGCCCCTCGTCTCTCATGTTGCGGCAATGTGACTAAAGTGTCGAGAACATAGTATGGCCTCGTACCAAGGATCTCGCGTTTATTTGAGTTGAAGAGGTCGTATAGGCCGTTTAGCATCTCTGGGTGAGTCTCATCGTACGGTTCTGGGGACGCAAACTCGGCGTCCACCTCGGCCCATGTTCTTTCCGTCGCACCTTTTGCTTTTGGCCTAATGTGCCGCCAACGAGCTCCAGCGATCATTTCGCCAGTTGATATGTCCACGCACTTGAGGTAGAGAATGCCTTTGTTGACGACTCCATCGCGTATCTCTTCGGTCACTCTGTCAAGTGTCTTCTGTGAAGGCTCACCGCGAGAATAGAGGATGTTATTGACTGTAGACCGGAAGACCTCGTGTCGGATGCGCATGTATTGTTCCGCTTCGTCAGGCTTGAGGAAGGACACTTGAAGGTTTGGGTTCGGCATTTTGGAAGGCGATGTGGGTTGAGTGAGGCGGAGTTTGTTGCAGTAGAAATAAATGGTAGAATGGCAGAGTGCTAAGTCGACGATAGAAAAAGGACAGCGCAGGAGACGGCCAGCTCAACGTCAAACGCAGGGCTTCTTGAGTGTTTGTGTAGTAGTGGTCTTCGTTGGCCTTTGTTGATGTCTATGGTTCGTTCTTCCCAAGGAGAGCTTGGAGAAGGGACACTGACCTTTGCTGTGTGTGAACTGCTTTATGTATGAATCACTCGGAATGCGTATCGGAATCGGAATACTAGCCAGTTGTAATCCGACGAAGACAACCCAGAAGAATCCCAAGACGCGATGACTACTCTTTTAAAGGAGTACGAGTCATGGCAAGGGCAGGATGACAGTGTGGAGAAAGATGGACTGGCCTCGTGAGCCTGGGGAATGCCAGAGGCGCGGCTTGCTGCGGTTGAAGGCTGTCACACCCGCGGGTTGGGGTCGGGACAGATACCAAGGGTTTCCGTCAGATATCACATGTAACGCGAAGTCCACACAAATCTAGGTCATCTTGCTCAGGATTTTAGCCTTGTCCCCACCCATAGTGTGGTCGTGGCAGAGAAAGGGTCCCTCAAGATGTTGAGTCACATTGAGTTTCCTATCGTGGTAGGTCGTGAAAAGCGTTGATTGCGGACTATCGCTTGCCCTTGCCCTGCCGTGGGTGGAAAGCTTAGCTCTAATCCCTGCAACAATTTTCGCCGAAGACCTCATTTTTTGCGACTGCACCGCCCAAGCTCCCACACCCACGTTTTTCTACAATGGCACCCGTAGCGACACTTCCACACAAGTCGGGTGGTCACAAGCGGTACCTATCCGCCAAAAAGAGCGACCCTGCGAGGTTTCAGTCCGAATTAGAGTCTGAAGGAAGTGATGCGGACGCAGGCGCACTGCAGCTGGCGAAGGGACCACAAGAGCCAGCCTGGGAGGGCTTCGATGATCAGGATGAAGGCAAGGCGAGCGAGAAGGGGGTTGGATCAAGTGACTCGGAGAGCATAGATGTTGAGCTGGAATCGACGAAGAAAGAAAAGCCTATCCTACCCAAAGATGCCGAGGAAGAAGAGCTTGAGCGCATAATATTCGGCGACTCAGTCGGCTTCAAGCAGGGCCTAGAGGACTTTTCTCTCGACCGCACGGTTGGCGCATACGGTGATATCACGGACGAGTCAGAAGCAGAAGAGGCAGACCTCGACAATGTCGCAGATCAGGACCTGTTCTTTTTCGATGCAGGCCCTGTGCCTGCACCAGCGGGCTCGATGGCTGTCGCGAAAACGGCCGAGTCAGACGACGAGGATGATAAACCGGCATGGGAAGACAGCGACGACGAGCGGCTGGTGGTGAGTCTGGCGTCGGTGCCACAGCTGAGAAAACTTCGAGAAACAGCGGAAGATGACATGGTCAACGGCAATGAGTACGCACGCAGACTCAGGAAACAGTACGAGAGGTTATATCCTCCACCCGAATGGGCGGTACATGCCACCGGCAGGATGCACAAGAAACGGCGACGAACGATGAACGACGATGAAAGTGGCGACGAGTCCGCGAGCGACATGGACTTGGATGAGGAGGACCTGTCTACGCAACCTCTGGCAAAACTACTAATGGACGCTGATATACTTTCGCGGACCACGAGAAGCTCAGTGAAGAGGCGCAAGTTGCAGGCAGGCACAGTGGACATTCAGCGATTGAAGGACGTTTCGAAAGCAGGACCAGTAAGCTTCCCTTGATTGAACCCAGATCGTTTGCTAATACGTACGACAGTCTGCAATAACTTCATTGTCCTTCCATCCGACCTACCCACTCCTTCTATCCTCTGGACCCAGTTCGACACTATACCTCCACCATGTCAACCCCAACCCGCCAAATCCGAACCCTCTTCTCACATCTCTACACATCAAGCGCACGCCTCTCACCACAACCGCCTTTCACCCATCGGCATCAGATGCACGCATCTTCCTCAGCGCACGTCGCCGCTACTTTCACGTCTGGAACATCGCTACGGGCAAGGTGGAGAAGGTGTCGCGTATTTACGGTCATCAGCATGAACAGCGGACTATGGAGTTCTTTTCGCTATCGCCAGACGGCAAGTACATGGCATTGCGGGGCTCGTCAAGGAAAGGAGGCGGTGTGATCAACATACTGGATGCGCGAACGCTTCAATGGGCAACACAGGTGCGCGTGGAGTCAAGAGGTGGTGTCGCTGACTTTGCATGGTGGGGTGATGGAAGTGGCCTCAGCATCGCTGGCAAAAATGGCGAAGTAACAGAGTGGAGTTTCGAAGATGGCGTTGTGGGACGATGGACGGATGAAGGCGCTGTAGGCACCACAGTGATCGCTCTCGGCGGTAGTAGTGGAAGAGATGGGTGGTTAGGCGGTGACCGGTGGATAGCCATTGGAAGTTCAAGCGGCGTAGTCAATATCTACGACCGAAGAGCATGGAGCCAAAACAATGCCTCCGTCGCTGGTGCACAAACTAATCCGGATAACGGCATCCCCAAGGCACCAAAACCAGTGCGCGCTCTGCAGAACCTCACAACACCGATATCACATCTGCACTTCTCAACAGATGGACAAATTCTAGCGATGGCGAGCCGCTGGAAGAACAACGCAATGAGATTGGTTCACCTACCCTCTGCTACGGTGTTCAAGAACTGGCCTACTGAAAAGACGCCGCTCGGGAGAATCACCGCAGTTGCGTGGGGAAGGCCAAGCGAAGAGGAGGAGCGAGAAGGCAGCCTGGCGCAGTTGGCCGTTGCTAATGAGGCTGGACATGTAAGAATGTGGGAAGTGAAAGCCTGATTAGAGCTATCGACCACCAAAAACAAGTAACTTCATGGAGAGGAGGCTTTAAAGGGGCTTGTGTCCTGTGTCAGTACCTCCTTCAATACCATTACGGCTGCTATGCACACCACATAAGCGTGTGCCTCAACGTTTCCTGATATCCACGCTGCTTCGCTCCTCGGCGTTGCCTCATGGCTTCCTCAATTTCAACAGTTGTTTGCTTTCATCTATCAATTGCAGTTTTAGCAAGCGCTAGGTTTGAGCTTTCCACAGTATGGACCGCTGCAGCATCCCGAAGCAGGGGCTGTCAACAGCCACACGCACCTCACTTCCTACAAACATTTCATTTTTGCGAAAGTACCGTGTCACACCTTCTCTTCATGTTTGTAAATTTCGAATGTAGCGATGGAAGGCCCATTCTTGCCGCCTAACGGGGTACTAAATCTTTCTCACGCATCACTCTGATTCTGTTTTTACCACTACAGCACTCTTGGACAACAAACACAGTCTCTGCGTAACAGAATACCGCGAACATCTTCGACGCTGTATCATAACGTTCACATCTTCTCTTTTTCCAACATGGCCAAGAACAAGAACAGAAATAGGAACAAAAAGCGGAGCGACAAGAAAACCGCAAGCAATGAGACAGCTAATGACAAACAACCGGCTTCTCAGGCAACTATAGCCCTCGGTGTGTCATCCAACTCTGCTACTGGCACGGCTACTCCAACCATTCAATCCTACGGTGGAAGCTCGAGACTCCGGACACTATTTACCTCTATACTACCTAAAGCAGCAAGTCCATCCAGTCCGACGAGTAGACGAGATTCCGTCATCTCTAGCACTTGGGGAGGCTCCAAGCGCGATCCTAAATCGAAACCGAGCCCGGAAAAGGTTCGTTGGCAGCAGTGGAGAATAAGATCTCGTAGTTGGTTACCGTGTCGTGCCTTTCGATGGGCCTACGACTTTGTCACCGGGTTCGCTCGAGCTTACTGGGGTCCTCACCAGGCTGATCTGTTTTTAACCTTTTGCCTAGCCACAGGATGTGTGTTCGCCGGCTACATTGCTTTGGAGATGTTGCTCGAAATATTCAAGTTCGTTGCTGCTCAAGGTACAGACGCCAACTGCAGCATTGTCTACGTTACCGTACCCGGACCCATCATCACAGTCTCGCTCATCGGCGCCACACCCTCGAATCCGGCACGAGGCACATACTACTTCTCTATCGTCAATGGGACGACGGAATGGCTGAACAGCATTGTTCCGCCCAGCCGTTTCAGCACATTGATCACCAAAACATCAGTGGTTACGCCAATCATTTCATCCTTGCCGACATCAGACCTGCTACCATCTCCTCCGCCATATGTAGTCCTACCGCCATATAGACTACCAGCACCTCCGTCCTCGAGCTCGCCCCTTCTAGCCAATCAGCCGCAGAGCACCTTGCCGTCTCCCGTCATATCGATCAACACGGCCACGATCAGTACCGGTCTTTCGACGGCGGTCATGAACCCACCGCACGCACCTCCGACGATATTGTCGAATCCTGCTATGCCGGTGACGCCGAGCGTCCTCACAACGATCACAACAAGCAGAGCACCTAGCGGACTTCCTCTGACAACGACCTCAGGAGCCACAGCAATATCGACTATGGTGTCCTCATTGTCAACTCCTAGTGCTGGTCCATCTCCTATCCCGATGTCAACATCTGTTACGGATCCGGTCTTATCCATAACATTGGGTACGGTGCTCTTGCCGACTTCTACCTTGCTTGTGGGCTCACCACTTGTGGCGTCTTCTCTCATATCGCCCTCTACAAGGCTTACTGGCTCGCTGGCGACCCCCAAAACGTCTTTCGGTCTATCCACTCTTCCATCTCGAAGTTTGACTGCGACGCTTGTTGGGCCTTTCATTCCTATGCCTTCGAACCCACTGCTCTCCATCTCGTCTACGTCGTTCCTACCTATCTCGCAGCCTTCTTCAGCTTCGAGTATCGTAAGCTCGATGTCTGGGTTCATGAGTATTCAGACAGAAACGACTGCATTTAGACGGAGCTCCTCGTCCATGTTGGTCCAAGACCCAGGCTTCACTACAAGAGTCATAGCATATGGGGAGACTGCAGTCAGCTTCATCTTTCCATCACCGGATATCACAACAACGGTGTCATACTGGACCGGAGTGTATCCCACTGTAACAGGGCCTTTGCCATTGGATCTTCAGACTATACCTCTGACTACAAGGACGATCCGACAGACACCGCTTTCAGCACTGCCTTCGTTCGAAGTTTTCTCATCGCGACCGAGCCAGTTCAAGACGGCGGGGACGGTAAGCCCACTGGCGAAGCGGACTGAGGTCGCAGTTAGCGCGACAGTGCAAGCAGCCGTGTCAGAGCCTACGCTGTGCGGGGAGTATGGCAACTTCACGCTCACATTCGATGACACGGTAGTTGGCAACAACGACAATCCTCTATTAGTCGCGAATGGCATGAACAACCCGTATCACCATCTTTTCTACGCAAATGGCTTCACGTACGTACCCGACAAGTGGGAGCCATACCCTGCGCTATCTCAACCGAATGTGGCTATATTTTTGCCACTGGCAGGGCGCCTCCTACCCAACTCGCCATTTGCGGGGACTCTGCTCCCAGGTGAGCTTGGGGCTGGCCCACGCGCGTCAGTCAATGCATACTGGTTCAACGCGTACTCGGCCTACTTTGGCTGCGCGCTAAGTGGGATCACGCCCTGCACCCTTCGCATCTCAGGCTATCGCTACGACGCGGTGCTCAAAGCAGAAGTAGTGGTGGTGGAGCAGAACGTGACAATAGCGGCATGCTGGGGCTACATCAAGTGCCGTCTAACGCAGGTCTTCTTCAACGACCAATTCAGAGCGCTCTCTGGGATACAGTTCAACGCCTACACGTCCGGCCTGGGAATACCGCAGGTGTATATGATGGACGACTTGCAGATGGAGTGGTATAACAACACTTGCTCAGCGGGCATTCTGAGGATTGGCCATCGCTAGTCGATGGATCAAGCTGGAGGAGACGGTTGATGTCGGTTGATGTCAGAGCATGTCGGAGGATATGGAGAAGTGTTGAAGAATATTGAATTAGCATAGCATCTCTTGGTACATGGCATGTTTAGACAGAATGGGAACGACTACTGCTCAAAGTAGTTGTCAGCATCCCTGCAGATGACCTTTCGGTTCGACTCAGATGACTTTGTGATGGCTGTCTCGGAAGCGTGGAATAAAGTGCAGTGGGGTCGATTGGCTGAGGCTCCATGTCCATGACACGCAGTACTTGAATATATGTTTCAGGTGGACGGACCATGTGGCTAGCTATGGGAGTCGAGACTACGCGTCGGTGAAGGAGCCCGAAGAGGGCGGGTATGGGACGGACGACGCGTTACCGCGGCCTCCAAGTCCAGGTCCATCATCGTTTCTGCTCCCCAAGGGTCCTGGGGTAATGGCGTCACGCGGGCCAAGGCGATTGATTCCTTCATCACGCGGGAGCCGCTGAGGCCGGGGTTCGCGAAAGGTGGCTGCAGCAGGAGAGGCGGCGTATCAATCAAGCTTTACTTACTTCACTATCTCCTCCCAGCCCTCTGTGCTTGCATTCTCCAATTCCTTCTCGTGCACCTCCTACTCGCTCGTCTCTGGACTGTTGTGCTAGAAACACTCGTTCGCAGTCATCCTCGAGTCGCCCGCTGTAAGCGACCTGTCGCATTTCGCCCTTTACCGAGTCCAGTCTAGCAAGTTTGCTACTCTTGCTATAGGCGGCGGGTGATATCAGTCTCTTTCTCGATATATCTCGCTGTCGAGCTTTCCCTCGCATACTTTTTCTCACTCTCGCCCTGTGAAGACAGGCAGCGGTCCCTAGTTGAGCCTCGCCTTCGCGCCTATGAGCTATGACTACGTTCGCGCCCTCGAGTTTCCCAGCAGACGTCGCCGAAGCCCCCCACCAAGACTTTCCCCCACCACAGCATCTCCAACACGGACCCTTCTCTCACCAGCTGAGCCCGCCCAAATCAACCTACACGTCGAGTAACCCCCAAATATCACGAAGAGGCTCGCGCGACCTCCGACACCAAGGCTCCAACGGCGCAATGGCGGGTGCGAACGGTAACGGGCCCATGGCAGTGCCAGGCGGCCGTATCAATGGACAACAAGGCAATGGAGCCAACCTGCGCGAGATGGGCTTTGGCGGCCCCCGCAGCCCGCCAAACAACAAGAGTAGGCTGAGACCAAGGTTCTCCTAGCATGCACAGCTACTAATGTTGGCAGACACTTCGCATGTTCCCTGCAAATTCTACCGACAAGGCGCGTGCCAGGCTGGAAAAGCGTGTCCGTTCCTGCACTCCGACGAGCCGCTGACGGAACGCGCACCCTGCAAATACTTCACAAAGGCGAGACATTTTGCTGGCACGTGAAATCTTCCGCTAATCTTGTACAAGGGAAATTGCAAGTTCGGCCAGAAATGCGCCCTCGCCCATATCCTTCCCAATGGCCATGTCGTGAACCGCGGAAACGCCGGTGGTCACTTTGGGCGCATGAACATACCACACCACCAAGAACCTCCTATGACTAGCTCTCTGCTCACCATGCAGGCACATTTAGGTGGGATGCAGCCAACATACCCATATGGTATGCAAGACGAGTACGCCAACCAGAAGAACCAGTACGACATGATCCCGACTATCGACACTACCTTCTCGTCCCATGCGGGATCCAACTTCGGCTCGCCACCAAACGAGAACGGTCGGCTACCCTTGTCGCCAGCACAAAAGGGTCTCAGTGTTATGGATGTTCCACTTCCAGCATCCTTCGACAGTCAAGGCATTTCCCACATGGCGCGATATGGCCCCATTGCTTCCTCTGTACCAGCAACCTTCCTTGCCAACTCTCCACCTTCTTCGTACCAAGCCGACTCGTCTGCGCTCCGAAACCTACACGACTCGGCATTTGGGGATGGGATGCGGAATAGGGCCGCAGCACTAGGCTCGTCTCCACCAGAGTCTATTGAGCAGCCAGTCGGACGGAGAATGTTGCATTCAGAGCTAGCTGCAAACCGGTCCAGAGGGGGCATGCTGTCTTCAAGTGTCGGTGCGCGACCAACCTACAAGGACGAAGAGTGGGACGATACGGACATGATTGGCAAGTTCGAGGAGGATCTGCTCCCCAACTCGCTCAGTGACCTTTTGACTCCCCAGGAGAAGATGCGTCGCTTCTCACGCGACCAAGGCGATGCCGGGACCCCTCTTTCTCGGCTAGGGGCTTCACCACCAGCCTCAGATGTCAAGGTTGGATCCCCCTCGGGGGCCACCTCATCACCTTCGCGCTTTCAGTCTCTGTGGGGCAAGTCGCGGGGTCCTACGTATGATTCAGGATTCGAGTCTGGCTCACTCCCTGGAGCATCGGCTTTCGGTCATGTTGGCTCTCCGCTCCGCAACTCGACTCTGCATCCTGGCGCCAGTCCCTCCTTGCGCGCCATAAATCGGCCAATCTCAGGCGACACAAGCCCCTTCGTTTCCTCACCTCCACGACAGGCCTCTATGGGTATGCTTAGTCATCAGTTGCAGCGAACTCGTCTCTCGTCTCGTGAAGAAGGCGGCATGACTAGCAATCCGATGCACCCCGGAATCAACCGCGTAACCTCAGGATCCAGCATTGGAAGCTCCAACGGACGTCTTGGTCTAGATCGAGCTGTTAGCAGCAGCAGCATCAGCCGAGAGAGGATTGAGGAAGAGCAAGGCTTGTTCAGTATGGAGGAAGAGGAGGACCTTAACAAGAGCAAGGATGGCGCTTCTACGACCTCGAGCACCAGCAATAAGCGCCTCAGTGGTCTATCTTGGGGTAGTGGAGGTGGCAAGGGAAGCCCGAACCTGGCGCCTGTTGGTGGTCACCGGGCCACTACAATTTCCGGGCTCGGGAGGGAGACTGGGCCGTGGAGTAGTAACGCTTAAAGCGGCTCAACATGACCCAGCATCGACTTCCTGAGGTCCACCGCTACCCCGAGGATGAAAATTCCATGCGGTCTAACCTTGTTACGATACCATATTTTGGCACCATTTCCCTCATTTCGACGACACGACGGTTTGGAAAAGTTGAGCGACATTGGCGCTTTGCATATTGGGAGTCTCGTTCATTTGATCGGACCCCTTTTCCCATCTCTACGACACATAATACACGGATACAAAAAGTTGGGCTTCGGCTTCATCATATTCGAGCGGGCATTACCTGGCGCTTCCCCATTCGCTGCCCTTTGTTTTCTTCATCACAGCGGAAGCTGTGCTTCTTTAACTTTTTTTCATATATCCCCCTCCAACCGAGCGAGGTCTTACACATTTAGTCTGCCCAATGCGTGTGTTTTTCGGTTCGAGTTCCACATTAGATGAACGGAGTTTACTGGGGTGGATTGAAATGGAGACTTTACGACGGAAATGAACGACAATGGGTACCCTAGCTTTAGCCTTTAAGTGTGTATGTATATTTGGTATCTACAGAGGAAATATAAGCAACTAGATGAGTTTGATAGTGGACCTTGTACGTCGGCCATACCTCGTTCTTTTTGCTCACACAGTTTGGGAAGGCCAGTGTGGGAAACTCAAAACGGCTTCCGTGTGACTTATCACACAGCTACACTTGCCGACTTAAGGCACTCCGCTAAACTAGGGCCTAATTTCCTAGAGTCGATTGGTACACGGGATGTATTGTTTTTTCAGCTGCCAAGGATGGTAGCCTCGGGGCTAAATTGCTGTGAGGCTGAACACGACATCGACGCATATAAACGAGCGAAAGGCTGTACACCCCGCCCCGGTGGAAAGAACCTTGCTGTCTCTCTACAACGTCAAGCATCACACTTTGCAACGTTAGTTACTGAAAACACAGGGAAATATTTTGACGATGCTACGTAATATCTTTCGATCCAAAGACCTCGGCGATCGCCAGCATCTACTTACATCTTCCCCACAATTTTTCACTGCCCGCAACTCTACTGCTTCAGAAACCGTCGTTCCCACTGCAAGTAACTTAGAGACGCTAAGCCGCGAGCCTAATGTCAGCGTGCAGCTGCGCGCCAACCCTGCAGCAATGCTCGCGATTGAACATCAGTGGAATTATGCCCATGCAGAGGACCCTTGGAATCCGGAGACTGACACAAGTGTTTCATCTAGAGCACTCGCATACAGCCCTCTTAGCAACGCCGATGCCCAGATCCGCCTATTGACGCTGCTACCAAATGAATCGCCGAACGGAAACGGTGGACCGATCCGCTGTAAACTGGAACCCGTGAGCTTATTCGACGCGAACGATTATACCGCTTTATCTTACATGTGGGGCAATGACGGGAAGACACGGGTAATAGTGGTCGATGGACACAAGTTCAATGCAACAACGAATTTGTATTACGCCTTGAGAATGCTCAGAGCGAAGGGGATCACAAAGATCTGGATCGATGCCATTTGTATTAATCAACAGGATAATGAGGAGAAAACGCACCAGCTACAGCGGATGAGATCTATCTACGCTCGAGCAAAGCAAGTTGTGGTGTGGTTAGGACCGGAATCACCGAATAGTAACTTGGCGATGTATCTGTTGGACAAACTGTCAAAACCACCGGGCCCAGCGAGTTCAGACATGTCATACCATGAGGCACTCAAGGAGCGATCAATATCAGCTCCATCAGGGCCATTTGCGGAAGCCTGGAAAGCGTTTGACGATCTCTTTGAGCGCGAATACTGGCAACGCGTGTGGGTCATACAAGAGATTGCCGCAAGCAGTCAAGTTTTAGTCTGTTGCGGTCAAGAGTCGATTAGCTGGTCAGACTTGGAGACTGCCTTCTGGGGAAAGAAACAACTACAAGATGTGTTCTTCAAACGCATTGATGCGGATTTCTCTAAGCACCCGCGGAATACACAACAAGTCTTCGACTTTTGGGCTTGGAAAAAGGCGATGGCTAGCGCTCAGCCTCAACCACTACTGAAAGCCCTCATTGACAGCAGGAGATCCAAAGCAACTAATCCGAGGGACCATATCTATGCGCTACTGGGTATCTCAGGTGACTCGTCGAGTCTCGTCCCGCTCCCGAACTATACGCACTCTGTTGAGAAGATATATACAGACCTCGCTACGACTATGATACGCGCGAACGGAAATCTCGACATCATTTGCTTACATGGAAGAACGGAAGCAAGGGAATACAAGATACCTTCCTGGGTGCCCAACTGGTCAGGTCTAGCCGACATAGACAGACCCTGGCTGTTCAAATCCGTCCTCAACAACAGTGGGAAAGCCGAAGATGAGATAGCGACCGTTTTCAACCATGTGGATGATTCCTATAGCATTCGAGTCGAAAGCGGAATCCTTTGCGTCAGTGGCCGTCTTTTTGCTCCGATCGACGGGCTGAGTACAGGTATGCTTGACGACACGACACCCGTAGGCGAGATATTGCAGCCTAAGATCGAAACCTCGGCGTATGCAGGCAGGCAAGGTCTTCCCGATGCATTACACGACGCGCTGATCATGCTACTCGATATCCCCAAAGATGAACGAACTTCAAATCGCACAGATCTCGTACACTACCTTACGCGCCCAAAGGGACTCGAAATCATGAAAACACACGGCCATGATATGCTGGCTAATTGGTTCCAAGCCAACGTCGACATGAAAATCTGCGGTATCCCCCTCCATACACTAACGAGCAAATTCGGCGCGAATGATTTTCAATGGAAGAAGCGTCTCACACATCGCTACGAAGACAAAGCCGGATTCACGGCGAAAATGCACAAGTACATGACGGATATTGAAACCGTGCTTAAGGGGGGGATGCGCCTCATGACTACAACGGGGGGCCATCTTGGTATGGCGCATCCACAAGCACGGCCTGGTGATCACATCTGCTTGCTGGAGGGCATGAGCAATCCCGTCATCCTGCGCCCATGTGCCGACGGAGAGCTGAGCGCGGATGCTGTTGCCAATCGCAAGGAGCTGGAAAGGGAGTTGGAAGAGTCGAGATATCTGTCGGGAATGACGCTTAAGACGGGCTTTACGACGAGTTATAAAGTTGTTGGAGAGGCGTTTGTGAGTATGGACGGGATGACTAAGTTTATGCGCGAGTATCCGTATCCGTTTGGGACGTTCTTCATTCATTGATGAGGGGGGAACGGTTAAAAAGCCTACGTCCGGAGCTCCTTACACGTGGAAGCCAGGGTTCCTTGTCATACGCACATCTAGAGAGGTTTTCAAGGACGCAGCAAGTCAAGTGGCTTTCGTTGTTTTTAAGTTATCTATGGATCCTAAGTATACTACCAAACTCGCTTATTCTAACAGCAAAGCATCATCTGTATGTAGACCAAGAGCATGGGATATATCCCTTTTTCCATCCTCGCAATGCCCTATAGGTTGAGCTTTACAAGTTTGTCTCTCTCTCCTGCATGTCCTCGAGAGATCAGATCCCCCTCTCTATCCACTCTTTCGCAAGCAGAATCCACCTGCATAACGAATGCCCCGATTCGTGTGTGTCACAGAGCTGCTTAGCCGCGAAGAGGATCCAATTTTGGCCAATTTCGGTCTGATTTGGGAATATGCGAAAGTTGGGCAGTCGCCTCTCCAACTCTATCGTCTCGTCCCAGCGGAGTTGATCTTTCCAGGGAATAAAGCGAGGAGGGCTCAGGGCGTACGACGGATCATATTTTCGTATCGCCATAGCTATTTCAATGCCAGACAAGATGAAACTTTCTGCATTTTCAATGTAACCAGCGCTTGTAGCATGGGAGGATTGGAATGTTGAAAGAACATATTTGACTGCGAGCTGCGGATACGCTTCGAAGCGGCATGCAACCTTCTCCCAACTGTCAATGGCCTCCACAAGGTTTGTATGGTCGTCTTTCATGTATAGTGAGTATACAGATGGTCTCAGAACAATGCGCGTTAGCCAATGAAGCTTTCGCGCTAAGAGCGTGTTCGTGAACGAGTATAGCTGCTCGACTGGTGTATCATCCCAATCAAAGTTTTGCTGGAATGTGATTTCGTTATGTATGAGCTCTAGATCTGCTGTTTCCTTGTATAGCTGGCGATTGGCGTACTTGAGTTGATTGTATTCTTTGGCTTGGGTGTTACTACAATTTACTATATTGGCCTCATAGAGTATTCCTCTTTTTTCGTACCGACTTGGAGTTTTGTAGACTAGTGATGATGTGGTGGGAAATGTGAAGTTGTAAATTATGTTGCGTAGCTCTGCCGGAAGGGATATAAGGTACGAGACTTTCTTTGGTGGGTTTGAGTCAACGGTCTCGAGGGTGTTGGTACTCGGAGTCATCTTCTTATACTGTGTAGTTGAGTAGAATCTTGCGACTAGATTGAGTGTGGTGTATGGTGGGAGTACAAAAGTGGGTTATTTTGATTTGATTAGTGATGGAGGTCGACTTTATAGATACTTTGCGTCTCAAAAATACTATTGTTACCTAAAATCATATAAAACTCTCATTACCCTAGCATTTCCTTTAACTCTGGTTCAACCATTTTGATTAGCATAAAGGCTCCATTCAAGCCTTGTCCTGTCGACTGAACTTGGCTCCCCCAATCAGCAATCGTCTAACACTAACTGCCCTAATCGAATCATCCCTCTAGCGCGGTACGAGGTATTTGAAAAGGGCCAATATAATCCTATGACATACCGGTAAAGTTCGGGCAAAGGAACCAAAATGAGCTCGGCCAAGTTAGGAGCGTTGCGTGATTTGGTAGCGCAATTGTGGGTTAGGTCAAATAGTTCGAAATTTCACGTAACGTATCTCTGTTCACGAGTACAAGAGGATTTTCAAAGCGCCTGTTCACGAGTACAAGTGTGTCATTATACAAAGGATCATATTGTATGCGCGAATATAGTATGAGATACCAACGCAAACCCATTACTGCCAAACCTCTTGTTGAAGCGCAAAGATTTGACACCATAATGTATCGTGGTTTCTCCTCCTGCTCTAGCACTCCAGCCTAGGATAAGCTACCCTGAATTCCTTGGCAGCTGCTCATTCACTACGGGAGGAGCCGGTTTGTGCTATCCCGATAGCACACTATTCTGAAGCATCGATCCCGTGCTCAATCCAGGAATTCGCGTAGTATTCCCATTGCGTCAGGCGCTCTTTTCCTATGTTCCGAATTTCACCGTCCCTAGGAATGTACCGGCTGATGTCGGTTGCAATAGCAGTGGGCCAGAAGGCAAAGTTTTTGACGCCCTTCAGTAGATGCCGGATATACCAGGTCTCGCGCCAATGGTTTGCTTCACGAGCTAGGCCGTGTACCCATATCCGGCTCGTGTCGAGGAGCTTTTCGAGGACTTGCTTCCCAGCCTCGGTGCCCTTCAGGGCAACTGTCAACGCAACCCCTGCTGAAAGAAAGTTCATGGATGCTTCGGCCCTGTAGCAGTCAAACTCCCAATTACGGAACTGATATCGGACCTTGATGTCAGGATTTGTCTTGCAAAGCAAGACTATGGCCGGAAGGTCAGGCATTAGAGGAGCGTTCGCGTTAAGCATTGCGAGACAATGGCGTCTAGAATCGATGATGACAGTTGTGAGCCATGACATCTTCGAGGCTTCCATTGGAGCGAGGAAGTAAAGAAAACACTGCTCGGCAGTTTTTTGGTGTAGAGCCGACTGGTGAGGCATCATTTGAGGTGAGAAAAGAATGGTGTTGTATTGAATCTCCAAACCAGCAGTTTCAGCATATAATTGCTTATTGACATACTTGAGCTGATTGAACTCAGGGTGCTGGCGTAGATTTAGGTCCCTTAGGACATTTTCTTCGATCAATATCGGGTGTTGCGAGATGTTCAACAGGAATTGAGGAACTGGTACCATGGTCACCGCGAATCGAGGAGTTTGTGTATCAAGCGAGTGGTGTAGAGGCGTCGACGAGGTAAGCGCATACTCGAAGATTCTGTTGCGAATTTCCCCACATAGTCGTAGTAAGGGTGATTGTGATGCCTTAGTTCGGGCAAGTAGTTGAGACATCTTCGAGTGCGATGTTGAATGCGAAAGCTCGATTGACGGGGTGCTTGGAGTTGAATTTCAGGTTTGCAGTTGCGGTTACTTTGCGGTTGAGGTGAGAGAATGATCGATAGATTAGGCGTTTGGGGGGAAATAGTGGTGGGCCGGAAATTGAGAGGATTTCACTGCCCGCATGCAGATACTCGATGATCTCAATCTACAACTTGGACTTCAGTGAAATTCCCAACGGAATGTCTTCTTTACTCCTTTCCTTCAGCATTCGTCTTAGAATCTTGCCGCTCGCGCTCTCTAAAAGTAGCGACACAGTTAGCATTTTTCTAGATAGAGAACAGAAATTCTGCCTAAAATATTATAAGTGTTTTATCAAAAGTTGATAACTTACTATTCGTATGTTAGCAAAAACATTCGAATAGTATTTATAGTAGGACTTTCGCACCTCGGGATTTCGTCCACGAACACAATACCACCTCTAAGCCTTTTATGGTTTGCAACCTTCTGTCCCATCCAGTCAACAATGGCACTTGCTTCAGTCTTCCCAGCATCACCGTTCTTGGGTTGCGAGGCCACAATGTATGCTCTCGGCACCTCCGTATGCTGTTGCTCATCGTTGACCCCAATGACTGCTACATCGTCGACCAGCTCGTTCTCCATAAGCTTGCCCTCTAGTTCGGCTGGTGGAACCTGAAAACCCTTGTATTTGATGAGTTCTTTGACTCTGTCTGTGATGAAGAAGTTGTTTTGTTCGTCCTGATAGCCGATGTCACCGGTTTTAAAGAAGCCATCATCAGTGATGGACTCTTTGGTAGCGTCTTCGTTCTTCCAGTACCCCTTGAAAATATTAGGGCCGCTCAGCCATAGCTCACCAGCTTCACCAGGTCCAAGCTCCTTTCCCTCTGCGGACATGTACTTGGCTGACATGTTTGGGAACATTTTGCCAACTGAACCAACGGAAGCGTACCATTCATTCCAAGGCTACCAATACACTATTAGTGTGTTCCTCTTGTGTAGCATAATAATGGATACTCACCTGAGTGTGCGTCATAGGAGAGGTCTCGCTCAGTCCATACGCTTGGTTGACCTTGATATTGAGTCGCTTATGTACCGTCTCGACCAATTCCTTCGTCAATGGCGCAGCACCGCTAGTGATCATCTTGATTGACGACAAATTATACTTGTCGACCATCTTATCTCTGGATAAGCGGACAATTATCGGGGGTGCAACGTAGACGAATGTTATCTTGTGGTCTTGTATACCCCGCAGAAACATCTCCATCTCGAAAGCAGGCATGACCACAATCTCTATACCGCGATGCAGTACCTGATGAACAAGTCCAGTAAGGCCATAAATATGGAAGAACGGGAGCACCCCTAGGAACTTATCTTCACTAGAAGAATACCACCCTCCAACCGCACCCTGTATTTGGACGAGATCTGCAACGATGTTACGGTGAGTAAGCATGACGCCTTTTGGAAGTCCAGTGGTACCAGATGAGTACGCAAGGAAAGCCAGATCCTCAGATTTGGCCCTCCTTCTGCGATATCTCAGAGCTCCCGAGGTCTTCCGTATACTAGACCAATGCTTAACTCGGTGGGTTTCGTCCTTCTCAGCACCTAGCAAAATGACGCGGTCGTTCGCAAGGCCAACTTTCTTCGCGGCCTTCAATGCCGTATCCAAGAACTTCTTCGTTGTGACCAGTGCCTTAGCTCCAGAGTTCTCCAGTTGGTACGCCAGCTCCTCTACGGAATAAGCAGGATTTGCCGGAGTGACAATCCCACCAGCAAACAAAGTTCCGTATACAATAGGCGGGATGTCGATATCATTCGGCGCATAAAGGGCAAGCACTTCGTCTTTCTGCCAATCCCAGAGATTGCGTAAACCTTCGCCAAATTGTGTTGCACAACTCTTTACATCGGCAAATGTGTACTTCCGATCCGAGTCGATGGCACGGTATATGACTTTATCATCAGGGAAGTCGCGGTCCTTACGATCAAAGATCAAACCCCAGAGGTCAATATCTGGAATTTCCACATCCGGAAATGGTGACTTCGTAGGCATGTTGGAAAATCGGCGGTAATGTAAAAGAAGGTAATAATAAGCCAAACCCTGGTGACATAGTCTAATGTTGTGACTGCGGCCTCCTGAGCTCTTGGCCACGATTGCAAGTTGACTGACTACAGAGTAAAATGCTGATGTCGCGATATTAATGGATCGGAGTTTGGGCGGGGTACCTCGGCGTTCAGCATCATGACGTGGTGGTGTGTTAGCCCGCCCTAACTAATCAACAGAAGAGAAAGAGAAACAAACATTATGTCGAACAACAGATATTGTAAACAGACTGCAATACTTTCAGGCTGTAATACCACGACCATCTTACACTCCCCTAGCGTCCAACACATATTCCGGGGATAAAATCTTGGGGAAACTTGTCTAATTGGTTCACCTGCATGCGAATGGGCGAATGCGAATGGGCGACCAACATTCCTACCAACAATTACAATAACAACTTCTCAAAGGGGTTATGTACTTGCATCAGAAACGATCTACGCTACTCAACTGAATCAATCACAGGTTTTTTAGGAAGTGGAAGATGAAAAATAGTCGCGGTTGCAACCAATTTAGTCTGCTGCCACCCGTTGCGCATCAATCAAATCTTCTATAAGTGGGCCAGAGAGGGTATTGTTCAGCAAATATCAACTCGAATATATTTCAAGTCGATTGGAATTCCTGCTAATATCGCGTACCGCCAGATTGTCATACAAATGATCAACGTGTACATAACACTATAGCGGTCTTTATAAGAGGAGTTTTCAAACCTGCGGGGAAGCCCGCTAAACTTACACTCTCCAATGCCTTCTAAGGTATCAGAGGCCTTCATGTAGAAAACGCTTGATCTGTTCCATCCACTCCTTTTCCACAAGGTCCTTCCAACTAGGCATCCACCCCGCTAGCACAGCCATCTGATCCCTGACTATTCCCTCATCCAACTCCACCGGCTCAGCTCGGTAGCGTAAGTTTGGTGCCCGAATATCATCTACATCGACCTATAGCCCCCAGGAGGTCATGAAGTCTCGGGCTGCCTCCGGGCATCGTGACCTTGATCCAGGGGGTAGTATAATTCTAATGTGTTTTCCAACAAGAATGTCAGCTAGTGTAATAAGGAGAGATTCTCGATCGCCGGTGAAGCTCACAGGGTCCAACATGTCGCCATTGGAAGGCCGGAAGCCTGGCAGCACAATGTGAACTTGGACAGATAGATGGTCCTTGCACCAACTCGCGACTTTGGTAACCATATTGGCTGATATCGGGTAGGTAGTGATGGAAATGTCCTTCCTAAGCTCCGTCAAAATGTGTGGGCGTACATCCGCAAGTAGGACCGTCGAAGCAGCGAGCCAGTGGAGTTTCGCTTGGACATGTTTTGCAAGTTGGAGGAATTGTTCACAAACGCTGTCCTCAAAATTCCAGCGACGAGTGATAAGAAGATGGTTGTATTTTAGTTCGACTCCAGCTGTTTCGGCGTACAGTTGGCGACAAGCAAACTTCACTTGGTTGAACTCGATGACCTTGGTCAGATCCTGTACAGCAGCATCGATCAGTATGGGCCTTGGGACCGCAAGCCTTGAGTCCAATAGTGGAGACGGTGGTGACGTTCCAACCACGGGCAGGGCAAGTCTGAGCATTTCGCAGGACAGTGCGTATTGACATATGCGGTTTCGAATCTCTCCAGGCAGTGTCAACAGTGTAGGCTGAATGCCTTTGCGAAGCTGGGCTGAAGACATCGGGAAAGCTTGACGATGTTGATTGAGTCGAGTTTCGTCGGGTAGCTGAGTTGAGGGTGCGGTTTAGGTGAAGAGATTGGGGAATGACTTAAGAGGCCATGGAAGCAAGTTATGAGTGGCCGAGCAAGTCATGAAGGACTAGGCTAAGCTCAAGTCGGGAACATTTGAGTGAATCGACTGGAGGCCCGTTACCCTAGCTAGTAAGCAGTGTTGGTTGCTATGGACTAGAAGTAGAAAAACAATGTTGTCGGAAAGAGTGAATGATAATGATTACTGCGATTATGTACTTCTTAGGCCTCTCCCCCAACGACGTTGACTCTTAGTCTTGAATAACACGCTTTAGTAAGAGATTATACAGTAGAAGGGCCGTTACCAATCCATAGTCGGAATCAAGGTATTATATTCAGTTCTTTTCGTGTCAAGCAACTATACATGATTCTGAGGCGAGTACAGTTCACGCAATTACAGATCTTTCCCAAAATGAACAAACTGCAGATCGCTCCTCAAGACTCCTTTCCAGTCGCCGTGGTACTCATATGGGAATTGCGATGTTTCTCCCGTCTCCTGGTAACCTCGATGCTTGTACCATGCAATGAGGTCGGCACGCGTGTTGACGGCGTCGAGTTCCATCCTCTTACTTCCCAACTCGTGACGGGCATAATTCTCGGCGTAGGCAAGCACCTGGCTGCCCAACCCGCGATTTTGGCAGTTGACGTTGACAGCAAGCATGCCGAACCAAGCGCAGGTCTCATCCAGTTTACGCACGCTGCAGTGAGCCACTAGCTCGCCAGCCAGATCGGTCGCAACATACACTGCACGGTCGGGTTGAGTGATGCTAGCTTTTATGCCATCGACGCTGGTTATGTCGATTCGTTCGTGGTCGGCTGATAGGTAGACTTGAGTGGTTGTGTCGTTGCGAAACGCTGTATTTATGAGGCGCTCCAGTGGAATTGCATCTTCAACCGTAGCGAGACGAAAGTTGAGATTGCCAGTAGCGGTCATACTTGAGGGTGATTCTGTTGTCCTTTTCCATCTTCTTCAAAAACTGAGGTGCAGTATATATACACAGGCTCGGTTCGGAATTCGGAGTTGTGTTGTGATCGGAATGCGCACAGACTGCGTGCGATAGTGATAACAGCCGGGCTGTCTCTTCACACTCCATACTATTACCCTCGCCTTACGATTTGTGCGTTGTAGCAATCGGCAAGGAGACATTGTACTTTGTCTGTAGAATTGCTGCTGTCCTCATCCACGCCTAGCGGTATGAAGGTAGCGTCGGGCTTACCGAGGTCCTCGTCAACTACACCGTCTTGACCTGTCCTGGAAGACTCCATGTACTTACAAACATCTATGGGTGTTCAAATGGAGTTAGTCTAGATGGGGGCTATATGGTGCGAGAGAGCGTTTGTGCGAGGCGCTTGGCTTCTATCAATGTCCCCGTTGCCGTCGAGTCCAAGATCTACGCTGGCTGCAGCTCTTTCTCTTCAATACGATACCTATTCGCATTCCATCGAGAGCATCGCTATGAAACAAAGAGGCATTGCATTCATCTGGAGCCTAGAGTTAACGCACATGCTTCCAGTTGGCGCTGAACACACTCGTCGATGAGTGTAAGACGAGGCTTACCCCCCTACCACCTAGATATGCCATCCGCGATCGAGGTGGTGCAAGGATCTCCAAAGTGGTAAGAAAATTAGGATGACTTGGTTTGCTCTGCGTTGTTGATCAAACGCCTGTCATCAGCCTCAATCTGAGTAAGCCTATGCCAGTCAGACAAAGCGCTTACCCAAAGTAGGTGACTCACCGACTATCACACTCACAAGATGCGTATGCAGTGCAATGTGTCTCAGACTTGGTTCATCAACCATTTCCATTCCATTAAGCATTAGATTAATAATGATTACATCGAGGGTGGCGCGCCAGCCAAACCAACTGCGTATCAGTCTTTCCCCCTTTGGTTCCCAATTCATCAACAGACGGGTGCCTTTCTGTCAACCCATCATCCAACATATCAAAACCCCCTAGACAGCCACGCAGCCGCTCAAATAAAAAAGAAGGCGGCGGCTGGTGCTGAAGCGAATGTGTACAAATGGTACTTTTACAGTGCCAGAATGCTAGAAGCGACCGACTTGGGTATCAAAAAGTTCAATAAACCGCGCTTTCGCGCTAATGGGTGCCACGCGAAATATGTGTGCGTGGTCCCGATGCATGCATCTCCCGCTCTGTGCGACGCCTGTGTCTCTATGCCAGGTAAAAATCCATTCAATGATGGTGTCGCTGAAATGCTTCGCAAACAAAAACTCCGATTGATATGCATGGGTCATAAGGCCATCACCAGTGATGTGAGGTGCTATGCGATCTTAGGGATGAGTATAAGTGTTGAGGAGAGAGGTGTAGATGGCGGTAAGATCAGTCCTTTCGCGAGGAGAGCTCGGTATCGGAAGCAACTGTGTCGCCGTCCCAGAGGCTCTGAGCGTCGTCGGTAGGAGAACGTGCGCCCAAGGGGCTTCTGCCACCAGTTGAGTAGGACGAGGAGGATCCGCTGGCCCAGTCGTCGGAATCGGAGTGAGGCTGGAACTCCTCGTAGATATCGAGCATGCTATAGCCGGCACCGTCTAGAGGGTCGCCAATCTCAACGTAGTCGTAGTCCCAGCGGAACTCCTTATCAGACTGGGGGCGGGGTAGGAAATTGGCGCGGCCGAAGAAGAAGCAAATCCCGGCAACTAAGTCTGATGTTAGCCCAAGCCTCGCATGTGGAACTTGAAGAACTTACGTAGACTTCCCGCAACCAGATCTACAGCGTAATGGTGGGAGAAATACATGGTCGACCACCACAGCCACATGGTGTAGAAAACGTACACCGGGAAAAGCTTGGGAAAGACATGGCCCATGAAGAGCGTCTCCATGGTTGCCCATCCAGAGTGCAACGATGGGAAAGCACCGAAAACCATAGGCGATGCTAGGAAGGTTGAGGTGTACATGTCGAAACCGAATAGCTTATCAATCGCCTTCAATCCCGCAGCATCTCCCTGAATCGAGTAGTTTGCTGCTGCTAGTCCGTATGTATTCTCGTACCAAGGTGGAGAGCATGGGAAAAGGATCTGGATGAGCACGGCAATGATGTTCATGTATCCGAATGCGCGTGCAAAGACAGGGAGGGTGCCAGGCGGGCCCCAGATGAACATGCATCCGCAGACCACTACTGGAGACACATAGTGTACGACTCCGTATGGGATCCACGCGAGGAGATCCAGAACAGTGTGCTTGTGTGCAGACAAGATATTGCTTAGATTGGCGCCGTAGAGGATGTTTTCCAGGGCGGGCAGAACGCGGACCCAGATTGCCGGTCGGTAGTCGGGGGAAATATACTTGGCCCCTGAGAATAGAAGTAGCCAGGTAAGCGTGGGGAGCAATGGGAGGAGGAATTGTCTCGTTATGGGTAAACACAAGCCCGTCATGAGCAGCGTCGCAATAAACGTCTTGGCAAAGGGCCCCGGGGCCTCGCTGACAGAGAGGGAGAAGATGGCGACAATGGCCAGAAACAAGTACTGTGCGTCATATATGGACCACGGGTGGGTGCGCAGGCTGCGCAGCGTGTCCGAGGGGGAAAAGGACATGGAGAGCGAGGCGATGGACGAGGTTGGCGTCTGGCGACTGCGTATGCGCGACTTTGTGGCTCTCCATTTTCTGCGGACGCGGTGGGGGATAAAGCTGGGCAGGGCAGAGAGGCCCGGGACCTTTGATCGCGCGAGCATGTCGGTAGCGGCGTGGTTGTCGAGAAATGCGAGGTAGCTTTTGCTCGCCATGGTGGTGGTCGTGGTGGTGGATTGATGGTCGGGGGGCTCGGGGGAGGCGTGTGGCGCAGGGGAGAGGGACTTGAGGAAGCGGCGACACACGCGACCAAGGGCTGCTGGGCTCGTTGGCGGATGAGAGGGTTGGGAGAGAGTGCTTCGAGAGGACCAGCAGGCCGTGGGACGAGTGGAGAGGAGGGAGAGGAAGCGGAAGAGGGCGGATTAGGGATTATGAAAGAGTCCGTCGTGGAAGCTCCGGATGGCTGAGGCTTGCACAGCGGCCGGGGGTTTGCAAATTAGATGCGCAGGTCAGCGACTAGGCTGGGAAAGGATAAGCGCCTTGTCAGCCCAGTGCGCATGCAATTTCGTTTACACACACGGCTGTGGGTAGACTGCATTTGTGAATGTGCATCTGGGCATCATCATCATACGAGCGTCCAAGGACCAAGCCTCCCATGGCAACATACAAGCAGTAGTTGAACATACTGAGAGTGATGGCTATCGCCATTTCTCACAAAGCCCCTCCTATAGGGCGGCCGCATATCATCTGCACCTCCTGCTCGCGTGATGGACAGACACCCTCGCAGCAGGCATCGCCATCACGTTCAATGGTTGCACTGCATCTCTGCCCCCAGTCGCGCCTTGGAAGTTCCCGATCCGAGCAGCCTCTCCCTCTCTCTCTCTCTCTTGCTTTGTAAAAATCTCCGTCTATAAACCGGACTAAGAACGGGCAAGATAGTGATGCAGCAGCACTGCATTAGTCGCACCATTAGCTTCCATGACATCAACCTACATACAGCCGACGACCACTTGATGCCAATATCACGACGAGACTCGACATGCTAACCCTGGACTCCTTGTACGATATACGGGCATCAGTCGTGGACAGCCTTGCCGCAGCAACCACACGTCTCACCACCCCCAGCCCCCAAGACACTCGAAACATGGCACGCGTCTGCCAACTCCGCCGTTGCTGCAAGGCAGCCCTCCAGCTCGACGCCCGTTGCGCAGCGCATACACGCCAACCCTTCCAAGACTACCAGCCAATCGCATTTCTCAAACGACCCAAGCAAATGCGCTGACCGTGGTTGTCAGAATAAGCGCTCGGGTTTGGGCATGCTCCGCCTGCCGTGATTTTCAATCGAATCGAGATGCTTGGCTCTGGCTCCGAGAAAAGCCCCTTCAGACGCTGGGTGGTGGGTGGAGCCCGAAGAGAGAGCGAAGCCGTTTGTTCACCACCCGCAATTTCCTTTTTCCGCCCGCTGTACCAGATTCCTGTGCTTCTCGTACGAAAAACGGTCGGACGAGCCCTAAACACCGATCCCATCAGCCCCACAAGTCGCGCGACTTGACTGGCTTCAGCCTTTTTTCCTGTTAGATTGCATTTCGCTTCGTGCAAGTGCAAGTGCAAAGTGACCGACTAACCATGAAAATTTCTCAATGATAAAAGAAAAAGTTTGTAAACGTCTAGGCTGGATCGCACGGGATTGTCTCGATCGTGTTCATCGCAATCTCCCTCCTCCTTTTACGGCTTCTCTCTTTCGTCCCCCGAGTAAGTGGTCATGTCAATCTTTTCACTCATCAGGATAGCAAGGGTATAGCTGGATTCCCTTTTGGACGTATATCCCAGGTTTCTCCCTATCATAAAAAGTTTCACAACTTACACACAACGTGCGCCAAGGTATTGCACTGTTACGCGAACCAAAACACTGCCTCTGCTAGTACAGCGGTTGCCCAGGTCACCACCACCAGCGCGTTTCACAGAACGTTCCACCACACACCCTGCCACGCGAATAAAGAAGGAAAAGAAACCACGCGTGGTCCGTCGTCGGATCCGCGTATTTCAGCCTGCCGCCGTGGAATGACTACTCTCAGCCCGCATGGGGGTCCAAGCGGTTCCTGCGAACGCGGGAGTCGGGCATTTCGCTAACACTTGGGTCCGCTTGCCGGATCATCGAGTCGAGAATCGAGATTGCTGTTAGCATTGGCCGCACTGGGTGGGTGACAAAAGCTACAGAAAGTGGGTAATGGTGTGGTTGATGCGTGATGTGCTATGTGCTATGTACCTGCAGATCATGCGTCTACAAACAGCAAAAAGGTCGGACGACTTCGCCATCCCCCTTTATATTGCTACTCTCGCTTTGTAAAGCGTCGTGATGCTGAAACAAACAAACAATCGCTCGCTAACAAAGACAGGCGCCTGTCCAGGCGCCATCTCTACAAATGCTCATAACGCATGCTAACCCACAAATGGCATCTCTTCAATCAATACATCAAGCCATGTCCTTGAACCATCCTACGGCGTGTCAATGAGATCCTCCAAGAAGTCATCCAGCTCGATAATGCGAAAGCTGTCTGCCCACTTGGTCCGAAACTTCTTGTTCCGATAACCCCCGTTGGTCTGCTGTCTCCAGCTGATCAATTCAACTTTCCATCCCCGCTTCAACGCCCTTTCAACATGAGCTAGGAACCCGTCCGACATCTCCGCCTCTGCCCCGTCGCCTGAGGCAAGAATCATGGTACTGGGAGCTTCGGTATCAATAATGCTCTGGCACATCTTCAGGTGGAGAATCTCGTCCACACCCTGCTCAACCCATTTCGGGGCTGACGGTGTCTTTGGCGCGGGAGCCGGACCCGTTTCAGAGTCGCTACCGCTGCCAGAACGCATCTGTTGCGCCTTGTGCCAGCCTACCTTCTTGACGTCGTTGAAGAACTTCTTCTTCTCCGACTCTTCACGGACGATGAGCACCTGCTCCTTTACATTGCTTTCGTATCCGACTGCTCTTGATGTCTCAAATAGCTTCGTGACCTGGGGAAGGGGATTGGCTTCGCGGTGTGACCCGGCAAAGACTCGCTTCCCGACTGGCCGGCGCCGTTCCATGATCAGAGCTAGGCTGTCGAATGACATGTCGTATGGTTGATATATCCCATGTGTTCGTAGCGTGTCTTTGAAGCCATACATGATATTCGATGCATCAACAAAAGCATGGAGCCCGTGCGCCGTCGTCTTCTCGTTGACAAGTTGCATCGGCGACACCAGCCACTTCCGATCTTCTGGAAAGTGACTCAGTAACTTATTGAACAGGTGGAAATGCCGATCAACCTGCGACCGAATCGTGATGGGGGGTGGTTGGTTCATTGGTGTCGCGTGAATGGGAGGTGAAAAGAGAGCACGAGTCGGGCTGGTGAGTGCATGTGGAACAACAGCATGCTGTGGAGGCCGTGGTATAATAGCAGGTCGAACGTTTCGCGGGACAAGTCCACGACACCTAGTAGGTGAAGTTGCCGGCGAGGGCTCCAATTGTGCTAAAAGCTGTGGCGCAGGTAGATTCTGCAGTGGCGCTGGTGTGCTTAAAGCCGTGTATTGCGGTTGAATAGATACGAGTGGAATGGCTTGAACTTCCGGAATAGCCTCAACAGCCTGGGCAATAGATACAGGCTTAATTGACTGTGCTGTAGATGATCTCTTGCTAATAACAGGACGAGGAAGGGTTTTGGGTGTCTTGGGCTCTTTTTGTGGTGACGGAACAGTGACAGTCTTCTCAGTCGCGGGAATAGCGGTAGAGCTTGCCGGTTTGATCTTTGCACCAACATTGGAACCGGACTGAGCTCGACGTGGCTGAGAAGGGGTAGCAATAGCAGCATCTCTGTCCTCCGTAGAAGTAGCTGCAAGGTCTTGGAGCTGCTTTCGCAACTTCGCTCTCAGCTCCTGTTCTTGTGCAGCCTTCTCGGCCTGTTGGCGAGCCTTTTTCCGCTGCTTCTTGCTCATGCCCTTATGATTTGCGGGCTGATATTCCGCTACTTCGGCATGGCTTACAGGAGCTTGGAGGCCTTCGAGGACGGGAGAGGGAAGCAGAGTCTCGTCCGAGTTGCTAAGCTCAGACTCGAGATCGAGTGGCGGGAGAGCAGGTGCTGATACGTCATTGGAAAGACCGAGGTTCTCATATAGCTTTGCGAAGCTACCCAACCGTACACCCCCATCTTGTTGTAGCACTGATATCAGAGGGCGTGTCCGTGTTGTAGGCCGTAGCGTGGGCGAGCGGATGTTGTGATCTTCCGAGTCTATGAGATCGATGACCGAGCTGAAGTCCCAGCCCGGATCTGGTGGTTGTGAAGGCATTGGCGCCTAAAGTTTGGGTGTCGTTTTGTGCTTGAATGGATCGTCGGTGAAGGGAATGCTAAAGTGTGGAGGGAACTGAGAGGCCGTTAGCTCAATGAGCGGTGAAGGTGACAACGTAAGCTGCTGCTGCTGTTGTAGACAACTCTCCAAGTTGGCCTTGTGCACCAGTGGTGGAGCTGGACGAATGCTCCAGCGGTTGCAATTCGAGGCAGGGTCAGAGGGAGTCTGGACAAGGAACATACAGTGTAAGTCGTCTCGAAATAGTAGCTTCAGTCGCACGCTCATGATCGATTGAAGCAATCTAAAAGGAATGTACACCCCGTCGCAAGCTCGAGTTGAAACTCTAGAGACAAAGAATGCAGAAATATAATCGGTGAGTGAGAATGAGAGTTGTTGTGAGAGTGTTTGTAGATGAGCCGTGAGGGTGGCGGGGAAGGTGATCGACGGGTAGTCACTCATGTCTCAGCACGGTCCAGGCGTGATTCATCGGAGGTGCCAACGCCACCCGATGACCGTGAGATGTTGGGATCGTGCGAATTGACAGCGTTCTGGACATCTTTACATATATGTATCCCACGGATCGTAACGCATACCGGTTTCTGAGCCTCACATGCGTATTACTATGGCGTGCATCTGAGGTTGGACCCTGACCACACGCTTCGCCGCCACTGCCGTTGCGATGCCAACGACCCATCCTGCACCGCCGAGCCTGTGGCTGCTAACACATATTGTTACTAGCGTTCGCATCTACTATACAACTAGAACATATTAGTTACCTAGCTGAATAACATATTAGGCCGCTTAGCTTAAGCAAATGTTACGCTTCTCAATTGGGAGCTGCAACGTTATGTGAAGCCATATAGGCTTAGACACCCGGCGAAGGAGCAAATTGCATCAAGCTATCTGATACCTAGAGCCATACCTCTTCAACATCTATGCGCAACTTCTATATTCCGGCAATTCCTCAACATGAGTATTCCACCGCCCGTTCTAAACCTCTAAGCTCCCGTTGAGCCTCGGCCCCACAACGTCAAGCAAAGTACCCCTCCAAAAGGGCTCCCGTCCGAGCCAACTTCCACAAGTACCACATCACCATGTCCGCAGATTTCTGGGCAGGCTACGTCTCAGGCGCAGCGGGTATCATAATCGGCAACCCATTAGACCTAATAAAGACGCGATTACAAGCCGGACCAGCAGCAAAACCACCAGGTATCGAGGCTACTTCGGCCACCACCACAGCAGCAGCAGCAGCAGCACCGCAGAGCTTCACGGGGCAATTTGATCGCGCAGGAACATTGGTCAGGGGTGAGTCTTACCATTAAGCCAATTGTGGGGAAAACCCTCTGGCGCACGACGACGCTGACGAAGAACATTGGAGCAGTATAGGCGCAACAGCACCCATTCTTACCTACGGCGCGCTCAACGCCCTCCTCTTCGTAACATACAACCGCACACTAGCCCTCCTACACGATTCTCCCGCTTCGCCCACCTCGTACGCTAAGATATGGCTTGCGGGCGCGACTGGAGGATTGGCTAGCTTTGTCGTCTCCGCGCCTACTGAGCTTATAAAATGTCGCGCGCAAGTCTCGACTGACAGACATACAACTTCATGGACGATAGCGAGAGACGTTTGGAGGAAGGAGGGAATTAGGGGCTTGTATTATGGAGGCGGGATAACGAGTGTACGGGATGCAGTAGGGTATGGGTTTTAGTGAGTGTTTCTTCTGTATATGCAATGCTGCATATGTGGTCACTGGGTCTAATTAGAATAGCTTCTGGTCGTACGAGTGGACTAAGCGGTCCTGGAGCTCGCCTGATGATACAGACAGGGAGACAGCTATGAAAGTGCTGCTGTGTGGAGGACTGGCCGGTGTTATAACCTGGGCATCCATATTTCCGCTGGACGTGATCAAGACGAGGGTGCAGACACAAGCACTGCATACCGCGTATCGAGGCGAAGGCGAAGCAATGGCGTTGCTACAGCCTGGGACGCAGACAAAGCGACTCAGTTCCCTTGAAGTTGCAAGACAGGCATACAGGACTGAAGGCACGGCTGTCTTCTTTCGAGGGCTCGGAATATGTAGCGTTCGAGCATTTGTCGTCAATGCTGTTCAATGGGCTGTGTATGAGTGGATGATGCGGTTGCTCCAGAAGCAATAAAGAGATCACGGAAGTATCAAAATAACAAGGATTTCCAAAAGAGAGAAGAGTAAGGAATCGAGTCGCCATCATATGGATGCCATTTGATCTTGACCGTACGCCCTGATAGTTAACCATTTAGAATACAGAAGGAAATTTTTTCCCATCCACCAGATATCCTCCATAACGCTGAACTTTCCTCCCCATATTCCAGTCTCGTGGGGAGAAGTTGATATATGAGAAAATGAGTCCAAACATGACTGGCTCACAGTCATGGGCAGATTGAATATGTGCCCTGCAAGTGTGGACTGGGCCTAAACATCGTGAGGTGTACACAACTAGTGCCCCACGTCCACCTTACATGATCTGGTCCTGAGTTAAGCCACTATGCTCAGTACCCTCCATAGCGTCGCCGTTGCTCTGGTTGGTGTACTTGACGTAAGTCAAGCCGAGAGGCCTACCACCGTACTGGTAACCAGTGAACTTGGCTGCAAGCGCATTAGCATTGGTCCAGAAAGCTGATCACAAAACATACCAATTGCAGTCTCGGCATCTCCAGCCTTCTCAAACTCGACGACACCAGTTCCACGGGAGCGGCCATTTGGTTCGTACTGGATCTCTGCACGCTCGACCTTACCAATGGTAGTGAAGAGCTCAATGAGATCCTCGTTGCTGGTGGACCACGGAAGGTTGCGGACGTAGATAGTGTTGCTAGGCTCGCCTCCAGAAGCAGCAAAGTCCGTGAAGGGATTTGGCGGTTGCGAAGTAGCGTTGGGGTCGAAGCCTGCGCCGCCAGCAGGAGGGCCACCGAAGCCACCACCGCCGCCGCCGCCACCAGCACCACCAAACCCACCACGTCCTCCGAAACCGCCTCCAAATCCTCCTCCACGGCCGCCAAAGCCTCCACGACCTCCGAAGCCGCCTGCGAAGCCACCGCGGCCTCCGAAACCACCGCGACCACCAAAGCCACCAGGAGCACCAGCAAAGCGGTCCTCACGGACCTCGAGGTTACGACCCTGCCACTCATATCCATTGAATTGGTTGATGGCATTTCGCGCATCGTCAACGGTTTCAAAGGCAACAATACCGGAGCCCTTGGGGCGGCCATCAGGTGCGATGTGGACATCAGCGCGGAGGACAGAGCCAGTGTGAGCAGCTTGGCGGAAAAGGTCCTTCAGATCTTGCCAGCCAACGTTGTAAGGAAGCTAAACAAGGACGGTCAGCAAAGTGCTTATTGAGATTGAAAACAAAGGAGAACGAAGGCCACGAACATTGGCAACATAGACCTGCCTACCACCTTGACCAGCGCCGCCGGGGGGCCCACCGAAGGCGTTTCCGTGAAAGTTTCCGCGAGGAGCGCCGCCCATTCCGCCGTCGAAGCCTCCGCGTCCGCCGCCTGGGGCGCTGAAGCGAGGCTCGGCCTCTCGATCTTCGCGCACGTATACGAGTCGTCCCATGAGGTTTTGGTTGCTGAGCGTTGCAACGGCGTTCTGTGCCTGCTCCCGAGTGGCATATTCTACGATACCACAGCCCTATACCCAAGCAAAAGCCAGTCAACCTCCATCCATGGCACGATCAAGACAAGCCATCATCCATTACCTTTGACATTCCGTTCGGCAGCAGCAATACGTCTGCGAAGAGGACTTCTCCAGCTGTCGCCATATTAGCCTAGCTCTTACTCCGGCGCAACACACGTCGTACCTTGTCGCATAAAGTCCTTGAGGTGATGCCACTTGACATCGTAGGAGAGGTTGCCGACATAGACGCGGCGATCCTGCTGAGAGGAGTCTCGGATGCTCTGCATCATGTTGTCCTTGTTTTCAACGGGGCGCGACGATGTTGCTCGCGCAGCTCCGTACGACTGGTAGCCTCCGGCAGCACCCTGCGCACCACTGTTCGGCGACCGCGAGCGGCGATCAGTGCGACGATAGTCGTCGCGGCTACGAGATCGGCTGCGCGGCGAGTAGGAGCGTCGCGAGCGTCGCGGTGAGCGAGAGCGTCTACGGGGTGAGCGGTCGCGCTGGTCGTAGTTGTCAGTTTCGTACGACATGATGTCGACAAGAAGCAAGCAGCAGTAACGTCAAATGCAACAAAAAGTGAGAGACAGGGGGGATGCGAGCAGCTGCAGACTCGTGGGGATGATGGCGTTGACGGGCGGTGCAAGTTGTCGCGTATGGGTGAGAGCAAGGTCGGTGCACTGGGATGAGGTCAAGTCGCTCGGCGGCAGGTCCCGGCTCGGTCACGTGCCACGGCCACGGCCACGCACAACTCAAGTTGTCTGGCGGACCACGGAAGCGTCCACGGTGGTTTGCCTTGAAACCCTCCAAGTAAGACGGGCAAGGCTCTCTCTCTCTCTCTCTCTCGCTCTCTCACTAGTGACCTAGCCGGATTCCACCTAGATGGGCAGACAGGCGGGCTAGTTTGTTCGCTTGGCCTTGCGATGGTGGAGACGGGAAGAAGACGAGAGCAACGTACCGCTTGTTGGTGAGGACGATAAGTGTCTCCTCCTGGATCTAGAAGTCCAAGTCAGCAGGAGAGGTGTCAAGATGGACAAAGAGGAGGCAGGACCGTGATGGCGTGAGAGAGGATGGAATTTAGGAGAGAGGGGCAGCAAGGCCATTGCACTGACCAGCCATGTTTGTGTATGGAAAGTAGCAACAGCTAAGGGTGACACTTGCTCAAGAGCCGGCCGGCCTCCTTGCCAGCTGAGACAAGCCAGTAGGGCCCAGTCAGTAGCTATGCAGACGAAATTGCAGGCAGCTTTGTTGCCCTCTTCTGGATGACGCGAATGGATCCTCGAACAAGCAAGCCTCTCGACGGCACAGCAGCCTTCAACCAATCGCGCCGCGTAAGTGGCCTGGAGGACGTCCCGGAAGCTTGGGTAGTTCACCGAGTGTCGAGGTGCAAGACCGATGGGGAGCAGTCTACTGTCAGCCTGGGTCCACCTGTCCGTGAGATTGGGGGTTTGCTATTGCGTAGAATGCCGTGACGACGACGACGACGACGACAATCGGAACCTACAGCGCCAACAGAGGAGCGTCCAACACTTTCAAGCCAAACAACACACACCTGGAAAGAGAAGCATCCAGAGAACCGACGTGTGCTAACCCTTTCCCCACCATACCATAGGCCGTGCGCAGGCGAGCGGGAGCAGCGGATAAGCCGCGACTTTCCTAGTCGGTTCTACGGCTCTATAGGCAATCTAAACCCTGGTTGAGACCATGTTGGCTCTCACACGGTAGGTGATACCAACACAGCAGTCAAATTTCACATTCGTCTTCTGTGATACCAGTTCACCCGAATCAGGCCGCTGTCCCGATGGCACGCATGAGCGTCGATGCTCGTTCATGGCACCCTGCATTGACTACCCACATTCTCGTGAACACACCCACCGCTACCACGCCTGAGAATAGAAATGTCGTGAGCCTGCAAGCACTCATGTTCCTCGCAAACGGCATGTAAAACACTTCTCCAGAGTAGTCTACGCCACAAGAGCACCTGCATGGGTGCAAGTAGTCCGACACAGCGCAGTCGACCACCATGCCATGAGAATAGGCAATCCTGCAGGCTCGACAGATCGGGTTCCTGTTGCATTGACAACGCAGAAATGGACATGCTCGGTCCGCCATCTGGAACCCTGCGATGCTCCGTCGGCAGCTTGCATCGAGGCTTGCATGTTTGCATAGGGGTCCTCGGTGGAATCCAGCACACACACGGAGACAAGGAAAGTGTACGGCCCGGCATCGTTGTCGGCGTCTCTGCGGAATCCAAGTGGGGGTCTGGAGTTACACCAAGGCGCCCTTTTTTCCTTTTTCACTCGAGCTTATTTCAATTTCTATTATTGGCATTGTTCTACCCTACTCGAGACGAGCTCGCAAAACTATCTACAAGAAGCACAGGCTAGCATCAGCCCGTCTAGGTAAGAAACATCAAAATGGTCAACATTCCCTTTCTTTCTAGATCCGCACTTCCACACAAAGGTATCCTCTGGTGCTACCTCACACGCCCATATACGTCCCACTGATGATCTTCTTGATGCTGGCCACCGGTTTCCACCCAATAGCTGGGCTCGCGGGAGGCGCGTTCTCATCGGCATCCGCAAAAGGATCAGCCTCGCCGTCTTGCTTGGCCTCGTTGAGAGGAGCACTCATACTGACACCCAAACCGCTGCCCAAGCTCAGCGATTGCTCATCGCTAATCTCCCATCGTGCCTCTGTGTTTCCAGGCTTCGCCTCGCCCTCTGTGAAGAATCGAACGCGGATGGTTTGCGCAACTTGGTCCTTGAAAAAGGTCACGTCGCCCAGGCGCCAGTAAATGAGCCCTTTATCCCGAGAGAAGGTGCCTGACGGTTTCGACTGACATGCCGTGGCCTTGGAGCCGGGTTCGAGACGCATGACAAGGACGAGGTTGCGAACGGTTATGCTCGTGGCGCCGCCTATATTGAAATCGGGGTTGAGAGAATAGTGGAGGATAGCAGATGTCTGCGTAGACTCCGACTTCCACACGGGTGACAAGATGATTGGCGCGAGTGAAGCAATGCCATTATCTTCAATATGCAGTTGATAATGGAATGCCACCGACGTCTTCGTGATTTTCGCGAGATCTACAGTGTAGTTTCCGGGGCTATCTGGGGACTGTTCGATGAAGGCGGGATTCGGTGCTACCTTCTCAAGAACAGGGAAGTTCTCCAAGCGAATGCTTTCTGTGCCGAATGGACCGGCAGAGATATCGACGGGATTATACGCAAGCGCCACCTGTCCGATTACCATAGCTTTGGTGACGATGCCTTGCTCGAACCATGCACTGACAGTCTCGACCAGTGAGGCGTTTAGACCCGGTCCATGCAGGTCCGGATGCCTAACGGTCGCACTAGCAGAGCTACTTAGTGATCGGCCCGATCGTATGGACTGAGTGTCGGACGCGGCATGGTCTTCGGAAAGCAGCGACCGGTGCGGAGGCTTGAAAGCTGGCGATATGGGCTGTGGGGGAAGCGCGGGCACGGGGAACGTGGCAGAGCTAGGCGCAGAAGTTGGACCAGACCCAGCTGATGGGAGTGGAGGGGGCACCTCGCCTATACTCTGCAAATTTTGCAAGTCAGGTGTAGCAGGATTGGGTACAAAAATTGTGTTGCGAACATCACGGCGACCGCGCAGTGTGCTTGACCTCTTCGGCTGTGCAGCTTGCTGTTCACGCGTTAGGTTCGAGTTCATCCACAAACGTGTTTTACTTACCGCGCGTAACGTGTTGACCAGGTTAGCCGTGGCCGCGTCCGCATCCTCCCCTTCTTCCTGAATAGGGGCATTTCTAATGTCAAGCTTGAACTGTGGTGTGGAATTGCTCTCGCTCGGGGTGCTGTGTCCAAGTCAGCTAGAATGTACTTCAATTCAGCCGGGCTACCATACAATCCTGCTTCTCGTTCTGCTTCTGTTATGGCATCTACGGCAGACGGTGGCACAGAAAACCCTTCGGCGTCTTTTTCAGGCTGTATCGCCATGTTAGCTGGGTCCTTATAATGAGGCTCACTAGCATACCTCTGGCTTCGTCTCTGCGACTGTAGGAGGTGATAGTGGTTCCTGCAATTCGGGTATCGTATCTTGCACAGGCGCAGTCCCGTTCATTGTACTTGAGACATCTGCCTCCATCGGGCTTTCCGCAATTGTTCCATTTGGGGCCTCTGTGCTAGGAAACCGCGTATGGGTTGGGGAATCCGATCTCTGAGAAGCACGAGCTGTCGATGAGATTCGCCTGAGGGGTGACCGTGGGCGCTCCGAGGAAGAACTTGGGGGAGGGCTTAGCGCTTCGCGGTCCTTCGATTTGCCCTTTCCAAACCCGCTAAATGCTGACCCTAGGTTCGTAGACGATTTTCGTTCGGGTGATGATGCACGGCCGTAAGGATGTTGACTCTGTCTTCGGCGGCCTAGCACAGTTCCAAATCGCTTGAGAGGGTTCGAGCTATGTTTCTCTGGTACTAAACGTAATTAGATGAACGTCTCCTAACTAAGAGTAGAGATACGAACTAGAGCCACTCTTCTGACTTCTGCTGTCGTCTGCCGCGCTAGGAGTTGTCGGAACTGGAGGTGCCAGGCTTCTCGTCGGAGTGCCCGTGTTGCTCAGCTTCCGCGAAGCGTGTGGCAGGTCCCCGCTCCGCATTCTCAATGCCCAAGTCTGAATTTCGTCGGCCGTTTCAATGTTCAACAGCGCGTTCAGGGTCTCCTCGGCAGTCACTCTGCTTCTTTCTACCTGGTCAACTTCGTGCGTCTGAAACTGCGTGAGCGCGTCACGCAAATGGTTCAGCCGGGTCTCGTCTATAGCTTGGAGTTGCTCAAAGACATAGGGTGCCTGCGAATCCCACTGTAACTCCGCTTTCTCGATATCCTGCACCGAGTCGGAGACAGCAGATGCCTTGGCCTTTGTGCCCTTGTCTCTCAGCTTAGCAGACTTCTTTTGCGCCACGTCAATGTCCTTTGCGATTGCGCTCAGGTTCCCTGATATATTGCCCATAGCCTGTACTTCTCGACTGTTGGCTGCGAATTCTCGCAAGGGACGCTCGACGTCGGCTTCAATCTTGGTTGCGAGGTGGTGATGCGATTGGGCTACCGACTCGGTCGCGCTCACGATCTTCTGCCATGGGGTTGAGAAGATACTAGTCGGTGTCAATCAATGCGCCTGTTAGACTACTAGGGAGGGCATGTACCCTAGATCGGAAGACTCGTCGGGAGGGTGCCTGTTGGCAAGCTTCCGCAGTCCTTGGACGTATGCTTCCTCGACGCGACGCCGCTCCTACGCATCTGTGAGCGCCTGGAATGCTGCTTGTCTACTGAGCTTTACCCACCTGTAGCCAGTCTGCTATTTGGTTGTTTAGCCGGCTGACATGGTGCACGCGATCATTGAGGACGGTGACGGCTTGCGCGGGCGTGAGAGATGTCTGCAGACGGAGTGAGCGGAAGCTGGAAGGAAGGCTTAACAGGAGCTCACCAGCAATGCTGGGTATTCTTTGCGTTGAAGCTCCATGGCGCAACTGCAAGTAACCGGCGCACACCCACGAGATAGGGTTGCGGTAGATTTACATAGAAATGAAGCTCCGCGAGCGTGTCCAAGTGTCGTGAAGCTGTCACGACAGCGCTGTCCGTGGTGGCTTGGGGCAACCCACTTGGGTTTAGATCAAAACCCGTGGTCGAGCCCGCCCGCGGGACCTGACGTAACCTTAGTAACAAGCAAGTATAGGCCGAATAGCCGCTAGCATTCGAGAAGAATGGAGAACGAGATAGTTATGCACAAAAACGGGGCGCCCCCGGTTCTAGGGCGGTAGGCTGCTTGGGCTGCGGGCAGGCGAAAAAAGAGAGTGCATGTTCTAGTTGTCTTGGGCCGTTACGATTCACAGCCCAATTGGCATTCTTCACTGCTCTCCTCTCCTCTCCTCTCCTCACCCAACTCCAACAACAGCAAATCCACAATTGACCTTTTGCCTCAAGGCTTTGGAGCCACATGGCTAACTCGGACTGGCGCATGAGCTTGGACTTCTCTGCTCGTTTGTCAGCTGTCACGAAAATGCAAGTAACATGACTACATACCGGCTCGCACTTTTGCACAGGGATATCCTCGTAAGACTATCTATCTCCTTTGATCTTGAGAAAAATCCCCTAGCTTCAAATTTCATATCCTTGCATTGCCCAAGTCATGTGTGCGTACTGACCAAGTGCTATCAACTAGTCTAACCACGTCACAGAACATGTGCTTTGCAGACGTCGGACCCAACTCTCTCGCCAGAAGACGCCCGCAGGGACGCTGCCATAGCTGAAACTAGACTTTACCATGAAGCGCAGTCGATTGTAAAGAACTCCAGGGGGTTATCATAAGCGACTAGTTGACGGTGCTACAGGAGGACTATGAACGACGGGGCAATGCAAAGATAGCCAGCCTCCCGCGACCATCGCTTGAATTTCCGACATTAGAGGTCAGTGCAGGGGCGGTGGTTATACTTCCATCGCCTACTAACTCAAACGTCAGGATGAAGAATATGTCCCAACACCGGGTGGCAGACCCATTGGCAAGTATCTGAATGCCGTCTACTACCGCGAAGGTCTATTCTCCACTGTCTACAAGGCGCCTGCGTTGTCCGAGGACGGATACTTCCCAACAGAGTTTACATCCAAGAATCAACTTGTAGCACTAAAAGTCACCACACCATCCCTGATGGAGCCACCTCATGACTCCAAAAGAGAAGCCAGTATCTTGAAGCTTGCAGCTTCCGACCGTGTCTTGCCACTCCTAGAGACTTTCCGCGAGGATGGCAGTCGATTTGTCCTCGTTTTTCCTTTCGTACGCTACGATTTCAGTGATCTGCTGCACGACAAGAAATTGTCAAAAAAGCAGATTCAGATCTGCCTCAAAGACCTCTTCTCGGCCCTGACATTTATACACAGCCGAGGAGTGATCCACCGCGACATCAAGCCGTCTAACATTCTTCTCAAGTCTCTCGACGGTCCAGCCTATTTATCAGACTTCGGCATCGCGTGGGCACCTGAGACCTCTGGTATGGAAGCAGCAGCCTCGAAGATCACAGACGTTGGTACCACCTGCTACAGACCACCAGAACTCATGTTTGGAAACAAGCATTACGGCTGCAGCCTAGATCTGTGGGCAGCCGGTTGCACAGTCGCCGAAGCCTTAGATCCGAACCACGAAACGCTATTCGATTCCGGGGAGCTGGGGAGTGACTTGGCACTGATACAGAGCGTGTTCAAGAAGCTTGGGACTCCAAATTTGGACGTATGGCCGGTGAGATGACTACACCTTGATCATGCTTAGGAGAGAAGCTAACAGAAGTAGGAGGCGGAAAACTTTCCAGACTGGGGTAAAGTGCAGTTCCACGAGTATCCTGCGCAGAATTGGTCTGCATTGCTACCGACCCTATCAGAATCAGAGCAAGACATCGTGAGCCAACTAGTTAGATACGAGAGCGGGGCCAGATTGACTGCATCGAAGGTACGGCAATGCAAATTCGCTAAGTGTAAGCTGGCTGACCATATCAGGTTCTTGACCATCCGTACTTCGCACAATGAGGCGGCACCCAGGGGTAACAATCAGACTCTTTCTCTGTAGCACGAAACCCTTCCGAGACTGTTTGCAATTGCGCAGTTGAGATTCATATGCGGCTGAAAGATCTTTGAGAGTTTGGGAGAATCCGGGTGTAGGAGTTTTTAATCCTATGACGTCTGAGGCGATCCACCAGACTTGTACCTGAACTGAATAATCTCGACTGCCTTGTGAGACATGAATAGTGATTCAATGACTGGGCAAGCTGGCAACTGTGGAGATAAAACAGGCTGGCGTGAAGTCAGGGCCATCGCCAAGCGATTTCGACGGGCGCTAGCTTGCTGCAGGGTTCACCCGCCACCATTCACGAGCAACCGCATCACCATAGCAAAGCAACAGCGGACAACAACTCGCACAACACCCCTGTATGCAATTACCACCCTGCTGACCCGACATTACCTTTCACTATCAGTCGCCTGCATGTCGTCGCCGTCCAAATAGAACTTGTCTGGCCCCGGCTGCAAGTTGCAGCCCCCATCGTCGCCAACATCCCACTTCGAACTTCGCTCTGGAGGCTTTCCCATTACACTCAACATGGCCTTCCTATTTCGCAACAAGCAGAAGAGTAATCTTGAGCTCACGCGTTCTATCAAAGAACTTACGCAGCGTCTTGCTCAAGAGGACAAGGCCAATCCCAAGGTTCGATTACACCCCACCATGCCGGACTGTTGAGTCGGGCTGACCTGTGATAGCTGGAAGAGGGACTTGCTCTGGACCTTCAGCAGATGAAATTCAGGCTTCAGGGTACACCTGGTACTACTTGCGTTTCATTGCACTCTTGAAATAACGTCCAAACTGCGCGCAGGCGCCCCGCCGCCCATGGACCTTTACAGAAGCGCTAACTTCCGAGAAGACACAGAAGTCAATCCTGAAGCCGTGTTCCAGCTCCTCACGAGCATCCTCAACGAAGACTTACTCTACGTCCTAGCGCTGAATATCCACAAGCTACCGTTCGAATCGCGAAAGGACGCTCAAGTCATATTCTCGACCGCGTTTCGCTACAAGCCCGACGGGGCATCAGATCCACAAGTGCTACAGCACGTGGTACAATATCGACCAGACATCATAATAGCATTATGTCGAGGCTACGATAGGCGGGAGAGTGCCATGCCGTGTGGAGGGATCCTTCGAGAGGCGCTCAAGTACGATGCGATCGCTGCGCTGCTCCTATACGACGAACCGATGGAGGATGGGAAGTCAGTCGATCTTGGGAGCGTCAATCCTGACATGGCATCATCTGGGAATGGTGTGTTTTGGAAATTCTTCGGTTGGATAGACAAGGGCGCGTTCGAAGTCAGCGCGGACGCCTTTAACACATTCAGGGTACAACATGCGGGCTGGACTATCCTAATATGATGACTGACATGACGAATAGGAAATCCTCACGAAGCATAAGCCCTTGGTGGCCACATTTTTACAAACGAATTTCGATACATTCTTCACAAAATACAACTCGATGCTGATACAGTCGGAAAGTTATGTCACAAAGCGGCAATCCATCAAACTCCTCGGCGAAATCCTCCTCGATCGTGCAAATTACAATGTTATGACACAATACGTGGACTCGGGCGAGAACCTCAAGATCATCATGAAACTGTTACGGGATGACAGGAAGATGATCAATTATGAGGGGTTTCATGTCTTCAAAGTGAGTACCCCCTTTCACACAAACAATCAACCACATGTTTCGTGCTCACACTAGTAGGTATTTGTCGCAAATCCAAACAAATCCATGGCGGTGCAAAAGATCCTCATTAGCAACCGCGAGAAGCTTCTACGCTTCCTCCCCTCATTCCTCGAAGACCGCACAGAAGACGAACAGTTCATCGACGAGAAGAGCTTTCTCATCCGGCAAATTGAGCAATTGGGGCCAGCCCCCTTCGTTCCACCTCCTGCAGCATGACCTTGCAGTCACTCCAGACATTCCCTGTTTACCTACCTTCTTACATTGGCTGGAGTGGAATGGATTGTCTTGGTCACAAGTTGGTTTTCCATTTGGCATATTCCCCGCGTCACCGGCGTCGCAGGCGTACGCCATCGGTGTAACAGTAGATTTCAATGTATTGAGCGAGGTCAGACTTGTGACAGTTTAATGTCCGGGTATCAAGAATAAATACATTTCCGATATCACCAATCGCTTCACTCCAAATAAATAGAGCATCTTCCAGCCTAGTAAGCTAGAACAACAAAGCAATCGCACCCGCAAGACCTCCGGCCGCACCAACAACTGCTGCAACGGTCTGCATAGCAGCGCCAGCCGTCGACTGGGAACTAGTAGCTGCCACGGTCAGGGAAGCACTGGATGACCCAGCACTCTGTACATCCGTTGTTGACCTCGTATCAGCCACTATGACACTCGATTCCTCATCATCTTCATCTAACGTCGATGAAGAAGGCCTCGCAGATAAAATCCTCGACGGGGCCAAACTCGTAACCCTCGCGCTCGATGTCCTCAAAATCGATGATACCCTCAGGCTCGACGCACTACCTAAACTCCCACTCGACCTAAGAACTTGCACGACCGTCGCCGTCGGAGCACACACTAGGTGACTGACCGTCTTCCGCGAGACAACACTATACATTTCCGCGCAGAAGGGTGCGCTGGACGCCGTACAGGCAGTGAGATATTGATCGTTGGAGCACGAGGGGTTAGCGAGACAGGCATCCACGGCAGAGGAGGCGATGCAGCGCGTTGCAATCTTGCAGGAGTCGATAGAGGAGCCAGTGCAGCAGCCAAACCAGTCGAGCACGGTATTGTAGAAGCAGCCGCCCGTCGTACAGGATACCGGTAGCTCTAGAAGGTAGTGTAAGTACTCGATTAAAGTAGGAGGGGGGAGCGCGTAAGGAAGGGGATAATTGTGGTCTTACCTGCATCGCCCTGGATGTATCCGCACAACCCGTCATCGTTTTGTCGACGGAAGAGGTCGGGAAGAGAGCGCGGTTCATTTGTAGGCTTTGGTGACCACCCATTGATATCGGCGTGGAGGAGGTCATCGATGGGTGTTGGAAGGGGTCCATCGAAAGCTACACCGTAAACAGTTACGCTGAAGGCGAGCAGAGTTGCAATCGAGCTGAACATCTTGGATATCTTCAAGCTGCGAAGTTTAGGGGGATTCAAGGTGTAGTAGGGCGTTTTCAACCAAGGCTGCCTGTACACCAGCTGCCTCCCCCGTTCTTATACTCCTCGTAGCAAAAATAATGCACATTAGTACCACAAGGCTGAGCAGCTGAATTTCACGAGGGCCCGAACTTTGCTGTGTGGCAGCATTTCCTTTCTCTTTTGAGCATAAAGCTACCCCGTTCTAGTGATCTACGGCGTCGTACTCCTTGGCGTAAAATTCATGTGGTCGAAAATGGACATGCGTGGCATATCCCGTGTTGTGACTTGTCCCAAGGCGTTGAACATAAGCGAGCTGAGCCTGTTCCTGCGGTAGACTACAGCGCCACTCTTCGTACTAGGAGATGAACAAGAACTGCGCCCGAAAGAATCTTTAACCGGAAATGATTAACGTTCGAAATGAAGATATTCGGAGTATGCTCCGGAAGACATGGAGAAAAATGCAGGAGAAAGCTGACGTGCGAGCTGTGTCATAGAACTCTTGAAAACAACAAAACTCTGTTTTGTTGCAGCGCGCTATCGTGACATTACAATATTGTTTTCCGGTGAGTAGCCTGGTGAGGTAGTTACCGCTAGTGCCACTAGGTACTAGCCTGGGGGCGATGCCCAGGTGGATGGGGCTGAGAAATGTTCGTGTACCGAGGAGGCCTGACTCGAGTGACATTTCGGACGGATCTTTAGGCGACTGTTTACTTGGCGCAGGGTTGCAAAAAAACTAGTAATTACTAACTCACTACTAAGCACATGGACGTTTTCTGTATGTATTTAGTAATCCAGTAATTACTAAGTGATAGGGCGCAGATTATGGTGTCGTTGGAGCCTTGCTTCCTGCGAAGAGCTCATATTCATCGAACCACGAGAAACGGACCTCTTGTAACGCCTACATCACAACAACGCTAAATTTCCCAGCTTAATAAGCAAATTACGTGTATGAAGGCAAGTAAAGTTGTATTCCTTAATATTTGCTGACATTATGTTATTGTGTGGCGTCTTTTGTGGAAGGGTGGCGTTTAATGTTGACCCCTCCAAAAAACGAACCCCATTGACCAGACAGCATCGTACCAATCATACTACACCGCATGAGTTTCAAATGTTCTTTTGGCCCCCAGATTATCTGCTGCGGTCAGATGATCGTCCTCATCCGTTTTCTTTTAACCAACCTAGCCACCTACCCTCCCCGAACATCTCCACACTCAAAGTACCTTCACAGAACCAGCGATAGCTCAGCTAGGGCATAGGCGCTTCGAAAATCCTCTTAACCCTCCACAAGACTATAGGTTATAATACCTACGTATTCGCTCTACATATTTCTGAGCCACCGTTTTCTACGCCCAGCTTTTTAGTACCTAGTTGTTTGCATGCTCCGACGCACAAAAGCTTCACACTCGTTCAAGCACTTGTTCCTTCTTTGTCATCCATGAAGCGAATGTACACTGATGGCTTGTCCGCCTTACAAGTGACACGTTCTCACTTTGCCAGTTTCTGGCTCGAAGGTCATCTTCAAGCTAGAAACGACTGGCGTGCCCGCTGGAAACGTGGTGCCTTGTGGCTATTTGCCAGCATATGGATTACTACTCTACTTACGCTCCTTTCCATGTGGGCGAGGAGTTCCGGGAATCGAAAGATTTGGTCAGGAAGTGCATGTCAGCCTGATGGATCCTTTGCTCCTGATCTTTCGACATACCGATACTGGACGAAGTGGAGCTTCTTTCAGGTTACAATAGGATTTGGCAACCTGACCTTCGCCCAAGCGAAGGCTGTTGACATTATTTGGGATGTGGTGAGTCTCTGGACATATCCTGCCCCGTAATCACCAGGTTCGATAACTGCGTGAACTAACTTTCTATCAGTTCTTCGGTCGCGGAGGTCAAGCGCTGCTTGCATTCATCTCATGGCGCGTTTTTGCCAACTATGTCACAACATCTATGGAAGTCACCCCTGTTACGTTCGGAACTTATCGAACTGTGTTTCTGCAAAATGAGTCCCTCCTCGTTGCCACTCCCCGTATAGTTAGAGATTTTACGCGTCGCCACGGCCTACACTCGAAGACGGCAATGGTGTTCATTGTTATGACCATGGCTTTCATTTTGGTGTTCCCAACCTTTGGCAGTGCCATGACTGGTTACAGTGGAAATGTTAAGGCTTATGTGGCTGCTACAGACACTCAACTCATTGCTTTTGAAGACTTCCGTTTTGCCCTGTATACCATTCATGACGGGTGGAGGATTGGAAAAGGCGGCAACTATGTTGTAATAAGCCCCACCATTCATAGTGAGTAAATTGATTCGTCGTTGGAACAGAGTTGGTATTCACAGCCTCTATCTAGGTGACCCAATCCTTACAGACGATGATGAGAACACCCACAATTACTGTAGAGACAATCTTCTAAGAATTGAAGATTGCTATGTGATGGGGAATGTCACTAGCTGTGAGTGTTACTAGAGATTCTTGCAAGGCAGGGATACAGATATTAACATGTCTTGTGCTTAGACGTACAAACGCATGATTTCTTTGGCATCAAGAACGAACCTTCTGTTTTTATGGACATCAAGATACCACCTCCCACCCTTAATATATCAGCCTTATATATACCATATTCTCCCAAAGATCGCGACAGATATGAATCACGATTTGGCCAAAAGCTGAGGATGACATGGACATATTCAAACAAGACATACCCCTTGGACTTCGTCAGGGAGCATGGGAGCTGCCAGGCTTTGCTGGTACTTCATAACTCTTTAATGTACTCATTACTGTACTAACTACATAATTAGGATTACAAATGGGGTTTCTCGTTCATTCAACTATTTTTCATGACGGTTTTCTTGATAGTCTGGTCCTTGGGCATATACATCATATGGCTTCGTTCCCACATCATCATGAAAAAGCGAGGCCTACAAGACGTGGCGGGCGAATTTAAAGCCGTCTTTGAACTTGCAGATGCTATGCGATCACGATTAGAAGAATACGGAAAAGAGGAAGGGGTTGACTTATCCACACTTCCGGAGTTCAAACTACGCCACCGCATCACGAAAGACTTGCGTGGCGGAGCCATTTCGTATGAAACGTCCCTTCTATCAACTGGAGAGGACGGAAAAGGTGATTCTGGATGGGGATTCAAACTTTGGGTGAAGAGAGAGAAGTGGTGGCTTACTACCTTCCTCGTATTTTTTGGTGCGATCATGGCAGGTATATATTTACGTCGGGGAGGCGGCGCCATCAAACCAGTGTTCGCCTTCGTGCATCTCTGGCATCCCCTGGAAATTACAATTGCAATGTACATTGGGTCGACGCATAAGAGTCGGGGAGTTATACTTCTCTGGTCATTCGTTGTTCTGACTATCGTACCTCTAGTCATAGTCAGCATCCATTCTGCGGTTCTCATGCAGAAACACAAGAATTAAGATGAAGCTGAACTGTACATGGTCACATTGGTATAAATAAATACTTGTTCCTCCAAATTCAACTGTATCAAACCTCCTACGGTCGACTCTCCCTTCTCTCTCCACTCCTTTCCCCAATCCTGTTGTCAACCTCCTTCTTCCACATTCTCACGCTTTTCGCGACCTCGTCATAAACACCCACATCCTGCCAAAGGAGCCTCTCTAGATCTTCCCTACTGAGAAACTCCAATGTACCATCGGGAGGAGGAAACCAGCACCATCCCGTATATGCAAAGGCTTTCTCTGTATGCTCCTTGTCTGACAGTAAGCTCGCATACTTGTGGTAGAGCTTGATATCGAGGTTGGCGAGGTCGGTGATGCGCTGTCGTAGTGTTGCTGTTCCGTAGATGAGAGTGGTGCGGTGAAGGGTGGGGAGGGTGTGGAGGGAGCGGTGGGCGGGTATAGAGACGAACAACCATTCTAGGATGGTTTGGTGTTGTGTGTACGCGACATCTGTCGTCAAATCCTCTGGTTCTCTCAGGCTGTACTGTGGTGACGGGGTTCTTGGAGGTGATGGCGCCGGCGGTATCACCAAGCGAGATGTCATTTTCAGGGGCAAATCGCAAGAATCTCACCCACGTTATTAGTGAGGTCGTTCAGTGGGGATTTTATGAGTTGCAAGTTTGAGGTTCTCGCTTGTTTGAGATCAGCTGAGAGGAAGCATAAGAAGATAGTAGAATTCACGTGAGACACCGCGTGAAGAACAAATGAATTGTTTGACGTGATTGATTCTACCCATTAGGTCATCTCTTTAAATAACAGCAAGCTGTCTGAGACTAGCTACGTACTATTCAGGTTGGCATATTGTCATAGTGCGCCAACCTCGTTTAGACTTGTACTGTTGTCAATCACCAAGTCAGAATCCGCATCACCGCAGACCAGCACATCGCCTTTAGGTGGCACTGAATAAACATGTCACAACCTCAACTATGATAGAAATTCACTATTCACAATGTCCAACAGTATAAAACTTTGTCTTCAAATCTACCAAAAAACGCAAGACACTAACCACGACATCCAGCGCCGCGCATCCACATCCAAGACAACTACTGAAACTTAGTATACCATACTAAAATAGCACATACGCAGTATGCGCTTTTACTTGAGCCCTCACGTCAACGATGGCGGCATCTCCCCACCACGCGATCCTCGCGAAATGCCGCGACCTGGCTACTACCCCAGCGACTACCGCTCCGTGAGTCCTATGTGGGATCTGCGAAGACCTAGCATGGGACCGAGAATGTCGAGTAGGCCGATAATGTACGCGAATATGAATGACGGGCCCGGTGACTGGATGCCAATGGGGGAGTGGTACGGTAGAGAGGAAGAGATGCCCAGAGGACGGAGACCAGAAGGGAATTTACACTGGGATTTCATGTTTGAGCATGGAAGATTTGGTTGATGGAAAACAAAGTAGTAGAAAAGAGAAAGGAGCTTGAATGCATACCCAGCTTGTAGAATCACTGTGAACGAAGCGCGTATAAGGCCCCATAGTGGTTAGTGTTCAAACTGGCTGGATCTATAATCAAATTCTTTCCAGGACCATGGAATGCAAGACGACGTTCAATGGATTTTTGGGTTAATATACTTCAATACTATATAGATGCACACGTTCCTGTCACTGTTCAACCGCCTAACATCTTGTAACTGTTAATTTATCATAAAGATTCACCTTCTACACATGTTTGCGAACTCTCCCCCCGATGACGTCTACCTCTCTCAGCACTCAGAGCATCTTCTTCCAGCTCCCCGGTGAACTTCGAAAACAAATTCACACTTACGCACTCACCTACGAATAAGGCGTGCTAGCCAAGACCTTCCGCATACACACACAAGTAGACGTACCAAAGCCCTACGTACGAAACAGTAAAATCCTAAATGCCCCGAGGAGGAGACATTAGACCTAGTATATGATTTAACGTACGGTCACTTCAACACACCAGAGCTGGTATCGACATCTATTTCATTTCTCTTTAAGCCGTGGGGAATGCTATGCCTAGCCGCTAACCGCTGATACCACAAAACAATGCCATGCAAATGACTCTACTCCTCCTACGCCCGCATCAGAACTATGCAATACAGCCATGCTGAAGAGGGGGTGGATGAGACGATATTCCGGACCTCCAGGGCCCCGAGCGTTCTACGACAGGGACACATTAAATTCCCAGTTGCCTGTACAGTGAGTTAGCAACCATTGACCGGAGGGTTTTGCTATAGTCTGAGGGTTGTCAAGTACCTGACTTTAAGTTCTCGGCCGTATCATTGAGAAGAATGGCCCTCCTCTTCGTACAATACGATGTCTTATCCAACATATCGACCTTTAGGTTCTGCAGCTGGTCGATTGGCTTTTCAAACATTTCACTGAGGTTCTCTACGGCCATCTCAAGATCCTTTTGGTTGTCCTCGAATATCTCCGTGAGATTGTTACGGGCTAGATAGTATGCGAAGGCGTAGGTCCATTTGAGCACCTGCCGGCATTGTTGAAGTGCTTGAGAGGCTTGATCCAAAAATTGTACCTCAATCCAGGACATGCCCGAGGAATTCTGCAACTGTTGCATCTTCTTCTCCGTTTTGAGATATATGTCCTTGTCTAGCTTCGCGGACTGTTCATGATTCGCGTAGCGATTATAGTAATGTAGGTATCGCTCGAGTGACTGTCGTGATTTAGCCTGAGCGTCGCGGGCGTCTGACCCGCTCTTCTCCTCAAATCGATTGCAGTTGTACCAGCTGGTGCCGTGTTCAGACCACACACCCATACACATCCAGCAGAACTCATGACGGCACTTCCTGCATGTCATATGATTGCAACCTCCGTTCTTCTCAATAGTAGAATTGCATCTTGGGCATTCCTTGGTGTTCGCCGATATCCAGTTCGCCGTTTCTGAATCGTCCTCGCATTTCTTCATCCATCTTCTCACTAGCGCACACGGTGCCGGCTGATGGTTGTTTAATGTGCAACCAAAGCAAAAGTCGTGTCCGCAATCACAGTGCACTGTAGGCACGACTTTGCCAAGATCCTTGCTCTTTACTGGGCATTCGACGGCGTATTTGCAGTCAGGTGCTGGGCACCACTTGAGATTGTCTTTATCATCGACGTAGGTTCGTGTGAGGAGTACGTGGTATCTACGTTTGTCAAAAAAGTTCCAAAGGGCCCGCAACTGCTCACATACCTGTCATGAAGATCTTCGGTAACAAGGAGGTCAAGCGATTTCGAATCTACAATCCGTGTGCAGCCCTCTCCTGGGCATCTTATTCGTGCTGCCTCACCCTCATCTTGTATCTTGGTGCTGAGATATTGCCTATAGCAGTCTATGCAGAACCGGTGGCCACATTTCATGGCGAAGGTATCCATGTTCGGATTGTCGTCGCAGCAGATATCGCAGACGAACCCCTGGACTTTCTGTAGCTTCGGAGGATTGATTGTGGAGTCCTGTCCAAGCCCCGCGTTCTCTAATACTTCCTCCGTCTTCTCCATGTATTGATCGATCAAACGCTCCTTGTTCCATCGCAGGTGTCGGAGGAGGATGGCGGAGGCCTCGGGCGGTTGGCCGAGGATGCTCGACACTTCGTCGATTTGCTTGTCTTGCTGTCCCTGTATTTGTGCGGGGTCGAAGACTTTGAAGTCTACTTCATATGCCTGCTTGGTGGGTTTGATGTCCTTGTCCTGTGATTCGAACCCAACGTCATCTTGCTCCATATCGAAGTCGGAGTCTGCAAGCTGCAATCAGTACCAGACGCCCACGGAACAGGAAACAAGCGCTGCTTACCTTCTTCCAAGCCCATATCACTGTCTTGGTCGTCAAAATCATCCCCGCTCATGGAGCTGTTGAATTCGTCCTCGGAGTCCATCTTGTCGGAGTCGTCCGTGACGGGCGTGGCAGGTAAGTCGATGGCGTGGGATTTATGTATTTTCTTCTTCTGCGGCGGCTCTTCTGCAGGACTCAGGTGGTTATCTGCCTCAGAAGCCTTCCGCTTGCGAGCGGCGGGCGGCGTCGTGATTTAGATGTGAGCCAGTCCCGCCTGATGACGGAACCAGCCAGGCTGCGGCGAAGGAGCGACTAAACTGCGAGGGACTAGAGCGGAGGCACGCGGGCGGTGGCGCGGTACAGCTGGACAAGGCAGCAAGGCAAAGAGGGCGTGTTGGGTGGATATTGGTCAGCGTAGTTGTGCAGTCTGCAGTCACAAGGGTCGCGTTGAGTAGGTGGGTGGGCAGATGCGGGCAGTTGGTCCTGGCGGGTGTAGCCTAGCGCGCTCAACTTGGTCAACCACCGAATGAGGAAGCGGCGTCCGCGGCGGTGAACTGCCTTCGCCGCAGTTTACCTCAGGCTCAACTGCCATTCACTGTGGCGGTGCTATATATGCAGTAACTTGAAGCTTGCTGCAGCCTGGTTTTTATATTCTTGGGGAGGCTTGTACCGGCATCCTTCACATCACATACCGGGCGTATATCATGCTACTTTGCCAGGACTCAACCCGCACAAGATGAGATGCATGTGGACACCCCCAGAGAGATGATATTCCTGTCATCATAGACTGTTGAGAGCTCAAGGCCTACTCAGAGTCTCCGTCCTCTTCGCTATCTTCCTCGCTCTCCTCTTCACTCTCCTGCTGCAAAAAGTCAATCAAACCCTTCGTCTTTTCCCTCACCCTCGTCATCTCTTCATTCTCCACGCTCCTTTCGTCCTCCCACCACTGCAGCATACCGTCCTCCTCGACCGCGTCTAGCTCAACTAACTTCGTTGCTGCACTCAGTAAGATGTTCTCGCCATTGTCCTTGTGGCCAAGATCCGCTTGTAACAAGAGCATGAGGTCGACTTGATCGGCCTTGTTCGACGCGTTCTTGTCGAAGATGGCGCGATCGATGAGCTCCTTGTGTTGGCTTAAGACTTGAGTGACTGCGTTCTTAACGGGTTCACCAGACTTGATAAGCTGCGTGATGCGCTTGACAAATGAAGTAACAACTGCGCGGCGGACTTGGTGGTCGGATGCGTTCGTGCTCATGCGAAGTGCTGTAAGTTCCAGCTGAATATTTGCTGACTCGTGACCTTCGACTAGAGAATCGTATATGCTGGCTGAAGCATCGTGATCGAAGTTTGCGGCATGCTGGCTGTCTGCAGAACCTACTGACAGAAAGCTACTCGTTGCGGATCGGTCATGCCGTATCTCGAAATCGTCTGCTTCGGAGTCGGAGTTTAGAGTCGATATTGACTCGTTGGAGAGGTTGTACACTAGAATTGTCAGCGCAACACTTGTGCGTACGGAAAAGCTTGACTGACTTGGCCCAGCGGAGATGAGCCCATCTACAAGCTCATCCTCGTCTTCCTCGTCCGAATCTTGAAACTCGAACCCATCACCTTTCTGCCCAACGATTGTAGGATCCGCATCACCTCTGAAAAGATCTTCATCAAGCTCCCGCCGTCTTTTCGCTCTCGTAATTCTATGGTCTCCGCGGATCGTCACACCTTCGCTGATGCTGACGCCATACGAGATCAGCGCGCCTGCCTCGATCGTGCACTTGCGCCCGATCGCAGCCTCATTCGCGATTATAGATCGCGTCACGGTACTTCCATCGCCTACGCTGGCATAATCCCACAAATAGGCACCATCAATCTTGACATTTCGGCCAATTTGGCAGTGCCGACCAATTATGCTGTTGGTTATAACGCTCTTGTCGCCAATACTGGTCCCTCGTCCAATAACCGTCTTCGAACCAATGACGCAGTCGCGTGCTAGTATAACGCCCTCCTCTTTGTAGACATTGCCTTTCTGTAACCGGTATGATTGTCCTTGAATAAGGTTGCTGTCGGGACATAGCGGATATGCCCAGCGTGATACAATGTCTTTGCTGACCGATTCGTATGCGTGGAGATTCCGCACGCGTGCCGCATAATGATCTGCAACAATGTGCGTGTGGAAAGTCTTGCCGTTGAGCTCGTAGTCCTTCAGCACGCTGTGCAGGAAGCCCTTTCGCGGTGCTTGAAAGTCGAAGTTGTCGCTCCATAGCGCCAGCACGTCTGGTGTGCAGATGTCAATCCCGCAGTCGATCAAATCTTGTCGCACCTCGAGCTCCTGGTGGGTGGATAGGAGTTCTGGGTCGATGGAGAGGTAGTGCGTCTGGTCCCGGTTCGGCATCTGCTCGAAGTGCAGGCACCTGTCCTTTGTCGGATCGATGACGAAGACCGGGCTTGTCCCTATGGCTTTCGTCCTATGAGTGTTTCCAGCTTCCCGCAGCACCATCGTCATGATTGCATTCTTGTCCTTGGCCCGACGCTCCCTGTGTGCAGCAAGCGCAGACTCCAGCGGCAGATTGCTGACCACGTCTCCATACACCATGAGGAAGTCGCCGGTGAGCAGACTCCTGCTATCCAAATCTCGCATTGCATCGCCGATTGAGTGCGACGTTGACTGGATGAGCTCCAGCCTCGAGAACGGAGAGGATCGCGCAGCCCATTTTGAACGTGTAATGTGCTCTTCGACTTCCTTGCGATGTGCGCCGCAGTATACGAAGACTTCTTCCACGCCTGCGTTGGCTAGAAACTCGAATGTATACTCGATGAGTGGGGTATTGGCGAGGGGCAGCAAGCACTACACGCTTTTAGTATCGCGACAGCGGGCATATGGGCTGTACGGACCCTAGGGTGTTCGAGTGTGAAAGGACTGAAGCGGGTTTCGAAGGGATCTGCAAGTATCTATCTAGAATGTTAGCACAGCTTCAGGTACGCATATGCGCCAATGTAGAGCTTACCACAGCCTGAAGCGGCTCGTCGCGTTCCTCCTCGTTCGATTTGGGCTTGTCCTGGCCCTTTTTCCCCTTGGGAGGCATTGCGAAGAGTATGGGTGAACCTGCAGCTCGCTAAAGTGGAGGCGTTGTAGTTCCAGAATTGCGCACGTGGTGGGGAAGGTCGGTATGAATTTCCGTGAAAAGCTTCAAGAAACTCACCCACCACCACCGCTGACTCACAGCTCCGCGGCCAACAAGCAGGACAACCACAACCAGATCGCCGGGACCCGTTTCGCGTCACCGGGGTGGCTTTTTGCGGGAAAGCCGCGCAGCAAGGCGCATGTGTCTCCTTGTGTGTGCTCGTGCACGGCTTTCTGGCCCTGGGGCCATCGAGGTCCAGACCACCAGGAACAGCATCTCCTGGGAATGCTTATTGCAACGACAGTCCTCTGCCGAGAGATCAAAGATCCTGGCCGGGTATTGAACATGGGATGCTTGTGGAGCTGAAGTGGCATTTGAATGATTCAAGATATTCTGTCGAGTAACGAGCATGAGACTGGGACGCTACATTGTGTGATATAATAGGAACTACATGTTCACAAGAACAGAACAGTGTTAGTTGATCAGTCCGTCACGCATACAAGTATCGAATGAGTAGACTGTATCAATACATGAATTCAATATAAACTATGCCACACCTAGCTCTTAGGTGGCCCGCCCCTTCAGCTCCTCAAAACCGAAGGGAAGTGCGGAGAACTGCCCATATTCAACACTCTAAAGGGTATGTCGTGACAGATGACCATCCCAGTTCCTATATGCTTGCCCACTGGACAAGTGAGGTATCGAACAAATTTGAAATCCACTTCAGAACGCCCAGGAACCTAAAGTGATACCCTCAATGAACGCCTTTGCCTTCTCTTGCCTCTATGCTGCCAGCACCACCTGTAGCGTACAAGAGCCGGGCTCGACAATGCCGGCTCTCCAACGTATTTATTTTTCCTTTTCGATTCACTCTCCGGCTGCAATGCCCATCATCTGAGGGCAAAATCCAAGGACCAAAAACTTAAACACAGAAAAGGAGCGCTCATCGAACCTCTGCGGTGAGCAAGCTAGGCTCTCCATTGCATCATCGTGGGCGTTGTTGCATGGGATTCATCTGCTGTGGCATATGTGGAGCGTACATTTGCTGGCGCTTCGCGGGATTACTCATGTCATCGCCACCAGAAATGTCTGAGATTTGCCTGCGATGACTAGCTGGTGGTTGTTGTTGTTGCTGCTGCTGCTGTCTCGCCTGCATTTGCATCTGTGGCGAACTATTGTAACCAATATTGGCTTGCATGGGGTTGACACTGTATGCACCAGGATGCTGCACTGGTTGGCCTTGCAAAGCCTGCGCATACTCATCGGTAACAGTGCTGCCAACTGGAGATACACCTGGCATCTGGCTTGGCGAGTTCCAGTTGCTTACGGTCGCGGGTGACTTTGCGGGCGAGTCTTCCTCCTTAAGAACCAATTGCCGAGCTATTTGCACAGGCTGGGGCGCTGCCATCCCCTCTCCCTGCGCCGACGGCTTCTTAAGATGGACAAGATGCTTCTCCAGCATATGCAACAGGCCTTCCTTCGTGAAAGGTTTAGGAAGCACATCATTCATGCCTGAAATGGGTTAGTACAAAATCATTGTACAGAAAGCTAAGACTTACCATGCTGGAAGTACATTGAAATATCGTCGCTTCGAATGTTAGATGTCATTGCCACAATCGGGGTGGTGTCAAACTGTCTGATTAGATGGCAAGCCGAAACGCCATCCAGGTTTGGCATGATGATATCCATCAAAACCAAGTCGTACTTGGACCCTGCGTTCATCTTGTTCACGGCTTCCAATCCGTCGAGCTAATCGTGGTCAGCATGGCGTGCTAGTAAAAGTATGGATTGGCACTTACAGCACTGTCAATGGAGCAGTGGAAGGCATATAGAAACTTGCTTCCAATGCGCCGGCACGTGGGATCATCTTCAACCAGCAAGATTTGGGGGGGACGAATCCAGCCGGGGTCTGGAATGGTACTCTTTTTTCTTCCTTCCAGAAATTTAGGCTCGGCAGCATCAACAGCCTTTGGTGGAGCTGCATAAGGGATGTTGTTAATGTGCTCACTGTACATGGGATCGATACCGTTCGATTGGCCGACTGGGTAGACCAGGTTATCCAGATTTTCGAGGCGCATGGAGCCAGCTGAGCTTGCCGATGGTGGCCCGCGACTTGTAGGTCGGACTGCTGCCCGCGCAAAGTCTGGCGGCGGTGTTGTCAATGTGCCGTTCATTCTCATGGTGATCTCATTCATTTGTTCCAGGTTTCTTGGGTTCAGCATAACATCGGCGTTTGTCTCGCTGAGAAGCTTGGAGGCATGCTGCAGAGGTGAAGCAGGGTTGTCATCATCGGCGGCCTGATTGGCACCCTCGATATTGCCGTTTGGCGGTTGCGCGCCGTTGGGGCCAAAGCTCAGTTTGCTGTTCCTCCTCTGCGTTGCGTCTACCCCATGCAAGAAGGTCATGATCTGCTGCATGACATGCTCATGGTTGACAACTGTCTTTTGCAGGCCGATGACTTCCTGCAACAGCATGGAATGATGGATGCTCAATTCGTTGTATCGTCCCTCGAGCGCATGCAGTTGCGCTTGTGTCGCCATCAATTGTCCGCTCACCATGTCCATCTGTTGCGATGGGACGAGCATGTCCGTCTCGTTCGGTTGGTTGGGTTTGCGCGGTGCGGGTGCTTTTCGCCGAATATTGTCGAGCGCATCTTTGTTGTTCATCTTGAAGTCTGGGTGCTTGAATTCCCACGCCTAGAAACGGTTAGCATACGCAACCATGGGGGAGATACGCTTTTGCGAAGGTGGTATAAAACCTACCCCAGGCCCATATGGCGACTGCCCGTTCTCTTCATTATTATGCCTGACTTTGTGGAAGTCATATTTGTTCAGTTGGCGGACAAAGCTTGCAAAGTTGCTGTGCTTGAAATGCTTGGGAAGTATATGTTTCGTAAACTTTTCGTTCTGCCCGGTTGTTAACCACCACCCATGCCTTCTCCATTGCACCAACAAGGCGATAACGTACTTCTAGGACGACGAAACTATCGCCATCGTTTCCCCATCGTACGACGCTCTCGTCGCTCGGGTTTTCCAGCATCCTATCGCGCAGGTCAGCACCAATAAGCGATAAAGTCCGATAATCCGGTTGACCTACTTGTACAACTTGCGCACCTAAAGAGTTGTTAGCGCTGTTCCTCTCCAGAGACGGCCATTGCGAACGTACAAAGTCGCTGGAGTTGCTCGACCCGGCACCCCCCGCCTGATTAGAGTCCATGATGGCGCTGAATGACAAAATGCTGCGACTCGATGGCCCTCCCTCCCGATCCCAATGGTTGCGCGACGATGGTCGAATAATACTCGGGCGAGTTTCAAGGAGTAGTGGAAGATGGACTGCTGCCGACGAGAAGGTTTAGCACTTGGACCCAGCCGCAATGGAGAGGGCGGTGGGCGGCGCGCAAGGCTCAGGTGTGCAGCGCAGCGTATGCGCTTGGAGGGTCTCTTGGCCGTGGCGATCGAAATAGGGTCGCTAATGACGAAATCAGCGAACATGGGCGAGCCCGAGGTCAGGCGGGTGGGATGCAGAGGACGAGATCTGGGCCTTTTGGTGTAAAAGACAAGGAGACATGGGCTCGTGGCATCTGAGCGGGCGTTTTCAGACTAAATGGCCCTAAAGCAGGTTAATTGAGCTCAAGAGGAATGCGAGTTGAGCGTGCGCTAGTTTTGTCAAGCCAAGCGGGAGTGCTGCCGAGGACAAGGCCAGGGTATGTGTGTGTGTCTGTGTCTGTGTCTGTGTGCATGTGGGATTCGAAAGAAAGGGTTGGATGGCAAAGAGCCATTCTTGAGGCGGGCCGCATGCAATTTGTATCTACACAATGTCTCTTTGTCCATGCCATGCTCTGGGCCAAACTCGCTCTGGGGTTGAAGACACCATGACATGGCCAACGGGTTACAACCGCCATGGCAGCTTTGGGAGAAGAATCCCAAGGGTCGTCATGGACAAGCCCCCCAAAACCACTGAGTCCCAGCGCCGGGTGACGATTTTAGAGCGGCCGCCTTGGGGTGCGATCTGCGCCGAAGCTGTGTCGACTCGTCGGCGCGAGAACACGGCACGTAGAATTATCTGCAATCTGCGACCGCCACAATGCTCGCTTGATTTGACAGCGACCTGTGGACCAGAACAACACGGCCCACCTTTCAAGTTCAAATTGCCCACTTCCATTCAACAAGGAGAAAAAGTGCTCCTGCCGAGTGGTGGTCGAGTGCCCTTGCCGCATCCGAACATGTCAGTTAGCCACAATTTCCAGTGGGTGCATGCTCGGGCGCGCTACCCAATGGGAGCCTCCCCGGCAAAACAACCTCCACCAAGCTCCCGGGCCTCCCAACCACCTACGCCATCGACAGCTCGACTCTCCAACTACAAGCGACGATACACATCTATTCACCCTCCATCATGTTCGCTACCGCCCGCCATCTGCCCGTGGCCCGCTCGCTCGCCAGCCGCCGCCTTTTCCACGCGACGGCTCCTGCCTTCGTCAAGGTGGGCGACAAGCTGCCCAGTCTTGACCTGGTCGAGGGTTCGCCTGGTAACAAGGTCAACCTCGCAAACGAGTTGACTGGCAAAGGCGTCATCATTGGTGAGTGCCTGGCAGTAACCCAAACCCCCTCCATAGAACATCGCCTGACTGAAGAACGCGTCTAGGAGTGCCAGCTGCTTTCTGTAAGTGTCTACGTACCGACTGCAGTGTCAGGCCTTCACTGACTTCGGCCCTTCTTTCCACGCAGCGCCTGCTTGCTCTGAGAATCATATTCCCGGCTACATCAACTCGACCAAACTCAAAACAGCCGGCAAAGTCTTTGTTGTGTCAGTAAATGATCCATTTGTTGTAAGTATATCGAGCATCTCCGCAAGTTCACCTTTTTTCGAGACTGTCTCGGAAAGCGGTGACACGCTTGCTCGCTTTGACGCGAGCATGACCACCATGGGGTGAATACGCAAGACCTCGCCGCGTTGCCACCTGCATGCACAATCTCGGTCCATGTCTCAACTGGATTGTTTTTCTCAATCAGTTTCTCGAGGCTAACCAAGCATAGATGAAAGCGTGGGGTAAGACCCTCGACCCGTCGGGCTCTAGTGGCGTAAGTGTTCCCTTGCATCCACCTGGGACATTTAAACTGGCATGTTCAAGGCAGTGTGCATCGTGATACTGATTCAGATAGATTCGCTTCCTCGGTGATCCTAGTTTGGCTTTTACAAAAGCCCTTGATCTCTCCTTTGACGGTGCTTCGATCTTTGGTGGCGATCGCTCCAAGCGATATGCCCTCGTGATTGAGGATGGTGCTGTCAAGGAGGCGCATGTGGAGCCAGACAACACTGGCTTGAATGGTTTGTACCATCATTTTCTTTTCATTCTATCATTGTCGGTTCAGAGTGCTGACCAAACATAGTTTCTGCTGCCGAGAAAGTTCTATGAATGCCTGCGACTCTGAAGAGATCGGAAGACACCCTGTGAACAATTCTTGGCATACTATTGTTCTGGGTAGGCCAACCTCAAACAATGCTTGTTCGCATTTGCTGAAAACAGGCTTTCGATCAACCTGTAAGGTAAACAACCACACAGGATCATGGGGCGATTGTCCATGACTACCATGGTGATGGCGAGCACGAAATTGTAGTGGCAATGTCACTATCATTCATCAATCCCTGAACTAGTCCGTACAAACCACTTTTTGTAGGATTTGGTAGGATGTTGCAGCATGCAGATGTCCTGTAAAAATACAAGCACCTTGCTTGCCTTTACATCTCAATTTCTTGCTCACACCAAACTTCGTCTTGCCTTTGCTTTCGTTGACGTTGAGAAATCGCTTCCAATTAACCATTTCCCCTATCCTATGGGTTTATTCCCTGGTACCCAACCAGTGGTTATCCCTTCATGTCATTAACCAGGATTATGTCTAGTACTTGGCGAAAAGCCCTTTTCATTTCCACAAAAATCCTGATGATGCAAATTTAATCCACAGCTGTAGGACAACCTACGATCTGTGCCTCCACATTACAAATCATATATTCACCCCCCTTTTGTCCATATACATACCACTCAATATTCAGCACCATCTTACTTGATGGGACTGAAGTCACTTGGGTGTATCAAGCTGCATAGCTTTGCTAATGCAACATTTCACGCTGGAAGCATTTCCCTTCAAACCTCAGTCGCCATGAAGACACATATGAAAAACCAATCTAGCAATAAGAGAAGATTTGAATAAGAGCATCTGCAACTTGGCGATACTACAGAACGCGTAGTATCCGCGTCACGACATCGTGATATCCGCGTTCGGCCGTGGGAAATACGACCACTCAAATTCTAGCTCTCCTAAAACGTAGTCATACCTGGATTATAACACCCCGATATCGCTCTCTCTCTATATACTGTCACTTACTGGTACACCTACATCGATTCGGCGAGCAGCTTGTGGCGCGAGGTTTGCATGGTTTGAATCACAAGCTTTGCAGTGGTACTCGGTGCCTTAGGGTATTGAGATACCAGATATTGCCACAATGGCAAAAGCTCACTACTGTTCTATTGAGAATCCTTGCGGACCATCAATCAATGTAGTAACGGCTCTCTGCAATTGCAACAGACTAACTGAGCTTCGGAAGTAACCGTTTGCAGTACAGCGGGGCTCGAGGATCTCAAATACAGATATATCTCAACCGACCAGGGAAACGGTCGGCTTGTGAAACGAGAGATGTCCGATATCAATCCCGAGAAAACTAAAGCTCGGATAGCGGTGTTGTGTTCACTCTTATGCTATCGAAAAATTGGACGCACTGATTCCTATCGCGAAGCACTATAGTCTGTGATGGGAAACAGTCCCACAGCTTGATGAATACTAACTTCAAAGAATGACGACGAGCTTGAATAGCAACTCGTATCTACGTAAAAGTATCACCGAGACTAAATTCCTGCGATTGCACCAATTTCTCCTTGCTTTATAACACGTGTCTTCTTCTTGGGCTTACGAACTAGCAAAAGCACAGGAGCCCAAATCCTGCTTCTTCGCAGGAACATGCGGGCTTATATCGAAGTCGAAAATGTCCATTGGAAGACCCATCGTCGTGCACACATTTGGTATATCCACGATTCCTGCTACGTGTCCCTGAACGGGTGCGCAGGAGAGCAGGAGGTAGATCTGATAGTCGTTGTAGCCTGGTATGCAGTAAGTATACAATGGCAAACGAGGATAAAAAAAGCTCACCATATCTCCTCAGATACTCAATGACCCTCAAGCTTGTCTGACGATAGGCCACTGTCGCATCCATATAATGCTGCTTCCCATGCTCGTCGACCGAGAAACCCTCGAAGTAGATATACCGCCCAGGCCCAAACTGCGGCTCCACGGGCCCAGGGACGTAAATGGGCGACTTCATACCCAACTGTTCGACGCCATTCTTCATGACGCTGAACTTGAGCGTAATGACGCCCGCCATTTCAATCGCGCCGCAAAAGGAGATTTCGCCATCACCTTGGGAGAAGTGAAGATCACCCACGCTGAACTTTGCGCCCTTGACGTGCACAGGTAGGAAGACTTTGCTGCCGCGCGAGAGGTTCTTGATGTCGCAGTTACCTCCGTGCTCCGGCCGGCCGGGGATTGTTCTCGCGCCCTCTTTGCCAATCTTCTCTTTCAGATCCCCGTCAGCGGAACCAGCATGTACGGACTGGGGGTTTGGTGGCTCCGCTACGACACGGCCTAGATGTGAGTGTGTGGATATGAGCTCGCCTTCGCGTCTGTTCCACTCTGCGAGGACTTCGGCGGAGGGTGCGCATCCTAGAATGCCAGGGTGAATGAGGCCTGCGAAGCGGACGCCTGGAATGTGCCGGGAGGAGCAGAATATTCCCTCAAAGTCCCAGATCGCCTTTGCCCTATTGATATATACATTAGCCTGGTTCTTTTCTCCCTTAAATCTACATGGCAACTTCATTATTCATGGGATGTAACTTACGGTTTTGGATAAATCTCATCCAGGAATCCACCACCGTTTTCTTTCGAAAACACGCCTGTAAAGCCCCATGGTTGCTCCTGCAACGGCTGCACATCTTGTATCTCCACAACCAGCACATCACCTGGCTCTGCTGTCTCAATCTCAAAAGGGCCAGTCAGGTAGTGGATCTTAGTCAAGTCCACATCGCGAACATCATCGGCGGAGTCGTTGTTGCCGATTTGACCACCAGTCCAGTCTACACATTCAATCTTGACCTACGGTGTGAAACAAAAGTTAAGCCATGTTGTGCAAAGTATATGCTACGCGGGCTGTTCACTTACGACTTCGTTGTTTTTGATGGTTCCGTACACAGGATTATCGGGATGCCATCGGTTCTAGACTAATTAGCTGTGCGTGAACTTCAAAACTGCTCAGGCTGGTTGAATCACTGACGTGGATGCACTCTTGCTCTGCTGCTGGCTTGTCCAGAGACACCTTTGCAGCGTATCGAAGGCCTTCTTTACCCATTTTGAAAGGCTAGAGCTGGATCAGACCTGACAAAGACGATGAAGCAATTCGATCAACACAGTAGGCTAAATAAAACGAGACTGCAGAAATATAAAAAGACTTAGAGCGAGCGAGGGAAATTCAAGACCACTCGAGGGGCATCGCACATATAAAGGCAGCGAACGCGGGGAAAGTTACGTTTCAAGACGTCCATTGCTATCTCCTCTATCCCAACTCCCGAGGAGACAACCCATCCCAGGCAGCTCCAAGGAGACGATAAGCCTCTAGATAGGAGCTGTTACGTTACGTACCATCGAATGAGCTCCTAAAGCTCCCAAGCTATCTACCGCATCTGGAAGTGGTCAACCCCACTGCGGGGTATCCTAAGATATATACCATCATCGTGCAGCGCTAAGCAGCTTGACGACTGGTAGCCGGCGTGCAAGCGCCTATATTTCGAGTTGGTGGCCGTGCCCATATGAGAGAGATGCATGTTTGCCATTTGTCAAACGGCATTTCTCTACACGCGGAGAGTTTCCTATTTTACCCGTATCACTCGAAGACCTAGCTGAATGTCTTCCGCGGCGTCTGTCGGACATCTGACTCAAATGCAGGTTTATGCATCGCGATGTTATATGCGTCCATGTTATGCAAGGACAGATTCAAGAACTCATGCTTGTTCTTCCAGCGAAGCGAATCCTGCTTAAACTTCTCGGCTTCAGTCGGTGGAAGAGGAGGCTCAGTGATCTTGGTGATGAGGTAGGCGGTTGATGCTTCAGCGAGACCGTATATGAGGACGCCAACGAGCGGAATCTTAACGAAGATGTAGAAGCCAAGGCCGAATCCAAAGAGCACGCCAGCACGGTCTTTGAACCACAGCTTCTTCTGGTCTTGGGTGTAACGAACGCGCGCAAAGTAAGGTTCAAGCTGAGGCATGTCAGCAGTTGCAGTCTAAAAGAGAGACGCAAATAACGTACCAGCTCACGCATTAGGGTGCGAGAGGAGAAGTAAGCCTGTAGGAACGAAACCAGATATCTTCGCGGAAACAGAAGAAATGCAGCAAATATGGCTGCTGCAGGTTGTGTTCCCACAGATTTCCGGAACGTGTAGAAACTGGCAGCAGGCAGAACGAAGCGACCTACGTACGGGACGTAGGACAAGGCCAAGACTGCCAACGAAATGCCTGCTTTCCGACCTTGCCTAACAGCATAAATCATCAAAGCTTGCTTCAAGGGTGTCTTCTCCTTGTCCGTTCTCGGTGCGTGCATAGGGTATTGTTCGAGGTTCTGGTGATATAGGGCTCGGAGGTTATGAGGATCTTCGGTCTTGTGTTTCTGTACGTAGGTTTGATCGACCCAACGAAGGGAATCCATGAACCTGGGCATTTTCATTAGCTTGATTCGTTGGAATGGATGGGAAGCTTACATCTGGTCCAGCGTGGGAGTGACATAGCGCATCATAGTCATGAGGAAGAACGGGACCTGCAGGACGGTGTGCTCAAGGAAGTGCAGTCCATCCACGACACTTTCGTCCCAGTGCGTATGGTCCATGTTGACAAAGAGTGATAGAATCCATAACAGTACTCGTACGCCGACGACCTGAAGATATTAACACCACTTTCGTGCGGTTCTTTTCTTCGCCATGTTGCAAAGAGCTCTTGTGAAGGGAAGCAAAGACATACGGGTATAGCAACGATGACACGGATGGCGATGCCAGCAGCCACAGCGATAGCAGCTTGGCGGTAGTGATCTGAAGTGAAGAGGCCTGGGTTCTGGAGGGCTCGGTTTACTGCAAGCACATATCAGCATATTCTCGTGGGCAGCAATACCAACATGGACAGAACACACCGCCAACGAGCGTCAGCTGGGCCCCTCGCAGGATGGCATTAGGGTCAAAGTTGGACACATCGAAATTCTCCATGTCTGTGGGCCCAGTCGGTGTCGTTGTGGTCTGGTCAGGGCAGCAAATTGGCAGTAGACTCGCTGACGGTGCGAAGATGCGAACATGATGCGGGAGGGTGAGGGCCATGACGTACGCAGGTTAGAAGCCCGCGCGTCTATGGGGCCATTCACCGCTGCATGCAAGCAGTGGACGCGTTGTGTACCGCTCCATTCCGTGCGCAAATATTACATGCGCCATTGCTGTAGCCGCCCACAGTCATATTGTCTGTCATCGGAGAAGAGCGTCTTGAAGTGCGGGCACATGCCGATGTGCTGATCACAGTGAAACTCGAGCCTACTCGCCAAGCCGTTCCGAGTAAGGGACATCTCGAAGCCTTCCAGCCTCCACCATCCCTCTCAACACAATCAAATCAGTTGCACAGTCGCTGGACGCTGTACTTCTCCAAGCGATCCTCGACCCGAACACGTCGAACACCGCAGGACCGCAATGTTCACCTGAAGCGCCCATCATGTCGTCTCCGGCTTCGTCGAAGACTCCCGAGCACGCGCCCCGGCCCGCCGCCTCGAATGCCTCCCACATCCGGCGCAGCTTCACGCTCCCCGCGCGCGTCACGGCAAGGCCTGCACCAGCGCCGGCTTCCACAAACAGTGCAGATGGCATCGAAACGCTGTTCATCTGCTCAAGCTCCAAGATCGTCTCCTTCACCGCCACGAGTCCCTCGAAGCGCCAGTCGCCCACTCGCGCGACACGCCACCAGGACGGGCCATCGACTTCTTCGATAGCATGGACGTCGCCCACAGAGCGCACCCTAGCTGTTGGTAAGCTGTCCCATACGTTTCCGCATGCTGGCATGATCGACTAATCGTTTGCAGGTGTCCTACGCATCTATCGCGTGACTGCATCCAATGTCTCATTCCTGAACTCAGGCAATCTCCTCCATACCATCTTCCCAAGATCACAATGCTGGTGCGTCGACAACCAGTCCGTGTTTGTGCTCAGGATCCGCCAGGACTCTTACTACCGCATGGAGCTGCCATATGAGACGGAAGAGGATAAAGACAAGATCACACAGTTCAAGTTAGCACTAGGCCGGGTGCTCCAGTACGAGAAGACACAATGTCCGTTTATGCGAGGCTTCGAAGTCGAAGAGCCTGAGCGTCCCAAGACTCCGCCACGCCGGCGCCTGAGAAAACAACCCACGCCGAAAGTGAAGAAGTGGGTGTTTGACAAGGCGTGGGCACCAGAGAATGGTCCGAGGCCTTCTACTCCTATACTAGAAGGTTCAGACTGTGGTACTACTTCTTCGTACGAAGACGATGATCGGTCGAGCATCTATACTGAAAGCAGCGAAGTAGACACCGAACCACCCGAGACTGTCTTATATTCGACGCCTCTGAAGCCGACCCTACGTCGGCCATCGGTAGCAGAACGGGCGAGTGTCTTCCAAAGCCTATGGCCGGCTACGACGCCAACAGGAAGAGATCGCGGTGCATCTATGTCTGCTATGGGGCGTATACCTGAGTCGCTGCCCGAGAAAGCGATGCCTAGCGACATGAAGAAACCAGTCTTTGAACGCCACGTCTCCGATGCCACCAGTCTGCTATCAAGTGCAGACTCATTCTACTCTCTAGGTACACCCACCCCTTCCCCACCTTTCGTGGATGCCGAAGCCGATCTGCTCAACCCGTGGGCGGCAAATTCTCTGAATCAGCAGGATGAGGGGAGAGGGCGTTCGTTACATCGCCGTCAAATCTCAGAAGTCACCGTACGAGCATGTTCAGCCGATCACACTAATCCGTCCGTTCCTGTCACGCCTACAATTCCTCTCCATCCTACCACAACACCAACAATCGATGTGCGCCCATCATCGGCACCATCGACACCTCCTCTAGTCAGCGATTCCGACGATGATAGCATCGAGCTTCCAAGCCTAGATGTACCTACACCTCCGGACGCCATTCGCATGAAGCGGCTCACAGGAGCTTCACAAAGGCGAGCATTCTCCCCCATGCCGCACGCGCAGAATCTATTCTGTCCACCCAGACGCAACCATGGGCAAAACTTCACAAACGCTTTGGTCCGCAAGACTAGTGAGCTTGTGCTTGGACCGCCAGCATATCTAGTCTCGCTTATGCTACGCATTGCCCAAAGCATCTCGAATGGCTTTGGTTTTAGTACATATCATGTGCGACGCACCGAAAAGATCCCTTGCTCGTGGGAGTCCGACGACGAAGCCGGATGGCATGAAGAAGATGATTTTGGTATCCCACTTGGGAACATTAGAGGTGGAGCTACGCAGAGACGAGCCTTTTCAGGCGAATTAGATTGATTTTCAGCAACCAAGACGGATGTTTTGGGGAACGAACTACTTGCATACTCCGTGGATGATACCAGGCGTTTTATTACGTTTACATGTTTGCATTTACAAGGATAGGAAAGCGTGATTTGATTTTGGTATTCAGTTGCTGCATCTGTAGGATGATATTGGCGTTTTCTGGAGGGACTCGAAGTTATGAAATATTCACCTAACGTCACATTTAATCGCTACGAATTAGCTTAGTACTATACACAACAGTCCTTACGAACGTAACAAGAGCAAGAATATAAAACCTATAAATTCAAATCCCCTAAACAAAGCTAAGAATATAACTATCCAACGTTCGTAAGGCATAATCTGTAGCAATGGTGAGGCAGTTGTATATGATACAGACTGTGTATAAAGATTGTATAATTGGCAACAAGATCGATCATTGTAAACCTCGATAGGTTGTAGCAAACAGTAGTGATAGTGACCCCCAAACTCAGAACTACACACGGCCCTTCCTTCGCTAGATTGCTGATGAAGGTTCTCTTTAATGAAGACAAAAGAAGGAAATATCAGTCCTTAAACCGATTCCGATGTGCGTCGCGTTCATACAAAAGGCTCACTTTGCTCTTTACTCATGATGGTATTAGGTCCATCAACTTACCACGATTCTCCCCGTTCGCTTTCATGAAGGCGCGTCTGTCTCCAACGGGGAGACTTGCGTACTCTCTTCCAAGCTCCGACTCCTCGGGTATATAATATATGTGCAGGTCGATAACCATGCCATGCCTTGTGGGTCGCTGGAGCTTCTTGCTAGCGGATTGATCAGACGGTTGACCTGAGGACGACGGAGGTGTTTGTTCATCTGCTGGTTGGCTCGAGGACGCAGATTGTTGCTCTTGCTTTGACTGATCAAAGACGCCGGCCACATGTTCATTCAACGGCTGGATCGAAGCCATAGTGGCTGGGCAGAGGGAATATTGTTATAGACGCTGCAAGCTTAGCAGTAGATGTTGGATCGACAGCTGTATCGTTGTTCTCTAGGAGCTGAAGCTTCGCCAATCTCACCCCTGCTCAGCTTGGCCTTCACCGACCAGTCGCCTAGAAGTCATTGTTCTCCGAACTGTCGCAGCAGCAAGACTATATCCCAAATGTCTTTCTAAATCAGGTCTAGAGGTCCTCATGTGTACACTACTGTGGTGTCGTCATCAATCGTTCATGCCTTTCGTGTTGCGCCGACTCCGCACATTTCCCACTACACCACTACACCATGCATGCTCACTCATATTCAGCTCATCAGCCCAAGTTAACTAGCGCCCAGTTTCGAATGCAGCTACTTTCTCACCGTCGTCGATCGTATTATGCGTTCGCATGGGCGATCGCGACGCAGGGTAACTATAGTCCCCAGCCACGCAACCGTCCCAGCCAGCCTATTTTCCTCTAGCACTCTCCCACCCAATGACAGCTGCCTTTCTCTGTCATGTCCTCGCAACTATGAGGTGAGCAAACCAGGTTTACACTGACCGACGTTTCCACGATAATCCCACGATAAAGGTTCTGGAGGTGGCGGGTGACCCCGCCTCTCTGTTTATCTAGTCCATGGAACCCTCACGCGACGATACTTGTGTCTTGATGCTTTGTCTACAAGCTCACCTGCCTAACTATATTCTACTAATAACCTATCTGTGTCACTCGCTAGTGGTTGAACGTCGTCTTGAGAGAACCTGCAAATCACGGTCGACAACCTGAAGGGATGGCATACACTGGGACGCTGCGACGGACCCCTCCGCTACCACACCGAGATCCAATTCGACACTTCTCCCAATCCGAGAAGCTACCTGCTCTACTAGATGGATCATACCAGATCGAGGTAGATCTGTTGCCAAAACCGTTGTTCTGCAGAAGGATAACACTACCGTCGAAAGCCCTACACGTCTCTACTATGGAAATTCCATCACCCATGTCATCAGACACCCGATCTTCACCTGCATCATCTATTTGCTCCTCAGATGCAAGTGTGTCTTCGTCACCACCATCTACGCCATCAACATCTGCTCCCAGCTCACCAGCATCACGAACGCGATCTCTGACGTATTCTTCTCCACCTTCGGCATGGTTCATCCCACCAGTTGCTCCAGACCCTACTCCCAAGCAATCATTGAGGAGGAGAAGAAGCCCTAGACAAGAGACACTGAGGAGTTTAAGAGCGAAGGAGTCCGATGCATGTTTACAGAGGATGTGCGATCAGCGAGTGTCAGCCTACCTCGACGGATCCATGTTCGAATGCAAGAAGCCGGGTTCAAGGCTAGCGATGGAAATTGTTGGTTGGGAGAAGTGATGGTGAGTCTTCAAACCCCTCCTTTGTGCAAGTCGAAAGTACTGACTCTTTGCAGGTAATTGCTAGCGTAACCACCGTTGACATGGTTGCCTTGCTGAGTATGACTGATGAGTACGACATTGATGAAAGGAGGTATGTATAGCTTAAGGACGATCATGATACCACGTTCGGCGTTCTGATGACCCTTAATTGTGTTTTAATGGTCCCCCAAGGCGTACGGGGAGCAACGCTCATGTAATATCAGCAATGGAATACAACACCAGGACTCCAGTTCTATCCAAATCCTGGCCCCTTTAGTGCCAACCCCAGGCGATATTTAGTCACATGTGCACGCCGCAGAGCCTCAAGCGCGGTCCATGCAGAGCTTACATCAGCCAGGCTGCCTCCTGCTGACCTCCATTGCAACACAGCTGAGGGCGCAGCTGCATCGCGCAGCAACAAGTATTGGCTAAGCATCTCGCAATTCGCTGAGCATTGGTTGCCTTCTTCTCTGCTACACTTCGCTCTTTGGCTCGCTATTTGGCACGCAAAATGCCAATCGATGCATTTGAACTCAATAATTAGTGTGGCTGCGCCGCATATCCGTGATGGCGCAGCGCGTAGCCAAACGTGTGCAAGGCGCCCCTCACTAACGCTCCAGCGGCAAGCAATCGCCTACTTTTGGCCCCTACTTTAGGACCCCGTGCTGCAGATGCAAAATTAGTGCACACCGCACTGCGAAATGTGTTACAAAGTATATAGGGTAGTTTGGCCCCAGCTTCTCATGATTTCCGTGGTGGAAGGCGTCACCTGGGTTACTTCTGCAACCATCACAGCCCATTAGGCAACAGAACCAGAGGGGAAGAGGACAACTGACTCACAACCCTCTCGCCACAGCTACACGTAATTGCGAGAGGCCTCTAGGGGAGTAGATATATAAGGGTCGAGATCTACGGTCAAAGTCGATTACATTCGAGTGCCGCACGATTCATCCAAGCAAGCACCCGAGAAGCAACCTCAAGTCACCCAGGCTGCTCGACAAAGGTATTGAAGGAAAGTTGACACTTCTGAGAAAAATCGCCTGTCTAGGCTACAAGAAGACACCATGGAGCTCTCGAACTCGGAAAGAAACCCACAGGCGCCGTTGCGCTTGCTATCGTTAGACGGAGGAGGAGTAAGAGGATTATCATCGTTGATGGTCCTTGACGACCTGATGGAGAACATAGCACTCGAAGAGAAGCGAATAGGTCGGCGAGCACAGAACAACCACGATCCTCTGAAACCGTGCGACTACTTCGATCTGTAAGTGTTGATCCACCTATCAAGCCTCAACAGTACAAAACGCTAATCAACCCATAGCATCGGTGGCACATCTACTGGCGGCATAATTGCCATTCTTCTGTCACGGCTACGCCTAGATTGCAAGCAGTGCATAAGTATCTATACAAAGTTGGCTGAGAAAATCTTCAAACATGACCGGTCGTTCAAGGCTTTTGGCATGAAAGTTCCAACTGGCGCTACTCGTTTCTCAGGCGTTGTGCTGGCGAATGCCATCAAGTCAGCCTTGAAGGATCTGGGATACAATGAGAATGAGCTCATGTGGGATGAAGCACTCTTTGAAGAAGTTGAAGAAGCCAATGACCTTCCAAGAGATAGCATATGGGCGGATCAAGCACCCGACGTCTTGATTTCCGAGAGCCCAGTGGCTACCATCAAAGCCGCCGAGGGCGCGTTGGCTTCTGGACCACCAGGACAAGCACAGAACGCTGTCAACGCATCGCGAGCTGCGTCAACGTTATACAGCGATAGTCCTTTCTCTCCAAAGAGAATGCCGTCCCGGAGCGATACCTGGAAGCTGCATCCAAGGCAATCGGTCCACAGGAAAGCAAACGCGAAAGGCTGTCGCGGCTTTGTACTTACATCTCTCAAGAACGCTCTCGGACTGCCAAGGATACTCTCAACTTACGATCCGAATGACCGGACGACGCGGATTTGGGAAGCTCTAAGGGCTACTTCTGCAGCCCCGACGTTCTTCGAAGAGATGCAATTCGGCACTCCTAAAGTCACTTACCTCGACGGTGGTGTAGGCTTCAACAACCCATGCGCGGAAGTTGACTACGCTGCAAAAGCCCTTTGGGAAGGGCGTTCGATTGGAGTCATAGTTTCAGTCGGCACTGGTCTCCAAAGCATACCCAGCGTCAAGAAGATGGCTTCATGGCTACCGTTCGGTCTCGGAACTGACATTTCTTTGGCCTCTGCTTTAGCAGGCATGGCCACCAGCACCGCACGAGTTGATAATGAAATGAAGCGTATGTACAACAATTCGGACACCAAATACTACCGCTTCGACGTCGACCGCGGCCTCGCAAACGTCAGTCTCGAGCAGTGGATGAAGGAAGATGAAATGGCTTCGCTCACAGAACAATACATGCGCGACGGGCAGCAAATCCGCAACGCAAAGGAGTTCGGCGAGATCATGGCGAAGCTCTCCGCCCTACCACCAAAATTCGAAATCGGAGCTACGCACTTCCGCCTAGGTATCGACGGCCGCGGCCTCATAGACCAATCTTTCCAACTCATCAATGTCGATTTCAAAACTGGCATGCCGCTAGGCGTCGTCTCTCAACTCTCAGACCTCCCCCGCATGTCACAGTTCCGCACTTCATCTCCTAGTGGGGAGGGTGGACTGACAGTAGATGAAGATGGCCGTTTGAAGAAAGTTTACCCTGTAGCAGAGGACCTCGACCACGATGGGCGAAGAGAAGAAGCAGCAGTCTACCAATGCGTCTGCGCCGACAACGTCTGCCTGAGAACGATCAAGAGCGGCATACCACAAGGTAAATACAAGGTCCAGTTTATCGTCGCTTTCCACAATACCACTGCGTCCAACTCTCCGCCTCACGACCTTGTCTTTAGCGTGGGTAAGCCATTCGACCCAACTACGTTCAAGAGTCGTTTTGTGGATGCAAGGATTACACCGGACGTTGTACCCGTCCTACTACATCCTGATGCAGTGAGAGTCCGTGTAGGTAAGGAGCGATATGAAGGAAACAAGGGGAAGGGGTGGCAGGAGATTGAAGGAGACGTGGAGGTTAGTGTGGGACTGGATGGGGCGCTAGGTTTCATTGTAAGTAAGAGATATAAGAAGGGTGTTTCTGTTGATGGGTGGAGCTTCGGCGGTGTGAGGCTGGAGCCTGTTTTCGGAAGTGCAGGGTTGCTAGGAAGTCCGTGGAGCCTGAAGTAAGCGAATGAATATAACTGTTGTGAGAGACTGCAGGTGAAAGGGATGTAGTTTAAAGGAGTTAACCTAGGGGGTGGCGTTGCGTTTGGTCATTTTGCTTTTATCGATCGGGGACCTTTGATGCATGTTTAATGATGATCAGAATCAGCGATACAAATAGTGAAGAAATCAGACATCATTCTCGAGCCACGGTTTCAATTCAGATACTAAGCATTGAGTTTCAAAGCTTTCCAATTGGAAAAGCTTTTATCTTCCTCTTCTTTATTGTGCCATGGTTAATCGTCACTTTCAAATCACCCCCATACTAAGCCAACCAACATACACACTAAGAGTCAGCCTATCGTTGTCTCTGATCCGTCCGCACTCTTCTTCGGAATGTCTACCAAGCCTCTCTCGTCTCTAACTCGCCATTGTATCGCCCTCGCAAGCTGATATAGCACTTCAAGGGTCGGCATTGGGACACCCGCATTCTTGCCCTCCCTAAGCGGCTCGCCTACTAGGTTTTCAAATTCAATGAAGTTGCCCTGTCAATGTCAGTTATAACTCCACGACCCACTTGCTAGAAAATAATCTAGAATTTGAGCAGAAAAAGCCGGTCGTGGGGACAAAATACCTTCTCCAAATCCTGCTGCATACTCGGCTTCAAATAGCTCTCCAACGGATCCGCATTAATCGTCCATTCCACGATGCCCTCATCCAACTCCACCCCTGCGCACGCTTTCGCCGCGGCAACAATCTCTTTCATTGCAGGCTTCACCAAGCCCTCCACTCCTCCATCCGCAAGTCGTATCCTCCCAGAGTCCAGCCCCGTGATCGCACAGATAGGGTTGAGACTAGCGTTATACACAAGCTTCTTCCATCGGTCATATAGCACATCCGGACTATACGTGACATCTGTCTTCCCACTCTTCCCGTACAACTCGACAAACTCCTGCGCTCTCCTCTCCCCAACGGCAGGGTTGATATTTGAAGTCTTAAACGCACCAACCTTTAGCTTCTCACCCTCGCCGTGGATAATGTGGCCCGGGGAGGGCTCATCACTACCGATCATGGATATGCCAGAAAGAACAGGTATGTTTGGATGGGAGGTAACGAAGGGCTTCTCGATGTTAAGGCCATTTTGGTAGAGGAGAAGAGTTGTGCGGTTGCTGTTTTTGGGCAAAGCGGGGGTCACAAGGTCGAGTGCGTTGGGTGAGATGTCGGGAATGTTTTTCGTAGCCAGAATAACATAGTCGTATGGCTGTAATTCTTCTTCGGTGATGTTGGGAACGGTCTTGCGCACTAGTCTAATGTTAGGTTATGCCGGGGCGTCTCCTCCACGAACGTTGTCATGAACCGAAAGAGAAAGAAGATGTTAATAACACACCTACACTAGGTCTCCAAGCCTCCAAGACCCCGTGATCGCAACTCTCGATGTGGTATCCGTGCTCTTTTACGACATTATAGTTCGACCTGAGCACGATCGTGACCGTAGCGAGACCGCCTGCTTCGAGGTTGAGAGCAGCAATGGCACCAACGGCACCGCCACCTATGATTAATATACTCTTCTTTGGGTTGGCCATTGTATGTTGTGGTGCACATGGGACAGTGGCTTATGTCGAATATTTGTTGGAGACAATGTCAATAAGTAGGCATGACGCGTTAGTGGGGTGGAGGGGTAGCTATTGCAAGGTACATGACTCCGTTCCGAAGCCAAATGCGATAGCAATATCTGCCTCGTGCAAATCATCTCACATAAGTATATCTAAGAAGCAGGTATTGCGGTCCCTTCAATCGAGCTCCATTTAATGCATATGTGTAGGTTACAGTCCGTTAATTCGTGACCGGTGGCCTTCATCCCCAGATTCTCCGTCTGACGTTTATCTCCATTCCTATCGCAGTGATGGTTGATGCATTGCTTGAGTCGAATGTAGAGCCGTCCATCCCATCCGCCTGAAGACTACGCCGAGAGCCCAGCAAAAGAGAGAGAAAGAAGGTACACGCTTAGAAGACGAGGGCGGCACCCTTGGTCTTCTTGTCACCACCGAGCTCGAAGTGCTTGCAACGCTTGAGGGAAAGCTATACGGTATTAGAAAAAGAGGTGATGGCATAAGATGTGGGAGACATACCTGTGCCTTGGTCTTGCACTGTGTGCACTCTAGACGGAGCACAACCTTCTTGGTGGTTTTCGCCCTCTGCACATCGTTAGCGTCCGCCCCGCGAGATTCGACAGAACGATCGTACCTTGTGGAAAACGGGCTTGGTCTGACCACCATAACCGGACTGCTTGCGATCATAACGACGCTTTCCTTGCGCGAACAGCGAAGCCTTTCCTGCCTTGTACTCTGCCAAATTCTCAGTATACGACACGCGGATGGTAATTAGATGAAGGACTACTGACGGGTGACCTTGTGCTGGGTGTGCTTCTTGCAGTCCTTGCCCTTGCAGTAGGTTCGTCGGGTCTTGGGTACGTTGACCTGAAAACAGTATTGTCAGCACATTACAAACATAAATTTGGTTAAAAATCTGGCATCGCTATTTGGACAGCTTGCGATACGAGTGAGTGAGATGTTGTAGCGGACATCGCCTGTTTGAAACCTGGACGTGCAGCGAATACGGGGGTATAGGATCGAAGATCTTGAGTGACGAGCCAACCTCAGCTTCAAAGCGACCGGGGTGGTTAAGCTTCACAGGTCAGAGATTAATACTGCGTGGTATTTTGCAGAATCAAGCGAGCCCGGAGTCGTATGTCTTATGGCTGTCGCCACTCTCCGCGTCCAAAGTTATGCCATCTTGTCTCTCGATCCAACACATTGTAGCGCAATAGACCCTCAAAATATTTCCCCCCCATGCCATCCAGAGGGCATCTCCATGCTCTGTGTTGTCCTCGTTGCAATGTTGCCTCGATGGTTTCGTACGCTCGGAGGTATCGTAGTCGTCATCGATCCATCGTCGGTCGGCGCTCACTCGTGTTGCAGCTGTCCAAGATATGCAAATGTCAGAATTGGGGTGTTACTCACCATTTTGACTGATTTTCCTGTCGATTAGTGGGAGCGACGGGTTGGCGGTGGTGATGATTTGCAGGTCGCAGTGCTTGATCGATATTGCTAGCGTGTGGGTGCTCGGCTATCTTACTAAGCAGACTTTCATTTGCGCGCACTAGCCACAGCGCAGATTTTGGCGGCCTTGATACACGATAAAAAGGCACGAGCTCAAGAACTTGTTTCATAAGATGAAGGTGTCAAAAATATGATTGCATTGTGGTATCATGCGAAGCAAGCCAAGTCCTCCCGGCACACGTTGCCGCCAAATCTCAATCTCATACAAAGTGACATAATAAAGAATATCAAAGACTAGTAGATCGGTCGGCCCTCGTCCCATTTCTGGGCCTCTTTCATCTCCTTGCCCGTGGAAGGAGAGCTGTTGTTCATCGCAAGACTGAACCGGCCGCTCTCTCGCGTGCCGCTACTCCGTCCATCTTCAAGCAATTTGATAGGCCCAATCCATTCCCACATACGGGCAACATCACCGCTGTTGGTTGTCCGGACGGCTGCACGGATGTTTGAATTGAACTCGACCTTCTTCTGCACTCTCTCCCAAAGTTTTTGCCTTCGTGAGGACGAAAATTCGTTTCGAAGTACATCGTCTCGTAGTTGAGCCATGCTGATACCTTTCTCGGGATAAGCACCAGGTTCTTGACAGCTCAGAGCAGCTTGGTTAGCTAGCCGATCGAATGCATCGCTTGCAAGCTGCTTCGCCCGTGCTTCCATGGCACGACTTTTGGTGATTGAGTACTTGCCATACGAGCCTGTTGCGACGAGGAAGATGATCATAACAATTTGGAGAAGATATCGTTCAAGAGATTGTCGGAGGGATCTGCGGACGCTGCAGGAGAGGGAGAGCTCTGCCAGGGATGTTGATGCGAGCCTTCGTCTGCCGGATGTTCTGTGTCCACGGAAAGGTAACTGATTAGTACAGTCCCCCGTCAGAGATGTTGCACCATTGGTCGAAGACCGGAAAGGATAGTACTTACCCATCGGTAGTTTCGACGACCTCCTCTCGCATCGTCAGCTCAGGAAAGGCTCTGTCGAAGAGCTCGCTGAACTCTTGATCCGTCAAGCCCTTACGCTTCTGGGTGGTCATTTGCTGCTTGAGGTCCTCTTCGCTCACTTCAGGGCTTTCTACTGTGTTCCCTTCGTCGTCCAGCTCCCCACATTCGTACTGCGCCTTACGTTGTCTCAGAATCTGTACGGCTCGATCGGCAACTCTAGTGACTTTCCGTGTCTTCTCACTGTCCGGTTCGCATGTCGGTGGGAGTGGGAGCAAGCCATTCAGGGACAAAGGGTGATCTTTCCTGATGAAATCAGGGTCGCACCTAAGGTCCAATCCTCTGAAACACTGTGCATGCGGTGGACAAGGCTCGCACTGTGGAAGGATATTGCTCGCCCAATCTGGCACCTCCACACCGGCGAGGCCCGTGGCTTCTCGTCCAATGCCGCAAAATCCCACAGCGATCTTCTCTTGCCGCCACACTCCTCCAAAGACAGCGGCAGCCGTTAGTAGTAGCGTTCCTGACATAGCTTTTAGAGTACTAGAAGCCTTGGAAGCCTGCTTGCGCCGTCGTGGAGGCAGAATGTCGACCTCTCCCTTCTTAGCGCGCTCACGTACCATCTCCAACTGCTCTTCTGGCGTGAACTCTTCGCCTATATCAACAATGTCATCGTCTTCGTACTTCACACGCGGATCTGCCACGTCGAATGTGCCCCGAGTCGGTACAACAATGCCTTCGTCCAGCTGTTCAGCGTTAGGCTGAAAAGTTTTGCGGCGATGTGCGTCGCTCTTGCGCTTCTCTTTGTGCTCAAAGCCCATAGTTCGCCGTCGACGATCGCGTGCCGCTGATTCTGGCATCGAAGGAGAACTCCCGCTTTGGAAAGGGTTCTCCTGCGTAAATGGGCTGCCCGCATCGTTTCGATGCCATGCTTCGGGGTCGTCTGTTGGTTGCTGCAAAGCTGGTGTGACACTCTTCCGTGTACGTCTTGCAGCAGGTCGCTCATCCACCTCGGGCTCAAGTGCTCTACTATGCTTCGCAGGTACCGCACGAGAGGGCGTCTTCGAACGTGGTGTAGGCGCAACCGGTTCTAAATCTTCTGTGGTCGCGCGCGTTGTTCTGCGCGTGGTGCGTCTCGTTGTCGTAGGCGGGGGATCAAGAACTGTCTCGTCCTCGGTATCCACTGTGCTCGTTGAACTAGAGGGGACATCCACGATGCCCCGCGTTGATCGCTTTGTATGTGCATGCGCCCTTTGTACTTTCGCTGCCTGAGGAAGGACAGCATCGTTGAACAGACTCACTAGCACCGGCTTCTTCGCAGAGGAGGGGTATGTAACGCCATGTTTGAGCAGGATACTCCGCAGCTCAGGCACCGTGATTCTGTTCGCGTCGACATCTGTATCAAAGTACCAGTATTCCCCCCGAGCATCAGCCATAGTTGTTTATTATCGGATGGTAGATCAAAATCCGGAAGATCGCAAACTTGTCGAAGGTGAGTTTGCAAAGGGCGACGCAAGACGTAAAATGACTTGAGGCGTGCGACAACCTTGGAAGCGGGCGTGGGCGGCGCCTGGAGAGAGCTGGCTGTGAGTGGAGTGAGGAAACTCTGCGTAGCTTGTTTGTGATGTCACCAAGGCAACTGCGACCGAGGCCTGGTCCGTGCGCCCTGTCATACCTCATTGTCGACCTTGTCCTGGGCGCTACTGCGATATCTTTGGTGGACTTTATAGAGTATCAACTATTAATATAATTCTACAGCGAGTTAGTCAAGAGCTTCCTATAAATGCACGTAATGTAGATATAAGTTAAGATCGTTTCATTTGCTATTCGAGTAAGAGACTGTGTAAAGATCTATGGATCTACGTAAGGCTGCGCAGGCTATATCTGCGCAGGCCTAGGCCCAGACTACCTCGTTAAGCGAGGTCGTCTGTTCGAATCTAGTTGTAATATGTGACCTACTTACAGTATAAGGTACGTTAGTGTTAGTGTTCAACCCCTCTCTGAAACGTTAAAGGACTGCTTTACTGTAATACCGTGACCCTTGATGTGACCGCTCCTCTCGTGCCAATTAAGCGAATCCTGATCTTCCTCGCTTGCATCTCCAGGCATAGTGTCCCGCAAAGCCGAAGCATCAGCACGATGCTGTAGTCCAATCGGTCTAAGCCACAGGTCGCTGGTATCGTCGTCTAGCCGCTCAAACCCATCATCACCCACCTCCTTCGGACCAGTGGACTTGGCCCCAGTATTTACAGGCTTCTTGCCCGATCCGTACGGGGTTGCTGCGGACTGGCCGAGAAGTGGACGCATCATAGGGACAGAGGCGAGGACAACGGCAAGGCAGGGCTCAAGGCCACTGAAAATGTTGGCTTTGGGGATGGTGAAAGTAATGTCCGTGAAATCCATGGTGGACAGGATGGAGATGCGGAGGGCGCTGATGACGCAGGTTCTACTCTCGGTTATATTGAAGGTCGCAGTGAAAGTTCAGTGTTCAACTTACAAAGTACCCAAGCCAAAAACGGTAATGAGGGTCACTTTTTTGTACGTCGCCATCTGCAGTTGATACAGCGGGCGCATGGGCAGGAGAAGCACTATGACATCGGTAATGAGGTTGATGATCCCAGTGACTGTAAACGAGGTAACCTGGTCGCCGCAGCTTCCACCAGGTATCGCTTTGTCCCAATTGAACGCGAAAGGACGGCAGATGAAACAGCCAGCGAGGATAGTCGCAATTGTCCAAGCAATAATGATGAATATGGTCGCATAGGAGCTCCACACAACCCATCGAATTGGGAAGAGTTTAAGGTATAAGTACAGAATCGATATCTTGGTGCAGCTGAGGCTCAACACCCAGAGAAACTGCAAGGGTATAATGAGCTGCGATAGCTTGGTGATGGGTTCAAGGCCGTATTCGAGTGCAATTTCTGTGACGTGACCGTACCCAATGCCAGCTTGGAAGACACCTGTAATGCTCACTGATTGCAGGCCGACGGCGAATATCTAAGTCTTGTCAGCAGTGCCGAAGGTCGCGAATACCAGAGGCCTTACGCAAGCGGCGATGATGAAATAGTCGCTGGGTGTCCATCTCTTGTGAGCGATCGCATGGGCGATCAATCGTAAACTAACTGCGATGACAGCGAGAACTGAGACGCTAAAAGCTACGCCCAGCACTGCCTTTTGGCTCGAGGTTTTGACGGGGAATATAACCATGTTGTTGTGCAGCATAAGGGACGCAGGAGGCTTAAGCTCGGGTATATAATCCGTGAGCATAACGTCGGAGTCGCGTTTTCTGTATATAGAACTAAAATCTCTGGTGTAATTTCCCGTGCTGAGCTAGTTACCTTAGCTGTTCCTTCAGGATTCCAACAAGATCCTCCTGCAGGGCCTACAGGGCCTACAACGTATGGAGGAACCAGGAGAGTAAATGTTTTATGTAGATCCTTCACAGACCACGGCCAGGATCAGTTGCTATCAAGTCATTCTGCTTACATAGACGCATATACCCAGTAGGAAGCCTTGCCCTCTCCCATTAGCTAGCTAAGTAGTGTTAGGCCACTCATCCCACGAGCTTATCTTAATCAGGTTAACAGTGGGTAATAGTGGGTAATATAACAGAGTAATGATCAACAGACCCATAAAATAGGGAGTTCTAACGTATAGAGAGGCTGTATGGGGATGCTCTGTAAAGTAACTGGTCGGCTATGATACGATTCGCAATATGGTGTAGACACAACCGCGAGTAATGCATGTTGCGCGACACAAGACACGAAGAGTTTCATGTGTCCTATGCTTACTCTTAAACACATTCATATCAGGGCTTCCCCGCCTCATTCGCTCACCAGATGTCAGGTTGGCTGCCGTGTCTAGTGCCCTCTGGCCCGAGAAACATTTTGGATCTTGCCCAATTCTGGTCTAGTGAGTTTAATAGTGGTAAATTCCCAGCCGTCCAGTCGCGTGAAGATGAGCCCACTTCGGCAGCCACTAAAACGACGGGGATATTACTCTACGAAGCACCATTCTGCCGAACTTATTCAGGGTTAGGTTCGCGGATCACGATCCTGAGTAATGTCGTGCATAGTATTTGTCTTTTTAATCTTCTCTCTTCAAGTGGTTGTGTCCCACGGTTTTGCTAAGGTGCTTCTTCAGCCATGTCCAGCTCTACTGTGACCATCCTCCTAGCCGTAAGCGCACTGACGGCGCTCTATCTTTACACCAACCGGAAGAGCCATGATGCATCCGAGAAGCCCTTGGTTAAGCTGCCCCTCATTGGTGATATTCACAGCTCCCCAATTGAGAAACCACTGGTAAACTGGAGCGCATGGTCCAAAAAACATGGGCCGATTACGGTTCCCAAGCTCTTTGGAATTGTACCCATTGTCGTGCTCAATTCGTATGAAGCTGTCACTGAACTCTTCAGTCGTCGCAGCCAATGGTACAGCAACCGACCTGCCTCCGTGAGTATGGAAATGATTACTGGGGCCGAACCAGGGCGCTCTCGATTTACGCTGATGCACGACTATGACGATCACCTCAAGCTGCATCACCGCATTCTCTCACCAAGTCTTGGTGCGCCTGCAGCAAGCAATTACCAGCCGCTTATGGAACTTGAGGCCAAGCAACTGCTCTTCGACCTCATCACGACCCTAAGCAAGGCTGCCGATGGTTCCACAATCAGTACGAAGACCATATACCCTCTGCTCGAGCGCACCCAGTCCAGTGTGATCCTCGCCCTCCATTATGGTCTCCGCATCCCCAAATTTGAAGAACCAATCCTCCACGAAGTCATCGACATCCAAGCAAAAGTCACCCATCTCGCCGCAAACCCGCAGCTCCCAGATCTTGTGCCCTTTCTTCGACACCTACCCGCTTTCATCTCTCCGTGGCAGCAATATGCTGACAAGCTCTACGCCTCCCAAGTCAATCTCTACATGCGCCTCTTCCACCACGGTAGAGACGCACCAGGCTGGAACGCGACAAAGCAAGCCATTGCAACCGCACCGAAACACGCTCCCGCGGACTCTCCAGTGTCGGATCTTGACATTGCCTTCACGCTCGCAACATCCATTCAAGGTGGCATGGAAACGTCTCCGCGCCAGATTCTCTGGCTATTCATCGCAGCAATCCAGCATCCTGGGTTTATAACCCGTGCGCATGAAGTATTAGATGAAGTCGTCGGTCGCGAGCGACTCCCTAGGTTTTCAGACCGCAATAGCCTCGCCTACGTTGACGCCGTCGCACATGAACTGTTCCGTTGGCGGCCCATTGCTCCAGGCTCGATTCCGCGCCGTGCTGACCGTGCGGATGAATATGCCGGCGTGAAAATCGCCAAAGGCGTCACCATCATGTCAAACGCATGGGCCATCGGCCGTGACGAGAAAGTCTTCGATCCTTCCCTCGGCGATGCGCAAGACTTCGTTCCTGAGCGCTGGCTGCGTGATGGAAAGGTTCGCAGCGACCTTCCACTCCCTGTGTTCGGCCAAGGTCGAAGAATCTGCCAGGGAAAGCGTGTCGCTACTGACGGAACATTTTTGAACATCGCGCATTTGCTTTGGGCGTTCGATGTGGAAGCGCTAGAGGGTGAAGAGATCGATCCATGGGCAATGGTAGTTGTTGGGTTCATGACTGAGCCGAGGCCGTCCAAGTTCCGTCTCAAGCCTAGAGGGCAATGGGTACTTGATGTGGTGAAAGGGGAGTGGGGAAGTACCGAGAAGAGCTTAGAGAGAGTGATGGGCATTGCTAATGACGTAGAGAGGTAGCTTCAATTTAGTCTTGTTCCATCACCATCGGGATAGTAGGGGTCAGGAAATTGAAAAGACAATAACAAGTCTACCCAAAGGCGCCCTTAAGCAAACATATTCTCGTTGAAAACATCTACGTTAGGAGGAAATCGTCACCTACATCTCCTCTATCGCAATACATGAGTTAACGCTTCCCCCAGTTCTCAAGCTAACAAAAGCTAAGGCACAGTACATCATGGGCTCAGGAACTCTATTCCAGATTCCCTCCGCTACCCAGCGCCTTACCGTCGCTTCCCATACCGGCATCAAGTCTTGCGTTCTCGCCTCATTCCGAAACCACAATGCCACAGCTTGGAATGTATCGTTACTGAAAATATCCTCCATAGGATAGAACCTAAGTTTGTCCATCTGTAAATCTGCAGTTCTAACGCGCCTTTGGCCGCCAATTTCGTCATTGGTCCACTTGTCCGCCTGACACAAGATATAGGCCCGTATATTCATCCATTCCCAGCTTATCTGCCAGAATCCTTCCATTTCTGGCCAGAGATCATGCAGTTCATCGCCTCGTAAGATTTCTGAGAGAACCGACCTCATTATAATGAGATTACGGCTTCGGCTGGCCTTCCACTCGGCGATGACAGTGGAGGCGCTGAAATTAGAGAGCTTACACTTAATTGCCATGTGTGGCATAAGTTCACAAATGTCGGCCAACCCCAAGAGAACGTGTTTGGGTTCTGCCATCTGTTTGTACCTCAACCCTTCAACTCGTGGGCCAACATCATCGGGCGCAACGCTGCATAATACGACGGTCTTGAGCTAGTCTTGCTTCTTTGGCGGGATATTTTTAGGAGTGCGAGGAACTGTTTTATCGAGCGTATTTTTTCGTCTATTCTACTAGAGAAGGTGATAGTCCGGTTGAGTTGCAATTCGAGATAATGAGGTTCCTAATGAAGTTTCTTGCAGACGTATTGGAGCTGATTGATCTGCTTGTGTCCAGACTCATCTTTGTTTGTGTACTCAAGCGTCCTATTCGGGGGCGTAAAGACGTGTGAGTAGATGTCATTCCGGATCTCTGGTGGTAGGTTAAGGAGGAGTGCAGATTGCAGTGAGGAGCCTCGAGCGGTCGTCCCCATGTCGACAAGATATAGCGAGAGGTTTAAGAGAAGGTTGAAGAGAATGAGGCACTCTTAGGTAGGTAGCGTCAAGTCGAGAGTTGATTGAAACAATATATACTCAAGCGAGGAGAAGGGTTTCTTCTTCATGTATACGCGATGATATCTAACGTTTTCAGTTAACAAGTCCGCTGCTCTACTGATATTGTCTGGCGGCACACAATGTCGCGATAGCTCTTCACTCAAACCAGCGCTCTGCTCTCTGTCACTGCCTATTTCACTAATTGTACGATCCTCCAGGCGCACAGTTCGTCGAAAGAGGTTTGATCTTCTACACACTCTTCAAGCCATCAATCTTCTCTCTGATAACTGCAACTCGAATCCCACGGACGACTCAAAGATCGAAAAGATTTACGACACTGACCTAAATCTTGTTAATCTAGCCAGCATTGGCCACACCAATCCGAGCATTTCAACTTGATAGCACCCCTACACCTCAGTCGAGATGGACCTCGATACACTCATAATATTTCCATATTCAGAAATCATCCATGACGAAATGATCGATGCGCTGGCCTTTTCATGGTAAGAGGATTTTCAAAGCGCTTGCGCCTTAGTTGAGCTATCGCTGGTTTCTGTGAAAGTACTTTGAGTGCGGAGATGTTTGTGGTACTTCAATAACAAATCTGGCAAATCCAGACCGTCATACCGGTAGCATCTTCAGGGACAACCAGTCACGTACTCCAAGAAAAAGGTAGGCCAAACAATAGTACCCGATGTTGACGTTCGTTCATATCCGATGCTGTGAGACAGGCAGGGATTGGTACGAGGCTTTCATCCCAAGCATTTCTAGGTCTAGCCCAAAATGGAAAACTATGGGTACGCCTCGGTTTAATATAGCGCAATTTGGACAACGCTGAACGCTCCATGCGCGTCCACCAACCATTCTCTGTCATCCTATCTTTGTTCAGCCTCAAGTCGCCATTGCTGAATTGTGTACCGCTGGCACCGCTGCGAAAACTAGGTTGTCACTTCCTGGCCTCTGTTCGTGAAGCACGCAATGTTGTACCCCGGACCGGTTCGCCGCCACTAGAGCCACATTTCTGCCTGATATGCCGGCGGATACATATAGATTGATTAAGGACGAAGGTCACGCTGCCTACGTTGGGTTTATTCGAGTGCCCTGCGATTGACATTTCGTTTCCCGGATATTGAAGTGTGAGGTTAGTGCGCGCACCCTGCGCTCCGCCTTTATTTTCGGGTTCTGGAAGAATGGTCACCGTATAAGTGTGCCATTTATATAACGCGATGAATGTCTCGTGGGTAGCTATTTCGGTGTCCTCTTTGCCACCTTTCCCCGTTTTTCGTTCACTCCTGTCTCCGACTCGCGATGTTTGGCAAAGCTACTATTCTGAACGCGCTTGTCAGCGTTGTATCTGCAGGTACACTGCACCCTTTCTTCAGCCGCTTTTCGGTAGTGCTAATGCCTTTCTAGGTACAATTCTGTGGGATGGCCGCTTCAACGAGATGACCTCCAGCGCCGACCTCGAGAAGTGGTCATGGGCAAACCAAGTAGGAAATTATCAATACTATATCCATGGATCGGGCGGTGTGTCAAAATACGTCAATCTTTCACCCAGCTACAAAAATCCTGGGGACACGGGATCCAAGCAAGGCGCCAAAATCTCCTTGGATAGCACGGCAAAATGGAATTCAGATATGCTTCGCACAGAGCTGATTCCCCAAACTAAAGCTGCTATCAACAAGGGTACCGTATACTACCATTTCTCAATTAAGAGGAGCACGACGAATGTGCCAAGTGCGACAAATGAGCACCAGATTTGTTTCTTTGAGAGCCACTTTACTGAGTTGAAGTATGGCTGGGTAAACGGAGAGTCGGGCACAAGCAATACAAACCTTCAGTGGATGGTAGGTGGGCAGAGCAAGTGGAAGGTCGAGCTTAAGGCAGACGAGTGGCACAACATTGCTTATGAGATTGTAGGTCAATCCATATATGTTGATCTGGCAAGAAAAAATGCTAATGCGTTCACAGAATTTCTCCTCTAACCAGGTTACCTTTTGGCACTCGACTGGCAACGATACTCTCGTGAAGACTGCTGGTCCTTTTTCTTCCAGCACTTCCTCGAACGGCGCTGATTGGCATTTGGGAATTCTTCGTCTGCCGCGACAGGGCAATGATGGTGGAGCAGAGGATTGGTATTTTTCCGGCACTTATATCGAGAGTGGTTCGCTCACGACATCGGTTGCTAGCCCTGCAGCCTAACTGTACACTATGGAGTACGGAAGATCCAAGAGAAGAAACAGTTAAGATTACCACTGGGTATATAACTTACATGTTATCCACTCTTTCTACCGTGTCCGTCCATGAATTAAACCAAAGATGCTCATATACGTTAAAGCACCATGTTTCATTCCATGAGCCCCCCTCGTCGACTTTAGACATATGCAAAAAGTCATCTGAAATCCCAAACCCCTACGAAGACGTACCATGTCGCTGAAAAGTATGGTCCCCATATCCTACACTTTTCCTCTGGTCTATCAACCCAAACTATCCTTGAAATATCAAATCCCATTGTCGAACCAGTCCTTAGCGACTCGTATGAGAGCTTCTACTCCATCTTTGAGCGTAGGGATGAGACGGGTTGATTCGAGAACATGTTCTGAACAGGACTTTCTAAGAGCCGCCTCATCGAAGACTTCGTCCCATGGGAAGATTCGTACGTAGCGTGGCAGCACGCCACTATCTGAAGAAGCTCTCTGCTCCATCAGGGCTAATAAATATTGTTGCACACTCGCACTATCCGACAACTTTTGTACGAATGCTGTGTTGCCTCGGCCTATGGATTGGAAATACAAGGCAGCTAGAAAAAACGAGTTTTTGTCCATCCGAATCAAGGGACTAAAGGTTGAGTTGCGAAGTCAGTATATGTCCCACATGTGTTTCGTACACGAATGTTACTTACCAGTAGATGTGGATGGCGAATGTGGGGTTGCATGAAGTATGTGGAGTTTTTGTTGTATAACGAGGAATCCCACCTTTATGCCAACCGTTTTCAGTCTTAACGATGATCCTTCGTAGCCACATCCTTTGCTGGCAGTGCAGTCCATTCAACAGCTTCTTAGTGTCGGTAGCCGAGTCAAAGATGAAGATATCGTTATAACGGAGGGTCAATCCCTTGGTCTCGCCGCGAAGCTGGTGGTTCACGAACTGGAGTTGATTCGCAATGATGTGGCCGTTCATCGTCACTATCGCAGTGTCTTTCCTGTCCAGTTTCTCGTCGTTGTGTTCTTCAATTGCCAATTCGTTGTCGGCGATTCTGCGTTTTTTGCGGGGTGGGTCGACCTCCTCCGCATTCCGAGCCCGCTTCGTAGCTACGCTTGCACCCTCCTTTTAAGGGTGTAAAAGGATTTTCAAAGCGCCTACGCCCTAGTTAAGCTATTGCTAGTTCTGTAAAAATACTTTAAATGCAGAAATATTTATAATTATATTAATTTTTTTAAAATAAGTTAAAATAGTTGCTAACTATAGTTTTAAACTTTATTATTATTCTTTTATAGTACTAAATATTAATTTTCTATTTTCTATAACTACTAATAAATTTAATATAAAATTTAGTTATATAAGGAATTACTTGCTTTTTAAGCTTATATAAAGCTTTTACTTTATAATTTCTAGCTTTTATTTATATATAATAGCAAAATAAATTTTTTTTTTTTTTGTTTACTTTAGTATTAATTTTTTAAACTTGCTTTAGCTAGAACTTTAAAAGCTTTTTTTTAATAATTTTATTATAAAAAAAGCCTAGTAGCTTAAAAAAATAAAAAAAAATATAACTTTAATATAATTTTTTTTTTTTTATTAAAACTATATAATAAATAAAAAACTTTTATTTTTTTATATTTATTTATTAATAATAAAAGCTATGCTAAATATTAAGCTTACTAAAGTAGCTAAAGTAGCTACTTTTTACTAGCTACTTTAAAAACTAGTTACTAAAACTAAAACTGTAGAAAACTATAGCTATATAAACTTTTTTAAAAATTTTAAAAAAATACTAAAAGTATAATTGTATAAGCTATATAAGCTATAAGCGCTAGAGTAATAGTAAAAGTCTAATTAGGCAGAAAGTTAAGTTGCTTTAAAAAAGTAAAAAAACTTTAAAATTAGTATTTAGTTAAATGCAGGAGCGGAGATTAGGTAACTAAAGTATTATTTTTATTAAAATAGGCTAGTTAGAAAACTATAGTTAAAAGCTAGACTACTTTGGGCAGAAGAAATTAAACGCGTACGTTGAGGATTTTGAAAGTATAAGTAGAGCTAGCTTACGCCGCAATTATTTTCGTAATAACACACTCCCTTAGTATTATTAGTAAAAGTGTACTTGTAAATTATATTTTGTCCGGCCCGAGCTGCTCGTGTAAACCAAATTTCGTGTTAATTATTTGTGTTCTCCCTACAGGAAACTTTATTAATTATTACTAACTAGGTAAATTGACAATAATAGGCACTAACTAACTAACTACAATAATAACAACAATAGCAACAACAACAGCAGCTATAATGCAACACGACAGTTTTTCCTACCTTTCTAACAATAATAGCACCGCTCCTACCTGTTCTAAATAGCTAGCTCTAGTATAACTAAGTATAACACTATTGCTATCTAAGCCTTGCTTACCTCTCTTTAAAGGCAAGCATAAAACTTAGCCTTATCCTTGTTTATTTCTTCTTTCTTATTTGCGAGCTTACTAAGAGCGTTTCCCTATAAAGAGGCTCTTATTATTACTACTGCAGTAGCGTTGCCAAAGGTAGCATGCCTAAGCACTAAGTAGGCAAATATATAGATAGAAATAGCTTCTGTGCTGTTTATGTAGGCCTTTAGCTTGCTGTAAGCAGCAATAACCTAGATATTAGTAATACTAAATTGCTTAAGATAGCGCCCTTTAAACTGTAGCAGCAGTGTATAGAGGTTGTTAAGAGTAGAGTGTAATTTAGCAGTCTACAGGGCGATGGATTTGATAGTGCTAGTACTAGTATTAGTAGTAGTCTAGAAAATTGCAGAGTGCAGGTAATAAGACAGCTCGTTTAAAACAAGGACGCAGCAGTTGTTAAAGGTAGACATTGTTTTGCAGTCAACAATAAACAATAGACGGTAGTAGTAGTAGTAGTAGTAGTAGATAAAAGTAATAAATAAAGGATATAAACAATGTTTTTTAGACAAAGTAGCTGCCTGCCTAAAGAGTTGTAGCCTCTTAAGGGGCATCTTAAGAGGCTCGATAACAACAACAACAACAACAACTTATAGTTGTATTCCTACTAAGCTTAGCTTAAAGCAGGGTTAGTAGTGCCTTTAATAAGGCTAGACTATTAGAGAACAAAAGCTAGTTCTTAAAGCAGCGTCAGCGTGCTAAGCCTCTAGCTAGGCTGTCGTGCTCGCTAAGCCCAAGCATTAACTACCTATAATAAATAAAACTAGCGTTTTTATATATACCTATATTTTGTTACGCTTTTCGTGTTTTTTCCCTTACTAGTAGAGGGGATTTACCGGTTTGGACTATTTGTGTCTATTTTGTAATACCCCATCTCGTTGTCTATATAAAACTCTATAAAAAAAGTAAATTATATTTTAGAGCTTGCCTAGCAAGCGCAGTAGGCGAGACTTTATATTAGCTTCTGTGTAAATAATAGTTAGAACAGTTGCTAGTTAGATTCAGGCAATTAAAAATTAGTTGGGTTTTTAATAAGAAGGTACAAACGTATAGCTTTAGCTGTAGATAAAAGTGCAAACTTTTAGGGCCAAAGCAATTAGTAGGTGCGCCCTTTTTGTCTCTACTTTTACTTGTGTACTACTGTAGTTGCGTTATAGCGCACAGAGCATCTCAATATTAATATAATACTATAACTTAGTTTGAATATTTTTTTTTTTACAAACTCTTAGTTAATCCTATAAAGCTTTCTATCGCTGCGTTATCAGTATAATACTTAGTACTTGCAGTTTTTTTATATAGAGCGAACCTGTATATACTATTGCGTACCTTGCCTAGCAATTAATATATAAGCGGCTAAATTTGGACTAAAAGGTTGTCAATGCGTTGCGTCAAAAATTGTCCTATTAAAGTTATTAATTAGACAGTTGTATTAGTATAAGTAAATAAGAGATATAGCGCGGTTAGTTAGCGAGACTGTACAGTATATAGACGCTAGATAAGCCAGGACAGCAGTTAAGCTACCTAAATATTAAAATACTATAATTATCCTAACTTTAACGCGTTATAATTTTACTACTATAAATTTAATTTAAAAAGTAATTAAATATATTAAATTATATAAAGCTAGTATATTTTTTTATACTATAAAATTGCAAAAAAATTTAAAATTAATTAAATAACTTTGTTGCAAAGGCACTAAAGGAAAATATGCTTTTATATAAATGCTAAATAATAATAATAATTACTTAATTTATAATAAAAGCATAAATTTATACTATATATAAAAAAATATATAAAGTAAAGCTTACTATTAATATAAAAAATAATATAAAATTTTACAAATTTAGTAGTAAAATAAAAATTTTTAAAATACTAAGTTTTTTAATTTTTATATTATTATAATGCTAAATTTATTTTTAAATAAAGCGCCAGGATTAATTGCAATTACTACTAGGCTAATTTTTATAAAAAAAAAAATTATATTTTAAATTATTATATTTAAAAATATGCGAGTATCGCATTAAAGCACAGGATATATATAATATAAATAAAAAAAACTTTTTTATTAGCATTATAGCTTGCTTAAAATAATTTTTTTTTTAAAATAGTTTAGTAAGCAAAAAAGCGTATAGCAGCTATTTAAAATAATAATAAAAAATAAAAAATATTTTTTAATTTGCGTTTATAGTAATAAAAATGCGCTACTACTAGCGCTTATTTATAAAAATAAATTAAAATTTTAATTAAACTAAGTTAATAATGTAAAAACTAAAAAATATAATTTTTTTTTTTACTAATTTAATTATAAAATAAATAACCCCGCAAAGATAGGACCTAATATATTATTAATAGCTTATATTATTAGTATCTTTACTGTATATTGCGTACTTTTATTTTTAGAATTGCTAAATAATAAACTTTTAATTTTTAATAATATAATTTTAACTGCTAAAGCGCGGCTTTTTTAATAGCTTTAAGTATATATCTAAATATTTAGCATAATATTAGACTGCTAAGTAGCTAATTAATACTAGGCCTTTAAGCAATAATACTAACGCTAATACTAATAATAATAATAATAATAATTTTTCCTGCAATATTAGCCTTAACGCTTAATTGCTTTTTTGCTTTTTTTTTTACTAGCGCTTTTTTTTTTTTTTATATTTAGCTTAATTGCTTGCTTTTTTTTCTAAAATTTTTATTTTATTTAAGTATTTATACAATTTTTATAGCTGCAAAAAGCTATTGCTTTTATTAAATTACTAGTAATTGCAGCAGTGTAAGAATACTTGCTAATATAGTTTTTAAATAAGTTTTTTGCGCTAAAAAGCTAAATAAAAAGCTTTAAGCTTAGCTTGCTAGTTAGTAATAAAAGCTTTTTAAAAAGTAGTTAGACTATAGTAGAAAGTTTATATTTAGCAGCTAATAATAAATATAGCTAATATATTTAATTTTTTTTAGCAGAGCTTTTTTAGGCTAATAAAACTTTTAAAAAAAATATAATTAAGCATAAAGTACTTTAGCATGCAAAAAAGCTTAATATTTAACTTTTAAAAAACTTATTTAAGCTTGCTAGAATATTTAAATACTTACTAGTACTAATTTAAAATACTAGTTTTATATAGCAAGGAACTAGCCTAAAATTTAAGCTTTTTTATAAACGCTAAAAATATAATAAAGCACAAGGCAGTATTAAAGAAATTATTAATAAGTATTATATAAATAGCGTTAGTAGGTTTTATATAATTATTAGTAGTTAATATAGCTTGCTGCAAAAGGTATAGGCAGACAATTATATAAAAAAAAAGTATTTTTTTATATATATATTGTATATCTAGAACTGCTGCCTATGGCTCCCTGCTTTTAACTATTTTTATTAATAATTATATAAAATACTATAGTCTACAATTTTTTACAAGCCAATTTGCTAAATTAAAACTTTAATTAATATTTTGCATATTATTACTAATTAAATTGCTTACTTTTATTTAGGAAAATATTAGTTAAGGCGCAAGCTTATTACTAAACTAAGTTTTTAATATTAGCTTAAAAACTTAATTAAACGCTCTATTTTAGTTTAATTTAACCTGCCTAGTATTGCCTAAATAAGTTAGTTACTATTAAAAGTTAATAGTTATATTACTA